ACGCTGGATACTGCGTGGCATAGAATCGACTTCGATACCAAGGAGAGGGCCGCCGACGCCCTGCATCGGACCCTCGCAGTACCAGATACGTTCGAGGATCTGTTTTATTTCGATTGGGTCCTGCGCCGCTGCAAGAGGCCGCCCGCAAAGAAGAAGTGCGCTGCGACGCCTGAGCAGATGGGGGAAACGTAGGAGCACATTGGTTGGGGGTCTTGAGGATGGTACGACCGATGATGGGTAGCGATTGGAGGAGGGCGAGAAAGAGCTGTCGTTTGGTACATTGGAGGGGCGGTGCGATGGATATCGTACGGCGGTTTTTTGTTTTTGTTTAATCATTGATTGCATATGGTGGCCAGGCTAGATCATGGTGATATACACACTATCCGGCCGTTTGAGTCAGACATTGGAGGGGGAACGGGATCGTTCGTATTGATTGCGTGCGGCCGGGCTAGATCAGGGTGATATACACACACTCCCGGCTCCGTTTCCGAGTCCACGGTCCACTGTCCGACTCGACAGAATTGTAGTTTCCGGGCTAGAACTCCGTTCTCCCATCCACTGTCCCACTCAATGAGGTCGTACGCATTGATTGATTGCATAAGGCCGGGCTAAAACTCCGTTCAACTCCGTTTCCCGGCCAACTGTCCGAATCAACGAGATCGTAAGGATTAAGTGATTGCATAGCCACGACCTGGCTAGATCATGGCGATATACACACACTCCCCGTTCTCCAAATGCGGCCTTCACATGCCGGCGCGTTATCACGATTCCCAGGCAGCGATGTTGCAAATATCATACGAGAAAGTTTTACGTAACTCCACGATCACGTGGCCATGCTGTCACATCGTTACCCGGTTCGCTACTTCGCTTGTACTCCCCGGGTAGAGTAGCTTCCTCGCTACTGCGCAACCCCAGATTGTCAGAACCCCGGACAGCTGCGGACCTGCGGTTCCCCGGTGACTGACTTCGCTTGTAACTTCGGGTAGTTGGAGTTGTATGTAGCTTGCTCGCTTCTGCAGAATCCCGGATTTGTACGGGCCCAGAAGGCAAGGCTAGAGACACTATCTATGGATGTATGTAGAAGCCGTTACGTCACCTTCCGGTCACCTGTTCATGCGTTGATATGGTTACCAGGGTAACATCTTACTTAGCTTGAGCCTCGCACCACCATAGCTCCCTCCCTCGCTCCTCCACCATCGCGCAACCCCGCAACGAAGAGAAGATGAAACCCTTCACCTGCCCCTCGAACCGGCTGCGGGCGTCACCACCGTGCAAGCGCTGCTCCACTGGAACTGCTCGCTGCTGTTCCGAACCTCATCCTAGCGTTCCCCGACAGCTGCAGGCACATCTCCTACGCGATGCTGGGTCTGGGGGCGTCGGCTGCTCCTTCGGGTGCACTCTCGGACAGCTCCCTCGCTTCTCTACGCCGCAGCCGAATTGAATCTAGCGATTGTAAGAAGGGCAACCGCTCCGGAGGCCGGCCACCGGGCCCGTCGTCGTCGTCGGACTCAACCGTCTGTCCGCTTCGAATCCATCTTCTACGAGACGGGTATTTCATAGCATCTTCGGAGCTACCTATACATTGCGCCCCCATCGTAACTACTCGACGAGGTTCAGTTCAGACCACCGTCTCCCAGTTTTTTCTGTAACACCTTCAGTCCTATCTATCTTCCACGACATTTCGGGCCTCGATTCACTCACTCGGGAGACCCTCTTACTAGTTAGAACGGGATGAAAACCGCCGAGCGTCGGATGAACGGTGGCGAGATTTCACGTTACGGTACGGGAATGAAATAACTGGTGGAGAGCATGTGTGGCCCTCGGACATCGGTGCATGGAGGATATGGTCGAGTTGAGCGGTGGTGATGGAGCCTGGGCTGGGCTGCGACGCTTGTGGGTACTGTTGGGCTGTGAGGGTTGACCGGATGATGGGTTACGGGTTACGGTTACTTGGTAGTTACAGAAATGTCCGGTTATCGTTTGAAAGAAGGCGATGCTACGGTTGTTTCGGTTGGGTATAGTGAGGGAGCCCCGATGCATCATGAGGGTGCTCTTTACTGGGTTTTTTAGTTAACGGCAAACGTCTCTAATGCCATAGTTTTTTCCACGTTTCAAACCCACCACCACTCAAACCCACCACCACTCAAACCCACCACCACTCAAACCCACCACCACGCAAACCCACTGCAACGAGCGATGGAAGAGCTGTCGGCGAGAGGAGAAAGTGAAGGAGGACTCCTGTTGGCGGGAGAAAAAGAAAGTGGTTAGTAGTTAGTAGTGGGCATCAACGTTGGTTAGCATGGCGGGGTCGACTACTGAGTGAGGAGGGGGAGTTGAGCTAGGTCGAGTAGGGTTTCGTCTTCTTCTTCTTCTCTCTAGATCATCATCTATCAAATAGGTAGACGGTCAACCCCCCATTTCCGGTCTGCCGTCTGTGTGGGCTCCCTTCCTCATCCCACGCCTTTCGTAGGCTGGTGCTTCTCCGGTGCGAGTGTGTTCGCCATAGTATCGTCGGTCGGCACGAGGGAGAACTAGACTTTATAATTAGCATCTTCCCAGTTACTTCTGTCGCTTGTCATGTCCGAGTTTAATGCTCCTGTCCAAGTCGGTGCACCTTTCCTCATCCAAAACTGCGACCTAACGGAAAACGATCAGACGATCGCATGCAACAGGAAACATGAGTTCTATCACGAACCGACGCCTAATCGTTGCGACATGACTGCAAGCCACGATACCACCATCCCACCATGACGCGCCGCGATCTATCCCGCTCTACCAGCACGTATCGCATTCGCCATCAACGCCAGCCCCGCCAGAGTCTCCCCTCTTAATCCGTCACGCGATCCATTGCAGCCACCCACCTCCATTCGCATCGCACCGCTCCGCCGTGTCCAATTCCAATCGATTTCCCTGGCGCCTTCCTGACACCTCCCTTACGAGCGCCGTGAGTAGCCGTGAGTAGCCATCTCACCACCGTAGCCTCAACCACCGCCACCTTACCCGCTCGCACCGACAGCAAGCAAACCTCCCACTCCTCCCACTCCTTCCGCCGGACCCCACTCCTCCCGCGCGAGCGAAAGCGAGAGCACGAACTCCGCCTCCTCCTCCACAACTCCGCACGCCAGCTCGGCTCGGCCACACACAGAAGCGTGCTAGCATACCCCGCACGGACTCCAATCGATACCGTAGTCTTATCGCGGTATATAGCGCGCCGATAGCGGGTCAATGCACCGCCCGTATGTATGTATGTAGAGAGGGCGGAATGTACTAGTACATAGCGGGGTACATTCTCGATCAACTCGGTATGTACGCAATTGCTGGCGGCGGTCGGTCGCGCGCGGTGTACTATGGGATTGGGCGACTTAAGACGGTAGGAGATACGGCGGTGGAGAGGAGTGCGTTCGAGGACATCGGACTGAAGGAATTGGCGGATGGGGGAGCGGTGGGTTGTAGAGCATCGAGTCGTTCCGGTGGAGACGCGAGGGTGCAAAAGTACGAAGGTACGAAGGCGTTGTCCGAGCTGACAGTCGCACTCACCGCGGACAGGCGGTCGCGATTCCACTGGCAGCGCGCTGCGCTTGGAATTCTTGCGGAAGGAGCTCGGTGGAGGGGGCGGTCGTTCCGTGTTCGTTGCGGTGTTGGAGACAGGAGGGAGATGTTCAGAGGGGCAAGTGGGGCGACCGATTGATTTCGTGAGCGGCTGAAAGTGCGATGACGCAATACCCCTGTTGCGGAAGCGCCACACAAGGTTTGTTATCCAAGTACCTGAAGTATCCTTGAAGCCCCTGCAGTGGCCGCCACACAAGGGTTCTGTGATACGTTTGCACAAGTTGCTATCGATCACTCGAGCCGTCACAGCGATTGAACGCGTAGTATTTCTGGTGCAGTGGAATACGGAAACGACGGGATGTTTCGCGTTCCTCTCTATTGAGCCTCACTTCCATAGTGTTTATCCGGCGCAGTGCAGGGCGTCACGTGGACGCGAGGTTGCAACACAAGGACGTCTTAAAGGCCCACGTATCCCAAGGTCGTGTAGTTATCCTGTTCCTTCGCTTGCAGGTCCTGACATCACGCACGCGACTGCCCACCCCACAACTAACACGAAATCATCCACCGCCTCGCAGGCCGTCTGCGACAAGATACCGATGTTCCCTCTCCCCCCCTCTCCCGCCTCGCGAACCAGCTCCCGCAAGAAGCCCCGACGCTCTCTGATCGACCCGAGCAACTGGAACAACAACCACCTAGCGACAGTCGGAGCAATCGTGAGCTTCGGGTTGCTTTTGCCAGCCGGCACAGCCCCGCCAGAACTTCTCGAAGCGGTGCAAAACACCGCGGAACCGTTCACCGACGCCTTCAGTCCCGGCTTCTGCACGACGATCCACCTATTCCCGATCGCCGAAACCTCGTACGAGCTCAATGAGCTCTCCGCCACCCCGTACCACATCGAGCTGCGCCAGAAGTGTTGCACCGAGCTGATCGAGCAGGTGCTGTGCTACCTCTGCCCGCGCTACGAACGGCCGTATTACCACTTCTCGCTGCGATACCACGACCGAACCGTGCATTGGCGTGCGCGCGGATACATCAGCACACGGCTGTGGGTGGTCGAGCCGAAGCGGCGACGTGTAGACTTTGCGGAGGAGGCGGCGTTCGTGCTCTCGCTAGCGCAGGAGTTCATGGGGTCGCAGGAGACGGAGTGGGAAGTGTGGTTGGTGTCGGTGCGGGCGGGGAAGGCGGCCGTGATCAAGGCGACGGTGCTGGGACGGTTACTCGATGCCCTGCAGTTGGAAACGATGTGGAAAGTGGTCGGGCTCAAGGGCGGAATGCGCATGGAGGTCGGCAGGGAGTACCGTCTAACGGATCCGAAGCAGAAGGTCGAATTCGTGCAGATTCTGGCGGGCATGGCGCCGATCGCGAATGCGTTACGTGATACTGAGGAGAGATATATCAAGGCGGCGTCGTGGTAGCGTGTTATGGTCTTTGTATGAATCGCAATCATCTCACATCAATTTTATCCCTGTCTCGCATGAGTCGAGTAGGGACTTAACAATTCGCCGAGCTAGCCCTGCGAATTTTGGCTTCACATAGCGAGTAGCGATGCATGGACAAGTCGTCACAGGCCCAGTGAGCAGTGTTCCGGCGGGATCGAGCGGCTCGAATTGGCGCGCGGTCTCGGTCGCGATAGGTCGAGTGCGGTAGGAAATCGTACTGCTCGAATGGGCGCAACGTCGCAGTTCTGGCATGCTGAAGTAGGGCTAGAAGGGCGCGCCGTCGCGGCCCCAGTGGGAAGAACGATGTAGCTCGTTGTAGCTCGAATGGATGCGTCACCGCAGTCCCGGTGGGCGGATCGCGGTGGAACCCGTATAGCTCGAAAGGGTGCAACGTCGCAATTCTAGCCGGCGGAGTGGGGCTCGGTTGGGCGCGCCATCGCAGACCCAGTGAGCCGAGTGCGGTGGAAATTGTACTGTTCGAATGGGCGTGCCGTCAAGGTTGCAGTAGGCGGAGTGCTGTGGAAATGGTACTGCTCGAATGGTCGCGGTCTGGGGGTAGTTAGGTAGGTAGCTGGGGTAAATGGTGCGGCTTAAGTGACGCGGCTCACATGTTAAGGTTCACATGGTACGGCTGCAGGGTGCGCGCCGTCGCCGTCCGGGCAGGGGCGGTGGAAAGCGTACAGTTCGAGCGGACGCGTCATCGCTGTCCCGGTAGGTAGGGCGCTGTGGAAGCCGTAAAGCTTGGATGGGTGAGGACTAATAGTTCTAGCTGGCAGAGTGGGGTACTTGTAATAAACGCGGCGTCATGGTCTCAGTGGGAAGAACGATGTGATCGATGGGACGCCGTCGCGATCCCAGTGGGAAAGTGGGGTGGAGATCGTACAGTGAACGGACGCGTCGTCACTGTCCTGGTAGGTAACAGGTCCTAAACACTAAGTCGGATGCGGTACGACAGTGCTATATCTCGCATCCTCCCCGCGTTTTTGTCGTACGCGTAGCATCACCAGCACCGACCTCACCACCCGTACCACCACTACTGCCACCAGCCCTGCGTTTGCCACCATGCCACCGAAGCCCGTTGTCTGGATAAACTCCACCACCGAGCAGCAAGCTGCAGGCTAGAAGGCCTCGCGACAGTCCACAGCAAAACATGCAGCTATGTTAGCCAAAAAAGCCGAAAACCAGCGACTGAACCGATCAAAAAGGGCCGGTAAGTAAGTCGGTGTATACCTCTTACACGTACCACGGCTGATCAACACTGGCTGGAACCTCAATGAGACAATGAACTTTGGAACACGACAGTGGATTGGTGAAGGCAGAAGATACAGGCCGTGCGAATGCTTGGGTGAAGCGTGCATGGTTGTACTGGACTTTGATGTGATGGAGAGCAAGTTGGGAGGGACTGCAGCATAGGAATATGTATACGCTGTGTGTAGACAGGATACCTGGCGGTTAGTAAACATGCTGCCACTGGTGAGTCGTGCGAATGATGGGCGGAGGAATGATTTCAATTACGGCAAACGTCTGTAATGCCATAGTTTTTGGCACGTTTCAAACCCACCATACCTTAAACCCACCACCACCACCACCACCACCATGCAAACCCACCATCACGTAAACCTACTATGGCCAGCGATGGAGAAGCTGTCGACGAGAGGAGGGAGTGAGAGGCCCTTTCAGCGGGAGAAAGGGGTCTGGACTCGAGAGGCATTGGCGAGTACATGAGTATTTTACTGGCGGTGGTTTTTCAAGGGCTCTTTGCCAACTCCAGACCGACAGGCGTGCCGCGTGGGACGACGAAGTAAGCTCACACAGCGGTAAGAGCGGAGATGGAGGGTTGCCCGTTTATTTAGTAGACGATGATTAGGAGAGAAGAAGAAAGAGAAAAAGAAAGAGAAAAAGAAAGAGAAAAAGAAAGAGAAAAAGAAAGAGAAAAAGAAAAAGACGAAGAAAACCCCACTCGACCTAGCGTAAGTCCCCCTCCTAGCTCAGTCAGTTAATTGATCCCGCCATTTATACCCACCAATGTTGATGCCCACTACGAACCACAATCGTTTTCTCCCGCCGACAGGAGTCCTCCTTCAGTTCCTCCTCTCGCCGACAGCTCTTCCTTCGCTCGCCGCAATGGGTTTGCGTGGTGGTCGGTGGTGGTGAGTTGGAGTGGTGGTGGTGGGGTTGAAATGTCAAAAAAACTAAGGCATTATAGACGTTTGGCGTTTCAAAATTAGCATAGAAGGCAGACAAACCAAGCATTTTTTAGACTTCCGGCCAGGGCGAAGACTCCAGAGCCCGATTGTTCTTACCAACCTCCAAAAGCGCCCGACCAATAAGATAATCAGAACATTTTGCGGCAAAAAACCGTTCGAAATAAACACAACGTGAGAGTTATCGTGAGCCCGCCGGTAAATACCCGAACGCCGAGAGTGAAAGAAGCATCGTGTGCGGATAAACCCTAAAGCGCACGCACCCCCACCAAGTCCCAGCGAAGGACCTTCCGAAGGTGCATCCTATAGATAAGTCAGCCTTGCCTCTCGGACCTAATACGAGACTCCATGACATATCTACTTCTAATGGGGCTCTTCCGCCAGGTCAAACAACCTTTTGTGGGCCATCCGCCGGTCCTGGGGCTGCTGCTGCTGAGTTGCTTGGACGTGGATCGCGGAACCGGTATGCGCGGCGGAAATCTGGCCGGCTCCAGGAGCGACTCCGTAGCCGGTCTGCGAGGGGTGGGAGTAGTAGTAAGCACCATTACTCATCCGAGGCGCATTGTCGGGGAAACCGTTTTCCACGCCGTATGCGAGTTGAGGCATGTTGTATTGCACTCCTGCATCCGGCATGCCGCGCATCGGTGCCGCTGGCGGACACTGTATATTCTCTGCCGGGAGCTGCGCGCACTGTGCCGAGTAGGGCAGGCAGTTGAAGAGTGCGTCGGGGACAAAATATACATTGCCCGTCGAGGGCTGCATGTACTGCTGCCCGTCCGGCAGACCTTGATAAAGAGGGTATTCGGCAGGCATACCATCGTACGCCGGGGGCCACGCGTAGTCCTCTTCGACCAGCATCATGTTTTCGAACGTTGGGCCGGGGGCAAACTGTTTGCCGTACGTTGTGGTCGGCATGAATTTCACCTCGCCCTGCTGAAATTGCATGGCCTCGTCCAGCATGCAATGCATGTTATCGTACGGCAGGCGCTGCACGTTATTGTCCGGCACGCTTTGGTTGCACACGCTTGGGGCAAGCAATCCACGGCTCTCCGGGGGCCGCACTTTGCGCCGCTTCCCGTCTGACAAGCGTTGTGAGCCATGCTCAGTGAGTAGTTTTCCCTCCGCCGGTGGGTCCTCCTTGTATTGCTGGTACTCGGGATGACTTTCGCTGGGTGCCTCTAGGGCAAACATTCCGTCGATCACCGGAGGCTCCTCGTTGCATTGCTGGTACTCGGGATGAATTTCGCCGAGTGCCTCTAGGGCAAGCACTCCGTCGATCACCGGGGGCTCCTCCACGCACTGCTCAAAATCCAGGTTAGTTTCGATGGATGCGTCAAGGGAAGGCCTTACGTCTTTATCGATGGTTGGGGCGAGCAGTCCGCCCTCTGCCAACGCCCTCGGCGTGCGCTGCTGGAGGTCTTGATCGTGCCACTTCTCCTGGTGCTTCTTAAGCTCGTGGGGCCGCTTGTACGTCTTTTCGCACATGTTGCACTTGTGCGCCTTGTAATTCACGTGCACGAGAAGGTGCGAGACCAATTTGCCGCGCCTCTTGGTCGTCGTCGGACAGGAGCCCCACCCGCAGGTAAACGAACCGGCCACGGCGACCTCGTTGGCCACATGCGAGTCGCGGACATGGTCGTGGAGCTCCTTCGAGGTGGGAAAGTTTTCGCCGCAGCCTGTCCACTTGCACACTTGCAATCGCGGCCCCGGATCCATTAGTACGACCACCACGTACTGGGGCTGCGTCGGGGGACTCTCTCTGGAAGTAAAGTTTTCGCGACAGGCGGTAGATGATCCGGGCCGCAGAAAGGATCGAGTCGGAATGGTGAGCTGCCAGGTATGAGATGCGTTTCGCCGACGGGACCCGGTGGTTTGGGTGACGGTGGGCTTTGTGTCGAGCGTGGGCAGTTAAGTATGTGGTACTTCATTGTGACGATCCTCTGTGCGGCGGGAAATTCTTGTTCACGGCTCGGGACCAGCATACAAATGCCTGGCCCTCCCCAAGCTCTGTTTCAACGTTTGGTGGACAAACTGTACGACTGGCTCGGCAAGTCGGAAGGGTATGGAGTTAGCATAGCGGGTGCATTAATACGGTATTCTAAAGTTTAAACCATGCATCAGCTGTTTTTTGAAACGCGTGAAAACCCATAGCTCCTCTAAACGGGAGTGCAAAGTCGGTCACGTGTATCGGGCCTGGCTACCCAGGTTGACGAGATTTCGGAACAAGATAAATAAATGCTGGTGAAAAGGTTCTGGATATATGTAGCAGTCCATTCAACCCCGAGGCACGTGTTGGACGGACCGTGAATGATGTGCGAACCATCGATACGCGCGGCGGGGTGGTATGGATGCTGCATCCCGGGAGCAAAACGGTGGGGCTCCTGCTGACTGCAATGTCATCGATGAGCCCAAGCCGCCTCTGACTCCGCGTCCCTCGGCGTCTCTCTGGGTGAACTGGGTGAACTGGACGGTAATGGCATGGCTATGGCTGCGAGATCTCGGTATGCGCCGGTTATGTGCTGAAATAGGTATGATGAGGCGCTTGAAATCGCCGATGCCAGATAACCGGAATTCCAGATACCTGTAAGCGGATTCCCCAGATAAGCGGTATATGTGCTGAAGGACTGTGTTGCAGTCAGATCCTGTTCGACAAGATGTTGAACTCGACGGACTTCTTCTATGCCGTGGGAGAAGAGACTGAATGGACCACTTATATGCCTTCCGCACTATGCACAAGGACGAGGCTCCTCGGGCACGAAGAACGTATCTCGATATCGGAGAAAAACACATGTGCAATGCAGGCCAAGATACGTTAACAGATCTTCAACCTCCACTTGCGTTACTTAGCGGATAGCGAGGATCATGGCGGCTGCATTTAATGACATCTGCGTGGGAAACCATTTCATACCGTGATATTTAGGGTTCGACCTTCGACATATTTTCTTCATAGATACCATCCCCAGGAAACTTTATCCGCAAGGTTCCCACCTGAAGGGCCAAAGGAACTTGGCAGGGGAAGTACCGATTAGATGGGCCAGTCACCGCACGTCTATCGACCTAGCACCAACTTTATTGACTCCCATAATTCGCGACCCCCCGACAACACCGTGTCTTTCGGTCGGAGATATGAACTTGCATCTCATATTCATCCTCGGATTGTCTTCAGGCTTCCTGTGGTTGAGAACCTTCTCACCTAGTTTGGAAGGATAAATCTATGTTGGTCACGGGATACGGAAAACTTTCTTCATCGGCGTGGTTTCGGCCAAATTCGCGTAACAATTAAGACCGTAGATTCATCGATGATTTCTCTCTGTCGAAGATGGTAATGCCATCACGAAAGAGTCCTAACCGTACCGCGCCCGACGACAACCGCAACGAGTGATAACTCACGTGACTCAATCGGGAGAGGCCAGGAAGGCCATGGGACGGTTATGATACGATCATTAAGAGAGAACATAGCCGTAGTATATAAGAAAAAAAAGGTACGTTATTCCGTCTCACATAACCCTTCACCATACATCCTTAACATTACACCTCTAGTCCACTTGCCCGAATAACCAAAAGGCAGCCTTCTGCACCCCCCATTACTACCCCCCACTACCCCACGAAAGCCGTTGGAAACCCGAAATGAAACGTTGGCGGTGAAGATCGATCGGTTGTCGAGAAGGAAAGACAAAGGAGGAAGCTGATCCGGCCGTACCGAGGATCCAGAGAGCATCTAGCAGATAACACACATCTGGTCTAGTCACCGTCGTCAATTACATCCATACCGTTATCCGTGACCGCGAAAGGAAGGAAGGAAGGGGGGAAGGAGGGAGGGAGGAAGGAGGGAGTGTAACTAACAGCCATCGCCGTAGTTCACCGGGGTAGTGTCCTCCTCGGTCGCAGCGGCGAAGATGATATTGGCGTTTGGCTGCATAGTGGCTGCGGTTGGATGGATAGCGACGAAGATGTTGTTTGTGTGTTGATTGGTGATCTGGAGAGAGGATTGCTGGCTGGATGAGGATCTGGAAAAAAATTGCGAAGATGAACTCGTGCTTTATACAAATCTCTCATTCATCGGGAATATTCTTCATACCCAGCCTTCCTGATGGATGAAGCCATTTTTACGGTCTGGCGAGTTTCCTTCGTGGTGGTGGCTCCCTTACGATTGTTCCTGACTGAAAGCACCGGCTAAGCGGCGGGAATCTCCGCGTTTAAATCGTGGCGGAAAGAAAAGAATAATATCAAGACCTTCCATAAACGATGTACGCGACGCAAGGAGACAATATGGCGAGCGGTTCAGCCACCAGCAATTCCTCAGCTATCATTCTCGTGCAGTTTCTCGTGGAGAATGGGCTTATTGGATTACTATCGTCTTCTCCAGGTTGCGATCGTCCTGTCGAGAGAGTTAGATCTGCGAAACGAACGCCTCGAGACCTGAGATGGTTACGGGTGCTCTGGTCCAAACAGATCTACTCGTTCGCCTGATATTTCTAATCATTGACAAGTCTATTGGTCTTGCTTAAAGATTGGAGCATTGGTTCGATTGGGCTGGTAGTACAAACATGCAGCTTCGCCACTGTGCCGGAGATGGAGTCACCCACCCTCCCATTACATCGCGCCCACTCGATACATCTGAGAACCGCTACTGGACATGTCACTAACATGCTCGCTCCATCTACACCAGTAGTGCCTCTAAGGGTGAGGAGGTGAGGGGGTGCAGTCATTGATGAGCTGCTCTGGACTAGAGTCAGAGTCGGTACTGGCACCACCGGCAGCGTATCGGTGGGCGGTTCTTGCGCCGGGGGTGTGCTGCCTCGTGAGGAAGTGACCCGTTTTGTAGGCGTCTTCCTGGGAGCGGCTGCGTAGGCGCTCCACGCTTCGAAGTTCGGTCCTCGGCGTAGGCCACGGGGTGTCGAATATTGAGAGGTTGAGTGTTGTGGATGAGTACTTAGAAACCCAGAATGTCACTCGGTACCTACTCGGGAGCAGAAAAAAAAGGATAATAGTATGTACAGCTCACACTGGGATTCAAACCAGCGGTGCCTTATCAAAACCTCAGTGGTGCCCTACTTCGCCCAGCCCATGCAAAAGCAGCATAGTAAACAAAAAACAAGGATCGCACACCTGAATCCTCACCCTGATCCCCCACCTCAGGGGATTGCCCACCCAGGGCCAGAGCAGGAAGGTGGCCAGAATTCACAGATATAATTTAGTGATTTAGCGGTGGTAGTGGTGGGAGTGACCGGTGCGGGAAATTCGATTGAGTCCATTCCTGTCTTATCTTGGTTTATGGCTCACTCCTGGATGAATCAGGGTGTATGACTCGCTCCTCAGAAGCAGGTAAGAGAACGAATGCGCCGCTGTGATTTCGTGATTTGACCGTGATTGATGTGGGAAAGGCCGAAAGTGGAGGCTCCACTGTAGCTTGATCAGGCGGCGTGACTCACATATCTTGTACGATCACTCGTTCATCATTTTCTCATCCCTCGCTACATCAATATAGGTTGCGGATTCCCCCCGCCGGTAACAGTGGGCAGGAAATGAGTTCGACGGCTTGCCATAGTCCAGATATGCTGCATGGGAAATAAAACAGGAAGATCTCTCTCTCTACAGGTTGTGGATTTAATATTGCCATAATCTAGATAGGTCACATGTAATCAATGAAAGAACAAAAAAAAAGAACAGGTTACGGATCTTACGAATGATTTGCTGCATGCGAAATAAACTGAACATCTCTCTCTCTCTCTCTCTCCCAGGTGACGGCACTCAGCTCCATTAAGACTGTCGTCTGGCTCTATCCTGGCGCATTCGAGCGCGGTCGCAGCGGAGACAATCATCTACGATCAGTCGCCTTTCAAATCATTTCCCACCCCGTTTGTTTCCTATTTACAGTACGCTTCTTGGTCATGACTATCGTCTGGCTCATTCTTGGCGCATTCGAATGCGGTCATGCCACATCAGTCACAGAGTGTTGGTAAATCACTCCACTTCACTGCGCATCACTCGCTGATCAATCACTGCTGCTGCCGGCCCGAAGTCCGAGGAGGAGTTTCCTCCGACCCCCGTCCGCGCTGGCGAGGAAACCGAAGACAGTCGTACCACAGTCTTGGTTCGCGAGGAGATCTTTGGTCTTCAATCTTTCCGTGCCCCGGCGCGTGGCTTTACGGACACTCGTCCACACATCTTGCTATTCTTTCTTCCAGCAGCTCTTATACAAATGCTCCCCCATCTGCGTCTCGTATCCACACCATCAGGCGCTGCTCTATAAAGGCGAGGTTTACCGGAAAGCAGTCGATAGATCACGAGCGAGAATTCATGACGATCTACGTGATGGCTCTTCCGGACAGAATCAAGATTGATTTGCTGGTTCCGATATCTGTAGACATTCATCGACTTTGGACCATTCGGTGGATGCGAATTTGAATTGGTGTGTCATGTGAGAACGTGCGTTGCCGTCGTGAACTAGCTACTCTGTTTTCGTGAGGCTAGTGTTTGCGGAATTCGTGAATCACGGCTTTTACCCCTCATTCACCCTCGTTTTTCATCACCAACGGCAAGTGCGACGATGTCTGTGGGTTCGTGCCAACTCCATCCCCTTTCATTCTTCCTTCTCTCCTTCTTCCTTCCTCACCATGACACATCATCTGCACCTTCTTCGCAACAACAACTCCTAATTCATCCATCTCCACTCCCCAAAACACCACACAAACAATTCGTCAAGACAAAGAACATGTCTCACAGATTCAAGAGCACCGCCTTCCGCAGGCTCCGCAAGATGACGCCTAATAGTTAGTTCTAATATTTGCCAGACCCTTCGACCGCCCAACTAACTTCGTCCCCTGCCCTCTACTCCAGGCCCCACCGTCATCCAGAAGCTCCGCAAGGACGCCGCCGCGTACGCTATCGCCAAGACCACTGACGACAAGGCCGCTGAGTTCCTCGCTCAGCGCAAAGCCACAAGCGACGAGACTACCAACAAGAAGCAGGCGTTCCTCATGAATGAGAAGATCAGATGCGCCAAGGAAGCCGAGAGTATAAGGCGCGAGCTGATGTTGAGGGAGAAGAAGAGAGTGGCTATGAAGAAGGCCTGCGAGGAACGCGTCAACCTCTATCATGCAGGAAACATCGGTGCTCCTGCGCCTGGAGCTTCGACTTCGGCTTCTGCTCGTGGAGCTTCAACTTCGGCTTCTGCTTCTAAAGCTTCGGCTTCGGCTTCTGCTCGTGGAGCTTCTGGAGCTTCGAAAGTTACTCCGGCTTCTCGCAAGGCTATGCTGCTCGGCAGAGAGGATAAGTTGCTTCTTTCCCAGATGAAGCCGAAGCATAGGGGCTTTGTTATGAGGCGTGATCGTAATTAAGGTATCGGCTGGTTACAATTACCAGTACATAAATGTATGGGGTGAAATACTGGGGGCACAATAAAGCAAGGCTGTTAAACATCTCAACATCTCACTCGTGACCATAAAAATTATTAGTCTGTGACACCAAAACTTTTTTACTATCAATACCGCCATGACCTAGCTCCATAGCACGGCATCCGATGGTGACCCAACGGAGAGGATCTCGATCGCTGTGCAGGTTACACTGATCGTCGACGCTGTGGATGGGAGCACTGGATCCCAGGATCCCCACGCTGGCCGCAAGGTTCGCCATCACCCCTTATATTCGCGATCACCGCCTGTCTAAAATGCCAGCACCGAGCGTAGTTGTCCCTCCTCTAGTATTATTCCAGGGAGAGCCTAAAGATGTGCGCAGCCTCGACCCCCACCTAGGAGAATCGAGAGCGGACGATCCTGCTCCCCGGACCCCGTGAGAATTGATGATGCTTCGACAGTCCCGCTGACGAATAGCATCACGAAACGCTTCGACCGAGGGGTTGGTAGATGGCGAACATCGACGGTCGAACCTGTCGTCGTCATCGACAGCGATGAAATCTACATACTCAGCAGCCGCTCATGTAGACGGGTAGGGAACCAACCGGTAGTGACTACCGGTATGCGTTGTCAAATAGGAGAGGATATTTTGGCTGATAATTTTTTCTTATTCTACAGTCTCTCCGGACCAGAGGTCCTCTATATACAGGTTCTCTCGCTCCCATACATCATCGTAACTCCAGTAGACCCTTGATTCTTGATATGCCAAATACTCGGCCGGCCGAAGACGAGGCTCGCTGATATACCGTCAGACAGCATTGCTACCTTCTTCATATACCTACACTGTGGATTTCCAACTCTGATATGTAGTAGTTGCCGGGCTGAATCGGATCGTCGTCTTTCTGAACGTATGTGCCACCTTGCTCTCGCGCGGAGAAGCCACCACCGAAGGTCAAGATATTGATCTCGACCATAGGGTAGATGTGAACGTTGACTACTCCATTCGTGAGGATAAAGCTGTTATCCTCACGACAGTGGCCTCATTGATTATCTCAACTGGTACCGGCGAAAATGTATGCTACTTCCTATTTCGGCGACGTACGTGCACGTGAACGTCCTCCTCAGGCTTGGAGTTGCGATTGAGCCTTGCCACAGTGAAGGCGATACAAAGGCTCCTACCAGCCTTAGATGCTTCAATTCCACACCGTTTTCCAGTATACATTCGTGGGCATTCCCACCTTGAGTCCCTCTCTTCTACATACAACCACCTGCAATATACAACTCGCTCAGAAACAAATCTCTCAGCCATTTGTAACCTACATCCTTCCAACCACCAATCCACTACCGTCACCAACTCCCCACTCACCATGCCACCAAACACCCAACCTCCCCGCCTCACATGGTAAGTCTCTCTACTACCCATATCATCGTTGTAAATAGTTACTGATAAAGATAAACCACAGGCGTCAATACAAAGAGTACCAGCGGCTCCTGCGGGAGGTCCAGGCTCCCCCAGGGTGCTCCCACTGCGACTCGCCCCGTAAGGAGTCCGCCGACCTTCAAGCTCGTTGCGTACAGCTGGTGGGACAGCTCGCCACCGCACAGGTAGCTGTCGAAAACGGCAGCACAGACGCGGCGAGTCCCCAGTAGTCGCCGAGCACTCGGAATCACGAGCGCCCGGGACGCATGTAAGTGTCTTCCGCAACACCTGATCATGGGACGTCCACTGACAAGTGATCCAGTCGACGCGAAGCCGCGAGGGCAGCTGCGCGTGCTGCCGCCGCCGAGAACATCGCCACCGCCGAAGAAGCCGAAGCTTCCGCAACTTCCTTGGTGGAACCTGCTGATGCCGGCCCGACGACATCCGAGGGTGACGTGTCGGAGCTAATCTCGGTTGGCGTGCACGTCACACTGATTGGTGACGCTCTGGATGCGGGCACTGGATCCCAAGATCCCCACGATGATAGCCGCGAGGCCGTCGTCGGCGGTGGAATGGGAGCTGAGATGTCGTCGGCTGCGCCGGTGCAGCAGGAGACGGAGGTTGTGGTGGACCTGGCCAGCGAGCCAGCTCCATACCAGGAAGCAGCTGGGACAATCACGAGGTTGACCGCGAGAAGCTGTCTGCACCTGCGTTGGAAGCTGCTCGTATGGCCAGCGCTCCTGGTGGCGGCGGTGCTCCTGTTCGGGATTGTCCCGTCTCTTCCAGCGACGACCACTGCCCGTCAAGCTCTGTGCCCGTTGGTGTGCCCACGTCCATCGCCGAGCCCTACGATGGCGTTTGGAGAGTGGGGACAGGACGCATAGAGGTGGTCGTCGGCTAAGCTCGACGCAGCGACACACAGTTTCCCAGCAGTGTCATGGCCCGTCAGCAACAAGAGCGAGTTTCTCCGGCCAGGGACGGTGGTCCGGCCGCTCAGGCTACCAGCAGAGCAGGCATCAGAAATGGTTCTTGTCAAAACCTCGCCACCCCCCGGCGGCGCTGATGCCTGGGCGAGCCAGCTGCCGCCACAGACCCGCTTCTGGGGTACTGCACTGCTGGTCGTTCTGGTAGCGGGGGTTGTTGGCGCGTGGAGAATCCGGCCGGGTGTGGGGGAGGGGGATGACGAAGGGGAGGACGAGAACGAGGACGCGTACGAGAACGAAAACTAGGGAGACGACGAGACCAAGAACGAGAATGAGAACAAGAGCAAGAGCTAGGACAATGACGAGGACGAGGAGGCGGTGGCGGTGGCGAAAGTGAGGACGGAGGCGATACTATGGTGCTCTCCTCGAAATTTTAGAATGGAACGATTTTTTTGGCTGCGGCTTTCGTTAAATTGTGTCTTCTTTTGTTTTGTAGAGCTCTAGTGATTTGTAAATGTGTTCCGTCAAATTTGATAATTGAGTATCTTCAGGCTTCGACTGCAGGCTCTGGGCATACACAGAGTCCAGCACAGTACTAGATGATATTATTTAAGTACCTACACGTTTAGGACTCTATGGCTGCAAATCTGTCTCATCCAGCTTGATGACAAGTCAGTCGGTGTGCGCATATACTATAGCGAGTCAGTAAATTCTATGACTCAAGCGCAAATTTCACTCATCTAGTCTGCGCTCTTCACAACGCGCGAATAGAGACCAATTGTCCATTGGACAGTTATGAAATGCAAGCAAATCCCCAGTAAGCTCCACCGCGGGCATTCCATACCTTTGCTCTTTTCTCTGCAGTCATAAGTGAAACTAAGTGTAAACCGGACTGCAGTCCGCAGTCAGTCCACGAAATCCATGGAATCCACGGACTACTTTTACCCAGTCCGTCCAAGGGATCGAACTGGCGCAAATCTTGAGACTCCGGACCTGACTGTGTCGAACACTGCTCGTCGATCCCCCACCTCCACTAGCGTAAAAGCGACACACAAACGGAAGCAGGAATTCACACTCGCAGACTTCCAGCTAATTTGCTCCACCTCTGGCGACATCCCCCACCATCCAACGAGATTTTTCTCCTCTAACAGCATCGCCTTAAATCTCATCTCCTCTAAATACTCCGGACGTCTCCTCGATATTCCGTCAGTTGTGTGGTGGGTGCCAATTCCGTGTAATCAAAATTCCGCATGCGACGTAACCGTACAGCCCCTGCGCCGCAGCACCGCGGCGAGTTCGCCGGGTTCCCATCGAGCTCGTTGGTGAGCAGTAGGAGCTCGACGACTCCACCGTGAGTACGCGTACGGCCGATGTTTGGAGTCGTAGGAAGATGAAGTGGAACGTTGGCTGTGGTGACGGCGAGGTCGTCGAGCTAATACCTTCGCACACAACATCCATTTCTTCCGGCACACACGGGCGCGAGGGAAAAAAACGATGACTGGGTAATACGCACGGCATCCGGATATTCGGGCATGTTTCTTCCAAGTATTCTCGGCCTCTGCCTCCTTCCAAATGACCTCTGTCTTTGCGTCCTTTCGAATATCCCCCGGCCACTGCCTCCGGCTCGCAGCACTGGTCGGGCACGTACTTCATAGCCGCGTAGTCAAGTATCTTCGAAGTCCGGCAAGATTGTTTTCGGATGTTGGTACGCGTCGTTTTGGGGTACTGGCACGAGTGATGAGACGCCGGGGAGTATGCGATTGCGTCACGTCATGTTATCTGGAAGAGGAGACATGATGCTTAGAGTAACGTGACATTGTCAGTAACGTGACCAAGCGAGTGACTTGACGAGTAGAGCCACGTGATGCCACGGAGAAGAACAGTGCTCGCGGAAAGGCTTCTGCCACGAAAATTTCTCTGAACCGGTGGAAGTTTCTGTTTATAGGTGGAGCTTTTCCAGCCTGGCAGAGTAAGAGAGCCAGCTAGTCAACTGCCATAGCCGTGTAAATGATGTCTTCCTCTGCGCCTAGTCACCAATGTCAAAAGTGCTCGTTCACCAACGGGTATATCTCGCAATTCCACACGGCTCGAGCACCAAAGGGTATGTACCGTCACCGACGCGGGGCTATTAGGTCGATATTGCTGCTAAAAGATTAGCTTCTACCGGTTTGCCTGGGGATCCGGTACTCTTCATGCGAGAGAATCAATTGAATATTGGGGATTTGGATCGTTTGGTTCCACCGTGGAGGACGGGGCAGGAAGTATGTAAAGCAATTGGTCTCTGGATGCGGTAGCATTCCCGGGAGACAATTTTGGTTGTCGGGGGCCTGGTTGTTTCGATTGCACCACAAAGGATGGCATTTGATGGACACAGTGGTTACGGCACACCAATTTTCCAATAATGTATGCACTATTACACGGCATGATAAACAGTACCACCGTGAAGCTCCCCCCGCCGTGAGCTGGAAACGAGCTTGATGCAACCGAAAAAGCAATCCCCACCGTGCGCCGCCTGTGGGAAAGTACTGTACTACTCTATGCCGATTCAAACATGGTCCAAACTACGACGGCAACCATCACTCCGACACCATCTCCCGCATATATAGACACACAAACACACATGCCCGATTATTGCATGAGGTATTTCGCTTACTGGTGGTCGCCGATCACCTTATCTGTGGAGAAGGTTTCACTGCCGGTGTACGATTGACAGCTTGGGGTTGCATTCAGTCTTAGTTTATTTTTCGTCTTTGGCGGATTGCACACGACCACCGTCGCTCATGGCACACCCATATATTTTTCTCTGTGCATAACGTCCGTCTTGGCCATGGCAAACACCTCAGTGGGTAGGTAGAATACGGAGTGGCAAAAGCATATGACGGTGCGACAGTCGTGCATATGCGGGCGTCCAACCAGTGCAACCACTGAGAATGTCTTCCCACACACCCACCAAAAAACAGTGTGTTCTTTGTTTCTCGGCCGGCAAGAAAGTTACTTACTCTCGAGTACATATGTAGCCATTTCGCTCCACGGATCCGCAGTCTCAAGCCTGCTGGGCACTATACCTGCTGACCGGGTGTGACAATTAAAAGCGCATATGTAGTTGAGGCCCACATGCTTTGCTTTCCAGGAAGCAGAGAGCAGAAGTGCACTTTATGTAAGTAGAGTACAAAACACCAACATTTTTCAGCGTGGTTTTGCACTGTGTGATTGATGCGGGTTGTCGAGGCGGCGAAAAGCGGGGTAAACGCGCTCTTCAACTGAAGAGACAGCTTCCTTCCTTCTCACCCGCAAGAATACGCCTCATAACAGACATGAAAATAATAAACGAAAGAGAAAGCGAACCAACCATCAGAGCCAGCCCACTGGCTCTTGCATGCAAACTATGGACACGGATATTCCCCTCACCGAGTATGGCCGAGAGAGAAACGGAAAACCAAACCACCACCGAGCGTGTTCATTGATGAAGCAAAAAAAGAAAAGAAAAACCCAACCGGCCACCGAGCAGGGCGGTGAAAGAAAAGGAAAAAAAGACCGCCGAGCACGGCTGCGAAAGAAAATCACCGAACATGGAGGTGAAGATCAACCGGCCGGCACGGTAGTCAGCGAAAAGGGAAACTAAAAAAGCCACATCCCACCGAACATGGCGGTCAAAGAACGACTGGGACGGCAGTAGAAGAAGAAGAAAGGAAAAAGCCATAGGCCACCGCGCATGGCGATGGAAGAACATTAACTGACCGGTATGGCAGTGAAAGTAAAGCAACGAAAACCCCAACCGACGAGTACGGCGGTGAAAGAACATCAACCGGCCGGCACGGTAGTGAATGTAAAGAAAACATAACACCAACAGACCACCGAGCATGGCAATGGGGGCAACTTAACGGACATCAAGCACAGCGGTGAAGGAAAACTGAACATCAACCCACTTGATTACTGCTGCTTAAATTATTCTCATCCTGATAATGCCGGATTTAATGTGCGCATGGTGGTGCAAAAAAAGAAAGAAAAAACAATCCCACCATCACCTAAGCATCCAACCAACCACCGAACGAATCCACATAAGCCTGCACACAGTCTATCACTCGATACGAAGACCAATTATCTAGATTTCATGCGAGCACGGGTAGATGATATTACCATGATCTAGATACATACGCCGCATGGAATCTATGAATGAACAAAAAAAGAACGAACATGAAAAAAACAAAACTCCCATACGAAAACCATCACATGATCAAAACGCCAGCAGTCTAGGTAGATTCAATGCGAGCATGATGAAAACCAACATGCAAGCCGCATGCACTGCGTGGACCGCCATAAACGCAGGCGCTCAGCTTGGTTTGTCAAACTTGTGGCTACCGCAGGCATCGGGAGCTTTTTACCAAGGCCGCACGGTGATTCTGTGGTGTTGCCGGGATTCCTCGAAAGGTGCTCGGTGGTGAGGTGGTTTTGCCGGTTATAGGGAGACCGGAGATCATGAAACTCACCGTAACAGAGCGGGGTAGTGGATCACTGAAAATAGCAGGCCGGAGGAAACCTGACTGGTGCACAAAACGGGTATGGGTATGAGGGCACGGACTGCTGGAGCTGTGATCAGCGGAATGATGCTGGTAGAGCGGCGGTCCTCACTTTGCCCACGCCCACTTTCATTTTGAGTGGCTTGAACTTTAACTACTTGAGCAACCAACATTAGGTAGATACCATGTTAGCGAGCTGGAGATGGTATGAGGCCTGTTGTCAACAAAATCCTGCATGCCCGTCTTCTTCATCCTCGTCTCCCTATTCCTAATTTCCTCTGCTTCCTGTCCCTCGACAAGCTACGCGGTGCAACCGTGCAACTTGGACCGAGCAAGCGCGAAATACTACCCATCTAGCCATAAACAGACAGACCGAAGAAATCTGGTGGCCAGAATTTCAATCATGGCTAGATTATCAGCGTGGATTCTTTCTCCGCCTTGTCGCTCATCCTCCGCCTCCTACCATTTCCCTCTTCACCTTGCCCCTATTCTCTCCAATTGGGCAGATTCTTCACCTGCCATGGCAGCTTTGCTACTGTCAGGTAATACATTCGAAATGGCAGGAAACCCTGGCACAAGAGAGGCCCCCGGATGGGACCTAGAAGTTAGAGTCTCTTCTCGCGGCAGCTCTGCTGCCATTTGCAGATGCAAATTTCCGGTAATTTTCTCGCTAAAGCTGCTATTGTGGCCACCGCTGACCTCGTCTGTCTGTCGGTATCTCCGTGTGTGGGGTTGATGGATGGCAGTTCGCGTCTATCCGGTCGTCGGTGCACCGCGGGCGTTGTGCGGAATTTTAACGGCTTGTATACTGCTTTCATACTTGGCTATCGTACCCTGCCAGTTCCTACCCCACGATTGTACTCTACCCTGCTAACGTACCCCCGCTATCGGTCCTTACCGTGGTACCCTGAAGTGGTACCCTCCGCTGCACCCCGAAGTGGTGCCCCTAAATCGTACCCCGTCATCGTACCCCGCGTGACACTCCGCCGTACCTCTACGATCGTGCCGATCCGACCCTACGTTCGTCGTTGAACACCCGTCGGATTTCAGCACGATTCGATGCTCCTTCCGCGTAGTTACTTCGATCTGCGGGTTGGAAGAGAAGGTGAAACGTGAATTGGACCGGTGTGGAGATGGGAGACAAGGGTGCAGGCCAGCCATATGGACGTGGTGGATTTACTGGAAGGATTAAGACAATGTAAGAGAGGATCCATGGGGGAATCTGGAGCTAGTAACTCCCCTTTCTTTTGCGGTACGATGTCGAGGCTCAAGAGTCGAGGCGAGCCTGAAAGTACGAGTCGGGACTCTGGCAATACGAGTGCGAATAGGAGAGGGGCCGACGGAGGGATACGGTGGTGTGGATGGTGGAATGGGTGTGGACGGTAGGCCAGGTTTGCGGGGGCGAATTGACATCGGAGTGGCTGGGTGGTATCTTTATCGAGTCCGGATGTTCGTCGGGGAGAGGGAGTCTCGGGGCGAAGGAACTGTAGATGGTTATGTTTATAATGTCGAGGCATTACTTCCGTCAAAACACCTAGTTCAGAGCAGCCAGAGTTAAGCAGTGGGTGGAGGAATGGATGAGCAGTGAGCTATGCGAAAAATATTATCTCATATATCGCTTCCACTACATATTTCGCAGATTATATTTCTGTCAATCAGTCCTTTGATCTTCACCAATCTTTTGAATGTAGTATTTACGCAACGTCCAGGCCAACCCAGTGTTTACCTGGTATTGCTAAGCACACCGATCTTTAGCTACCGTCTCTTGAGATATGGAGGGTTTCACTCATCACCCGATCATCGCCGTTCCTAGTATGATAGATATGGTATACATAGCTTCGCGAACTGGAAGCTTGCTACCCGTAGTGTGACGCCGCGTTTCGTTTAGCACAGGGCGAGCCGGGGACGCCCTGTCCGGCACCTGGAGTCCGATCGCAATGTGAGCGGCAGGATATCATCACCCATCTGCTTCACGCTTAGCCGAGTGTCTTTCCAAGGATGCCTTTCCTAAGGCGAATAGGAATGCTCCAAGCGATACATTAGTGGGTTTACCGTGTGGCCTCAGTGGAGAATAATTTCGGTTGATAAAAGACGGGTGATCGCCTATGATGTGGAGGTGTTCCACTAGTTCCTCAAATTTTAGAAGGATTGATGTTTTTGGGTATAGGTAGGTGTATCTTGATCAATTTTATGGAACCTCAAGAGTTGATCGCTCATATAGGTCATTGGGGTTACTATACATTGAGAGTGACATATACAGCTATCACTCGGTGTTCTAGCTAGAACTTTTTCGGGCACATCCGACCCCTACTCCGCCACTACCATATTACCATGATTTAGATAGGTAGGTAGCATGCATTCAATGAATGAACACAAAAAAAAGAACAAATAAAGCCCTACTCTGCCTACCAAAAAAGACTTACATAGGAAATCGGACCAGTATGTTTCGCACCACGAACAGCCAATCGCCTATCATCGCTCCTCACCTCCCTGGATCGGCTATAAATACAGCAGCACATTCGCACTGTCGAGCTGGCCGTGATGCTTCGCTTCCCTCCTCTTCCTCCGGATCATGTTGGCACTGTCGAGCTGCCCCTGATGTTTCCTTTCCCTCCTCCTCTCCTCCTCCTCCTCCTCCTCCTCCTCAAAGTCCGCCGGAGCTTTCCTCCCCACTTCTGTCATTCCTGATTCACCACCGCGGCCCGTGACACTGCACGCAACGATGTGTGTCTGTTGAAAGGCTGGGCACAGGCCGAGCTATATCCCCCGCGTGCCAAGCTGCCAAGGACCCGGCGCAGAGTATCGGAGAGTAGTGTTGCTCCGGGCCCCAACGAAGGAAAAAAAATAAGGATTACCGATGTCGGCTGGAGTGGAGTATGTGGTAGGCATGGCAAGGAAGAGGTGCTGGAACGGATGGGTAGATAGGTAGGAAGAGGAGATGACAGGACCGGGGAAAAGAAAAGGATTAGAAGATTTGAAGGAAGATGAGATAAAAAAGGATGAGAGGATGAGGGATGAAGAGGATGAAGAGGATAAGAAATGAAGAGAATGAAGAGGATGAGGGATGAAGAGGATGAAGAGGATGAAGAGGATGAGATGAGGGAAGAGGAGGGAGGAGGGTTTATTATATAAGGTGTCGGCCAATTCTCTGGCGGAGACCGCGTCATTTCGTGGCCAGCGTGGGACTGGCTGTCGTCGGGCAGCTGAATTCAATCGTCGCGGGTAGAGTAGGTGAAATAGTTACACCCCGCGGTGGAGGAGACGACCAACTTCCGTGGCCAGCGTCGGACTGGCTGTCGTCGGGAACTTGAATGATGAATCCAATCGGAGAAGTACACTCCGCTGTCGAGGAGACTACGTGCTTGCGTGGCCCGCGTGGGACTGGTTTTCGTCGGGCAGCTGAATTCAATCGTCGCTAGCAGAGCAGGAGGGGCTGGCTGTCGTCGGGCACTTGAATACGTGCTTCCGTGGCCAGCGTTGGACTGGCTGTCGTTGGGCACTTTAATGAGCTGTTGTGAGTTTCCGAACCGTATTCGTGAGAACGAAGAGAACACGATATAAGCTCACCTGAAGCTGTATGCTAATACAACGGTGTTCTGGTGAATGTTGTTCGCGCCGGAGTTCGTGAAGGTGATGGTACGAACGGCGGCTGAGTTCTCAGGGACGACAGGACACGAGACAGTATGGACCAGGAGCAGTCTCTGTGAACATCTTTTGCGAGTAGTTCGTTAGCCAGCACCCAATAGGCCAGAGATGGGATCAAGGGGATAGTACACATGGAGGAAAGAGAAGATGTGACTGTTGGTAGTCTATTTGGATGATGATGATGATAAAAAGAATAAGAAGAAGAAGCAGAAGTAGACGGCCAAGAGAGCATACTACTGAGAGACTCGGGAACGGGTGACGATTCAAAATCGTGATCAATCAATTCCAGAAAAACTTAAAGTAGCGATACAGAAAACAGAAGAAAGGAAGACAGGCGAGCCCCTTTATATAGCTCGCAGCGGGGAAAATATGACGGTTGGAGCACCGCATCGGATCGGCTCGACGACGACAACAAAAACAAAAACAAAAACAACAACCACCTCCGTAACAGCTGGTCTCAATAGGTCCGGCCAAAGTCCGGCCTAAAAACAATCAGTCACACCCGAGTTCCATAGTTTCCTGCCCAGATCGATCCGGCCCTCAGGCCCCCCAAAAGCTGGACCCACTCAGGTCACATCATTTTCCATGCGTGTCCCAGTCAACCGGCGCTCTCCGGACACGTCAAGCCATCATTTTCCCCTGCCTCCCTCACTACATACCAGGCCGGACCGCCCAACGGCGGTGCTGCCTAGTACCATTCGCTTCCTTCCGCCCACAGCTCTCCCATCGCTCTGCAACAACGGTTGGTGGTGTCGGGCTCGTTTTGATTGACTCTTGCGTCCTGCAGCCTATGTACCAACCGACATGGCTTGGAATCACTAGCCCACCACCCGTACATAATGTGCTCGCGGCACTGATCGCACCCAGGCAGCGTCATGATAGCCTTTCGTGTGCTCCACATGAACCTTCGGTAGAGGCCAGCACGGAGGGTGGAGGGTAGGGTAAATCACATCGGAACGCCTGCCAGAGCTGAGACGTTGAAACCATCCGCACTGTACGATCTGCACCACACTCCGCCTGCCAGGATCGCTATGACGCACCCAACCGAGCCGCTTTATGAGATCGCGGCACCGGGTCTATTTGAGCCCTATGTTTTCTGCTAGAACTGCCATTGCGCGCCCATTCGAGTCTCTTTGGCGCTGGGGCAGGGAGCGAGTTGATCGAGATCGAGTGATGGGTTGGCGAAGGCTCCCACCTTGGGAACATACCTTCTGAAATCACCCTTCTTTCTTCGGTATATCCTCTAGATAGCCACAACATCCGCTACACTTGGTAAATAGAACGCAATTACCAACCACCCAACTCTCATGCTTCCGCGTAGTTTCATCAGTCCAGCAGGCTTTAGAGGTTAGAGTTGGGCTCCACACTCGCCAAGCATCGCCGTTTAGTAGAGGTGATTCGTGGATGTCATGTTCTTAAAGTGTGGATGAACAACATCGTAAGCTTCCTTGCGCTACCTGAGTTCGTACATTTGTGACAATAGAACCAGGACCGTTGTGCTTCGGTTGGGAAAACACTCTCTTCACGAACTCCACGGGGGTGCACTCAATATACCATCGTATGATACCATCGACATGGAACGAGTGTCACGACATGGCTCGATCTTATCCGGGCAGACCGAGCGAGGCAAGCCTAGGAAGACCTGTTCAAGAGTTTCACACAGTGGAGGTCGCAGCAGGGGGGCCTTGAGGCGGCGGTATGTACGAAGGAGGCCGGAAGGGGCAAGGACACGTTCAAGATCAGGAACCTCTTGGCCAGCCAGGACTCCAGCGAGGCTATCACCCGCTTCCTCTCTACATCGAACGCAGGACGACGAGTCCATCTTTTGCGCACAGAGACAGCATGGAGCCCCCGATCCTGGAGGTGGCGGCCCTGGAACGGGACCCGGTGACCCAACGACTGGCTAGGACGAGCAGGGTCCAGATCGGAGGCTACATCGCGCGCAGAGTAATGACGCGAAGAAAGAGGCATCGACCAAAGGTATTAGGTATCAACAAACCCGAGAAGTATATCAAGGAAGAAGAGATCCCACTTTTCCTCCCACCACCGATCCCGGCATGAACAGTTAGCCAACCAACATCGAGACCACCGGTAGACTGGGACCAGGTGGGAACCAGGGTACTGTAGAAGCGACAGGTGCAACTAGGAACGGTGGAACTTGCGGGAGGCAGCAAAACAAACAGCTGGACGAGCTAGTGGTATCGACTAGGGGTGGGCAGGACTCAGCTGGTCAACGATGATGGTCGACATGGTGGAGGTTGGAGCGGCCCTGACGTAGTGATTTCCTTGATTTTATCTCTTCAAAATATGCAGACTTCTTCATGCGTAAAATAAAAGCGGGCTGGGCGAAGAGCAACAGGGAACCCTCATCGAGCTTATCGCCAGCGGCCAGGGACAGAGAGGTGGAAATGGTTATGCAACATGGTAACTGCCATGATCTAAGGTTGAATGCAATGCTAATCAAACAATAAAAAGCCGCCATCTATGTCACTGCTTCCATGTTGTGACCCACAAAATGTTTCCTGGTTCTTTGGATATGCCAAGGATTAAGGCCGATGTCATATAATGCACAAACAGCGAGGTGGTTGAGAATTGGCCGACAGCTTGTATAAATAAACCCCTCTTCCCTCCTCTTCCCTCCTGTCGTGTTTTCATCCTCTTCATTCTCTTCATCCCTTATCCTCTTCATCCCTTATCCTCTTCATCCCTTATCCTCTTCATCCTCTTCATCCCTCATCCTCTCATCCTTTTTCTATCTCATCTCTCTTCTGATCTTCTTCACTTTTTCTTTCCCCTGGGAGTTGCATCTTCTCAATTCCTACCTTTCTACCCATCCTCTCCAGTACCTCTTCCTTACATACCTCACATACTCCACTCCAGCCGACATCGGCAATCCTTATTCTTTTTCCTTCGTTGGGACCCGGAGCAACACTACTCTCCGACACTCTGCGGCGGGTCGACTGGGCCACCGCCGCGGATACCGACGCCGCTCGCTGCATGAAGTGATTGACAAGTCTGTGCACTCTGGATACATCTTGGTAAAGGCGAGACGCAAGTATGACACGGCAAAGCTCCAACAGCTGGACGACGCATTCCTCGTCCGTGGAAGAGAGGTGGCCGACAGCCTCCCATCTTTCACTGCCGCAGTTCACTTTTCGAGAGCCACCAGGGGTGCCGCCAGAACTGGTCCCCAAAACAGAAGAGAGGAGAAGCACGATCCCGCCATTGAATCTTTGATTGCTCTGCTTGTTCGTAGTAAGTATATACTTCTGATCCCTACTCCCGCAATGCCTGTAGCAGCTTACTTTGTACCTTTCATTCCCACAGAGATACGACAAACTCAAGCCATCTCCGCCTCGACACCAACGAAACCGCACCACCCGTGCATACTCTCACCCTTCAACAGACTGGAAAATTTCCTGTCCATTACCAAAATGGGTGTGGTAGCCAATGCCAAACCCACCAACAGCTATGGGGGGTCCGAAGGAGACCTCCTAAAAGTCATCTCTCTCGATCCGGGAGGCGATAGTCACTGATGCGGTGCTATGGAGAGCAAGAATAGGGGGAGAAGGGGGAGAAGGGGGAGAAGGGGGAGAAGGGGGAGAAGGGGGAGAAGGGGGAGAAGGGGGAGAAGGGGGAGAAGGGGGAGAAGGGGGAGAAGGGGGAGAAGGGGGAGAAGGGGGAGAAGGGGGAGAAGGGGGAGAAGGGGGAGAAGGGGGAGAAGGGGGAGAAGGGGGAGAAGGGGGAGAAGGGGGAGAAGGGGGAGAAGGGGGAGAAGGGGGAGAAGGGGGAGAAGGGGGAGAAGGGGGAGCAGCGAGGGAGGTTTGTGACAATAAGAAGAAGAATGGAAAGATTGGGGGGGGGGGGTGGGGGTTTGAGAGACGAAGGAGAAGAAGGGAAAGAGAATGAGGGACGTTTGTGAGAAGAAGCGGAGGATATCAATGGGGTGTTTGACACACAAAAAGAAGAAGAAGGGAGAGAGGGGGGGTTGATAGAAGAAGCGGAGGATATCGATGGGTGTTTGACACAAAGAGAAGAAGAAGGGAAAGAATGGGGGTTTGACAGCAGAAGCGGAGGATAACGATGTGGTGTTTGCAAGAAAACGAGAGAGAGAATGAAAGGAGGAGGGGAGGAGGCGTGTTTTCTTATCATGATACCTATCTTAGACGTTTTATGCGTCTTGTGCGCAGGGAAGTTGAAAGTTTGAGAGGGAATCACCCTGGTGTGGATGTAATGTGTGCACAGGGAGGTTGAGTGGGGATCACCTGGGAGTGGATGTAATGACTATGGTAGTCAATCAAATACGATATAAACCAAAACTATTATGACCATTGCTGTAAATTTTCTCCACAGCCCGAAAGTATGCTGCTGCAGTAGATGATCGGAGGACATGTAGAAAATGTTTCAAGTAGACGAAAGCATTTAGACTTCAGCAGGCAATAATAACCCAGAGAAAGTACCAGACGCAAAGACAAAGATGCAACCGACTGATGACCGTTTCCTGCTCACTGTCTTCTATATAACGGTAACTGTTGCCGGCTAATGCACGACCTGGCCATCTACCGGCACGAGAGAAACATGTCGACTTCAGAAAGCAAAAATAACCCAGAGCACGCATCAGACCAAACTCAAGGTGCAAGCGATTGGTGACCGTATGCCGCCCACGATTTACTATAAAAGTATCTTTTACCGGTGAATCCACTGCCTGCCAATCCCACCAGCCGGAGAGAACAGTGTCTCAGAATGAAGGGTGAAAAGTAAAGTTCCGGGGCGCGTCCGTCTGTCCGTCCATCGAGTATTGATGTAGAGCGGTGTAATGAAACGGATGGAAGTTGACTGCGAGTTGCGCTCCAGTACAGCAACGAACTCTGCAGGATGACGGATCCGCTCGACACGAACATAGTTCATCCCCCCCGAAACGTCTGAGCTCGACGTCATTCTGGCTGGAATCAGCAACCTATTGCATTGCAATGCGAAACAATAAGCTTCCCGTTGTCGAGCTGAGCTGAGCTGATCGGCTGAAGTATCTCCGTTGTTCACCGCAGGCACCGCAGGCACCGCAGCAGAGTCCGCCGCGAAGACGACGTCCCCGAGGCCGCCGACGTGCGCGAGGATGGGGAGTTTCGAAGCACGGAAGAGATGACGATGTGGAGTATCGTTCTGCGGTATTTAAGGGCTGCTCGTCCGCCGCTTTGTACCCACTCATCACCCGTCTCGCCCACCGCTTTATTCCCACCACCTATCACCACCGTTTCCGAGTCCGCAACCCATCCACCTCACCTGCAACCCCTACGACTCCAGCCCCGTGGATGGTAACTACCTCAGCGATGCCAGCGTGTTTCATGTCGATGCCGGTGGAGCTGCATCTGCAGTTTTTCCGGTGCCTTGGCATACATAGTGCTGGTGAGCTTGCGCTATCGTGCCGACATCTGCACGAGGTGTGGAAACTGAACTAGCGCATCCTTGTTCCGCGCCTCCTTCATACCCACAAGCTGTCCACCTTCCCTGGATTCTATGGGCTCGACGGCACCTGGTCCGTGTGGGATGATGCACTGAGACTGGAAAAGCTAAGTCACGGTACGTTCATGAGAATTCGGGCATGGGTGATGAATGATGGATCCGATCACCGCTGCCGTGCCCGACTGCGGTTTTCTGACAGCAGGCTAAGAAACCACCGACACAATGAAGATGCACCGGAACACGCTCTCCACCGGCCACAGTACCGCGCGGTATGCCCGAAGCATCTGGAATCTGATCCGGCCGCTATACGGCCAGCCTTTTCTAGAGCACTACAAGCCCAACTGGCGGCACATGGACACTTTGACACCATACCTGCTCACGGTGACGATCTACCGAGTGCTTCTGTTCGAGAAGGAGCTAGAAATCACAGTGGACGGCGACCGGGAGCTGATCCCGCGGTACATCTGGGGGGTGCAGGAGGTGCAACCGGAGCACCACGTGGTGCTCGCCAAGAACCTCGGCATCCTGAGCCAATGTCTCGTCGACGACGACGATGACGACGAAGACGGCGCGGTAGAACTCTACGACGATTTCGTAAAATGCCAGCGCACCTACGCCCGCAGGTTCTGGGAGCTCCCGCTGAGGAATACCCCGTTCGCCTGGTGGTGCATCATGGTCGACGCGGCGGACCCGGACGATGAGGACGATGAGGACGATGAGGACGACGACATCGAGTCGGCGGACCCTGATGACGACGACGCTTCCGATGATGATGATGATGATGATGATGATGATGAATTCCAGTTCGAGCATGATCCCGATGATCCCGATCTCGATGGTTTCGAGTATGGATCATACTTCCACCTTGTCGACTGTGAATTCGATTTCGAGCATATCGAGGTTGCAGAAGACGGTGGATATGACTGCGAGGACCCGGGGGGCGAGTCCGGATACGAGGACATGGAGTTGGGATACGGGTCCGATGGTGATCCCGGGGACGAGTCTGTATCAGAGGACACGGTGGATGAATCTGGATACGAGGAAAGGGTGGGTACATAGCCGTCCCTTCCTCCCTGTATTGCTTCGTAATGGCGGAGTTGATGCGTTCCATCTATCGAACACTTACCAGAGAGAAATACTGGCAGAAGCGGATGTGGTTGTGAAGGCGGTATTTCGTGAAGATAATCGGTAGTCGTAGCAAACAAAGGGAGCACGACTTGTGTTTGTTCCATCGTTTTTTTGGGTCAGTCTGGATTTCGTTTTGTTTTGTTTTTATAGAGATGGATGCATTGGGTGGGGGTCATGTGTAAAGTGTAAATATGGATTGCGTGAGAGGAGGGTAATATTGGAATCGCGGTTTCGTTTTCTTTTTTGTTTTGTTTTCTTTCTCCTGCTTTGGTAGGCAGTGGCCGTCGGCGATACAGCTTTCTCTGTTCCCGTGGAACTGACAGGAAAGGTCGGGTTTGAGATGTTCGAATAGACGTGACGAGTGGCAACGAAATGCGGGTTGCTTTATGACAGAGTTTCTGCGATTAGAGTATAGATACATAGATTGGTTGGTCGGTGAAGAAGAGCAGTTTTCATTGAGTATCAAATTTTGAAGATTGTCAGATAGATGTCGAATCGACACAAATCGTTGCGTGCAGTTTCAGCGGTGACCAAAACCTCCACTTCGTCGCTGCACCCATTCACTCTCATCTGGACCCACCATGAAAAAAAAATGAAAAAAAAGGCAAAAACAAGAAAGCAAAAAAAGAAAACAAAAACAGGTTGCATCTATCCCCTCGGGGATTTAGCAGGATGTTTAATCTGCTCGTCGGTTCTCTTCTTCTTGTCCACCAGCATCGATCCCCTCGCGGGGTTGTGGGGAGTTTATACCGGTTTTAGGTCCTCCTCTTCTTGTCCACCAGCATACATCCGCCGCTGTGGTTTCGAGGGTTTCGGACCGCTCAACGTTTGTCTTCTTCTCAGCCACCGCTCGTCGGTTCTCTTCTGCTTTGTGATAGGCTGTTCTTCTTAGCCAGCATCTACCCCCCGCGGGGAATGGGGAGAAGGTGAAACCGCTCGCCGATCCTCTCCTTCTTAGTCGTCGTGTGCATTATGTCTCAGGTGTTTGAAGTTGATTGGATGCTTGGTAGGTCTGAGGAAATATTGGTAGTTCGGTCGATTCTTCGTTGGCTTTTGTAGGTAATAGTTGTATTTCGGCCGATTTGGTCTTGGTTTGTAGTTGTTTGGAGGTTGAGATGCTGCACAGGAAAGACCGGCCGAGAGCTGCATAGAGCTGCTTAGAGCTGATGGAAATAATTCCGAGGAGGCGAAGGAGCGGGATTTAATGGATGAGGATGGAAGTTTATTCCCTAAAGTGACCATTCTTCAGCTTCTGCTCGTGATACATCTAGATCTGGCTTCAAAGTCTTGTGGAGCATTAGGGAAAACTCACATTGTTCTAAAAAGAAATATGTAGTGTATGCTGCTGTAATGCATTGGCAGGCTTTTTTCGTGTTCGATGATTGTCGTTGACGAAAAAAGCCCGCCAATGTCGCTGCCACATGGGCAGGGAGGGGAACGCTGTCACATATCCGTAAACAAAGACAGGCAGCGGACACAAAGCTGAGCTTGCGATTGATGTAGTCATGACCGAGTCCCCCTGAGTGAAAGCAGAACAGTCAGTCAATGTAGATGCCTGGATGATTGGAGATTATAATACGTACTTGCACCCCATGTTTATGCGGGAAGGTTTTGTAAGGGGGGAGCAGGATAGGTAGGCGAGAATGCTCAGTTCTCAACCCGGCCGAGAAAGGCGGCCCAATGAAGTCATCGGGGGTCGCCGGATCTCTACCATGTCTGGGTATTCATCGCAATGGTTGCGTGTAATGTTGGTTGATTCGAGAGAAAGTAGAGGGGATGAGGAAGATTTTAGCTTGAAGGAAAGATTTGTAGAGATGAGGAGGGAAGAGGAAGGTAGAGGTGAGGATGAGGATGGAGAAGAAGAGGAAGCAGGTGGAAGGGAGGGGGAACAAGTACTTCCAGCGGTGGTCCGTGCGCGGAAGATAATACTCATTCTATTGTTCTCTCGGTAGCGCCCTTTTAAAGTTTGACAGCGGCCGACGGGCGTGGGATCTTATCGGGCACTCGCGTGGCTTAAAACTTGATACGATAAGACAAGAGTTTACGAGTCAGGATGCCGTAGCGATCGCTTTCAACTGTATTGAAGAAGCTTCTCCAACAAAGCTGTGAAGAACCACCAGTTAAATCACGAGGTAGTTACAAAAACACACCAAGTCCTACTTATCGTAATAAAACACTCAACAAAGACCCGTCCTCATAAAAATGCACCGAAACGAAAGTCGACACGTTACTGTAGTGCAGTTCCCACCATCCTTCCGAGCCGTTGCTAGCTACATAGCCGCTCCTTCGTTCCCCTTCGCACCCCTTCGCACCCTTCGCACCCCTTCGCACCACCAACACCCATCCGCTCGATGAGTCGATTCACGTCCTCCGCGCACTAAACCTCTACAGCCATGGCACCGCGCCTGCCTTGATCAGCGCGTTGAAACAGGGTACGCAACCATTGAGCGCACCATCCATGGCCGTGCGGCCACGTTCGTCAATCTTATGTACGTCGACGTGCATTCCCAGGAGGAACTCTACGATTCTCAGGGCCTTTCTGTAGGGTTCTGTGAGGTCACACTCAAGTACCAGGTCGCTCGCGTCGAACACCTGGTGCAGCAGGGTGCGGCCGGAAGTGGTGGCGTGGACGTCCGCGCCGTTGGCAACAAGAATCAAGTCGGCGGCCAGCCGGTTGCAGGCTGTCCAGATTAGGGGAAGCTGGCGCCGAAAGTTCCAACCGTTGACGGACAGGCCCGCGGAGAGGAAGCGCGTGAGTGCGTAGATATTATCGTGCCAGAATACGTTGTACAGAGCCGCGTGATTTCTGTGGGTGGGATACCGCGTGAGTGATGACTTGTATAGATCCGCGATGAGAAGGTCATCGTAGGTTCGGCACGTCCGTAGGAATGCGAGCTGGTCGCGCGATGTGGGGATCGATTAGAATATCTGCCGGACCAGTTCGTGTGGCAGATGTAGATGGTCGGTCGATGACATGGCCTGGTGCGGTGCTGGTGGTGGTGGATACAGTGATGGGGTTGGATGGTGGAGATGCTAGTGGCTGAGGGCTGGGCAACAGCGAGAGTAACAGCGTGGGTATATTGAGGGCGCGGGCGAGGAGGTAGGTAACTTCGTTGGTCGAGCAATGGGGATGGGCCACGGGTTGCAATGGCGAGTTGCTACTGTGATTCCTACCAGGTTATTCCCACAGGGTTTACTGTGTGTGGTTCGGTGGTGCCGGCCGGGAATGGCTTGTTTTCAGTGGGCTGACTGGCTCTCTAGCTCAGCTAGTTTCATTGCTTTTTTCATGCTACGATGTTTCAGACCGAACTCGCTATTCTCTCAAGCCACTGCGTCTTTTCTCATATCTACATACCTAACACATCATCCCATCGGTTCCCACAATCTGGGTACTTCGCTTTCAACAAGCTGCACCTACTATTCGCGAGTGGGAGTGTGCGAAGTACTTCAGGATTATCTACCACGAAACAGCGACTTGAAGCACACCCAGCCGGAAATCTCCAGTGCCTAGGTATTCCACCCACCCCCCCTCCCCCTCACCCCCCGGAGAGTACCTACACAACCGCCCTACCCTCCTCCGAGGACATCCTCCCGCTGCACGCGCTCCGTGTGCAACAACTGGCGAAACTCAGTCCACGCATCGTCAACGTGCCACTGCACGCAGTCATAGAACTCGCGCTGCGTGGCCGTGCCGTTCGGGAATGCCATGTCCATCAGCCGGTACCGCAGCGTCAGTAGCCAGTGTACTAGCCCTCGCAGTCTCTGGTCCAACGGCACGCTCGCCATCTCGTCTTGTAGTAGTGAGAGCAGGTACGGAAGTAGGACTGTGTCCGTGGAGTCCGTGGTGTGCGTGGTCTCAACGTGGTCGAGGTATTGCGAGACGCTGGCGAAGGTAATGGACTCCTGGGAGGGTGGGGGTGTGTTGGTCATTGTTAGGGGTTGGTCGGTGGTGGTGGTCGTGTGATGATATGGTACGAGGCGGTATGGTGAGGATCGACGTTGCAGAACCGGTGAGGTGAGGATCAATCTTCGAGCAATGATCCGCAGGTATATGCACCGCTCGAGGGCGCGTTCATGATGAATCCCGCAGTCAAGTCAAGATACGACCGCTGTTGCCAGCGGGGACAGGGTTCGATCAATATGACCGACTACCTTCGACAGGCTACGGCCAACAATCGCGACGACGACGGTCATCATGGAAAGCCAAGGAATGGCAGCGCAATCCAGCCTTCGCTGTTCGAGCAGTAGGAGAGCTTATGGAGCGATTAGTGTATGTGTTGGATGTTAGTATGATACTCAACTTTGCGCCGACGAGGTGGGCAATGGAATGGGACTACCGTGCCTGGAGTTGGGTGCGATTACAGTAAAATACTAAGCAGTGGATAATCGAGGACCTTGGTGTGTCGAGTATGGAGAACACCAATGAAATCCAAGCGTTTTCCCCGAGTTCTGCTGGCTTAACCCAAGGGGTCTCACCCGCCGTGAGGAAAGTAAGTACGGTATAACCAATGCATCTATTACCCTGGGTATTGTTCCAAGTCGGGAGAGCGAATCCCATCATGTGAATTAGTTAAAATCCCCGGAAACGTCGCCAGATCTTGAACTCTGGTGGCGGGATCAGAAGTTCAACTCGTTATTCGTCCGATAATCCGCGCTGGTTCGCCGGAGATGTAGAAGCTGCACACGTACCTGAGTTCCTGACCACTCGTCCGAGGATAGCTCGTTGCGAGAGCTATTCGGGCTAATTTATGAACACGCCCGCGCTGAAATGCGGCGGTTCTAACAACACAGCGATGTACCTATTCTTCGAAGAGCTCTAAATACCACACCAGCACGGCCAGCGGCTCATGAGTCTGACACACATCTATCACGCCGGCTCACAACACGTCTCTCCTCGTCGCCGGATTCGTCAGGCGGGTTTGTTAGAACTCAGGTATCAATTTTATTTCGCGTCTATACATAAGCATGTTAAGACTAAGGCGAACAACAACAATAACACCTCCGCAATCTCTTCTTCCATCCCCACCGATTCATCCCTCCCCTCCGTAGTAGACCCAAAATGACTTCCTGCCACTGCGCTTTGTCGGCATTCTGTGCCACATAGGTGGCCTCCAGAAACTCTGTAGGTGTGGGAATGGTGATCCCGATCGGTTTTTGACATACAGGTCGTGTATGTAAAAAATCACCGTCTGCCTCTTCTCAATTTCTGCCACCTCGACTAAATTTAATGTCAGTCGTGTACAAGGTTAACAGTATTGCGGAAACTCACGTGGCTAACACCTGGTAGGCAAATCGAAGCTACCCACCCGCCCGCCGGCCAATCGCCGACTCCACAATTGTGGAGAGGCTTAGGAGGGCAAACGCCCGCCGGCCGATAGGCCACTCCACCGTGGTGGAGTGGCCCAGACAAGTTGCACGACTTCAGTTACCTACCAGCAGGCGAGCCTCCATCTTGCAGCTCCCCAGGCGGCTCTCCATTGCCAAATATTGGCGAAGGAGCCGAGGTTTCACTCGGAGCCTTCCAAGTCTCGGAATAATGTCACGAGTGACATGTCGTGACTATCCCACAACATTTTGGCTTGGTAGTGTCGAACCACATCTTCGCACGTTAGCAGCTATTGCCTTGTGGGGAACATTACTACAACCATTGAAATCAGACGCCTATCCGTTGTCGATATGCTGTGATGGTATCGGTACGTGTGTCTGGTTCATCCGGCCCGGGCCGGGAGCTCGTCAACTAACTGCTGGGACACGGGTCCGCCGAGCGCATACACCGCCAGTGTAAGAACTGGCGGTGTACACACCGATGGACGACGTGGACTGCCTGCTGGCAGACGACACCGCCACCGTGCAATTCCCCAGGCGGCGCCCTAGAGCCGGCCTCGGTCGAACTCAACTGTAATCGGCATTATTACACGCTGAAATGCGTGCATATAATCCCCGTGTCCCAGTCCCCGAGTTTTCCACAGAACGATGACATTCCTAACAGGTCAGCAGTGTCCAGTAACAATAACAGTACGCCACTTCAGGTTGGGAATATTCTTACTTTCCCAAGCCATCCCCACCACCACACTGCAATCGATACGGATTGTGGCAATTTGGTGATCTCCAGCTCACGCTCCTTGCCGCTGCCTGATACCAGCGCAACTCCACCACGGTGGAGTTGCCCCCCGCCCGTCGGCCAATCGCCGACTCCACAAAAGTGAAGCGGCTTAGGCGGGCAAATGCCCGCCGGCCGATAGGCCACTCCACCGTGGTGGAGTGGCCCAGGAAAGCTGCACGACTTCGGCTGCCTGCTAACAGGTGAGCCTCCATCGTGCAGCTCCCCAGGCGGCATCTTAATGTGGTGCATGTTTCTTGCTTGTCGAAGATTGGTCGGGGGATTCTTGTACGGAGTTTTTGCGGAGGATGATTCGTGGCGAGTCTTGTGCGGAGTGTTTTTAGCTGATCTCCCACAGATCACTTGAGTAACTGGAAGTGAGATATTCCCATTGGAACTCGGGGATGCAGGGTGAGGAAGTGAGTTTTCTAACCTCTCTATTCACCACTCAGCTTCGAGCTATTGATATGTTGTGAGTAACGATGCAGCAAACATACCTCGAGACAAACTTTGTGCATAGCCCGCTGGCGCGGCCAGTAGCCCCTCCGTGACTGTGCCGCTTGGGAGGCCAGGCACCGGGGTGCCGGGTTGGCTGGGGAAATTCACTGCTGTCGATGAGGATGGCAAACTATGTTTGCGTCTATCGAAGCTATCATTACCATCGCGGCGGTAAGTCAGCACTTTGAAACTCTATACAACTTTATGGTGGACGAGGGTACTAACCAGTGAAGTACACACCACAAAATGGTATGGTGGAGAAACTTGTGAGTCGATGTAATAGAAGAGGAAGATATGAATTAGTGGTGGTTATGATTGGGAGTTGTGAATGTTAAGGAAGTAGAAATAAAATCTTTAGAGGGAAGGAATGAGGATGGCTTTATACTTCTGAATGTCTTGGTATTACAAGGTGGTCCGTGCGTTTCTCTCCAGGTGGTCCGTGCGGTAACCGTCGAAGTCTGGCATATTCTACTGGTTGCCCTCAACAGGTTTGAAGATAACAACTGTAAATCCAAAGTGTGAGTCAATTCTAAATCTTGGTTTACGCACAAGATGTGATGGAGAATCTGGAGAATCTATGCGACCTCGCACCCATATGCTCGACAGTAGAGACCATATTGTAGAGATACCTGAAGGAAACCATGGCGATCGCGAAGATGAGCCGGGTGCGATGGGCTGACCTTTAAAGTTTGCGAGGATTGGCTGTGATGGTGTCCAGCACTGAACCCAGAATTGATTGGATTTCGACGCCTGTATGTACTTTTATGGACATGTGTTTGGTCTTGCACTCGAATTGTGAATTTACCATCGCTCTTGTTCAATATTACTGCACGTATGATGTTCACTCCCTCCAGGGACTCGACATGATTGGATTCTCGAGACTCCTGGGCCGTCCGCTACATAAAAATAAACCCCCGAAGATCCAATCTACCCCACCACCACCTGTCACCTGTGATCGCCACTCAAGCAAGATTTGCCCAAGACGTCCTACAAGAACCTTCTCGTGGCGTGTGAGTGAAAGCGCGACCAAGTACGTCCAGGAGCTACCGGCGATCTACGAGCTCCTAGAGCTGGGGCGGATATCTGTGGCATGGAACGAGTGAGAGAGAAATCTTCCTTTTTATTTCGCATGCAGCCTATCTAGACTATGGCGAACCAACGAACTCCTTTTCCTACCCGCCCTAGCCAGTCGAGGTGAAAGCCCCGGTGACGGCTAGTCCGATGCGGCGTCCCGCATGGAACGAGTGTTTTCGGCACCGGCAGCGCCACGGCGGTAGCCGACAGAGTGATCGGCGGTGAAGCGCCACCAACGAATAACAGGATTTATAGCCTCGACACCAAGAGCCTAGTTCTGGTCGACCGTCGCTATCGGAGTTTCACTATCTCTTTTCAATGTCTGTCTGTATAGTGCATTGTCGTTTACATAGGTAGTATCAATACATTTCACGGCCGCATCAACAACGAGGTGAGGTGTAAGAGCAGTTTCCGCTGTCCAGTCAGGTCTTTGCAGTTTTCTGCACAAAGACACGCAGCGCATCCGCAAGGGGGGGTGGGAGCATAGTCTAGTGCGCCTCCCAGGCGACTTATGTTAAGTTGGGTTTCCGACAGGGTCCTCCGCGCAACAGGAGTTCTTCCAGCGCGCGCGTGGTCGAAGAATATTGGACGAAATGTGCCCCCGACTCTGACACTCGGTGGGGGGAGGGGGCAGCGCAGGACGGAACGGAACGCTGATGTACCCATGATGATAATTGGTACTGGGGCGGAAAAATGGATGTACTCAGTATCTACTATGTACTCCCGGGTGTGATGATTGCAGTGGTGCAACGGGGCATGTGTCAATGGGATGGGTGTGATATTGATGTTGGTACGTACTGAGCTTTGTAGGTTTATCAAGGCTCTGGAGATGCACATAGGTAGTCAATTTTCGACATAGTCCGGTCCGGACGGACTGCCAAGATACAGTCCAGTCCAGTCCAGTCCGGGGTTCAGGGCGGACGGTGAGGACTACACATCTTGTATGTCGAACACTACACTAGGGGAGGTATGAAGGATCTTCTCTAGCCGTTTAATTTGCACCAGCCCTCGACAAGATATGTACACGTGCAACTTGTCTCTTTGTGTTTACGTAGTGATATGTATTCGTCTTTCGTGTACGTTGGTATGGATGGAGTATGAAATTGATCGAAGGAGGTATATATTAGACAGAGTATTTTGCACCATCAATTTCCTCGGCAGTACAGAAATGGCCGTCAGACCGTCTCTTTCCCCTCACCGCCCTCCCCTCCTCCCAGCCAGCCAGCGCCCAGACTCGACAGCTCCTATCCAGTCCCGTCGAGTGATATCGGAGTAAGGTACATCAGACAAACACCACCGAGAATCCCGGCCCCAGCCTGCGTCTCGTGTCTATCGCCGTCGGATTCGCGCAACGGGCTACAACTACTCGTCAAGCACGTTAGCCCCAACACCAGCTATCTTCTCCAGTCACGGGAGTGAGGGCCTAGTACTCACACCAATCCCTAACCACATGCGGATGCAACCCAGTCTTTTCCGCTATATACTGTACATCGGTAGCCGTCGGCGCTTTCCCATCGCAAACGCAGGCACCCAGCACCTCACGCAACATCTTAACGACCTCGGCGGAGACCTTGAGTGCATACTTCACGTACACGGTGAGCGGCATGGAGCGCACCGTGAACTCGCCCGTGAACGGGTCCATCGAATAGTCGTCGTCCTCGTAGTCGGGCTCGACCCACCGCTGCGCCGGGGAAACAGCGTCGGAAACGGAGAGGATCCCGAGTTGCTCGCGCGTGATGCTGGATGGGGGGTTAGCTCGGCTAACCCACAATACAAAAGAAAAGGGAACGTACTGCAGAAGGTTCGTCTCCGCTTTCTGCAGGAGGTCCTGGAGGAAGTCGGTGTCTTCCTTCTCCCTCCCCCAGTGATTGCAGTGGACCACCGCCGTGACCGCGGAGACCGTGTGCTGACTCAACTCGTACATATCACCCAGACAAGCCACAGCATCGTGCGAAACCTGACTTATCAGCGAACCTTGTTCGTTCTCGGCAGTCTTCAGCACGTTCATCGCATCGTTCAAAAGCCCAATCTTGGACGGAGCCTCGTCCGCAGGACCTGCAGGAGAAGGGCCCGTAGGATTGGTGGAGAACTCGACGTCCCGAGTGCCGAACTCGTCAAAGAAGCAGCGCAGGTCGGCGGCGAGCTCGCACAGCTCCTTGGACTGCGGAGTGTCCAGTGCCGAAATGCGGTCGTGCAGGTCGTGCACGTAGAACAGCGGCTGGAAGAACGGGTCGAAGCGGCTGGTGCGGCGAGTCATGATGGCGGTTGTTATGCGCGACGACCCGGGGGTGGGATGGAGCGTGGGATGTGTATGCAGCGGGTAAAGGTAAAGGTTGTTGGTGGAGATGTCGTACAAGGCTCAAGAGATGCCATATATGGTACAAAAGTACCCGATGGGGTAAAGACACTAGCGGTTGGGGTTGAAGCTCGTTGGTTGTTGGGGTCGAGCCCACTACTCGAGTACATACTATAGAGCTATGTGATAAAGTCATCAACCTTATAGCAACCTTGTATGAGGGCGATTTTGACAGACCTTGTCTCGCTCCAGACTTCTTCGCTATTCATGTCCAAGCAGACGGGTTTAACGAGTGATAGATTGTGCAGGTGTGTATGTGTTGGAGTCGCTAGCTTGCTTTCACGCTTTACTTCACCGCTTGGTTGATATTCACCGACGACAGAGCACCCCAATTCCTCAACCCTCTACAACTCCTACTCCTTTTCACCATGCCAAAGTGCGAGCTCACCCCCAATCTTACACATCTTCCCCACCTTCACACAAGTTCAAACACACCAACCTCCGAAAAGGTAAGCAGCCACCCACTCCCACCTCCACCACCTCCACTGCGCCTCACTCACTCACTCACAGAGCCCAGCAAAAGAATGTCCGCCAATATCCGCAAACGCCGTTTCTCCCTCTCCTCCTCCTCCTCCTCCTCCCGGCGGTTGAGCCCCACCAGCACGGTGTGGAATGGCTTACCATTGGCAACCGCTCAAGGCGCATGCCACCCGTCTCATTGGCCCATCTGTTCAGACAGATTGCAAAAAAGAAGTGGAAGGAGGCGAATGATTGGGCGTACTCACGCATAACGAACCCAACATACAACGTCAAGTGCCGCAAGTGGCGGAAAACCCGGCCTGACCCAGTTGCATCGAAAGCGAAGAAGATTACTGCATCCAGCTATTACCAGCTGAAAACTGGGCATGTCCTGATTGCACCATATCTGAAACGAACTGGAAGCCAATCGAACGACTGGTGCTGGTGGTACTCTAAACCTGGAGCCTGTCAAACACGCGAACATATGTTTAAAGTATGCACCGCATGGCGGAAGCAACAGAAAGTACTATGGAAAGCAGTCCGACTAGAAACAAAGCGTGGACGAGATCTTTTCCGAATTGCAGATCTGTTTGTGGATGAGAGGTGCACAGCGGCAGTTCTGGATTTTCTGGAGGCGACCGATGTGGGAAGAAGGGCTAGGGAGAATAAAGGGGAAGGACGAGGAGATGAGTCTACTTCTGAGGAGGAAGATGAACCGAAAAATGGGGGGAGGTGGGAGGAGTGGAGGAGGGTGGTGGGAAGGAGTGGTCACTGGTAACCACCGATCGGGCCAGTAGGGCAATAGGGAGAGCCATATCGCTAGTCTTGCGGACGGAGCAGGGTTGGTTGTGTAGTTGGTGTTCGCTGTAGTCTACAATGGCTCATAGATGTGAAATAAAATTGATGACCCCCCCCCCCCCCCCCCCCTCCGAGTTCTCCACGCAGACCTGTCCTGTCCTGTCTTGTATACCAGGTAGGTAGGTATTCTGTGACCTCAACAATATTTCGAACTTCGGCCTGATCCATCATCCGGTTCCTGACCACGATGATTCTGTCGTTTCCACATGCCGTCAGAACGTAAGGCTGACAGGGACCGCATTTGAAATTCGGCTGTGGCTTCGTCGCCTTCAAGAATAGTAGAGTATTAGGATTCGTTTTGCAAGTAGCCAATACTCCCCCACCTACGAGAAGTTTCCGCGTCAAGCAGTCTGATTTTCGCATTTCAAATACGGCTCTTTGAACGCATATATCATACATGTGAAGAAATCGAGCGTATGGCGCTCTGGTGATTTTTTGTCTCGGGCTGACACATCCCACAATGCTTCACAATATTTAAAACCTACCAGTTTTACAGTCATTATTGTACGGCCGTGCTGTGCATTTCAACAATGACTACATAGGCCTAACGAAAGCGATGATCCTTACAAAGTGAGAAGTCCGATTTATACAATGGTGGTTTTCGCTGAACAGGCATTATGTCGGAGTTACGACAGTTTCAGGGAAATGAGACCCTCAGCATCAGCCTTATTTTAACATACCTAGCCCTTATGTACGGAGGCTTCACGAGTTTAACGTGAAAATACATAACTGGCTTATGGGTGGACTGTTTTGTTTCTTAGGCCTATTTAAGGCCTACATAAGGGGAACGACTTTAGTACACTGCTCAATAAAGGTAGACATTCACCCGCAAACAAACTGTTATGCGTACTACATACTACAAACATTATCGCGCAGAAAAGCAACGCACCAACTCCGAAAGCGAAGAGACACACACAAGGGGTATTCATAAACGAGCACTCGAAGAGTAAAGTAAAGGTAGTAAGACATAAGACATTAAAAGAGTGCGACGGCAACAGTGGTAAGAAGCCAACAATGTTTTCTTGTTTTTTCTACGTGTGTGTAACTACAGAACAGCCACAAACAGCGAGAACACGAGCGCCACCACGCCGGCAGCCGACATGTGGAGGGTGCTAGCACCGCTGGCGGGGTCGGAAGACGCTACGGCGGAGGGAGAGCTGGTGGGCGCGGTGCTGTTGCCGGAGGCGGAGGACGAGGCGACAACAGTGCCACTGGCAGAGGGACTAGCCGAGGCGACGCCAGTGGTGCTGTAGCTGGCGGCGTGGCTGGTGAATACCGAGGGCGTGCCGGTGGTGTAGCCGACTTCGCTGGAGAGGACGCTGGTGAAGACGGAGTAGCTGCGGGCGGGGGTCGTTAGTATGCGAAGATATGTACGCACGATGCGATGCGACAGATGCGGAGAGTAACTTACGATGGCGCACCGGTCTCAATCGGCTTCTCGACGGGCGGCTCGCCGGTCATCGTCACATACGCGACTTCGGTCGAGAACACGTCGGTCTTGACGGTGACGGTGTACTCGTTGGCGGCTTCGGCGTCGGCGTCGGCGTGGACGACGGCCAGCAGGCTGACGAGGGCGATAAGCGCGAGGAACTTCTGGAAGAACATGTTGGTCGATATAGAGTAGGTCGAGTTGAACGAGTGGATAGGTGGATAAAGGGTCGATATGTCGGTAGCGAGGGAGGGACGTGCGAAGAGGAGAGGAAACGGAGCTTTTCCAGTAGTAGTAGGATCCGTGGGGTTTTATGACCGAGCGAGAGGTGCGAGACAGATAAAGCGGCGCGCTGTCAAACACGTTGTTAGCCAGTGAAGAAAACCGAAACCGTGATCCCATCCCACCCCCATCCGGGGGCTAAACCCCTGCGACGAAAAAATCAATCTTTGTGGGTTTCGATGCGTTGTCTGAGCGGACACACAGATTGCGCCACCTGATGAGATTTCTCCGTGGGGGGGGGGGGAGGGTCTTTGCGCTGGCTGCCTGGACGAACTCACCTAAGAGTTGGGGAAGTGCGAGTAATAGTTCACCGGGTGCGATAGAGACTGGACGCTGCGAGGTTGCGGCAGAGAAACGGATGGGGTATGATAGTACTGAGTGCTTTCCACGAGAGAGTGAGTGGGTTGAAGGGCGCGAAGACCGGAGGGCGACGGGGGAGACTCAACCTCTTACATAGGGTCCGCTATTCTTACACCAGCGCCATAGTTGATTCCTCATATGCCGCCCCTGAACCACGTCGGCAAATTAGACGACGCAGGAACCTGGAACTGGCTGGCCAATAGCGGAGCGCGAAATGATCGCGCTTAGCCCTGTGCGGTTTCTGTTCCTGACCGGGCAAGGATGCAGAGCTCGTTCCTTGCAGGAAGAAATCTTCCGCCGAGATTTGCACGGCCGGGCGCTCGCACATAGCCGAAACCCCTCGTCACCACGGTTGAGCGAAACATCGCGGCGATTCGCGAACGAGCGAGCGACAAGATGATGCCCGCCTTCTGCCAGAGCGGGGATGCTTGGGCCGTGGACCGTGGGGCCCCGCACACCTGCCATCTTTGCAGCTTGTCGCGATTGTTCTCCATCCGAAACATCTCTAGCCGAGCGCCCTGAGATGAGAGGTGATTCCCTTTGCATGGTGTGTTTCTGCCTCAATTCCCGAGCAACATGCCAGACGCGAAGACGAGATGCCACATCGAGATTAGACAGTCGTGGAATGAAGATACGGCAGCACGGTATCATAACCCACGGAGCTGATTGCCCCGTCACTGAGCATCATCCACCTCGGCCATCACACTCGCCATCCTCGTGACTCGGGACCTGTCACCAGTGTTTCCGCTCCGCAAAGGCCGTTTCACAATGCGCTTTCGTTTCTCATGTTGACCACGCGCATCTCAGGTAGTCAACACTCGCAACTCTCGTCTCAAGATGGCCGCCTTCCAGCTCGGCAGATAGATAAACCTCCACCTCCCCTCTGCCCTGCCCCAGAACCGCACCCACCACCGCCCACCGCATAGTGCTCATGACTCATCCACCACAAACCACACCAATATTCCCGCCCACCCTCGCCACTCTCACCACCTCACACATCGCCGCGCTCTCCGGCCTCAGTGCGTACCTAGACCTATGGAGCACATCCGCCGCGCACCGTGAGGTATGCGACGACCTCTCGCCACGGCCGGTGTTGACGCGCCTGCTGGAGAAGGATATCGAGCGCATCATCGAGATGCAGGGCTGGGCTGTGCTCGGCGACTGGCTGGTTCGCATCATGATCTGCTTGAAGGCCTTTGGGTTTCACAAGGGGACGGAGAATCAAAAAGCCTTGTGGCGCGCGGTCAGGAGGGAGGCGAAGAGGCTGGGGGTGGGGGTGGGTGACGATGAAAAGAAGAAAAGACGGGATAGCTGGTAGATAGGATCCCGCAGGCTGAGGAGCGGGCGGAGGGGTGAGCTTGTGTTTTGGGGATGCAACTGTGGATAAGGCGTAGATCTCGCCATGGCCCATGGGACTGTAGTTATATGACTCGAATCTCGCGATGTATTGCTCCAGAACCATGCCCACTTCTCCCATTTGCACATCTAACTACTCCAGGTACGTGTACCGACAAGTCACCAACCAATGAATGAGCCAAACATCTGAGCAGGACACAAACACAATACAAGCTCTCCGAACAAAAAAAAATAGACGGGGCCGAAGAATTTTTGCTGCTGCCACCTTTGTTGTGGCCGAACACGCTCTAGTGCTCAACGAAGATCCACAGAAGAAACAAAAATGCAGCGGTTTTTTTTTTGCTCTACTTTCTGTTCATGCAATCATCTATGCGACAAGCGCAAAACCCTCGAACAAAATGGCACTTCTTAAAGGAGTCATTACGGTACGGTGAGACATGTGTACTCGTAGGTAGAGATGAAGAAAAGCCATTCTATCCTAACTTTTACTCTATGCGACTTTTGTAACTCAAACCATGCGCAGCAGTCGCGCGCAACATGCGAGCGGCCACTGCCGCTTTCACACGAAAAGCACCGCTTGAGAAAACCTAGCTTCCAGTCATCTAACAATCACGAGAACATTACACATCTCCGATACTGTCTGAGCGGCTGGCTTTATGTTTGAAAGTCTCAAGTTAGAGTTCACATGTTTGGACCGGAAGAGGTCGGTTTGAAGCGGTGGCGTCGCTGGCGTCACTGGCGTGGCAAAATGGTGGTGGAGAAGGATGCGATAACCGGTGAAAACGCTATTACTCCGCAAACCTTCTTCTGTCGCAAGAGCCACTGCGGTTATAGAACTCTGAGAATTTTGGACGATAGATTTTAGATGTTTCTTGATGTCGTGAGATTTCTTTTGAAATTATTTGACAGGTAAAAGGTGTTTTATCGCAATTATTGGACAATCGGAAGGTGTTTCGTCAATTGGCCGTGGCTGCCACATCGTGCACGCGACTGGCAGCCGGACAGTCGGACAACCTTCCATGTTCCGATGTCGAATGCTTACACATACTTTCTACGGTGGTGGTGCTCACTGCTTAGAGATGTGGGCGCGCTGATTGGCGCACCGGACCAAGGTTCACGTAAGCGGGAGGCTCTCTCGGCAATCTCCGGCCGCCCAAAAGCAACTCAGCCCACCCGTTTCTGATTCTTCGTCCTCCACGACTTATCCCCCGAGTCCCCATACACCGACCGACGCATACCACCCCATCACCACCACTCATACCATACCATACAGTCCGAGGATCTCGACGACTAGATATCTACCCCCGCCCGCCGAACCGAACACCACATCATGCCGTCCCTCCGCCGCCTAGCCGCGCCAGTGATGTCACTGCGACGAGCCGTTTTCACATCCGCCACCTCTTCCGCCACCACCAACAGCTCGCCCGCCCTCCGAGCAGCATACTCAAACTCCTCCTCCATCGGCTCGTCCAAGCGCCAGCTACAAACGCACACGCACACGTCGCCGACACTGCACACCGACGTGCCTATGCCGCGGGGCAGCGGCGTGGAGTCATCTTTGACGCTGCCGTCGCGGGAACACTCCCTATCCGGCGCGCCCCCTCCCGCACCCACGCCCTTGCCCGCATCTACAGCCTCCAAGCCCGCGCCCGCATCCGCGCCCGTAACGCGCACGCGCTTCCGCCCACGCAAGGCGGCGATGTCATTGACATCTCCGGCGGTGGCGCAGCTGCGGGGGCTGATGTCGGATCCGACACCGAAGCTGATCCGGGTGGGGGTCAAGAACCGCGGGTGTTCGGGCTTGGCGTACCACCTGGAGTACGTGGACAAGCCCGGGAAGTTCGATGAGGAGGTGCTGCAGGATGGTGTTAGGGTCCTCATTGATTCCCATGCGCTGTTTAGTATCATTGGGAGCGAGATGGATTGGGTCGAGGATAAATTGTCGGCGAGGTTTGTGTTTAAGAATCCTAATATCAGTAGGTTTCCCCCTCCCGCTCGGGTTGCTGGTGGAGTGTGGCTAATAGAGAGATAGAGGAACAGTGCGGCTGCGGCGAAAGCTTCTCGATCGGTTAGGTCAGACGGCGGGTTTTTTCTGTTTCGGTTGGGATTTTCAGGCGATAGATACGAGTAGATGCTGCGGCGCATAGACGGGGGAATCCTGTTGTGTTTTTTCTTCGCCGCCGGGGGTTGGGTTGGTTTTTGGGTTTCGTTCTACGTACGGGGTTATATGGCGTTGTTTTTTCTTTCTTGACTGTTCTTAAGTAGGTACGCATGCTTTCATTCATTCATGCATTCTTCGGCCTTGGGCCCATGGCCCCGTCTGTGCTTTTTTTGTCTGGAGAGGAGAGCTTGAGCTTGTATTGTGTTTGTCGACGCCCTGCTACGATGTTTGGTGAATCGGTTGGTTGGTGACTTACTTGTCGATACACGTACTGGTAGAGTATTTAGATGTGATGTGTAAATCGGAGAAGTGAGCATGGTTCTGGAGCAATACATCGCGAGATTCGAGTCATGTAACCACAGTCTCAGGGGCCATGGTGAGTTCTACGTCTTATGACCGCAGTCCTATCGCAGCGTTACACCCCAAGTCTCATCTCCAACTCGATCCCAAACCCGTTGCAAAATCCCTCTAGTAGATATGAAAGTCTGGTAAACCATGGAGTATATAGATGGCCCCGCAACTGAGCATCTTCCACCTCGGTCATCACGCTATCCATCGTCGGGTCGGGGGTCGTGACCTGTGTTTCCACTCCGCAAAGGACGTTTTTTCACAATGCGTTTTCGCTTCTCTTCTCGTGTTGATCACTCGCAGATATCGAAGGTATACATATTTCAAGTTCCAACACCCGGGACTCGACATCACCGCCTTCCTGCGCGATATGTAGATGAACACAAGGTAGGTAAGTATCCATCTCCCCTCTGTCCCCAGAAAGAACCTCACCTATGAAGCAACCACCACCACCACCACCACCACCACTACTACCACCACCACCACCACCTAGCACCCGCACTCGTCCGAAGCAAACCTCACTAATTCCCTCCCCATCTCCCGCCTCTCACATCCACGCACATCAGTGCCAGTGCCCTCTCAGGAATCAGCGCGTACCTGGAACCTCTCTGAGGGACGTCCGCCGCGCACACGGAGGGACGTGTATGTGCGACAACATCTCGCGGCGGCCGGTGTTGACGCGCCTGCTGCTGCAGAAGGACATCGCGCGGATCATGACGATGCCTGCAGGGAAGGCGCCGCCCTGCTGGGGCGACTGATTGGCTGGAACGTTCAAAGGATGATGATCTAGGTATCTGCTTGACTTAAATCGTTCGGGTTTCCCGAGGGTAACTATGTACCTACTGGTAATCGGCAAGCGCTGTGAGGAGGAAGGGAGGCGCGGAAGCTGCGGTTGGGCAACGGAGCGGCGGAGTAAAGGCCGGAGCGGTAGATAGGATCAAATCCTACAAGAGCCGGTATTTTGGGTGGCTCTCCGAGTGTTTGCGCCGTGAGGATGAGTTTACTGACTGGCTGGGACAACCGGTTACTTTACATAACCACAACCGTAACTACCGCAATGATTCACTCGAGAGGTTCTATCTCCGTTCGGGGGACTTGCACTTATCTAGATGACTGCGCGAACGGGAAGTAGAACAAAAGAAACCGCTGAATTCTTTTTGTTGCCTGCAGATCATGATTGGGCACTCGACGGTATTCAACCACGACAAAAATGGCAGCAACGAAAACAGTCGCCGTAGTCTAGTAAAGCTGTATGCGACAATATATTGATATTGCTTCTCCCTCACAGCAACAAGACGGCGGAAACGTAAGAGGGAAAGGCGGTAGCCGACGCAGAACAAAACCGATGGAACAAAACAAAATGGCCGTCAAGGGCCCGCCTAAACCGCCCTGTGGTGACATAATTACGTATGTACCAGTCCCTTAGCTTCTCCTCCCCACCAGAATCACCCGAAGAGTCGCTGAGACTATCCTCGTGGAGGTCAGAACAGGGTGCATGCCAGTGGAATGAAGCAGCCCAGATAAAGTTACACGATGTCACTGATGGGTTTCACGGCTCAGTAGAATTCGGTGTTGACATAATTTGAGGATTCGCTAACTTCAACACTCAAAGCATATCCTATTCTTCTGCACTCTCCCGCCTCCCTCCAGAGCCTAAGAATTCACCACCGGCCTGCCGATGCAGCACAACTTTGACCCAAACCCCCTCCCTTGTCCACGGCCCTACAGGAACAACACCTAACCCAAACCCCCAACTACACCGCCGTCCGCTGATAGCTCCTTTCCTCCTTTCCTTCCCCCCACCAGACATCCTCCGAAACCCCACAGCGTATGGCGCCTCAAACACGCTCACGACCCTCGCCATATCTGCAATCCCACGCAGTGGGCACTGGACAATGGTATTTCCGGTCGCAGCCGGTCGCAGCCGGGCCCGTCCCGTCTTCCACCGCGTGAAACCGCAAATATATCGAAAGCCGCGAGTGCGCCGAGCGAATCGCAAACAATCTCCACCTTTTTCGGAGGCCCAGGCGAGGTACGGGTACTGGGGCCAGACGGAGCCTTTGACTGGCCGGCTGAGCCTTGGCGGGCTGCTGGCTGGACGCTGGCTGGACGCTGGCTGGACGCTGGCTGGAAGTGAAATCGTCCAGAGTGAGTGGTCCTTCAGCTTCTCATATACTGTTCACGCTGGCTTCACGTCTTTTCATGCGGCTTCGCTGCGGACCGACCGACCGACCGACCGGCGATGGGCATACAGCTGGCTGGAAGTCGTCCGGCAGGAGGCTGGAGTGGTCCTTCAACTTCTCATATAGTGTACATGCGGGTCGGCTTCACGTCTTTTCGTGCGGCTTCGCTGCGGGTTGCTAAAGTGTGTTCGAGAGTCCGAGAGAAGCGAGCTCGCTGCACGCTCTCTGGTCCTAAGGGTTCCCCATATATATCTCCATTCCAGTAGCCTGGAATAGTGCATCAACTTGCCATTCTGTACTTCACCCGCTGGTCTGGGGGCAGTAGACATGTTGGAAGTCGCGAGTGCGTTCATTCAATCAACAGGAGCGCGTCCGCAGGCGCAAGCTTGCCCCCTTCCGTCTATAATCCCTGATGACATCCTGGAAGCGACAGGAGACGTCCTGCGGTGGTTGCACGAAAACGTGAGTACTGGTAGTCCTGAGGTTGTGCATTTATGATTTTTGCTCTCAATCAAACCGATAATACTTTGTCATACGCTGACGCTAGGGAGCTCGGCCGGCGGGAGTGATACTCCAACCCCTCAAAAGCTCCGCCTCGTCCCGGATGTTTCTTGATTTTGATGGCAGAACAACTGGATTGGCCCTTCCGCCTCGTTCCGGATTACTTGTCGATGGTCCATGGCAGAACAACTCGATTGACCCTCCCGCCTCGTTCCGGATTACTTGTGATTCTTCGGCTTCGTCCCGGAATATTTCTTGAAATCTATGGCAGAACAACTCGATTGACCCTTCCGCCTCGTTCCAGATAATTCGTCAATGGCCCATACATTGCGAAGTGACTCGATGAATCCCCTCCGCGTCCCGGATATGTCTTGAAATCACTGGCAGAACGAGTCGACGTGACCCACCATGATCCGCACCGTTCCCGCCCATTACGTTTCGTCAAGAACCCACTGGCAAAGCGACTCGATATTACTGATTCTTGAATCCTTCCGGTCCGAATTTCTTCTTATCGGTGATACATTGGCATTGACGTTCCGGTCCGAATTTCTTCTTATCACTGACACATGGGCATTGACGTCCGGATAACGGTTCCAGAGAAATTTTTGGATACTGGCACGTATCCATGCGGCAGAACGGCATAATACCATATTCCTGATTGCCGGTCGGACGTTCGGTCGGTCGGTCGGCAGCCACAGTGCGCAGTGCGGGGATGCGCAGACGTGTCGGATAAGTAGCGTTCGTTCACCGGAACCATGAACCAACCGCAAGAGGTTATCTGTCGAGTCGAGCAGCAGTGATCTCCCCCTGCCCCTCCTGGCGGCAATGACAAAGTATTGTAAAACACGGCCGTTAAGGCTTTCGATTGGCCGGGGATGTGTAGAGTAGGTAGGGCCCCGTCGTCCCGTCGTCTCGAGTCTGGGAGAGTGGACGTGGACATGTCGGAAGTCGCGAGTGCAATGAATGTCTGACCTGCCGGCTTTCCACAAACAAGGGCCCAAGGGGGCGTGGTGTTAGAGGCCGCTGGAGAGGATGCTGGCGTTTCTGTAGTGTTGCATTGCTGGGCTGGGGTATCGCCGGTTGTGTGTCTCTCGCAGCTGGAGCGGCGGAGGAACGGTATTGGTTTTCTGGATCATTGATGCCGCTTGCGGTGTCGGTATATATACCCGCCCAGTATCGGGACGAGAATATGTGCACACAAAGGACCGGATGAGAAAACCACCCCCACGCTGAGAGCATTCCGGCTCTGCATCATCACGGTCACTCGTCTGCTCCAGCTTCAAACAAAGAAACGCCAAAAACGAAGCATCGGATTCCCCGATCAAAAGAATGGATAAAAAACAAAGCGGCTCGGGCATTGGTCAACAGTATGTACAGAAATCCACTTCTACGAAAGTCCACAACAAAGAGGCCCGGACAAAGGGTGCGGCCTGGACTCGACAACGATCATCAGCCGGCGGGGGAGAGGTCGTAATCCAACCTCCATCCATTCCGTAGTACATACCGTAGGTATCCCCGCCGGACGTCCGACAAAAGAATACCAATAGGTAGCTACCGTAGATCGGGAATGCCATCGATCCCGACTTACAAAGAAAGACAAGGACAAAGCGGACCCACCGGCATCATTCTCTGAAATACCGGTGAAGGTGAAGGTGAAGGAAGGTTTGAAGTCCACATCATGCCCAGTCAAGTGGCCTGGAAGCAGTCAAGTACCGCCAACTGGCTGCTCATTCCTTCAAGAAAGTCGGCACACGGCTTGCGCAGTGTAATAGTACCTAGGTCTTACTCTACTCAACGATGTCGAGGCGGTGCTGGCCGTTCAGTGGGGATTTGGATCGTGGCCACTGGCTTTCGGTTCGGTGTTTTGCATGAGATAGATGTGGAGAAACAGTTACCTCAAATTTCCCCCTATGTACATCACATCTGCACCTTAACCACTTGAAAGGCTATGTATCCTCAGGACCATCATTTCTGTACGTCCAACTTTGACAGTCAATAATCTGATGAGTTTCCGTACGAAATTCCTTCAATTACGGACTCATAAACGAACCATGATCCACCGCGACACCATGTCGGATCCAGCAACCTTCAAGAATTCCCTGTTCCCAGATGATAATCCAACATCCAAAAGAACAACGCCCAAAAGAAGCCCGAAAGAAGCCCAAAAGAAGCCCAAAAAACGCCCAAAAAACGCCCTGCGTTCCAGCGTCGGTCGTCGAATAAACGAGCCACAGAAACCATCGCAGACATCCGTAGACTAAGAGCCCTGAAGATCGACAAAATAAGCCGACTTGACCTCCTCCTGCACACCCTCCCCCTCGGTCTTATCTTCCTCCTCCCCCTCTTCTCCATCCGCCTTCACTTCACCCGCGCGCCGCCGCTTGTTCCAATCGTGCTCCCACGTCTGCACCACGATGCGATGGAATGCGGCGACCGTAGGACAACATCTGATAGCCCGCCGCATTCCCTCCAGGCTATCGCCCAGGACCTGTAGTCCGTCCAGCGAACGGCAGCGGGAGAGACCGACGTATGCCTGGCCTGGCTCGAATGCTTTCACGATGTCGACGGATACGAAATCGAGTGATAGGCCCTGTGCTTTGTGGATTGTTACGGCCCCTTTTCATGGTATTAGTGGCGTGGAGAGAGAGGGAGAGAAAGGGCAAGTGGGATGAGTGGGCTTACAGGCAAGCGCGAGCGGCAGCTGGACACGCTCCAGCTTCTGTGTCGACCCGTCCGGAAGCGTGCTTTCATGCGTCCATGAAGCGGGAAGGACGGTTCTCGCGCCCATCGGTATATCCGCGTCGTGCCCGATGAAGCGTACGCAAGGGAGATTCACCATTCCTGTCTTCGTATCGTGGTTTTCGGCGTGGTATCTCTCAAACATGGCGCGGTCACCGTCGGCAGCGATTCCGAGTAGTCCCTCCAATGTGTACTCCTCAAAGTTTTCGATGATGCCGCGGGAGCCGTTCACCAGTCCACTGGTGGGATTGATATTCTTCAACAGCATCACCTGCGATTCCTCCTTCAGTTTCAACGTCTTGGATGACTGCAGGTTGGTGAAGAAGGGAATCTCGAGTTCCGATTCCCCCATCCATCTGGTTTTATTCTTGGAAATGATTATCTTCCCCGTGTCCATAGCCTCGAAAACGAACTCCGGCTTTTGGATCTTTCCGAACTCGACTTGGTTCTCGGTTTGAACGTTCGCTCGGTGGGTGTAGAGCCTTGTAGGCTTGATACCTTCGATCACCTCCAACGGGCGACGTAGAGACCAAAGACAGTTTGCCATCTCCTCATCGAGGACGCCGAGCTTGATCTGGGTCAACATCTCAACCAATTTTGGCTCCCGTTGACGATGCACCTTGCTGAGGAGAACGGTGGCGAACTGCGCTTCCTTCCATGACCTGGTCTGGAAGACGTACTTCAGGCCATCGTTCCAGGGGTGACTGCATTTGGCACATGTAGACCACGTTTTCGGGTCGATTCCGACTGCGGCGAACGCGTTCTTCGGGGGAGTCGGCTCGTAGGTGCGTTGACCTTTTCTCGGTAGAATATGGCCTGAATGCATTAAGACCTGCCAACAGAGTACGAGTGACTGGGGGAAGAAGCCTACCGCAATACTGGCATGTTCTGACCCTGTCAGGGACGGGTGGCAGCTGGAAAAAGTCTCCACAGACAATCACCTGGATTCCGCCAAAGAATTGCTCGTTGCGTCGAATGCCTTTCGCAATGGCATTCAATTTCTCCCACAAATCAGGATTCAGCATCGAGATTTCGTCGATGATGAGCACGTCCGTTTCGAGCCACTTGTTTCTCGCGCGTCCGATTGCCGTCTTCTTAGTCAACGACATGCCGATATAATCCTTCGTTCCTTTTTCGCCGAGTCCCACTCCCGAGAAGCTGTGGATGGTGCTTCCGCCGAGTTGTACCGCCGCAACCCCTGTTGGCGCGGTGATGGCATGCCTGATCTTCTTTTTTGACAAATGATACTTGACGTGTTGCAGGATCAACGACTTTCCCGTTCCCGCAGGTCCGGTGAGGAAGACGTTTCTTCCGTCGAGGATCAGCTGCAGCACGTGGTCCTGCTCAGGTGAAAGCGGGATGGTCGGCCGCGGCACCGCAGGAGCTTCCGGGGTTTCACGAGGAGCCGCCCAATCGTCCTCGCCGTAAGATGATTGGTCAATCGCGTGGCGGAGGCGACTATCCCCACTGGGCTCGGGCTTCCGCCGTGGTGGCGGCGCCGACAGCACACAATCATCACCACTATCACAATCAGAATCCTGCGTAAGATCAACAGCCACCCTCGCAGTGGCCCTCTTTCGCTTGGGCAGAGGCAGCGACGAAGAGAAGAAAGGACTGCTGTCCCCTTCTTCATCGTCGCGTCCACTCGCCAGCTTTGCCTGACGCGTTCGCTTCCGCGGCCGCGATAGGGGGTCCGGGGGCGCGTACTCCCTCCCAATCGACGGCACCACCGCACCCGCAGGGGTTTCACGGTCCCCGCCATCACCGGCACCATCACCATCACCATCCGTGAGGTCAACAACCTCGGGCGGAGAACTATTCGCATAAACGTCATACCCCAACCACTTCTCCGCTTCTGTGCGAGTCGCAAAGCCCTTGTGGGCTGCGCCGGGAAATCGTTCGACCTGCGGCTGTGCTTCGGCCCTTCAACTCCAAGTTAGCCCCTCCCGCTGCCTATCGGTCACTTTCCGGGACGGGTACCATGAAGTGTAGATGCCAGGCTTCCGTCCGAATCGAACGGCGAAGAAATTCTTCCTGCCGGCCATGCTGTGATAGATGAAGGAGTAGTGCGATAACTAGTATGGGATTCGGGCGATAATAGGGATGGGGCGATAGGTGGGGCTTGCGGGGGGTGACGGTGAAGGGTGCGGGGGCGGGTACCGACCGCGAGTGCCTCGTATTCGCCTAGGTGTGTAGATACAGGTGCATTCATGTAGGAACCCTACGGTACTCTACTCTGAGACGCGAAAACAATGCCGCTTTGTGCAGATCGTTGCTTCAGCAGGCGATATTCTAGTGGAAATTCCCGCTTCGGTGCAAGCCTGCTCACCAGACGGTCGCGATTACTAAATACCTGTGGCCAGTAATGTTCGTGCGGATTAACTATTGCCCGACGATCTCGGTACGTGGGTGAGTGGGCGAGAAGCCCCATCTGCGGGGCCAAGATCTGAACGACAAGATCACATCCGAGATATGTACATACCAGTATGAGACGTCTTTACATCTGGAATCAAACATATCAAAATCCTAGAATATTTGAGCTACGGATTGTGTTGCAGTGTGGGCGGATTCGCAGAGCAATTGTGGTTCCTGCCGAGTCTCCCAGCGAAAACCCCACCAGGCCGCCGCTTCCACCCACCTCACCAAATATCTACATACCTTGTTATCCCCGCCTCCACCTCGAGTGGAGTGCCCCCAGCCAAAGCGGGTTTCCTCCGAGGTCGCTTATCGTGATGAGATCGTGAACATCGCGACGAGGCGTTGAACTATACCGTTTCTGCCAGCACAATGCCCGCTAGGACGGACGGGCGGACGGACGGCGGCGATGGCGACGGCGACGGCGAAACCCCTCGGATCCCGTTGACCTGGATATATACTCTAGACGTGAGATATACACCGCCTGTCAAACGTCGGTGCGCCCGCCGCCTGATGGCCGCACCTTTCGAGTCCGCTCCAAGGGGCTAGGGAAACAAGGCAGCACTATTAAATCAAATATGGCAGCTGCCATGATGCCCGGTGTAGTCCTGGGATATCCCGAGGAGCAACGACAGGAGGGCCGGACGGACGGAAACCCAGGACCTGCCGAAACTTAATGCGAGTGCTTCGATCCCGCCGCTCGCCCGGAGCACCGAACCCGGTTCATTTCGGTTGGCCGCATCCGAAACCACACCATGTATATCCCTCTCCCCGTCCCCCTCCCGGAAAAATGCAAACGACAAAGCTCCAACAAAAACTTACAGCAGAGAAACGACAGCAAAGGAAACCCACCGCGAATATCCTATCGATTCGGTTATCATCTCGTCACAAATCTCCAGTCCAGTCATACCACAACATCCGTCCCCGCTCGCCCGAGCCGATGCGGACGAAACAAAATTTAACCAGAGAGACGGCGTTGGGGAACGGGCAGCGGTGGCTGGAGGAAAGAAACATCGAGGAAATGCAAAGTCGACCCCCGCTCGCCGGAGCCGATGCGGACGAAATAAGATTTAACCAGAGAAACGGCCTTATGGAATGGGCAGCACGGTGGCTGGAGGACAGAAGCATTGAGGAAACGCAAAGTCATCTGCATAGGACCAGTTGATACGAGTCCTTCGGTCCCACTGCTCTCCGCGTCCCCTCACCGAAAAATGAACGTGCAGATTCTCCAATAACATACAGGAGACAAACGACAGCAAAGGAAAAACACCGCCAATATCCCATCGATTCGGTTATCGTCTCGTCACAAATCGCCAGTCATACATCAACAGGGACAAGAAACTTGATAAGCTGGCGACGGTACAAGGGGATGAATTGGCCTGGACGGATACCCGTCTTCTTCTCATTTTTCACATAATTTCGTGTTCAAAAGGAAGGGGCCGGGTGAAGGGCAATGGGAAGCCCATATCGAGCTGGCGGCCAACAGCTGTAAACAATGGGATGGAAACGGTCATGTAACTGAGATGATCTACAGAGGTCGGATGCAAAGATGATTAAACCCAAAAAAAACAACAGCAACGAAATCCAGCAACCGAGACAATACGAAACAGACAATCGACGGACAGAACCCTTTAACCCAACAGACTATACACTAACACTCTAGCTATAACAAAACGAATCAGCAATGGACGACGAGGGGAAAGCGAGGGGTGCATATACTCATTTTAATAGTAGTAGGTCTCCTCGGCGGTCCTCCCCCTCATCCACTTCGGTTCGCTGCCGGGCACGTAGATGTCCGCGAACAGCGTCTTCATGTCCGCATCCGGAGGGGGCGACGCCTCGGCCTCAGCAACCTCCTTGTCGACGGCAGCGCGAGCCTCTTTGTCGAGCTGCTTGAGCTCCTCCTCGGAAAGGACGCCCCACTCGAGGATGACCTTGCGGAGACCCTGGATGGGATCCTGTGTGGAACGCATGTTCTGGATCTCGTCACGGGTGCGGTAGGTCGTGCCGGGGTCGGACATGGAGTGGCCTCCGTAACGGTAGGTGACGAATTCCATCACGAGCGGGCCGTTGCCGGACGCCGTGTACTCCTTGGCGAAAGCGGACGCCTTCTTGACGGCCAGAACGTCCATACCATTAACCTTGATACCCGGGATGTACTGTCCACGCTTGTAGTACTCGGTGAGAGCCGAGGCACGGCTGGCAGCGGTTCCCATTCCGTACTTGTTGTTCTCACATGCGAAGACGGCGGGGATGTCCCAAAGCTTGGCCATGTTGTAGGCCTCGAAAACCTGACCCTGGTTGGCGGCACCGTCACCGTAGAGGGCGAAGCAAGTGTTCTTCATGTCCTGGTACTTCATCGCGAAAGCGATACCGGCACCAATGGGAACCTGAGCTCCGACAATTCCGTTACCACCGTAGAAGCCCTTGCAGAACATGTGCATGGAGCCACCCTTTCCGAAGGCAATTCCGTCTTTGCGTCCCAGCAGCTCGGCGATGACGGCCTTGACTGTTGATCCGCGGAGGTAGGCGAATCCGTGACATCTGTACGCGGTGATGACAGCATCCTCCTTAGTGATGGCATGCTCGATACCCGTGGCGATGGCCTCCTGTCCGGTCGACAAGTGGCAGAAACCTCTGATCTTCTTCTCCTTGTACAACTTGTCGGCCGCCATCTCCAATCGACTACACATACACGTCAACCCCGCCTCGCAAGCACCGATACCATCGCCAATCCGGATTCAACGTACCGAATAGTCGTCATGTCGTAGTACATTTGCCGAAGGTCGTTCTTGGTGATCTCCAACTCATTACTAGGACCGTCCAACTCGTAAGTCTCGAACGACTGGTCAGAGAGCTTGACTGTGAAGGGTTTATCGTCTTCCTATACCCCACCAACGAACACCAGTAGTTAGTAGATGCTCTCCCGCATTCATCCTCCCCCGAGAGCTCCTATCGGGTAAACGCACACTCGGCACGGAGCCCTTTACGACACTGGCACTAGCAGCATCGGTGGTGATGGCCCTGGCGGCAAACAACTTGAATTGCGACGACGGGGCGAGGGCGAACCTGCCACGGGCGGCACGGATTGACTGCATGAACATCTTGGGAGTGCCGTGAGATCGCGTGAGAGATGTGGTGGGTGGCAGTGTTGACGGAGGGAGGAGGTGGCGGAGGTGGAGGAGGAGGAGAGGAAGCTGTGATCGTTGCCTTTGCTGTATCGGAGTAGAAGGGTGGAATGAAAATGTTGAGCACCGCACTAGACCCCTAGCGGACGCGGATCACGTGATGGCGATAATCGTTATCTTGGTGTTTCGTACTCTACATACTCTGAGGGAATAACACGCTTCACGAACCGACTTCTTCGGGTCCCCACACAATGAAGCTGTCCATATCCACCAACACCTCCAGTACCCATCATTGCCACCGATCAGATGTCTGTCGCTTTGAATCTGTGTGGATCTCGTATTATTTGCCTCGTGACCCCGCAAATATCCATCCGACCCCGCGATTATGCTTCACATGCGTCGACAACCGTCCATGATTCACGTACACAGAAACGAAAAAGTCTAAATCCTCTGGTAGACGTTCACGAGAAAGTTTAGTTTGTAGTATACGCATTCAACGACCATGATCTATTGACAATAGTGATCCGATCTTTGAGTGTGCCAGCACCCTCATCGTCCGTCTCAGACAACATAAGTGATGTAGGAAATATCAACAGAAATCAGCCTCGTAGTCTTCCTGTCAACCGTTCACCCACGGAAACGTGATTACAGTTGTATCTTCTTCCCTGTCCTCCTCTTACCACCCGACGCCAAACACCTAGCGCTGAGTACCCCTCCATTTTAACGGCGAGGATACGTGGTTTCCTGTTCACATGTCGCATGCGACCTCGAGAACGGTTCGTAGATTCCGCCGTCAATGGCTGAGTCTGCCCAAGTGCAATCCGGCAACTATTCCGCTTCCTCCATGGTGCCCGTGTAGTCTCCGTTTCTCCATTTGCTAGAACGCTGTAGCTTTCAGCCGCAAGTTCCCACTCTCCATCTCCTCAAGTACCCGGAACACTCTAATTCCCCGTTTGTAGGTAGCACGACGGCGTGGGGACCGTGAATTTGGGAAGCATCGAAGATGTTTCCGAGAGATTCATGGATGCTCGCTCGTATGTAGGAGGGTCCGATGGATGGATGGGTCGGCCGGTTTGGCGAATTTGAAACCCTGGTGAACTTCCTTATCCTGTGGGCACGGTGTCATCAGCGAGACCAGCGATTGACACTGTCCTTCATTTTTCAGTTGCGAGATCAGCGACGGACGCGATCACTTTTCCTCCCGGAACCTGACGATATGAGGATCGAAGCATGCCGAGACGCGACTGGGCAACGGGCGCAGGCACCAGCAGACGAAGGTGCTGGGAGATGGTGGGACGGATGAATCGCGGTTCGATGGCCGTTGGGGGCTGGTACGGCAGACTCCATTGTTGCTCAGTCGTTCGACAGCGGGTGCTCGAGGTGCTCGTTTTGTGTGGTTGAGGGGTCAGTGAGCTATCACAGGCACCTGACTGCGAGCCTCATCCTCGGCTAGAATCACCACGTTGGGGGCAAATTGTTGTCTGCCAGGGAGGGAGAGATTAGTCAGATCCGTCGGATCCGAGTGATGTGTCAGCCGGACTAGCTGAATGGAGTATCACCAACGTTGTATGTTAGGCAGAGGGGAGCCATAGATGGCTCTTCGAAATTAAATATAACCTCAACTTCTCCATCATATTTCATTCTCGCCGTCTTCCTTCCAGGATTACGTCACAAATCCCAGTGCGAAGTAGTGATCAAGCTTTCGACACAACCCAAAACTCGAGTCCTTGACTTCTCGAAATTCCACAACACCGACCACCTGCCACGTTTACGGTGTAATTGAGTGCTCTAGCCGCTGGGAGCAGCCGTCCATACCACGACTGAATTGACCGGAAACCTTATCAGCCTATAGCGGACAAAGGGAACCTAAGCCACTGGTTTCATCCTACGGCGTAGCTGGTCCATGCAAACCCCCCTTTATTGAAGTCCGTTGTTCTCGTCTTATCGAAGGATCGATTCAAGTCCTTTGTTTCGACCAGCGGTTGAAGCACGTTTCTGTATGTACTTTCCCAGAACTGGCGACCTCGTCGACCACATATAAACCATCCGCCCCACTAAATATCAGTGGTTCAGAAAAATCCATCCTTCCCTACTCTTCAGCCACTCCGAGACGACTAGCCGCGCCTCAACAATGGAACGGTACCGCAAAAGCAGCACTGTCTCGAAAGCTACAGAACCAACGCCTACGTGTGAATGTTTGCCAGAGCATACGTACGCGGCACTCACGCCTTCCGACATGTCTACAATCCCGCGCTATGGGTGCCCAAGATAATACGAAAACATATTGGTCCGTGGGACGGCGAAAATGTTCCAATAGGCAATAACCGCAAGAGAGGATTAACGAAGTGTACCTATGTTACCGACCGTCAACTTCACGCGAAAGCCTACATAGCAAAGTCTACAAATTCACGATCCTAGTAGTTACCTGCTCCAAGGGTGCCGGACCCTAAGATCTCCAGACTGCAGTTTGCCCATGTCACCGCTCCCGAGGAACATTATGAGCATCTTAAACATTGCATCCCGTGGAAGGGGTTCTGAGATGAATGGAGGGAGTCAGCTGGCGTCCTCCCGAACGGAAATTTTCCATCATCTATTGAGTCACTGCTACGATTATAGCCAAGCTAGTCGTGGAGTCTGCCGGATTCTTTCTGTCGATTACCTAGCAGAGAGCCCACTCAACAAGGCATAATTTTGGGACACCTGTGATCCCGCATCCTGGGCGATGTACTGAACGGATCCCCGACCATGATCGTCGTACATACCGAGGACCTTCCGGGTTTTGGAAAGCAATTGAGGGTTCTGTTGGTTGACTGGGCGCAGTGAGAATACCTCTAAATTGTCGACGATCCGACCCTGTGGATGGCGGTGCATTCGGATATATACCCTTCCTAGAACCAACTCGGAACACTCAGCTCCAACCAAGGGCGAGTGCGACGATACTGCCAAGTAAAATATCGAGAAGGAAGTGGAGGGGGTTAGTGAGTCTTGTTGTTTGTCTGGACGCTCTCACGACTTCCGACATGTCTACGATTTCATTCTCTGGATGACGGAGCCGATGGGTCCCTGGTCATCAACCCAAGAATCTACCTAGCAGATAGGTACGGTGGATTCGTCATCCAGAGATCGGGATCATGGATATTTTGGAAGTGGTGAGCGAGTTCAAGTCCCACCACGGTACCCGTCTCACACCTATGCCTAAGGGTGGTGCTTGGATGAGTGCAGGCTTACCGGCAGTGGAGCTGGTATGGATATTATGTACATAGGCGTTGTCAATAAAGTACCGCGCCGGGCTGGAAGTGAACTCGAGCTGTAATTTCCACTCGTCGGTTTTCGTGGGCTCTTTGGGGTGATTGGCGCCCTTGGGAAGCATGTTGATGTTGGTGTGCGTTGCGTAGGGCGAGCGGTTTTGGAAGCAGTGTTTGCGTTTGGTTTCGGTATGTAGATGTCGGATTCGGTCCGAACGTGTCGTTGAGGAACCGGCTGTCTCTTTTCTACCTAGTCTTCCCACATTATTGCCACCATCATCGCTAGGCACAACGAAACAAAAGTTTGCAAAGCAAAGCAAAAAACAAACTTAGCAACACCTCGTTTCGATCGAGGGACCTCCGGGTTATGAGCCCGGCGCGCTTCCGCTGCGCCATGTTGCTTACTGGTGTAAACTCTTACATCTGAGTGATAATAAGCCTACAATCTATCATTCGTGACAGGGCATTAATTGCAATATAAGTTTTCATATCGAGAACATATCACAACCTCTCACTCGATCCAAAGAAACGCGAGCAAATTAAACTCCATTACGCCAAAGACCAGATACCCAGTTCTGATAATGAAGTCTATTTAGAAGGCTTCAGTACGAATCTGGGCAATTCTTTTCCCTCTGCTGAGTCTGTTTAAGCTTTCGCTTGTGGTTTGGGGCGGCGCAGTGTCATACTAAAAGCACTGGAGACGTGGACAACCCTCTTGACTACTAGTTTGGGAAAGACGAGATGAAAGACCGATTGTATTTCAGAAGAGAGAGAAACGTCAATGTAAGAAAAAGTGAAACCTGTGTTATTCAGGTGTCCCTCGCGAACCTCGCAAGTTGAATAGCGAGACCTAACAACGAAAGCAATGAAAAACGACAATGAGAACGATAACGACAATGGTGAGCGGGGATAAGGTCTATGATGATGAGGAAACAGACAGACCGGCCGACAGACTATGCCCAGGTCGGCTAAAGTTCGCCGCTCGTGCGTCGACCCTGCCCGCTCTCAAATCGAATCAAAACAATACTCTCCGCTCATAGAAACACAGACCATCGCAGCTGGTCCCACCAGGTCCCGGCACGTTCAAAATTTCTAGCCCGTCTGTCTCACCTGGGTCCGCAGCTCCGGGGTCGAAAGGGCCTTGCCAAGGCTTCGTTTCCGCTGAGTCCCACATTACCTACCATGATGCGAGTGAGAATTGTATTGACAGACTACCATGTAAAGACAGTTTATGATACGGAAGTAAAAGAGAGTGTACAAAAGAACACGGTGTAATAACGAGCTTAACTAATCTCTTGGTGCCGAGGTCACAGTCAAACCTAGCCACGGTGGCCTACCGCCGCCAGTGTTTCGATAGAAATAAGAGGCCCAGCCGTGCCAGAATTCCGGGACCGAGCAGTCCGCGGAGCTCTCCAGTTGATCTCGAGACAGATATTCAAGAGTCAACACAGCTAAGCTCTTGAAGACTTCAGAAATGCTTGCTGAAAATTCGTTAGCTGCGGAACTGATGCATCAGTTTGCGAGCTCCATCCAGCACCGAATAGTGTATCCGGTGTCTGCGGTCTCCCCATGAGGCTGCTGTGGACTGGCACCTCCCGATGAGGACGACAAGCATTTGTGTGTGCTCCCAGGATCTTCTATCACCCTCACAGTTGTGAGCCAGCACGCGGAAACTCGGTAGGCGTCTCTTAGGCGAACCAGGCACTGCCTCCACAGCAGTGAGAGCAGGAGCTGTCGGCGAGAAAGAAGTGACGGTGGAGCTGTCGGCAGGTGGAATTGAATGTGGTTAGTAGCGAGCGTTAACATTTGAACTTTCCAAGCAGGCATGGCGGGATGGACCAAGTGGGGAGGAGGAGAGGAGGCAAACTTAAGCTGAGTCCCACGAGGTTTCTTCTTCTTCTTCTCCCTTCTCCATCACCATCTACACAATAAACGATCAAGCTCTACCTTCTCTTCTCTTCTGTGTGTGCTTACCTCTCAACCCTGCCGTCCATCTGGAGGGAAAGCTGCCCTCTACAAAACAATCTCTTACTTGTTTGCTGTCCTGGACATAAGCCAATATGTCTGCTTTGGGAGGTGTTCAAGGATACGGCCCTTCAAGTGGGCACGGCGAAATCGATGAGTCAGAGCAAGAACCACCGAGCAGCCAGCAGAGATATGGCTACAACTCCGATGACAGTGATAACGACCTTATGTACGAGGCCACCTACTCTATAGATGAAGAGGCCGAGACCGAGACCGAGGGAGAGGCGGAAGAAGATGCGGAGGGAGAGGAGGAGTTGGAGGGAGAGACGCAGGGAGAGGCGGTGAGTGAAGCGGAAACACATGCCACCCATGACATTACTGTCCCAACTGTCGTCGCTGAGATAATCAAGCTTATGATTGCAAAGATGAAGGACGGAGACATCAAGCTGCTGGCGAAGGTAGAAAGGGCTAAACCTATGCAGAAGGTAACCGTCACCTCTCTTCCAAGCGTTTTACATAGCTAACTCGAGGCCCACATGGTAGGCCATTCAAGTGCGTAAGGCGGCAGGCGATAGCGCCAGGCCGTATCCTGAACTCGTAATCCCTCCCACCGTCCGCAGGAATAAGATTGATCCCATGGAGCGCCTTCGGATGTCGCCGGTCGAGAATCCTGAAGCCCAGAATCCCAAAGCAGGCAAAGGGACCTGGCTGCGTCGTAGGATGGGAATCCCCAGTGGAATCCCGCTGAGAGACCAAAATAGGGCGGCCACAGCCTTATACACCAAAGTGCGGACGCTCTCAAAGCAGGAGTTGGATCGCCCTTACACATGGTATTCAACACAAGGCCTTACCACTGACATGATCAACCGAGTCGTGGCTGGCATGTATAAATACAGCTGGGATAAACGCCTTGCCAGAGATGTAATGATGAGCATCTGCCAGAGACGCTGCCAGAACATCAACAGGCGCGAAAATCGGGCGAGGCGCGCAGCTGGCGAGGAGATCAAACTTGGACGCCGAAAAACCGACTACTCAGCCACCTACGACGACCCGATGGACTTTGTGCCGACGATGAAAGCCCCCACCTACAATGACCCGAACGACAAGCTTATAGCGAATATGAAAGACCTTCCCGTAAATGATCCGACCGACGAGATTTTAGCGAATTTGAGGGCCCCCATCTACAAGGACCCGACGGACAAGCTTATAGCGAATATGAGAGCCCTTCCCGAAAATGACCCGATCGACAAGATTCTACCGAATTTCAGAGCCCTTCCCGATAATTCGCCTATTACCACATCAGCCAAACAGCGCAAAGCCAACTCGGTCGACAAGATTCTACCGAATTACAGAGCCCTTCCCGATAATTCGCCTATAACATGGTCAGCCAAACAGCGCGGAGCCAAAATGGGCCCGATTCCCTACACGGCTACAAGCCAGAGAAAGGGTCGGGGGGAATCTGGGCCCCATCCAGGAAGGGCTTCGCCATTCTCAAGCCTTCCTCCTCCTCCCCTTCCTCCTCGTCTTCTCCCTTCAGCTTCTCGGCCATTTACAGCACTATCCGGTTCTCGGCCTCCACCCATTCCATCCAGCTCTCGGCCTCCCCTAATTCCATCCAGCTCCCAGCCGGCTACTATTCCCATTCGTTCCGCCATCATCATGGAGCCTGATATATTGGTAAACAACTCCCTACCCAGCCGCTCAGATACGGTATCCAATGTGCGTCCGGCGCCAGGGAGGCTGCTTCCCTCACGACCTCTTGGAAAGACTAATCGCAGTGCTAAGGATCGACCGTCGGCTACGGCAAGTTCCAACAGCCTTCTTCGTTACAAGGCTCTTGTAAACGGAAAATCTGCTTTGGCACTGTTCAAATATTACGACTTTCAGACATTCAAGCTGGCTATCGCCGACGCCGCTAGAATTTCGAATACTCCACTTCCATCCGGTGACCTAGCTGTCTGCTACCGAAAGAACAATCCGCAATACCGTCACGAAGTTATTATTGATGATGAGATCGATTACAATGCCTTCTTAAGGAGGATCGCCTGAGGAGATGTCCGGTTGGAGGGGGATGCTGGGGTATTGTCGCTGAAATCTGCGACGAAATATGTGGCCTTCTCCCAGAAATCAGCAATGGTGACGAATGAAGAGGAAGAGCACCTTATTCCCCCGACGTTTGTTAAGGAGAGGGATACTAATAATAACGTTCTGAAACCAGCCGCAGGAAGGATTGACAAGAAAAAGACACCACGGGCCCTACCTCCTTCGCCGCACGTCCCCGGACGGCGTATAGCCGGCCCTGACCACGTGGCTCCAAGTTCCGCCGATCGCAAACCTCTCAATACCTCCACGGTCTCAAGTAACTTGGTACAACCCAAAGTCGTCGTTCCTAGAACTCTCGGCACTCATCAACTTGCCATGTCGCCTCCCACACCATTTAGTACTGGCCCCCCTCCGTCCGAGTGGTCAGCTCCCCGGCCCGGTGGACCAGGCAAAATCCGTATGAGTGGGTATTATAAGATCATAGTAAATGACAACCAGCATAATTTTTTGCCGAAGGATTTTACCTATTCGAGATTTCTCGATGCACTCATACGGCGATTTGGACCGGACGAGGGTTTTGATTTAGCTCGCACTGCAGGGGATCCTATCTACATCTTCTACTATAACAACGAAACTGGGCTCCCAGTACTGGTTGCTGCTGACGATTATGACCTCTTCATGCAGGCTATCGCAAAGGGTCAGGTCCGCCATACAAATGGAATGATCAACATCACCTTGACCTTGGAGAACAAGCAATCAACTGGCTCAGATCCGGAGGGTGACGAAGGCATTCAGGTTCATTCGAGTTCTGCACAGCCTGTCACCGACTCACCGGTTATTCGAAAGCGCAAACCTAACGGCAAAGCGATGGAAGTTGCTGAGACAGAGACCCAAGATCGTGGCACCTCCCAGACACTAGTTCCCAGATATCCGTCACACACATTGAAGAGGGTATCCTCCGAAGAAGACAGTGCCAAGGCCCGAGGCAATAAGCGGATAGTGAAGCCCACTAATTGATAGAAGTCGGAGGGTAAGTCCCTTAATTGTTGGGAATTGCAATTACTACAGGATTATCCGAGAGTCGATATACTGACGATGGCGTAATCTTCAGTCACGTTATAGGGGATCATTTTTAGGTACACACACGACGTCGACGCCATAGAAGTGAAAGATATAGTATACTAATCACGTATAGTTCATGCATTCGTGTTCACAACAGTAATGAGGGGAAGACGTAGTACTTCTGAAATTTTTTCATCCGATGTTGATTGCTTTTACTCTTTTACTTCATGCGTTACAATTTTCGTTTGGCTTCATGACATTTGTTTGTCTACACTGGTAACTTTTTCATTGGCTTCATGACGTTTTTTTTGTCTACACTGGTACTACTTTTTCTTTAGCTTCGCGACGTTTGTTTGTCTACACTAGTACTACTTTTTCTTTAGCTTCATGACGTTTGTTTTTTCTACACTGGTACTACTGACGATGGGATTCATGTGTACTGTTGCAATATATTTTAGGCTTTAGCACTGCTACTTTCAAAATGTACTACATTTATGGCACTCCAATTTTCGTAGCATACCGCATTGTATCTGATCTAACTCGACTTTTGGGGCCTTGCAAAAGCTTGATCGGCACGAGAGGAGGACTACTCTAGCTCACATGCTTCTTAGGCCTACCCTCGCGAAAACAGAAGAGGGCGATCGTGTACTTTGTGTGAGATTGGCGCTCTCAGTTGCGTTTGACATCTGATCGAGGATTATGTGGGAGGCGATTGTATTCCGGGAGGCGATTCTGTTGCGGTTGTTGTTGCGGTTGTTGTTGTTGGCATACAGGAGGTGGCCGTGCCGGATGACCCTCAACGATACTAGCAGTGAAACGAATCATTGGAACTCACTCGCTACGGCCCACCAGCCCGGGCTCGCCCGGCTGGTGGGCTGCTCAAAGCTGCGCTGCCAAGACTAGCCCGGCCCGGGCTGGGCTACACACGCCGGGCTGCGGGCTGGCTTTGATTAGGCTGGGCTGTTGCCTGCGCCGACGGTATGTATCGTACGCGTGCCATCAAGCCCATCACTCGCGCTAGCAGAGCGGAGACGGCTAGAATTTCCTTGAAGTTTCTTGCTAGAAGTGACCGCTCAGCAGGGACGATTTGCATTGCGTCTGATCGGGTCTATAGTTCTAAAGAGATGGAATAGGGTTGTCGTCGTCGTCCTCATAGAGATCGTCACGAACTCTCATCTTACGTCCCCATACACGACGGTAGTGCCAATGTCACAAATCTAGGCATGCGAGTAGGCAGGGCCAGTTTGTCCTTGTCGGCCAGTAGAACCCTATCTGGAGTAGGTACACATCATCAGTTAGGCAAAAAATGTTACTTACGCACCGAATCAAAAGACACGCTAGAGCTACAAGGAACTCTATCTCATCCCTGTGATTCTTGGTCTGCGGGAGCGGGAGGGGAAACGTAACCCACGTCTCGATATCCTTTTTTAAGACCCGATGATAAAGTTATTTGGCCCAGAACTTCGGTCGCAGACACAAAGGTTGATGGTTGATCTGATACAAAAAAATCGGCAGTATGAAGAGTCCAGACTGATGTGGTGAGAATGGCCGACGAAACAGAGTTCCGCTCACGGCTTCACAAGCCAGCCTTTCCTCGACCTGCTATCGCCAGCGGTGCCCTTCTGATGGCCACCTCCTGGCCCAACCCGTGCCCCAGAACGCAGAGGTTTTATACGACGATATAAGGGTAGCACGAGCACTATAGTGGACCAGCATCAAGCCTAGAAGACCGATGCCATACGTTTTCCGTCGGTTCGAATGCCTGGCTTGCCTGGTTGCTTTGCACTGACGTTTTCATTTCCCCTCATGTCATCATCGCCAACCCCCCTATCGGCCAAACTCCTACTACTATACTTCACATAAATAGGTACAAAGACCTCGGGATTATCTCGCTCGTATTCACCCCTCTCTATATGCCATCGATCTGTGATGCTATGCCGACTCTTGACCACCCTCGACCATCTCAAGCCCGACTCCCCACTTTCGGCCCACATCGCTCCAGGAAAGAGTTTAGAACCAGTGGGCCAGACCCTACGGTTCTTTATCATGTTCACTGATGGCCAGACCTGAAGTGCATGGACTCGATATCGGATATGGTGTCGCTTCGAGACTTGTATGAAAGTTTGTCTCGCAGGACACCAATTCGACCTTCACCGGTCCAGGAACGAGGTTTCACCGAACGGGCCAGACCCTGCGGTTCTTTTGTCGTGTTCACTGATGGTCAGACCTGATGTGCATGGACTCGTTTCTGAATATGGGGACCGCTTACATCCTCTCGCGAGCGTCCCCGCAGAAATGGATAAGAGCCAGTGGTCCAGACCCTGCGTTTCTCTGTCGTACTATCTGATGGTCAGACCTGAGGTGCATGACATCCATCCGACACCGATGTAGTTGCGGGCCTTTTTGAGGTACGATCGCTGTGAGCTCTTCCGCCTCATCGTGTCTGGTTCAAGAAATATCAGCGATGAAAGTCCAGGACGATATGAGCACAATGCTTCACACGCGGATTGCAGGTTACAGATCGCTAACGGATAATAGGCCACGTTCGTACTACCAATAGTGCTTCTCCTACGAGACTTTGAGCTCCATAATACCGAGAAAAAGGCGCCGGTCTTAAAACAACGCCGAGATAGCCGTGAGTCTTCCAAGTAGAACGGTTATTCCGCACGGCGGCTTCGAGTCTTTACTGACTGTTGTGGGGTTCGCCGTAGCCGTCGTCGTCTAGGCTCGATTGTTGCGTGTCAGATATGGCAGCATCGAGAATAGTGGGCCACAGGTTATAGTTTAGTATGATGGAGAAGGTTCGTTTGGGCGGAAGCTTGAGCTTTTCTTGCTGTCTTTCTTGGATACGTTACTGATCAATATACCAGTCTCATTATGTTGGAAGACTCACCGGCAGACTTTTTGCACATCCAGCAACGTCCACAAAGCTTGTTTGGCAATGATTTGGTGGGGCATTGGGCTCCTGCCGTGGTCAAGCACCTGTTGTGATGAAGCACGCATTGTGAGGTGAACAAACATCGGCTATAGTCAAGTACTTATCTGTTATGATCAAGCACCCCTTGTTTCCAATACCCGTTGTGAGCAAGCACGTGTCATGGTCGAGCACGTGTTGTGGCTAGCGACTGTCGTGAGAAAGAAGCTTAATTCAAGGTTAAGTGCCATTTGCGGCCAAGTACATGTATCCTCACTCGGCCACCCCCTCACCCCACCTTCGTGCTAGCTGGTAGCACCAGCTTGGAACGTCAACCTATCTTACCTCGAGCTCCTTCTATATTCCTTCCTCTTCCGTCCCTCCTCCACATCTTCCTCCATTCTTTCTTCACCTTCATCTTCCAATCTTTCTACTACGCATCGCACCTCTAACTCAATTCCTCTTCGCTTGTCATCAACCTTCATCTAAACCTCTACCATCTACTCTTCGCTTCAGTCCTATCTCCCTCTCTACGATCACCTTCGCTTCTCTTAGGAGTAATACCGGGTCATCAATTTCCAGCCGACACAGCGCCTCAGTTTTGAGTCCTCCTTGAGGCTTTTCTCTGACACCCTACCGTCTTTTCCAGTGAGCATACTATCCTGAAGTATAATGTTACTGAAAGAGCTTATAGCTAATTCAACAAGCTCGTGGAAGAGACAGATTCGCATTTCGATCGGTTCTTACATCATAAAAATCTGACAGCCATTTGCGAAAAGTGAGCACACCATCCTACGGTATAACGGCACTAAAAGGGCCGCGGCTAACCAAACAAGCTTTCAGACAAGATTTGCCATATCGTCGAATACGGTCATTCGTTCTTAGCCCGAGATGTTCCACTCACGATATAAACACTGTCCGACCGAGCCCTCGGAAAACTTCTACCCAAGCACCAACGCAGGCGGAAATATCAATAATTCGGCTGGATCTCTTCCTTCTCCGACTCTAACTCCTCCGCTTTCGACCCTATCTCCTCCATCTCCAGTCCTGTCTCCTCCATCTCCGACTCTGTCTCTTCGCAATCCGAGCTCACACCATTCGGTGTCGTCGGCTCCGTCTTCGCCAGAGATAACTATGTCAGAAGCGTCACAGACTGCACCTATGCCGCACGATACGAATGTCGTTGATAGCTCTGCTACCCCGGACGTTCAGATGACTGCCGCACCCGTCTCGCTGGACTGTTTCGCGGAAGTGCAAAACGAAATGGATCCCCAGCAAGATAAAATGGAGACGGATACGGATGCTCAGCAAGACGATATGCAGACCGATACCGATGCGCAGAAAGATAAAATGCAGGCCGATACCGATGCTCAGCAAGACGAAATGCAGACGGATACCGATACTCAGCAAGATAAAATGCAGACGGAGACGGAGCCTGAGCAAGACAAGATGCAAATTGAAATAGATCCTCAGCAAACGGATATGCGAATAGAAATCGATTCCCAGCAAGCGGAAGTGGATCCTCAGCAAGATGAAATGGAAACCGATCCCCAGCAAGATAAAATGCAGACGGATACCGATACTCAGCAAGACGAAATGCAAATTGAAATAGATCCTCAGCAGATGGATATGCGAATAGAAATCGATTCCCAGCAAGCGGAAGTGGATCCTCAGCAAGATGAAATGGAAACCGATCCCCAGCAAGATAAAATGCAGACGGATACCGATACTCAGCAAGATAAAATGCAGACGGATACGGATCCTCGGCAAGACGAGATGAAAATTGAAATCGATCCTCAGCAAGCGGATACCGCCATGGATACAGATAAGCCATCCCGCTGGGCTAAGCATTCCAGTCTGCCCAAATTCGTCGCCACAGAAATTCGGCGATGGCATTCATCGGGAGTGAGAACTAGTGATTTTGTTATCCGGTCGATCCGCCAGCGTATCAACAGTTTGTCGAAGTTGGTACACAAGCGGGATCCTAGCTTTGACGGTTCGCCGGTGTTGATCGAACAGCAAAGCCTAATCATCAATGTTACTCAGAAAGTCAGCCCGAAGGCAGACGACACATACCCTACTCCACGTGTCAGCCAAATCCGTCGCTTCATCCGCAATAGAAATCTCGGTGTTACGACACCCGATGCCAGTATAAGACATGATTCGCGTCCCCTCAGCCGAGCCGGCAGCGACAAAACCTTCACTACGCTCGCCAGCAGTCGTTCCTACGCCAGCCCCCGCAATAGTCGCTCGGACCAGCAGAATACATACATCCAAGTCAAAGTCAAAAACAGCTTTGCGATTAGGCACGAAGCCTATCAGCGTCGCCTTACCTACTTACGCAGAGCGATGTGTGCGAAGTGGCCGGCCTGTGCTGACAGCAGCTATGCGGCGTGTCAATGCTTCTTGAGGGCGCCAGGCCACCGAGTTGTGGTCCGCGAGTTATCTGACGAGGAGGTGGAACTGGCATCACTGGCGTACGTCGCCGAACGATACCTCATCCTACAGGATGACAACGACTACCACATGGGATAATGGTCATACCGACGACCACGACGGCGGGATCGACTGCAGAACGGGTATGATTTGATGATGGGTTTGCTTTGATGATACAGTTTTTTTTTTGTTCCATTAGCTTTACTAGCGGCATTTCCCTTGGAAAATAAGTTTATGTTGGTTCACTCTGTTTTTTTATGTGATTTGTTGATTGTACACAGTGCATCACTCGGTGGGTGAGTTATTTGTCACAAGCATTGGAGCGGGAGTTGATGGGTTTCTTGTGTTTGATTGCCTTGCGAATTTTCTGCTCTTGGTCACCGATGGGGATGTTGAGGTTTAATGGGGTTTTATCGCGGGAGGTCAATGTCGTGAGGGGGTTTTTTTTTGTGAGCAGCCATTATTTTTGACGGTTTTGGTTATGGCCAGTCTTGTTGGGTTGTCTATATGGGCAGTCCTTTGAGGTTGTTCATGTTTTCGTACAGTTACCCACGTGTGGCTGTGGGTAGGCTCGTTTGTGTATTAACTACCGTCATATACCTTGGAGGGGAAGTGGTGAGAGGGGAGGTGGTCCTATGGAATGTACAATTGCTTCCTCTGTATCAATAAATCGCACTTTCCATGTCAATAAACTGCACCCACCGAGTCAGCATGGGTGGGGCCATGTGGAGAAGTGAGGTGCGGGGGATTGACTTTTAGCGCCACACGGAAGATGCTCACCGACCCTAGTCAACCGTCGTCCAAGCATTGTCCATCTCGCCAACGTCGCGTCTCAATCCGCTCGCCACTTCATTGCCACTTATATACACCACGATGCCTCTGCCCATAGTCCAGACCTACGATACCTGGGGCGCCTCCGGGAGCGCGACCATTGCGCTCGACTCCAAAACGGCCACCTCGCAGCCCGTCGCCACGCGCATCGCCGGCCGGCCCACGAAGAAGGTGTCCTACCACCACAACCCGCTCGCCGAGAACCACCACTTCGGCTCATCCCACCCGATGAAGCCATGGCGGCTCACGCTCACGAACCAACTCGTGCTCGGCTACGGGCTACAGAACCACATGGACTGCTACGCGACGCGGCCCGCCACGCCGGAGGAGCTGGGCGACTTCCACACGCACGACTATCTCGACTTTCTGCGGCGCGTCACGCCGGAGAACGCCGACGCGTTCGCGCTGCAACTGCCAAAATTCAACTTCGGCGAGGACTGTCCGATCTTCTCGGGCATCTGGGATTTCTGTACGTTATACTCGGGCGCCAGTCTGGACGCGGCGAAGAAGTTGCTTAACGGCCAGAGTGACATCGCCATCAACTGGAGTGGCGGCCTGCACCACGCTAAGAAGAGCGAGGCCTCCGGGTTCTGCTACATCAACGACATCGTCCTGGCGATCCTGCAGCTCCTGCGGCATCATCCCCGCGTCCTCTACATCGATATCGACGTACACCACGGCGACGGCGTGGAACAGGCCTTCTTCAGCACCGACCGCGTCATGACCCTGAGCTTCCACAAGTACGACAAGGACAACTTCTTCCCCGGCACGGGAAACTGGGACGACATCGGCGGGGGCGCGGGGAAGCACTACTCGCTCAACGTCCCGCTCCGCGACGGCATCGACGACGAGAACTACCTGCGCCTATTCAAATCCATCGTGGAGCCAGTGATGCAATCCTACCGGCCGGCATCGATCGTGCTGCAGTGCGGCGCGGACTCCCTCGGCGCCGACCGCCTCGGCTGCTTCAACCTGAACATTAGCGCGCACGGCGCCTGCGTCGAGTTCGTCAAGTCCTTCGGGCTGCCGCTGCTGCTCGTCGGCGGCGGCGGCTACACCCCCCGCAACGTCAGCCGTCTCTGGTGCTACGAGACGTCAATTGCCACCGACACCGAGGTGGGCACAGAGCTCCCCACGCAGCTCGGACACCCCTTCCGCGAGTACTTCGCGCCGGAATATGTGCTCCACCCCCGCCTCGGCACCGACGGCCGCTACGAGAATAAGAACAGCAGGAAGTATCTCGAGACGGTGCGCCAGAGGATCATGGAGCAGCTGAGGTATCTCGGTGGCGCGCCGGGTGTGCAGATGCAGGAGATCCCGCCGGATATTCTGGGCGGTCATAGTGACTTTGAGAACGCCATCAAGGACGAGATGCGCGCGTAGGCGACGGTTTCATTTTTAGTGAGCGAGCGGGGGTTTTGGAGTTTTTGGATATTGATTTTTTTGCTTGCACATTTCGTGGTTTCTTTAGTGTGTACTCGCTGTCTCGTGTCTTCCGGATCCAGGATAGCAAGGTTTTTGCTGGCTCTCGAGATGTGCGCAATGTAATCGAAACAGAATTTTCTGATTGGTCGAAGTGGTGACCGAGTCATGCCTGGAGGTCGAGCTCCAATGTAGGCCGTTTGCACTACCTAGATGTGGCCCCAAATGAATCCCATCGTGACGGTCAACAGCGCAGTCACGGCTTACGACTCCCAATGTTATTTTGTTCCATCATCTTTGCATTCGACCGTGGATCCCGGTAGGAACATGACCTTCTGCCACCTCCCTCCACAGAAACAACAAACCTAAACAGAGCCCACAAAACCAGAGCTCCCGTGATCCACATGGACCAGAAATTATGAACATTGTACCTACATACTAGAAGTAAAACCTGCAACCCCCAACCCCCGAGTCTACCAGAAAACGCCCAAAGAAAGCACGATAAGCACGAGAAAGCGGGAGCCAAAGAGAAAATGAGAGGCAGACTAAGCGTACCAACCCGTGGCCGTGATGTTTATTTCCTCCTTGGGTCGGGTCGGGATGATCACCGATTTTGTGATGCTATACACTTCGATGATCCGCTTCCACTCGTACATCGTCAACGAAAAGATCGACTGCTTGCGCGAAACCTCGCCGGACTCCCGCTGCGCGGGAGTGGCCTCGGTTGCGGCCGCTGGGGATTGTTAGTGCTGGATAAACGAAGGTGGGTAACAAAGGGGGACTCACAGAGCATGGGGATTCCAGTATCCTCGTCCGTCCAGATCGCTACTCGTCCCTCACCGACCAAGAACGAGATGACGAAAATGTTCTCGATGGTCTGGCCATAGCTCTCGGGGTTGATGACAACATCGAACAGCCGCAAGCCTGGGTCCGTCTCGCCGTCGTACTGATCACTCTCCATGTACTTTATGAGCAACCCGTGGACTTTCTTGACAAGTTTTAGCGTGGTAGTCTGACTCTGCTGGATGTCCTCCGCGCTCATGTCGATTGGCCTTGTCGCCTGCGTCCCCGGTTGATGTTCGATGCCCTCCTTGCGCGTGCGCACGACCCGCACCCTCTTCTGCAGACTCAGAGGTCCCAGAAGGAACTCGATGGTCGGGGGACGTTTATTGCCCTTGTAGGCCGCCGCACGGCCGAGGTACGCCCAATCGGAAGCATCGCCGTGATCCTCATTGTCGTCGTCCCCCTCTTCCTCCTCGCGCCGAGGAGCCGCCTCGCGGCCAGCCCGCTTCATGAACGAGAAGCACTTTCCGACGAACTCGTCCACATCGATACCGGTCGACGACGAGCCGACCACCATGGTAGTCACACGCTTCAGCGCGAGATCCGACGCCGTGACGAGCAACCGCGAGTCCAGCGTGGCATCGGAGGTTTGCTTGACGTTCTTGTACAGCCTGTTGGCGGACGCGAAGGCCTCGTACAGATTCTCATTGTCGCGCTGGAGGTACTCGGCCTTGGATTCTGTCCCCGCAGTTAGCAGCAGCTCGGTGTGGTGCGCACCCGCGTCGCGCCGAACCCCCACACACACCTTCCAGCGATTTCTGCAGCACTCGGTAGCCCTGGCGCACGTGGCGCCGCTCGTTGAGGTTCTGCTCGGGGTCGTACACTGCGTCCTTGTCCTTATTCTTCAAGGTCGATGTATCGTTCTTATCCCGTGCGTCGCCTGCCTCCTCTTCGCCGCCAGATTCGGCTTCGGATTTGACCTCGTCGTCCTCGTCGTCATTGGTTTGCGCCCGAGGCTGCCGACGGCGTGCGGTGGATGCGGGTGCGGCGTCGCGGTGTCGCGTGGAAGGACTGTCCTGCTCCTCGTCGTCGGAGTCCAGTGCGTCGACCCTTCTTGTTCGCGTCGAGTGCGATTGGCGAGGCATGGCTGTGGTGGGGTGGTGGACGGTACGGACTATTATCCGTACAAGGGGTGTAGAGTAGTTCGAGCCCGCTCGTAGTCGAGGGAAGCTGGATGGATGCGAAGACTTGATTGCGACGCGAGGCAGGGATTCGCGTCGGGGAGAAAGTGCGCTATATTACAGCCGGCGAACAGGGGTTGCGGCTGATTATGACGTGATCTTATCCGTAAGGACGGTCACTCGCCTGTGTAACAGAGATGGCGCCAGCTGAACGCCACACTCACATCAGCCACTACCAGCCTTCCTGGGCGAAAACGGTGCAATCCATTTGTAATGGCTTTTGCTTGTCGGTCACATTACGTGAAATGACCTACGGGAACGAGAAGAAGAGGCGAGGGGACCAGTAGTCTGGACCAGGCATGGCCAGGAAAGGCAGTCTACATAAGTTGGAGTGTTGAGGTCATGCAGCCGACAAGGTTGTGAGGCTGCTCGCATTGACTTCCTACTGCCCCACGACACCTTACTACAAGACATCTTAATTCAGATCTTACTTTCTATGCGGAGACTTTCTTCTCCCCCGGCAACTTTGGCAGGCTGCCTAGGTACACCAGCGGGTCAGCCATCCCGATGGCATATATATGGAGGCTGTACTCCTAACGCTGAGTGTACCGAACTATATTTCCCCATCTCTGACACTTACCATCCCGTTGCTTTCAGCCTCCACCTTGCCTTCCACCTCGCCTTCCATGGCGGATTATTCCTCGAGCCCACTCAGCACCCCGCCATCGAGCCCATCCGAGCCGCCTCCCAGCCCTCCCACATGGGGTGCTCCACCTCACTACCGGCCAGAAACCCGTCCCTCGGCCGGCGGCAGTGAAGCTGCATGGGCGGAGGAAACGTATCCGACAAGAAGATCGGATCGCTTGATGCACCGCGTGTTGAAGCGGCTTTATCCTGAGGTGGAACCGGAGGAAGACGATCCTCCAGTGAACTCGCGGCCGACAGCGGAGCGACTGGTACCGCAGCGAGAACAACGGTCACCGAAGCGCCGCCGGACGGGGGTGACGCCGGTGGGGAAAGTCGTGGAGCCGGTGGCAGAGCACTGCACTTCGGAGCAATCGAGACAGCCATCGCCGGAGCTTCCCCAGTTGGAGGTGGGACCTGTGGAGGAAGTCGTGGAGCCGACATTGGAACGACTAGTACCGGAGCAAGAACCACTGTCGCCGGAGCTTCCCCGGTTAGAGGTGGCACCGGTGGAAGAAGATTCGGAGCCGACAGCAGTGCAATACACACCGGGGCAAGAACAACGGTTGCCGGAGCTTCCCCAGTGGGAGGTGGGACCGGTGGGGAATGTCGCGGAGCCGACAGCAGGGCGATGCACATCGGAGCAATCGAGACAATCGTCCCCGGGGCAATCGAGACAATCGTCCCCGGGGCAATCGAGACAATCGTCCCCGGGGCAATCGAGACAATCGTCCCCGGGGCAATCGAGACAATCGTCGCCGGAGCAATCGAGACAACCATCGCCAGGGCTTCTTCAGTTGAAGGTTGGACCGGTGGAAGACAATTCTCCGGCGAACTCACGACCGACACCGGAGCGACTGCTACCGGAGCAAGAACAATCGTCGCCGGAGCTACTTCAGTTGGAGGAGGGAACGATGGGGACGCTGGAGGCAGACGCGGAGCCGACAGCAGGGCAAGGCACCCTGGGGCAATGGAAACAATCGTTTCCACAGCTGGAGGTGACACCGGTGGAGGGAGACGCAGAGCCGACACCAGTGCAATACACATCAGAGCAATCGAGACAACCGTCGCCGGAGCTGCCCAGGTTGGAGGTGGAGCCGGTAGAAGATGAGCCGCGGCCAGAGCGATACACATCTGAGCAATCGAGACAATCTTCGCCGGAGTTTCCCCAGTTAGACGTGACACCGATGAAAGAAGACGCGGAGCCGACAGCAGGGCAATACACACAGGAGCAATCGAGACAATCGTCGCCGGAGATTCCCCTGTTGGAGCTAAGGCCGGTGGGGAAAGATTCGGAGTCGACATCGGAGCGACTGGTACCGGAGCAAGAACAACCATCACCGAAGCGCCTCCGAACGAGGGTGACACCGGTGAGAAAAAACACGGAGCCGACAGCAGAGAGATGCACATCTGAAAAATCAAGACAATTACCGCCAGAGCTTTCCCGGTTGGAGGTAGGACTAGTGGAAGAAGAAGAAGAGTCGCAGCCAGAGCATCCCAAACCTGCAGAGAACCCATTGCCGCAATCTTCTAGTAGCAACGCCACATCGAGGCGGTCCTACAAGTTCGAGATCCCCGATTTTCTAATAGAAGGCAAGAAGCCGGACTGGCGACGCCATCCGATCCAGCTCGACACCACACGGTACGATCTTGCGGACTACCGCACGCCTGTCGGGTCCCGCAAGAAGCTGCTTCCGCAATCCAAATTCTTCGAGCATGTCATGGGGATACCCAAGCCGCAGTTATACATGATCGAGGTGGCTCGAGCTAGAGGTATCTACGTCGTTGGGATTTTGTATTTTGGATGGATGGACATGGCTGATTTTTGTGGTGGTGGCACAACACAGGTGATGCGGTCTACCGCTGGGAATGCAGATCGCGAATCGTCGACGTATTTTTCCACCTCAATCTTGACGTCCTCAAGCCCGAAAAGCATATCCTACCACTGGACAAGGGCCTGACCGACGCGGAGACCTACGAGGAGATTCCCGAGTCCAAGATCTACATCGCGCTCGACAACTCGATGAAGCCCTTGGTCGTCCGCTTCCCGGCCGCCTTCGACCGGGTGTGGAGATCCAAGGCGGACGACATCCTCACGACCACGGCGCAGAACATCGACAAGCTAATCGCGTTCAAAGCGCCCACCAAGCCCAAATGCCGGCGGCACTGCCACAACGACAAGTGGATCGCCGAGAACCAAGGGTATCCATGGGCGACCGGTGCGACGGCGCGCAACGGCATCGTCTATCTAGGCCTGTGGAAAGAGCAGGGACACAACCATCTGCCCGCAATCCCCACCGCCGACTCTAGGGCAGAAGCCGCCCGCACTTCGTCGATGCTAAAAGATCTCCAGTTCTGGCTAGGGAACATCACAGATACCATTGGCTGCTGCTTCGAAGGCGTCGATCCCGTCATGTTCCGCCGCTACAAGGAGCTCTTCAGGGGATGTCAGACCGGCGCGGGAAATCGGTACAGTGTCGCAACCGTCGCGGAGGAGTTCTTTACCCTGCGAGCGCTGCTGGTGAATACCTTGACCGAACCCCATGTCGATATCGAGGACCTGGACAGAGGATACGCATGGTTGACACCGTTCGGTAGCTACAGCGGTGGCGAGTTCTGTGTTGCTCTGTTGCGCCGGAAGTTCAGCTTCCAGCCGGGCGATGTGATTGGGCTCCGAGGGAAGGAGCTACAGCACTTCACTACGAAATGGCAGGGTGACAATCGATACTGTCTGGTCTCCACCATTCATGGCAGGGTGGTGTAGCCATCCTCGGTTGGTCTGGGTTTCTGCTCTTTGGGCTTCGTCTCGGTCCCTGGTTGCTTGGGTTGCTGGCTGGAGTTTTAGTCTTTCGCAGTTACGCGTGTTCAGTAATAAACTTGTCCAGTAGTATGGTTTGGTAGAGATTTTCTAGTATATCAACGACCGGCAATCTCAGTGGTAACTTTACCCGATCACTACGATGTGTCCTCGGCCCAGGTTCCTGGTTTGCTTTTGGGTTTCAGTTTGGGTTGTTCTGGACAGCAGTAGATAGCAGTACAGTACAAGGCAAATGTATTTCATACGTAACGTTCATTCCGTCTGTGTATGGCCTGCGTTCGTCTCAGCCATCCGACACGTGCTCCACCTCTTCCATCATGCACAGAAACCCCATGAATTCCCGGCCCACTTCTCTGCTCCACGTAAGTGAGGTTATAGGAACTGAGAACTCTCCTGGCAACGGTGCAGGTAGAAGTCAGCGTCCACCGTTTCGCCGGCAGGAAACTCTCCTCTTCGAATGTATTCGAGATATGGTGCCCGCAGGCTGCGGTCAAGAAAGGCATCTTGTCGATTAACTCTGTGCACCGGAAAGTATAATATAATATTTCTGTACGGCAACAGCCGACCCCACCAGAACCTCCTCGTTTCCAATCTATCAAACAGACACATCTTCAAACATGACGCAAATTCATTACACGTTAGGGATTAGAATTCACAGGTTCTTGCCTGAGCACGTAACTAGCCGGCTATGTGAATATACGGTGCTGCGTTGCGTGAGTTGTCAGTATACCTACCTCATACATATGGGACTCGGTATCTGTATAGATGCAGTTGACCTTGGATTATCGGCAGTCACCAGAAATGCGTTACCGTAGGCCTTCATCCTACATGGCCAGAGTCATGGAAGGAATGTCTGAGAGTCAATCGACTGGAATGATCGAGTCAATTGGTTAGGATGACTGAGTTAATCCGTGAAATGACTGAGTCAATCCGCGAAATGATAACGAGTAATATTTGGTGATCGCAACTCATCATTACGAGGTAGCCATAATAGAAGGATGGCTGCAGGCTCAAAGTAGAACCAGGAACCTTCCTCTGAGTCTTCTCCTCCAGCGAACGTACGTCCCCACATTTTCATCTCCTACCCAGCAGATCCGACGTCCGCATACCTACACACTACCCTGCCGGGCACGTTTGCTCGGCCCCGCAGGCATCGCCTCCCTCCTCGGGCTCGTCTTTTATCGTCGAGATCTCCCTCCTCACGTCCTCCGCCTTTCAGAGTAAGTACAAGCCGCAAAATTCGAAGTAAGCCGAGTGAGAGTGTGTGAATGGCTATGCGAATCATCACGTTTTCGGGCGTGATGTTTGGGTTTCCGCCATCGGCCATAGTAATAAAGCTATTGGTCATACGCTGTACAGCTGCAGCAGACCCTTTTCGCATGATCCCCCCGGCGGCCCTCTCCCTGTGGCGCACAGATTTTATCAGCTATTCTATCTAGGCTCTACGTTCCCAGCTGAGCGGAAAAGGTCAGAGAATGAAGGCAAGGGAAACCAAACGACAGCGCCTTACTGGCCCGTCACCTCCTCCACCACCTCGCTCGCCAACACCATCGCCAACACCAGTGTTGTGCAGAAAGCAAGAGCCCTATCCTTGTCCTGTTGCGTCTTCGGGACCTGGAATCTCCGGTCGCCCATACGACCGGGCAGCAGTAGTAGAGACAAGAGATAAGATGCCACGTGAAGGCAGCGAAGACGCTGAGGATTTTCTCGGGAGGATAGCGACGGATGTGGAGGAAGGCAGGGTAGCAGCGGCGGGGTCGGACAGGGGAGAGGGTCGAAGGGGAGGGGTAATTCTGGACTGGCGGGCGTGGGTCACTGGCGCATCGGATTGTGTAGTAGGTAGACGGCCCTTCCTTGGTGCGCTCAGATGATCGATGCTCGGTGGTGGGTGGTATGTACCGTATCTAGCTTCCCTAGGTACAAGTAATGAGGCAAAATGGCATTTTAAGGTGAATGAGCGCGCTAGAAATGCTTCACTAAAATGAGGAAACTCAATGAGTAAATGGAATGAGGCACCTGTCCTTGCTGTCCTGTGCTGGCTGTCAGTCCTTGGTCTTCCCACATTCTCCCTGCCGCGGATAGCACACTCTCCTCGCCGCGGAAGCTCCTTTCCTTCCTGCAGCAGGTACGCATCTTCCTCCTATGCCTCCCTACAGTATTAAGCCTGACTCGCCGCATATTACGCACTGTTATGGCGGAGTGATGGAGGAGCTGCCGGCGAGAGGAAAAGAACGTGATTAGTAGTGGGCATCAACGTTGGTAGGCATGGCAGAATTGACCGAATTCAGTGAGGAATCCTCGATTGGCACTCGTGAGCATCTGGAAAAGTGGAATAAAATCTAGATTGTCTTCATGCGGGAAGTAATGACTGTTGGGAGGATGAATGGCGAGGAGGATGAATAGCGAGGAGGATGAATAGCGAGGAGGATGAATAGCGAGGAAGATGAATTGCGAGGTAGGCGAATAGCGAGGTAGGCGAATAGCTCCGGCTTCGATGATTCTCAATGACAACTAAAAAGACACACACTGACTTCTTTGCTATCGTTTACCCTTCTTCGATGTTGCTCGCGGCGATGACGACAGGCGTTTCGCATTCTCATTTTTCCGAGGTGTTCCGTCGCACAGATCCCGATCCTCCGTGGTCCCAATCAGACAGTCGCAAATGAAGCGGTTCAAATCTCAAATCAGTCGACTTGCAGAAAATCGTTGGAATAGTCCCTGGAGTAAACAAACCGTTCAAAGGATCCAACAAACCGTTCCCGATCAGTCGACCTGCAGAGATCGTCGACTATAAACCTCCCCTCGCCCCGGACCGTTCTCATTCTCGTTCTCATTCTCGTTCTCGTTCTCGTTCTCATTCTCGTTCTCATTCTTGTTCTCATTCTCGTTCTCATTCACTGCTAACATCTAACCCTCATTCTCCCTCACTGCTCAAGAACTCACTTGTCGACTGCAATTGTCCCACGTTTCGCTCCGCCACAGTTCGTTGCATGATTCCGAGATCCACTCTTAGTTCACACAGAATGTGAAAGCTACTACAGAACTTCCAAGGGCAATGTCGGCTTATCGACTGCACACAAGTGGCGAGCAGCAAAGGGGATACCACGATACAGAGGAGCAGCTGCCAGCGAGTGCATTGTCTGGCATTGAGAGTGCATTGTTTTTGTTGAATCATTGATTGCAAGCGATTAGGTAGCTAGAATACACACACATTACTCCTGGAATCTGAAGACTATGGAAGCGATTGTCTTTGTTGCTATTGGCAGTCATTCGGGAAGCATTGCAAGAGTCAATCAACCCACATGGGTGGAGTCATTGAAGGAATGGCTCTAGTTAATGAGCAAGGAATGACTGAGTAAATCCGCGAGACGCCCGGTCGCCTTGGCCGCCACCCCCCTGCTAACTAACCAACCAACCTCGCAACCCACCCGGGTCCTCAAACCACCCCATACAAATTGACTCGCGAAACCCATTCCGTTTTTCCATTCCATCCTCAGATTTGAGGACTCCATTCACAGCCTCCATTTCCACACCACTGTGAAACCCGACTTTCATTGAGCGGCACGAGATAGCGTCCCCTGCCCTGGCGGACAATATTCCCTTGCCTCCGTTGGGTAGCGACGTACACGTAACTACCATGGCTGCGTTGGCGAGCTGTCAGCTACGACATCCCGCCAATCCGGCACCTTCACTCTACTCTAATTGAGCCTCCAACGCGGCGGCAACGTTAACCTTGTAAATCAATTGACCCCGCCAACCCCTCACCAGTGCGCGTGCTCCCCGGCCGCAATCCAGAGATGCTCAACTTTATGGACCTTGTCCAGAACGCGTTCTACAGCACGACGCGATGGAACACCGACAACAGCTACTCGACCCTCAATGCATCGACACGGGGTACGCACCATCCCGCCCATCCCACGCTGCGCACTCCCCACGCTGACGCGGAAAACTAGCGCTCCTCGACTTCGCGACCCCGCGGGGGCTGCGGATGAACCTGTCCTCGCTCGCGACGCAGCACTTCGCGACGTCCTACACCCTCGGCTCGCTCTCCGTAATCGACGGTAGTCTCAGCTACATCTACTCAACGGTGCCATTGCACCTCGCCTCCACCGCCGCGATCGACCTCCGCCTCGTCACCCCCGGCTACCGGCAGCTACAGCCTACGCTCCCCCCATCCGCCGCGTGCAATGCCGCGCTCCTCTACGGCCGCATGTACCTCCCCAAGGGCACGCTCGAGGCACTGTACCTGCGGCGCCTCGGCGCCACCACCCAGGTCCGCGTCACCGCCGTCAGCGACTCGCAGCTGAAGCATGGCGGCTCCGTCATGGGCATCCTGCAGCACGACACTGGCCGCTGGTGCAGCGAGTACCTGTACTCGACGGATGTGGCGCTGCTCGGCTGGCGCGGGTTGTATAATTTTGGCCGCGACACGGTTGAGGAGGGTGCTAGCGATAGGCCCGTGTGGAGGTGCAGCGCCGGCGCGGAACTGTACTATGGCGTTTTGAATAAGAGTGCTGGGAGTAAGTTTTCTGATCCGATCTGGGCCGGAGATGGGAGGGGGAGGACGAGGGGCGCGCTGACAAGGCGATCCAGTGTCCACTGGGCTCAGATACACCACGCTACCATCGCACCCCGGGATCCCGCTGACGATGACGCTGACGCTCAATCCGCTGATGGGCCACCTGTCGGCGACGTACGCGCTGCTTGCGGGGGAGTCCACCGCGTTCGCGACCAGGTTCGAGTTCAACATGTACTCGTACGAGAGCGACCTGGTGCTCGGCTGCGAGCTGTGGCGCGGGAAGGGCGAGGAGGGGGCGGAGGGGGTGTTGAAAGCGAAGGTTACGAGGAACGGGAGCGTCGGGCTGCTGTGGGAGGGTAGGTTTAAGGAGCTGCTTTTCTCGGTCGGCGGGTTAGTGGATTTTGGGGGCAGGGGCGGCGTAGTTAAGGTGCTGGGGGTAGAGCTGTCGTACTCTTCGTAGGGATAGGTATTGAAGCATTTGAGCGGGCGTTTGGGGGTGGGGATTTACTTGCGGTGGTGATGATGCACTCGTGCATATTATACTGGCATCTTTGATGGGATCTCGTTGGTTACTCCGATAGCAGTGGGCTGCATCTCGTCAACCACAGTACCGGGCGGAGATGATTCTTATCCACCGGGAGGATGCCGAGGAGCGTTCGCATGTATGTTGCCGTCACCATTTGTTAGTTTTTTCATCAGAGGGTTGAGGTTTTGGCGAGGGAGAATCGTCTGAGTCGACGGATGGACAGAGAACAGTAAGTCCCCGCTGTAGCAGCTGTATCCACCGCGACGATTGCATCCGCTTACTTTGCTGTAGGTTTATGCAATTCTCACACAACAGACGGAGTCGAAGGTGGTATATGGACCTTCTACGACGCAGTATCATACCCAGACGCCGGCATGCAGACTTTACTAAAGGGGCGGTGTTCGTACTTTTGCACGTCCAAGATTCCATGGGTCCCAAGCGAATGGGAAGTGTGGTTGGTGTCGGTGCGAGCCGGGAATGCAGCGGTGGTTAGGGCCACTGTGGCGAAACGGTTACTTGATGTGTTGGAAGTGTAGCCACCGGGAAAGCAGTCGAGATTAAGAGAGGAGTACCAATGGAAGTTACCAGGGAGTACATACTCTACATAACCTACGACAATCAGTTGTATGCATGGACCATAGCCTGTGATGAACAAGTGTGCTCGGAAGTCTCGCGGGAGTGTTTAAAAAGGCATAGTTCCATCTAGGAGAGTGTTACACCCAGTGAGCTGGTAACACACCTCCTACACATGGGAATACAATAGTACCGGAACAGATACCGTTTACCTTAGACTATTGGCAGTCACCCAGGAATCATTGCAAGAGTCAATCAACCCGCACAGTTGAAGTCATTAAAGTAATAACTCTAGCCACCGAGCAGGAAGGACCGAGCCAATTGTCATAAAATCACGAACTTCCGTGCACCGCGTCATACGAGATCACTCTCTATGTTTAGAGACTTCCGGTATCTGTTCTCAGAGAAGGTGGCGAGAGGCCTCTATCCGAGGTACTCCCGCCTCCCTCTACATATGCCTTTCTTCCGGCTACGTCTCTATGGTACACTGTACACTACTTCAAAATACCACTTTTTCAACACTAATCTACGGATTGATGACGAGTGATCTTTTATGATCAATCCTCATCTCTCCGAGGTAGCCATCAAAACCCCGTGGAGGGTGGCTATGGATTCACAGTAGAGATCAGGAGTGCGTTCTACCACATTGGAACCCTCACAGCTAAGCCGTGCAGCTTGTCACATGTTATCCTCCGTGACCGCTATGATAAAACCACACTAGTTGCCGTTTCCCTTACTAAAAAAATTTGTACTCGGTGGGTATATGAGGCAAAGCCTGTCATCCGCCAGTACTTTGGAGAAGTTTGGATCAAACCTCGTCGAGTTGCATATACATAGGAATATACTTCACCAGTTCTACTGCGATTGCTGCGGCACTTAGGATAGGCCATTGGGTAATAAGGAGATGCATACTACCTGCAAGATAATAGTCACCGGAAGTACACGGGTGACGGAAGTCATTGAGCCAATAAGCCGCGGCTCCGTCGTTTGTAGTCGCTGACCATCTCGAGGGTGCATACGAGCTCAGCTCGGAGACACCGAAATCGAAGATCTTCAGGAAGCGGTACCCTTAAAACTTAGTGCCTAGACCCATCGTGCTTATCTCTTACGAGATACTCTTGTTTAATGCCGAGGTATTACCCCTCCTGTGCGCATGCAGTTGGACAGAAGGCGGGGCGAGTCGTCGCGGTATAAAGACCGACGACTTTCCGTCGTAGAGAAGGCATCGACAATCATCAGAAGAAAGTTGAGCCTTAAAATATAATGTGAGACCGGAGTGTTTCGCAAACTGATTGTCGATGCCTTAACAATATAGCATTGTTGCTCTTGGATCAACTCTTGTAGAAATTCGAGCAACAGAGGGGGTTTATATACGGAAAGAAAGCACAAAATCTGATCCTATAGGTCTTCCAAGCTCACATCTTCCAAGCTCACATCTTCCAAGCTGACATCTTCCAAGCTTGCATCTTCCAAGCTTGCATCTTCCAAGCTTGCATCTTCCAAGCCTGCGTCAGTATAGATCACTCGGTGATCTTGCTTGCATCTAGAGGATTTCTGGATACACTGTGGATTCTTCCAGGTTTCAGCCATTCTTGGCTTCCATAGTAGACGGATTATAATGAGCGCTTCTTGGACTTATCCATTGACGTAGATTGGGAAATGGTGTTTAGATTTGCTTGCAACAGTATCACCAGTATGCTATCGTGCCCGCTTATACTCGCCTTGCGAAGAGACGTCTACCGAAACATGTGCAGGTACTTATCAAGCGCCGAGATGCCAAGATGTAGTGAGTTCCTTATCTGAGTGATGGCATGTGAATATCGGTTAATACTCATTTCCATGTTAACCGATCGGTCTTGGCTGATTCCCATCCAAAAGAATCAAGCAAACACTTGAGTTCATCGCGACAAATTAGACCGCCGTAGTTCAATAGTGCATGCAACTGGCTATCCCTTGGATGGACTACTTATACCGCACACTATACATAGAATACATAAATATTGAGCTTCTTCTGGCACTAATAAGATGGCCCTTGGTACAAGGCGAAGCGTCAAACCCCTGGTGGCGGAAGTCGGCTAGAGTAAATCCCGCCAAGAACTTGACCAAAGTGACTGAAATTCAGCCGCGCGACGGAGGGATGACGCAGCTGCACAGAAGATGCAAAGTCATGTCAGGGGGTCGAATGCGGCTCATGAAGCTCATGGCCGCCAGGATGCTTCCCAGCCACCACCTTCCTGGTCCACCTCCCCCATCTCTCTAGCCACCTACACAACTGCCTACACTGAACGCCTTCGTAACGACTCTCCGACCATTCAACTTCTATCGCTTTCCTCTTTACAGCTCCACCAAAGCCCTCGCCGCCCGTTTAAACTCACGCGACCTTCGTTGTTACGTGCGACGTTGTTACGTGCGACGTTGACGCATCTCGCTCCAGCAGCTCACGTCATTACCGTCTAGTCGACTTCGCGACCTCCGCTTCTTCCACCACCCCACGCACCGCGACCTCCACCACTACACGTCTACAAATCTACCAACACCAGCAAGATGTCTGCACGCAAGAAGGTTATGCTCAAGGTGCGCTTCTGGCTCGATCCACCTGTTATCTTCCGAGCGTCACGCTGACCAGAACAGGTCATCATCCTCGGCGACAGCGGCGTCGGAAAGACCTCTCTCATGAACCAATACGTACATAATCCCACTCCGTTATCCCTCCCGCCAGCTCCAGCAGCTCATACAGTCATGTTCAGGTCAACAAAAAGTTCAGTGCCAGCTACAAAGCCACGATCGGCGCCGACTTCCTGACAAAAGAAGTACTCGTCGACGACCGCCTAGTTACGATGCAGCTATGGGACACAGCGGGCCAGGAGCGCTTCCAATCCCTCGGAGTCGCCTTCTACCGTGGCGCCGACTGCTGCGTTCTCGTTTACGACGTCAACAACGCCAAGTCGTTCGAAACCCTGGATAGCTGGCGCGACGAGTTTCTTATCCAAGCATCGCCACGGGATCCAGACTCGTTTCCGTTCGTCGTGCTCGGAAACAAGATCGATGTCGACGAGAGGAAGAGGGCTATCTCACAAAAACGCGCTATGGCGTTTTGCCAGAGCAAAGGCGGCATCCCGTACTTTGAGACTAGTGCGAAAGAAGCCGTCAACGTTGAGCAGGCCTTTGAGGGTATGTCCTGCCACCTGCTGCGGTGGAGATGTTGGTACGGAACGTGATGCTGACGTATGCGTGGTACAGTGATTGCGAGAAATGCCCTGGCACAGGAGGAGAATGAGGAGTTCACTGGTGACTTCCAGGACCCAATCAACATCCACCTTGAGAACGAACACAGCGGCTGCGGTTGTTAGTATGGCGAGTTTGAGGGATGGTGATCGTTATGCATTGGTTCGGTTGGTTTCGTGGAGTGGAGTACGGCAATACTTACTTGTGGGCACACACTTTCATCTGTTCCCTCCCTTCCTACTACGATCCGCACTCATGATCCTCATTTCGTCATCTCCGTTATGTCTCTGTATGTCTGCTTGTTTTGCCGTTTACTGCTTTACTGGCGGTGTTCCTGGTGCTGTCTCATGCCTTCCCTTTACCGTCACGTTCCATTTACGTACGATTACAGTAGTTTCTGTTGTGTTTTCCTTTGCTGCCGATATACACCGAAGGCGCTCGGCGCGGGCCGAAGGAGAGTGGCGTGGTTGGGTGATCCCGTAGGAGGGGGTTGTGATGGAGGTGCAAAGTTGTACAATTACGCATTTGACCACCTACAATAGACATCGTGAACACATCGCTCAGCGTATAATGGCCTTCATAAAGTGGAGTTTGAGAAGAAGCAGGCCACCGTCGAGGACGTCAAGAGGTGCAGAGATATCTGGGAGCAGTAAGTCAGCGAGCAGGGCTCTCACCAGTCGGAGGAAGTTGAGCAACAGCAACGGTTGTAAAGGATGCCTCATTGGCCATTCGGTGATGAGGTATCCATAGTACACTCTGGGTCTGGTTTTCCCATCCAATCCAAAATCCAGAATCCAGATCGTAGCTACGTGAACTTATCTTATCATGACCAATGATGATTCAGCAGCTGGCATCCCCTCAGAAAACACACAAGCATGCTCATTTCAACTTATGTACTCTACCAGTGACTAACACCATCACCGCCATCACCGAGTAACGCACCCTTCCCAGCAACAAGTCCCGATGTCGGCTTCACCACAAGACATAGCGTTATCGCGGGGACGGTAGCGGCGCAGTCACGCGGGCCATTTGGATTCGGTGCGGCAACTGCCTACCTACATCAGTGGTGATGAATTCCTGTGGTGAGGTCGACATGGGCACTGGGGACTTATTGGGTGATAAGAGATTGTTGCTCGGCTAGGTGGTGAGGTGCGATTGAGGGAATGTGCTGCAGCGATGAAGCTCAGTTGGTGTACTAGCACCCACCTATCCTCGCCGCACCTATTCACGCCGCGCCTATTCTCGCCGTACCCATTCTCACTGTGCCATCTCCGCATCACAACGAACCCTCCCCCAGCGCCTATCGGCAGTTTTATCAATGAATGAACAAAAACAAAAAAGCGCCTATCGGCAGCGCCCAGTCTCCCCCCCCCCAGATCATCAATTATTAACGGGTTCTAGGCCCGTCTACCCGCCAACCCTGCTTCCCTTGCTAGACCCCGGACGACGCAATTGGGAGCTCTCCCGACAATGAGATCGCTACGGGGTTCTCGGACATGGAGAACAACCCTTTTGGATAGTCCTCTGAAGAGAACCTGGGTGCTGTCAATGGCTTATTTATTGTCGTATTGACGTCTTCTTACATACTACTCAATACGACTACCAGCCCCAAAAATTCGCCATCCGCCAACGGTGGATTCGACTCACACATCTCGCCCGTCCAATCCAACATGCCTACTCTCTACGCTACCCATGCTCGACTCGAAACCTCGCCTTTTAACCCGCTGACTGGCCGGACACCGGCCGTGCACTCAACCAAAACCGTCCCGGATCCGCTCTACTTAGGTGAACAAAGGGGACAAGAGAGATTGGTTTCACTCCGTTACATCGCCAATCCATACCGAATCTTTGTTCAATCTTTTGCTTCAGTCCGTCATGATACCACGGTACATATCAGACTCTTTGTTCGAGACCTGTGTTCCGTCTGGCGGGGGAGTGGCTTTATGTACTTTCATTGTTGAATCTAGTGATAGTGAATGACTGAAGTTGCCGAAACTAGGTGTGCGGCGGTGGAGGTCATTGTTTGCAGCAATTCAAGGGCAGAAGCGTTTTCTCATCCGCATCCTTTTGTTTACCTGTTCTAGCTCGGTCATTTGTGATCTAACTTGAACCTCTAGTATACCTACTCAATGGCTATCTCAGAGTCCAGATGACCTTTTGCCCTTTGTTTACCCATCGTGGAAGCTTAATACGCGGATACCAAGTACGGAGAGAAGGACATGGCGATCTCCTCGGCCGTATATATATGCCATCCGCATCACGACATTCCGGCAGTCCAGAGAACCAGACCTGTACTGCCCTACATCCCATAGAGGCGTTTACCAATACATCCACCATAGAAGGCTGCCTCAAGCCTAATACCTCTCGAACGACCTCCTGGGCACCTGTTTACGAAGGGCAAGTCAAGGCTCGAATCCACTCGCCACTTCCGTAATGCGAACAATCCCGCACTAACCTCTGGATCCTCCCGGCATACCGCCGCCCGATTCACGCCAGACGGCTTATCATGACTTCCAACACGTCTACCATAGCGCACCTCTATCCATGGTGGCACCTACAGCTTCCTTGACAAAGACGTGTCTTCCGCTTTATCAAGCGCCAGTGAAACAATATATCTGGCGGGAGGGTTGTGATGACCTGCACATCTCCACTGGTACACCATGGTAATATCCGCAACAACACATGGGGATGGAGGGTTGCGATGGGTGAGGAGTCTACTGGTGCCTTTTGCGAACGCATCTCTGCAACGACACGGTGGGGCGGTGAACGGCAATGATCAATACGCCCTATCCGCAACGACATGTTGGGCTGAAAAATTGCACCAAATACTCAAACATGTTATGCTGGAGGATTGCGATGGAACAGGAGCCCGCCGATGCAAATCTCGAACCATCCGCAACGAGTCCACGCATTCCCGGACAGGAATCTAACATCGTTTGTTATTCCGAGGGTATGCTCCGGAATCGGGGATGAAAAAGGGAATGCAAGCCAGCTGGAGACCCCGGTGGACAAAGGAGGGACCGTACCGCCAACTAGTAAACCGCACCGTCGAAACTGCGATACCCCCGGGCGGTGCAGGATTAGACAAGTAGATTTGTGTTGATACTTATCCACGACCCGGAAATCGCTACGGACTCCGGGTGAAGCATCTCTTTATCGATCATACACTATCACTACGGACCGCGGGACGAATCCGCTCTGTAAAGGTCGAATGCTATGATGATTAAACGAAAAAGAACAAAAACATATCCGCTCAGTGAAAGCTGGGTTGGACAGTGGTGTGGAAACGGAGGGGTGAACGGGGTGACATTGCCATGATCCAGATAAGTCGCATGCAATTACTGATCAAACCGGAAAAAAAAACAGGAAAGATATATTGCCTCTGGAATACATCAACTTGCCTCATCGTGCATCATGACGAAGACGACGGCGAGATTCTGGTAGTCTTCATGGAAGTTTGAGCAGTTTCCCCCGACATCATTTCGAGTTGGTGTTTGCAGAGAGTCAACGTCAATAGCTTCCGGCAAAAACCAATTCGAAATGATCTTTGGGGAAACCGTGCGAAACACCGGCTGAGCATCGACAGAGGTGGAAGATTACGGGAAACCGCAAGTGTAGATCATTGTTGTTCCTATGGCGCCCTATGCACTGGCGGGCCACAACCAGAACACCAACGTCGGCACCCGCCTGGGTGGGGAACTCTCAACAACCCAACGGACGATCACAGAGAAGGCACCAGCGAGGGTCAAAGACGGAAGAGGAGGCAGGAGAAAGAGTGAGAAGGAGGAAGAAGAGAGGAGGAGGAAGAGAGGAGGAGGGGAGCTCATTCGCCGGCGGCTTCTGTGGAGGCAATGAATACAATGAATACCCTTCAATCCAGAGCCATATTGTGTGATGCTGTATACTCGTTGGGATGGCAAGCGAAGCAGCGTTGACAGAATCAACATCGTGATGTTTGTTCGGTACATATAATCACAGAAAGAAAAGACCCTGAATATAACTCCAATCGTCGATAAATTTCGGCTTGTTTTTGGTACGTCATGGAACTTGCTTGAATTCCATGATTGCCCTAGGGTCTACCGAATTCGAAGGCGCTAGCGCATGTATGTCGTGCATACACAAAGCTCCATCTCCACAGCAGCGAAGGAGGACATCTCTTCCACAACATAACACTCCGCACTCCAGACTCCGCACTCAATTTCACCATTTCAAGCTTCAGCCCACAGTGGCTTTCGCACTCTCCAAAAAGTCGCTATTGCAGACAAATCCTTTACAGTCCTGAATAAAATGGCAATAAACCCCGCCAGCACATAGCGGCTGCCGCAGCAAAGCAGCTCCACCGGCGACAACGAATCTGCGATACCAACAACTGCAACAGAAACAACCATCGGCGGAAGCAACGTTGTCACCAACACCCGACTTTTCGGGCGGAAGCAACCCCGTCAGCAGCAATGCCCGCTGCTACTACCGCCGTCACACGATTTGTAGCAGCGACACTGGCTCGCAAATCAATTTGTACCCACCGCTGTTCCTTTCTCCATCCACAACACTATACTGACCCGGTGTTCATTCTGCAGGCGACTGCTTCTGGAACTGTCTGAACTGCCCGGGCAGCGACTGCTTTTGGAACTGTTTGAACTGCCTGGGCACTTCTCGGGCAACATTTGCCACCGCAGAAGTGCTGGCGAAGCTAGATGTGCTCTGCACACACCCGTGGAGGAACTCAGGGTTTGGTTGTGTTGCGTCTTGGTTATAGGCGTGAATTTGTTGGGGTGTTTCGGTAGTGGGGTGAACACGATTGGTGGGCCCTTCTTGGTGCCGACGAGCTACCTTCGCACCACGGAAGTACTAATTGAAGTGGAGGTTTCAACGAACGCAGTTGGTCAATATCAAAATATCAAGGAAATCAAATTTCCATAATCCAAGTACCAATACCAGTACCAGTACCAGTACCACCATGCATGATATCACTCCCTCTCCCCCGCTCCCCTTCCCCCTCCCCCGCCTGCCTAAACATCATAATACTTACACGTCTGGAAACACAAACCGGTAAAGCTCCCCGGTGCGAAGCAGGGCATCAACACCTTGCAGCCTCTACACCACAGACTGTTGGGGTGCGCGTCTTGCAGCTGGATGTTTTCTGTTCTGCACTGCGAACAGAGCCAGTGGTAGTGTGCTTTTGCTAGCGAGCGCGGCATTTCGATTGCAGTCGGATGTTAAAGTGTGAGTGAATTGGTTGTGATGAGTTTGTTGAGTGTGCTGAGTGAGTTCGATGTATCGTTGACGTTTGCGATGGTGATGCAAGTCATCCGGACTCGGGAGAGAGGAGGTGGTGGACAGCGCTATTTATCCGTGAGTGAGAATATTGAAGGGTTCATGACCGAGTCAGTTGAAGAAGGGTTCGCGAGCGAGTGAGTTAAAGAGATCAGGAGTGAGAGTTGAAAAGTTCATGATGGGAGATCTCGGGGCTCGACATGATTGCTTCCTCCTGGGGATTCCGCAGCACCACGACTTTCGGAATGGACTGGCCGTGATCGTAAACATCAGTATAAATCTCCATATTTGTATAACAGCACCTAGTAATCCAACTGAAATCAAAACACCGTACCAAACAGCCAGACCTATTGAATCGATTCGTGACCCAACCGGCCATTGCAATCGGCAATCCATAGCAACCCGATATCGAAAAAATCGAAACCCGCACTCCACAATGAGTGTTCGGAAGAAAAAACGCCTATCAAGTAGAAGCAGAAACGGAAAGCAAAATTCCAAGAAAAAATAGAAGAATGTAAGAGAACCGTGAGAAAAAGGAAAACGAAGAAGCCAAACGATCACTCGGTGATCTCCCTAATCCTTTCCCCGCCACCACCGCCATCACGCGGCAAGATCGACTTCTGCATCTCCCTCCGTTCCTCGGTCCCGTCGGAATACCGCTTCACCTCGATCTGTGTGGTTCGCGTCACTCCGTCGGATCCCGTGGCGGATCGGACCTCCGAGACCCTCTCGACCACGATCTTTCCTTCGCTCGCGCCACCACCACCGCCACCACCACCACCACCAGACGGCGGATACCGATACTGCTGGTCGAAGAACTTGTAGTAGTCGAGTTCGGTAGTAGTCGCCGACGACGAGCCGGCAGGAGCACTAGCAGAATACGATCTGTCTGCGAGAAACGGCCGGAACAGCTCCTTATGCAGCTCCTCGAATCCACGGAGCATACTCGCCGGCGACGGAACAAAGAAGCTCTCCGGCAGCATGGCCATCTCCCTCTTGGCCGAGTCACCACCCCCACCACCACCACCACCACTGTTACCGGCGGCGGCGGCGGAGGCACCTGTACTGGTAGCAGCACGCGAGATCGCTGGTCCTATGCCCATCCCCCCACTACCACTACCACTACCTCCCTTCCTCTCCTCGTCATCCCTCAGCTTCCGCACCTCATCGACGATGCTGTCGGAGCCGGAGCGCACGGTCTTAGGACGCGGCAGCATCTCGTCGCGCCCGTCAACAGCGGTCAGATCCGAGTCGTCGAGCCATCCCGAGTTCTGCGGCGGCGACAGAGAGCTCGGGAGGCCGATCAGCGAATGCAGCAGGGTTGAAATCTGGTAATCGCTGATGCGGCGGACGGTGTCAAAGAACGGTTCGCGCTTTGGGGGGACAGCAACGGCGACGGCGCCGACTGTGCCTGTGCCTGCAGAGTCTTTATCCTTGGTTTGGTCTGGCGCCATGGTGGGTGGGTGGGTTGTGGGCGTGAGGGCGTGCGTGCGTGCGGGCGTAAGTGGCTGTGCGCGTCCTGTGTTCTTTGCTGTCTGTTTTTGTTTGTCTTGTCTTGTCTCGTAGCTTGGGATTAGGTTACTTGGAGCACTTGGATGAGGGGGGGGGACTGTTTGTCTGGCTGGCTCTTGAAGGTTGTTGTGGTGGAGTTATTTGAGGAGGTGAGAGGAGTTGGGTGGAACTTGGGTGGTGGTGCGTGCAATGTTGAGGTATCGCTGCCGTCATGGGGCAGAAGTGTTGGGTACTGGGTACTGGGTACTGGGTCTGGGGCTTGTGTTGGGTGTGGCGTGAATCCGCCACTTCTGCGCCAAGTGGGGGTGGATCCGGGATCTGATGATTCTTGCCACCGGAGAATGACGATCCTCACCAGCCACGTGACGCAGACAGGGTAACAGGGGCGTTGGCAGTAGCTTAAAGCTTTCGGCAGACCAGCCAAAGACAGCTGGCAGAACTGCGGAGAATAGACCTTTGGTTTGTTCTTTCTACCTTTGTTCGGGTTCTCTTACTCTCCTAGGTGCAGTACCGATGAGACTAGGGACTAGTCAGGTGGGAACATACGAAACTCACATCGAGTCGGAAAGTGAGCGGGAACCGATTCCGTGACAGCCATGATCTGCTGATGTCGGATGCTATCATTCTATATATGATGATCAAACAAAGTAAGGTCTGTGCGAAGTTTGTGGATGTCTAGATGGGATGATAAAAGGATCCAAAACAGCCGAGCAGAAGTAATAGGACCACCGGAATTCCACTCATGGATACTGTGATTGGCTGTCTAGTTGAGAGCTATGCTACAGTCCTTCCAACAAAAGTGGTTGATGTGGTCTGGATACACTCCTGCCCACGCCCGCCTTCCTACACGGAAGGACTGGTCATCTCTGACTTTGGGTCCATGCTCTCAAGTTCTTCACCAGGCTGAACAAACGATGCGCACTGTAGCCATGCTCCCTTACTCTACCTCGCACGCGCACAAGCAATTTCCATTCCAACAGAAAACTACCACCACCGCAGCTTTGGCGCAAAGAACAATATGAACAGCGTCAGAAACACCTAGATGGGGCCCAATTAGCATCTCTCCATCACCCTCGCCGTCCTACTTACCAAAACCACGATCATCGCCATATAGATCAAGCTCCAGATGAAAGAGACATTATCATTCTTGCGCAGCGAGTCCATATTGCTCCCCGCGGTCGTCATCCCAGCAGCATTGCGGTCCAGTCCCTCCTTAGCAGCATCAAGATATCCCTTCTCGGTCTCCAAGTGCGCACCGAACGAGAGACTGCTCTCCTTCAGCAGCTTCGCCATCTGCAGTAGATCCTCGGTGATATTTTCTTGCTCGCTGCGCTGCATGTCCAGTAGCACTTCCGTCCCGGCCGCTTCTGATGCCTTCTCTACCTTCCCCCTGTGCTTTGCGCCTGTTGTCGTCGCTGACGCGCCAAAGAGCTCGTCTCGCTGCGTTGCGGCTGTAGTCTTCCGGTTGCGGAGCTCCGGTGTGGTGGAGGTTGGTTGCGGTTTCAACGTTGTTGTTCCCGTAGCTGTAGCTGGCATGGATGTAGGAGCAGCCGTAACCTCAGCCGCAGGCTGCGGCTTCGCCTTCGTCTTCTTGAGCGAAGCATAATCGTCATCGGAGAGGTCCTCTGTAGCATCTTCCACGGGCACCTCGACGCCCTCCTCCTCAGCATCCTCAGCATCCACCTCCTCCACCTCCGCCGCCGCCGTCTGTAACCGTTCATTCAGCCGTCGAATCGCCTGCTTCTGTGTTCCAAGCTCTACAAGGCTCTTTTGTCGCCGCGCGGCAAAGCTGATGGTGGCGCTGTCGGCCTCGAGCGTGTGTAGCAGCCGCCGCGCATATTCTAGGTTCTTTCGTACTGTCAGAACGGATTGGGAGGGGGGGTTGACGAGGAGCGTACGGCCGCAATCTTTGCGCGCTCGACGGCGCTGGGCGCACGAGGCGTGCTCCCGAGCTTCTGGTCCAGTCGCGTGAGTAGTCGGGAAAGGTTCTTTGCGACGACTGCGGGAGTCTCGAAGGACGTGTGGGGGGAGGTGCGCGCCATCTTGCCGTTTCTGTTGCTGCTGTGGGTGTAAGAGGGAACTGCTGTAGGTTGCGGAGGTTTGGTTGTAGCTATGGTGCTGTAGATGATAGCTGTTACCGCGAAGCCATGCTCCACCATGCCAGCACCCCTTGCAACCCTATCCCACGGTGCCGACAGTCTGTCCTTTCCCTGCTGCAACTCGGGGCTTTGTCGCCGTTCTATTGGCCGAGCTGAGGGCTGAGTCATCACGGATAAACAAGACTTTTCGGCGCCACAAGCATCCCAGCCACAACCGGTGGCTCAGCCATTGTTCATTGATCGAGAAGCGACCGAGCCACAGATCGAAGGAGGTGGGGTTGGGTTGGGCCAGGCTTGAATGGCGCCGCCGCGAATACGCAAGAGCCCAACTACGTCAATCCTCCCCCACCAGCACCTCCACCACCGAGTCACCGACTGCCACCACCACCCCGCAATAACAACACCACCACAGCGATGGCCTCCCCCTCCGCGATCTCACTGACTGACGAGAACGCGTCCGTCCCGGACGAGCGCCCGGCGTCGCCACTGATTCTCTACAAGCCACCGACTGCCGTCTCGCTCCTCCGCACGGCCGCCATAAACCTCGTGCTGCCGTTCATCAACGGGCTGATGTTGGGTTTCGGAGAGCTATTTGCACACGAGCTCGCGTTCAGATGGGGGTGGGGTACTACGAGGGTTTGTTCTCCGCACTGGTGGGGGAAGGGATTCGGGAGGGCTGATGTGGTGCGGTGGTGTAGATATTCCCGCTGCATAGGTTGGGCACCGGGAGTAGACCGGCGGGGCCGGGCGTCGAAATCAGGGATCGGAGCGTGAACAAGACGGAGGGGTTCTCGGGCGCAGGGGGGCTGGAGGATCTGGCGAGCCTTGAGTGATCGTGCAATGGCGGTATGCTGTTGCGTGGAAATACCAGGTGGAGATGGAACGATAGACGCGAAAATATTGCCACTTCTATACCAACTACTGCCATTGCTATTGCTACTGCTGTGGGACACAGAAATACACCCCAATTCTCCTCATTGACGACCACGGAGTTGTCCAGCGTTAAGAACCGTCCATACTCAACCCCTCCCCCCCCGCGCGCTCCGCAAGTAGACACTCCACTAAAGCCCCATCGGGCCATCACGCCTCCCCCGAGCCCTTCCACCTTCCACCGGCCTCGCTTGCCGGTCCCCCAATCCACTCGCCGGTCTCCCCCGTCGGTCACTGTACCCTGGTTATTCGCCGGTCTCGCCCAACCCGTTCGTCCCGTCACCCAGTGAGCCAATGCGAACCGTCCCCCGCCCAGCATCCATCCGAAGCCTCACCCCCCAAATCCCGAATTGCTACCAGGTAGTTATGTAACCAGCCTCACCACGTCTCACTTTCATCTCACCCTGCTATACTCAAAGACTAATCCCAAAACACCAATGCACCAAGCGGGTCGGTGCCTGACTAACTAACTACCTAGCACCCCTGCATGGGGTGTGGTGGGTGGTGGGTGGGAGGTTCGTGCACTCACGACGACGGCTTTGTGGCCGGCGGCGATTGGTTGGAACTTGGCCCCTTTCTCGGCCCACGCCCACGGGAGGCGGGAGGATGAAGGATGGAAACATAGACCGATGTGAGGACAATGGAAAGTTTCGGCGAGGAAGGGATGGAATCGAAGGGAAGGGGAGGGAAGGGGAGGGAAGGGGAGGGAAGGGCGGACTAGTCTCTCCGTTGAGAAACATATGATGTGGAAGGGCAACTATGTATGGCGGGAACGGCGCTGTACAAATAAACTCCCCTGACCTCTGTAGGTACCGGTACCGTGACGCCCCGGACCCTGTTTTGCGGGGGGTGGTCCTTGGATCTTTGGTTCCAGCTCGCTGACGGTGGTGGCGAGGAACACAGTTAACTAGTGGCATACATCTACCGGCCGGCTGTTTGAGGCGAGTGATGGCGGTGAAGACATGGACATCTACACAGAGTACCGGTACTGGCCGTCAGCGCCGGCAATGGTCGCGGGCAGGCGGGCAGTCCTCTCGGTAGCGTACATAAGCTCAGAGCTAGCCCGCCTCGCCCCACTACCGCGACCACCCCCACCGCGACGCCACCACCCGTCGGCCACCTCAAGACGTGGCTGGGAAACTCCATCCAGGATGGGATCGAGAAAACGGTAGCCGGTATGGAGTAATGCCATCTGTGCGTTACGCGTGGGGGAGGAGGGAGGCGGGGGAGGGACCGGGGAGAGAGGAGCTTTAAATCCAGACAGTACGCTCATGGTATCTATCTACGGTATTTATCTGAGGTTGTTTTTTTTCTTTCTCTTCTCTGCACGAACAAAGGACGCTTTACGAATCACGATACCCACACTCTTCACTGGCCGAACAGACAGATACACTGGCTGATACGAACGAACGAAAAAGCACGAATTACGACATAGATACCATCATCGAACCATAGATCAACACCCACACTGAACGAACGGACGAGCCCATTCTGCCCGCTGAGAGGAAGACGAACTGCCGATTGGATACCTACATAGCTATCACCAGCTCTACCACTCCCCGCCTGTTTGCCCGCCTCCACGTATTTCCTCACCCGCCGGCTCACCCAGCGCCGTTCACTCCCGTCCGCGTTCCCACCGCCGTTCACGCACCACCTCACAGCAAACCTCCCTCTGCGCTCCCTCCAGCCCACGCATCCAACCTCGCGCCTTCACCACCACCACCACCACCCCAACCCCACCAAACCGCAAAAATGCCCATGAAAGAGCCCTCGCAGTCGATGGCGACGGGGATCATCATCGGCATCACAGTCGCGGGCGTGTTCTTCCTTCTGATCGTCATCACGCTGCTGCACTGGTGCTCGCGAAGGATGCACCCCCGGAAGATCATCGGCGGCAGCGGCGAAGGCGAAGGAGGGCACTACGCCAGGGGCCATCGGAGCAGCGATGAGAGCACAAGGGTTAGCGAGATGAGTGAAGTGTAATTAGGCGGGGGACGGGGGGGAATGGGGGCGGAAGGGGTGTATATAGGAGGATGAGGATGCGGGAAGGGAAGGGAAGGGTTGGTTTCTGATTTTTATTTTTATTACATGGGCGGTGGCATGCGCAGGAGTTCTGTGCGTTTGTTTGTTTATTCATGATTCATGGCAGTGACGGTGACGGCGGTGGACAGGTGGACATGGTGGACATGGTGTAAACCATCATTGTGGGAGGACTCGCGGGTGGCTGATTGGATATTTGGAGATGCAGAGAGGCAGGCTGGATGGGCACATCGGATTGTGATTGCGGTCAGCATGTACCTAGACGGGGAATCTGAACTATTTACATTGCATTGCATTGCATACCGCGGTTCGAAACGGTTATCGTGAGGCGGGGTGGGAGGATTTCCGGTGAGCGAGTCCTGAGGAGAGCATGTCGTGCCGGTCACTGGTCTCCCGAGCTTGTACCCCGGAGAGTCAGCAAGCCAGCCTCTGTTCGCCTTTCACCCACCGACCAGCACCTCCGTCCAGCCCGGGCCCCGAAGAAACCGACTCCTCCACGCCCAAGTCGCCGACGACAGCGGAACCGACACGCGTAGCACCGCGACCTCCTCTGCCAGCTTCGCGACGTGCGCATACGTCCGCTCCCCAGTCTCGTTCGCGGCGGCGACGGCGAATTACCTGACCGAGAACGCGAGGAGCCAGCCGCACCACCGCCCGCGCCGCCTCGGGCCCACAGGCTGAACCGCGGTTTGGAATTTGGGGTAGGACATCGTGAGTGGGAGCGCGTCCGCGTGTATGAGCGTGTCGGAGGGAGCTGTGGAAAGCGCGCATTGAGGCTGTACTATTAGTTAACTCAGTCGTGCGAGCAGTGTCGCTGGATTCTGGAATGCTGTCAGGCTGCTTGATGCTGGATGCTGGATGCTGGATGCTGCGTTACCACTGGGAACTGGAAACCCTTGCCAAAATCAAAAGCCAATGGGTGCGTGATGTACACCCTTGAAGCACATATCCCCAAATCACCGGATAAACCGACGGGAGCATCTATGTAAGCTGTGCTTCTAGTGCCAGAGCTTCGGATCAGCGAATAGTAGAGTAGAGTAGCTGCACCCAGCCCGACCATGAACGGTGAACCCGACCACATCGTACATATCTACCTACCTTATATCTACCCCGTACATATCCCCCAGATGGTAACTTCGGCCTGTCTGGGCTCACCGGATCATGGCGACGCTCATCCATAAAGGGAGCTCTAAAGGCGAAATCCCGGTTAAGAAACCTCGGCATCACGACAAATCACCCGCCAGCTCAGCAGACCCATTGTCGTCCCCCAAAATGCTCAACCTGCCCTTGCTAGAATAGCTCCTAAGATGTCCCCGCATGTCGGTTATCCCGCCCTTCACCGCTTAACCCCCCGGATCGTGACTTTAGCGTGTCTAGGCTCTCTGTCTCCGCCACCAACTGACAAGAAAGACCTACACCGCGCCATCTTCTGAGGATGATTTCGAGCCCTAATATAGCCAATCTGCCATGAACAGGAGCTCTAGAGGACCAAAACCCGGCCGAAAAATAAACGGTCATTAAGTATCACTCATCCTTCAGCAGGTCCACATTTCGCCCCGCAGTCGTCTAGCCATGATCTCCACCTGTAGTTCCTGTTCTCGCTACATTAGCTCCCAAAGCGTCTCCGCATGTCGGCTATGACACCCTTTGCCGCTTATCTCCCGGATCGTGACTAAAGAGGAACTCTAAAGGACCAAACCCCGGCCAAAAAACATGCCATCACTAAATATCACTCATATCTCAGCAGATCCACATTTCGCCCCGTGGTTGTCTACCCATAATCTCCACCTGAACTTGCTACGTTAGCTCTTAATGTGTTATCATTAAAAGGATCTCTAAAAGCAAACCCCCGACCACAGAAAAATACCATCATGAAAGATCACTCATTCTCTATCCGATCCACATTTCGCCCCGTAGTCGTCCACTCATAATCTCAACCTGTCCTTGCTACATTAGCTCCCAAGGTGTCCCCGTATGTCACTCATAACACACATCTACAGCTCGATCGAGCTAACCGAAGCTTTTCGACTTTTTCACCAAATCCGACCTTACCGAGTGGATCGAGACAATTTTTTGCCAAAACTAATGCCTAAGCAGCACGGAAGCAGCTGGAAACCGATCGGGACGGAGGCGGAGGATAGACAGAGGCATATGCTGGCGAGCTGGGTGTTTGGGTTGAGATGGTGAATTTGTGATCTATACGGGGGTGCACACGAAAGTGGAGGGCACGGTAGCTGAATTGGAAGTTGAACGTGCAATGGCAGGGTCGGAAGTCAGGGCATGGCAGTTGAATGGGAACTGGAGGGCACGAAGCTGAATGGCAAGTTAAAGATGCAATGGCAGGGTCAGAAGTGGAGGCACGGCAGCTGAATGTAAAATTCCAGGCCCAACAGCTGAATAAGAAGTTGAAGGTGCGACAGCTGAATGCGAAGTTGAGAGCACGAAGTTGAATGGGAAGTGAAGACACGAAGCCGAATGAAAAGTTGAAGATGCAATGGTAGAATCGGACGTGGAGGGCACGAAGCTGAATGGGAAGCCGAAGCTGCTATATCAGAATCAGAAATGAAGGGCACGAAGTTGAATGGGAAATGGGGGACACGTCAGCCGAATGGTAACTGGAGAGCCCTCCAGCTGAATGTAAGAGAAAAGGTTCATCCCGTCCCATCCAATTTCCCAGCAATTCCACCCATGATCCATTTCGTTAGGTCCCTCCTCTAGGCACGAAAGATGTCCCAGCCAGAACCTCGGACATGGCGATGGTACACGCCCTATCGACAGACATGAGAGGGTCTCTGTCTCTGGTCTTGAACCCCGTCACGAGGAAAAACACGAAAATACGGACAGACTCGTCACCCCCATGATGCTTTACTACCTAGTACGCTCTGCGATTCATCCACCGGGATGATCATCATATGATTGCCCACCTTCTATCCCCTTCCCCCGCCCCCCGCCCCTGGAAAATCAGGACGAGGAATGGAGTAGGTACCAAGTAGCAATTAGAGTACAAGCAAGTACATACGGAAGAATCGAGTGCCAGAACATGGCCGAGAAATGTAGAGGTACCTAGTAGCAACAGCAAAAACAAAAACAATCCCTACGAGAAATATACACTCGCATGAAGCTGCAATATCAAAATCATCAATTCCAGGCTCTCCAGCTAAATGGGAACTTGCGGGCACGGCAGCTGATCAATCAACCAACCAACCACCTCCACAGCCCGACACAGCCGCAACTCCCAGCCCGCCCAGTCCAATCACTGGTCCACTGGTATCGTGATCCCAATCGTTAATGATTACTGGTGATGGATGCAAAGAGCACGTACTGAAATCGCAAGTCGAAAGTCTATCTATTTGGTAGGCAACGCTATTCTGGTGGCTCCGGCTGTTCCAAATTTCAATGCGAATTTCAACTTTCTGGGTACAGAGATAATCGATAAAAGCACCTGTATTGACCGCCGGCACCAATGACCATAGATAATCATCCCAAATTTTTCTCTACAAAACACAACACAACACGAATCCAATACCAGAGGAAATAAATAAGTAGTAGTTAACGGATGTACAATATCAGCTTGGAAGCGCAATACAGCACGGCAAAAGAAAAAGCAAAAGCAAATGGCTACAAGGAAAAAAACATGACACAGACAATCAAGAAATTAACGACAACCAAAGATATAGATAAGGAAAAACACGGCGCGCATAAGAGTGGACATGACGACGAAAAAGAACCCTCCCAAACTCCTCGCGCATGCACGCACGCACACACGAACGTCACTGAAACACACGATTCAACACAATTCAACCTCTCACTCACTCATCCTCACGAATTGAATCCGCTCTTCTGAAAACTTTCGATAGTGATATCCCCGGCCTTTCCGTCGACGGCGATTGTCGGCTTCATGATTGCACTCGTCATAGTGGCGGTCCGACTCGCGGGGGCCGTTGCTGCCGTCGCCGCCGCCACAGGACCATTATCGATCTGTTTCACTGCGGCGATGGGTTCCTTCTTGACGATGCCCTCGAGGTACGGGCTGGGCAGGTAACCGACGCGGGCGTCTCTGGCACGGCACCGCCACCACTGACTGGGATTGCCCATGGGATCGCTCTTGCTCAGCACGGCGACCAAGTCACCCTTCTTGACCTCGAGCTCGATGCCGTTGTTCTGCTCGGGGGTGAAGTCGTACATGACGCGGCAGAACTCCAGCTTGCTGGGGTCCATTCCGGCGGCCGCGGGGTTCTCGGCCATCCGTCGCTTGTCCTCCTCTTCCTGCTTGGCGGCGAGCGAGCGGATGAGCTTGCCCATCAGGTAGGGAAGTCCGAATACGGCGGCGACAAAGAAGAAGAATGGCTTCTTCGAGGGGCGCGGGGCCCCGGCGCGCCCTTCGAAGTGCGCAAAGTTTGCGGCTGTCAGGTCGCTGGCTGAGACGGGCAGGGGCTTGCCTGTGACCTTGGCAACGAGAGAGCGTGCCCATCGCAGCATCGTAAAGATGCCCAGAATCGACCCAAGCGTGTTCTTGAGGTTTCCGAACTGTTCGGCAACCCTGACCATAGCTATTGATTGGCACTTGGCGTTAGCTGCTGTCTCCCACATGACCCTGCCCGGCCATGCCCCGGCAGGTAGCGGCATCACACAGAACAAAACAAAGCGAGGTGTGTGTGGGTGTGCATACCGAAAAAGGACGAGTGTGTAGCCATGAACGTGCTCTCGAGCATCTGCGCGAACCCTCCGAACGCACTGACGATGCTCTCGATCATCTGGAACGTCGCGGCCGTAGAATTCTCAAAGTTCCGGCTGAGACTCATCGGATCGTTGGGGTCGCCCATGCCGCCTCCCATTCCGTAGCCGCCCATGCCCGCGCCCATGCCCGCGCCCATTCCGAATCCGCTGCCGCCGTACATCCCTCCGCCGAATCCACCGCCGAAGCGTGAGTACGGCGAGGAGTAAGCTCCCATTCCACCCATCCCTCCCATCGCGCCGACACCCCCATAGGACCCGTAGCCGCCGAGTCCGCCGTAGCCGGGTCGCTGGAGCGAAGAATAGGGGCTCGCGCCGGCTCCGAGCGCGTTGTTCGCGAGGGTGGCGGGTCGTTGCGGAAGGGCCGGCGGTCCACTCGTCGTCGCGGTCGACATGGCGGCGGCAGCTGTTGGTGCAGTGGCTCCGGGCGATGGTGTCGACATTGTCGGAATAATTAGGGCTGTGTTGGTTCGGGCTGGATTAGCTTTTGGGGAGCTCGGCTCGCTTCTTCGCGTTTAAAGAGAGAAAAAAGGAGAAGAAGCCGAGGAGAAGGATGGAAGTTTTGTGCGTACAGGCAGAGGCGGCACCGTTCAGTTCCCAAGGTTTAGGTGGAGAGGGTTGCGACATCAGGGATAGAAGCTGTGAGTGGTTGGGGTTTTTGGGGGGGCGGTGCGGAGCGGTTTGTTGATGGCGCGAGTGGCAGCAACTGACCGTCGTCACTAAGCTGGACAGGGAAATCCTGTCAGTAGCTCCTCTCGCTCGGCAGGTTTTCGAATTCCCGGGATTAATAATAATCTAGAGTATCGCCCCTTCTGTTGCCGTCTCTTTGAAGTGTGTTGGATTATCGTCCGCTTTCGTTCCACAGGCTCTCCTTTTTTCGCTGTCGGAACCGGTCCGTAATTGTTGCGGGCGTTCGTTTTTTTCTCCGGAGAAAAGTTTTGAAGGTCGAGAAGAGGGGAGGCGAGAGTGCCCTCGACATGATTTGCCGAGCCCGAGCACAGGGAGCAGGTTTTCTTCCGCGTGGAAGCAGCTGAAAGTGCGCTGCCCATAGTAGTTACCTCGGCAACATGTACGACCGAGGCGCATGGGCATGGTGGCAAACACAGCCACGAGGAACACTGCCACTCGTTCTCGAAGCTCGTCCCTCGACGCAGATCTCGAAAGAAGGGAGCCAGCGCCCCACGATGTGAACGATCATCCCGCTTTTCCTGGGTATGTAGCTTGCGATTGAATTAGCCCCAGATTCCAGTCCTGGGTTCACACGCAACCCCACCGCCACCCCATGGTAGCATTGTCATACCTCACAGATGCCCCGCAACCGTCAGGCGCAATCTGCATGAGTATGGGTCCCGGGCTATAGGAGGGTTCCCCGCGTCTGGAATCCGGTCGATGTGGGCGCTGGAGATTCCAGTGAGCCCTACTGTCCCCGGCCGACACCGAGGCATTAGAGTAATGTATCACACCGAGAAGCAATAGAGTTATGTGTCATACCAAGAACCGCGCATCACGGATTTAGGTTGGCATCACATGGAGTGGGCAACCTTCTGGACCACGAGGACACGAAGAAGAAGCTACATTCCATGCCCACCACTTGAGCAAAGCTTATATGCGAGCATACAGTCCACTGTACACGCAGTTGTTTGAATTGATCCGCATAGAGTGGGATGATGCCAACTTTACTGAAGAAGTGCTCTTTCAACAGAGGTCCCACAGCTTTGTCCGTTGACCTTCCAGTAGTCTTGCAGCGCGCGTAAGTTCTATGTACCTATTGTACCTGGAAGTGTGAGCGAACAGTCTCCACTTGGAATCTTCAATAATGCTCACATGCTGTTTGATAGGGTACTGCTACAAACAGGTGCGGCAGCGGATGCTCCAGCAGCGGGGAGGAGCTCAGGTGAATAAAACAGTCGAACGAGAAAGAGATGAATGGGAATGTTTCCCAACGGCTGAGAGGGAGAATAGCAGTAAGAGTAGAGGGGTGGGTAGTGAGGTGGAGTGTGGTTGATGGGTGTTGGGCGATGGAGGTTTGATATTCAAAGGATCGCATTCAGCTTGATGCTGGAATCATTAGAACTCATTCGGGTAGGCTGCTTTTGTCTGGCTTGGATTGTCAGCCGGGCTTGGAATCACGATCCAGACTTGGAATTTCCAGCCAGGCCAAAAGCCGGCTTACAAAGGAAATATCACTAGGAGAAGACAAATTCCGCTCCTTGCCCCGCCTCGCCTCTGCCTCTTCATCAGGAAGTGCTATGAAGGAGGGCGTGGGGAGGAGCAGCGGGAGTGACCTCCACTTGACGCCCCTCCATCCCGGTACTTTAATACACGACCCGAGTGATATATTGCGCAAGCGGTAGTTATCGGTGAACGAGTGCGAGCCTGGGCCCTGTATGTAGCTACATGACAGTCTTTATCACGTGTCTATGGGCTCGCTAGAAATTCTGGAACCACGCTTAAAAGTTTAGATAGCCCCACTGCAGTACCCCACCAACCCACCAACCCACCAACCCACTCGGCGCACCGAGCGAACCTCTGCAACCTCTGCAACCTCTGCACCCGCGAACCCACTCACACAAAAACGACATTTACACTGTTCCCGCCAACTACACGATGACGAGTCTCGCCACGCCCACCCCAGGGCCCATTCCCACGGCGAAAGCAGTGAACACACTGATCATCGACACGGGTCCGATCCTGACCGCGTCCTCAGCGCCGAGCTACTACCTTTCTTCCGCCGACCGCATTCTAACCACTCCGGCTGTGCTCGAGGAGATCCGCGACAAGTCCGCGCGCGCCCGCTTCGACACGCTATGGAAGCCCTTTGTTGCCGTACGCTCGCCGCGCGCGGAGAGTCTCAAGTTCGTGGCGGATTTTGCAAAGAAGACGGGCGACTTTGCCACCTTGAGTAAGACCGATATGGGACTCATCGCCCTGGCGTATGAGGTCGAGCTCGAGGTCGCAGGTGGTGATTGGAGGATCAGGAATGCGCCGAGTAAGGAGCTGAATGGGCCGTTGCCGGAGGGGTGGGGGTGGGAGGGGAAGATTGTTGGGAAGGATGGGGAGGTTGAGGGGGAGAGCAAGGAGGTGGCGAAGGGGGAGGAGCTGAAGGAGGGCGAGGCGAAGGAGGCGGAGACTATTGAGGCGGCGGCCGAGGATGTCGAGAAGTTGGAGGAGCAACTGGTGGAAGACCTGGTGGTGGACGAACTGCACCAGCCCGAGAGCATGCAAGAAGTCGAAGCCTCTGACTCGGAAGACTCGGACGACTCTGACGGCTGGATCACACCGTCGAACCTTCACCGGCACGTGAACCCCATACCAGCCGCGCAATCCGCCGGCGACGAAAAACTCACCGTGGCACTAGCGACCACCGATTTCGCCATGCAGAACGTTTTACTGCAGATGAACCTGCACCTGCTGTCGCCCACGTCGCTGATGCGCATCAAGAACGTGCGCTCCACCGTCCTGCGCTGCCACGGCTGCTTCTTCGTCATCCGCAACCCCACCGGCGTCACCCACTTCTGCCCGCGGTGCGGTGCTGGAGACACCCTGCGCCGCGTAGGATGCTCCACCGACGCCGATGGCGTCTTCAAACTCCACCTGAAGAGGAACTTCCAGCACAACGTCCGCGGAAACGTCTTCGCCATCCCGAAACCTGTCGCTGGAACGGCTTCTATGAAGGGCGTGCCCGATGCGCCCGTGCTAAGGGAGGACCAGAAGGAGTACCAGCGCGCCGTCAAGTGGGAGGGCTACAGGAAGGAGAAGGATCTGCTGGATCCTGATTATTTGCCGGCGATTCTCACGGGGAATAGGAGGAGAGGAAGCGCCATTAGGGTCGGTGCGGGACGGGGGAAAAATCCGAATGAGGTCAGGAGGACGAGGAAGAAGTAGATCTGGGCTTGGAAATAGAGATAATCAACGGATCATTTGCGATGCTTTGCATTCGTGTTTTTCGGGAATTGGAAAAGTTGGGTTTTGTTCTATATACGGGAATAAAAGGATCACCTTGTGCTTGCAGTTTTCTCCATGAACGAGGAACAAGCCGAGACAGCCAGCATCAAGGCAAGCGCTGATGGAGCGTAAGGGGGCCGTTGCGACGATTGAGGGTCTCTCGGGACGGCTCTCTCGGAGCCGGACTCATGGCGCGAGCTCATCAGGATGCTATGTAACGTGTATGCTACTCTCGTCGATGTGGTTTATGTACATCATTTGTCTTTCGGTGCGCAGGCGGAAGTTCGACTCCTGTTCGCAGCCTCCCCATCCCCCATCGAAGTGGCATCTCCAGCTTCCCCTCGCACTGGCATTTTTACCCCCCCTTCACCCCCTTCACATGGAATGATGAAACCTACACATCCCCACATTCCACATTCCCACATGCACACAGACCACATCGCGGGGAAAGCTGTACATACTACATACATACCATAGCGGTGAATCCTTCCGCTCGTGCCCGTAACCTGGCAGAGTTAGACGCGGTGAATAGGCACGATCTGTGAAAAACCATGGACCATGGTGGGTATTTCATGTTGGAACTTTGCCCCATAGGCTGTATCCCGCTGAATCGCGATGCAGTGGCATTGCTTCCTTTTGTTCGTGCGCTCGACACCGCTGGATTGGACGCCACGACGCCACGTAGTGAGCTGGCGGGCGTGGGTCCTGGGGAATCCCGAGGTGGTGGGGTCCGAGATGGTATTCTGAAAACGGATCCGGGCATGGTCCATAAGATGTCGTATGTGCTATGGATATCTAGGTAGTTTATTTTGTTTCCTGTTGATCAGGACAAGAAAAGAAAAGAAAACAGATCAAATGAACAAAACAGATCAAATGAACAAAACAGATCAAATGAACAAAACAGATCAAATGAACAAATCAAGCCTTCTCCCCGAAGAGGTACTGAAATCCACGGTCCACCTCCGTGATTAGTGATGCCATCTTCCCCTCGGACAGAACCGTAGCCATTGACTGCAATTGCAATCGAACAAACAAACAAATCAGCGCGCAAAGACCCGAATCAAACCGAAAAACACATCCCTATGCGTCCCAAAGAAGACCTGTCTTCGATCAGCATTGGAAGCCATGGATTATGGATGATGGATGAGAACTGGAGTACTCCCAATGACCCGAACCAAAAACGTATTCCTATGCCGCGTAAAGAAGATCTGACTCTGGTCAGCATTGGAGACCATTGGTGAACAACCAAATGGACAGCTCACGATGACCTGAACCGAAAAAAAACATTGGTATCTCCATGCTACCTAGAGAAGACCTGACTTTGATCAGCACTGGAAAGAAACCGATTGATGAACAACTGGCCAGCGTACCTTTGGGCATCGGACCCTTGGCCTTATCTTCTTCTTCATCTTCACACTTCTTGACCACGTCCTTGCAGCTCTTCAGGGTAGCCTGCATCCTATTATAGATAGTATCATCATTGAGCCTATCCTGGACCTGGGACCCCCAGTCCGCCAGGTCCCTCGCATTCGCCTTAACATCATGGAACCTCCTGCTGGCGGCAAAATACGCCGTGGAGTCCTGCGTGTAGGCCGCCCTGAGCATGGCAAACACCTGATTACGCGCGTCACACGCCTCTGTATACGCCGAATTCTTGAAATTCGCCAAATCGCTCTTGACGCGGATATCCTCGTCGCGGACCTTGAGCTCCGCCTCCAGCTCGACGATGTACTCGAGCCGCTGCGCCCGCGCGTCTAGAAGCTCACCCATCGTCCAGCTGTGCGCGAGAAAGCTCGCCATCCGTCGGTGGTGCTCGCGCGACTCGATCGTCGTGAGCGACCGCAAAGGCCGCGGGATCATTGCGGGCTTGGGCTTGGGTTTCGGAGCGCGGGACCGGAGCGGCCGAGAGAAATTGGCGGGCTCGGACATCGGCGCGCGGGGCCGAAGAGGCCGGGAGACGTTGGCGGGCGCGGGTATCGTCATCGCGCGTGACCTAAGCGGCCTGGGGACTGTGGCGGGCGCAGGCGTCGTCGCGGCGGACCGAAGCGGCCTCGGGACTATGCCGTGCACAGGCATGGTGTGGTGCTGGTGTAGACTCAGGGCCTCGGGGAAGAATCAAGATTCGAATCCGGGGGGAGGATGCGAGTGATAGCGGGGGATTCTGGAGGAGTTCAGGGGATGGGGGCGAGTGATTGCGGGGAATTCTGGGCGATTAGCGGCAGCCCGTTCGATTGTGGGGATTTCGGGCGATTAGCGGCGGCGCGGTTCGATTGTGGGGATTCTGGGCGATTAGCGGGGGCCCGTTGGATTGTGGGGGTTCTGGTGGGTGGGTGGATTCGCGGCGTTGATGGGAGGGATGCTGCGTTGGGTTCGGAGGGTGGGTTGGTTGAATTGAGTTAGTTAAGAGGGAGGGATTCCGTGCGACTGGGAGGAGCTTGGAATGGAAGATTCTGGAATTCGCTGCGAGAGTTGCATTGAATTCGTTGGTTGGGACTTGGGAGGGTTGCTTGAATCCGGCCGGAGGTGGCATGGAATGCGCACGATCAGCAAGGAACTCGTGATGTTACACCGGCGCGTTTGATCGGCACGATTCAGGGCGGTGGTCAGCGGCAGGTGACGTTGAATCTGATTAGTCATGCTTCAGCCAGGGATGAGCTAAGCAGTCCAGAGGGATCATGTGATATGCGTGCGGCAGAAGAATCGAGATGATATGGGGCGGAAGAATCGAGACGATATGGGGCAGAAGAGTCCAGATGAGGTGAGGCAGAAGAGTCCGGATGATGTGCGTGGGACTGAAGAGTCCAGACGTGAGCACTGAAAGGTCAAGACGGTGTGGGGTAGAAGAGTCAAGATGAAGTACGCGGGGCTAAAGAGTCAAGAGGATGTGGTCAAGATGTAACTACGCGAGACACACGGTGGAGACCTTCCTTGAGTCCTTGACGCTACTACTATAACTATAGCCAGCTACTATATATACCCCACAACCACCAAGTGTGCATCAGGAACAACGCCTGGTCTATTTCCCTGCCGAGCACCGCGCAAAACGCCTGTTGCGTATATTTTCCCGGCATGAAGCCGGCCGCGCACAACCGCTGACTCAGCCGGCACATCCATTCAAAGAAAGCGGTCTCCCCGCGTCGCCGCGATCGCACTCTCAGCATGCTCTTTAGCAGCAACCGGCGTAGAACGGCTAGTGAAACTAGGTCGTAGATTTCTCGGATCGTCCGTGATGTGCCCCGGAGGTCTAGGTACTCGTGGATTTCTGGAAGGGCATCGATGATCTCGAGAGTAAGGGTCTGGGCAGAAGAGTCAAGACGACGTGAGGCGGGAGAGTCAAGATGAAGTGAGGAAGACGAGTCAGGATTAACAGCCAAGATGTACGCGAGGCACACGAGGGAGACTTTCCATGAGTCCTTGACACTACTAGCTACCCTATATACCCCGCGATCGCCAATCATGCATCACTATGACCTCCTCATACCTCCCCCGCAACCGCAGCCACAGCGCCTGATCGATCTCCCTACCCAGCACCGCGCAAAACCTCCGCTGCGTATCATTGCCCAACATGAAGCCGGCCGCGCACAACCGCAGGGACAGCCGGGACAGCCATCCCATGAAAGAGGTCTCCCGGCGTTGCCGCGATCGAGCTCTCACTCTCAACACACTCTTCAGCAGCAACCGACGTAGAGCGGCGAGTGAGACTAGGTCGCAGATTGCCCGGATCGTCCGTGATGTGCCCCGTAAGTCTAGGTACTCGTGGATTCCTGGAAGGGCATCGATGATGTCGAGCGTGATCTCGGGAGGCACTAGGAAGCTGCATCTAGGTTCCATAGTTTAGTGAGCGGTGGTAGCCGGGATTTCGATGGCGAGGAGAGGAAGCATTTGTAGTGCGAGGGGCAGCGTTCGTGTCGACTACCGGTATGCTGAAGCATCTTGCAGGCTCCTCGTGGCATAATTTGAAGCTCTGGAGAGCATCAAGAGATTAACCGCCTTTAAACTTGTACTGCACCCATAGATCTGCTATCGCTCTTTCCGTGACCAAAGTATGTCATCTCGCCCTGTCTCTCTCTGGCTGCCCTGGCTGATTTCCTTGCACTATTCCTTGGGCCAGCCTTTGCAGTGGCGGTAGCGCAACTCGGTCTTCGACGTATATAGGTAGGTGCTTCCTCCGGAAGACCGAGTATATCTTTCTCATTCAGCGGATTGTCACCGCCGGCGGCGCTAGTCGTAGGCACCGTGGTGGAGGCAGCCCGTCTAGAGGCGAAGGCTGCGAGCCTCGATCTTTCTCTGGGTCGTCCTCCTGATCTTCTTCGGATCCTTTGTCCGGTTGGCCTCCTGGACTTTCCCCGAGTCCTTTCGCCTGGTCCTTCTCCGGTTCTGCCTCCTAGAATTTCTCTGGCCTCCTGGTCCTTCTCCGGGTCGGCCTCCGGCTAGGACTCCTGGTCTTCCTCCGGCTCGGACTCCTGGTCTTCCTCCGAGTCTTTTCTCCGGGTCCTTTCTTCGGCTCAGCCTCTTGGTTCTTCTCCGAGTCGAACTCCTTATCTTCCTTCTGTCTCAGTCTCCAGCTCGACTCCTGCCTGAGTCTCCATTTTGTCTTCTTCCCGAGTCTCCATCTCTTTACGGTCGTGTCGACTGTGCTGAAGCATCTTGCTGGCTCCTCGTGGTGTCGGTGTGGGTCACTCATGGGGATTGTCAAGTTGAAGTGTAATACAATCATCATCAATCTATTGTACACGTAAACTTTTCCGCCATCACAACCATCGCACTACTGTACAGACCGCCATCTCTCTATCCCTCACTGCTCTCTCCCTCTCACGGTTATCAATGGTATCAAAGCATGCAGAAAGGAAACGCATCGAGCTACAGAATAACAGACGCAACGGAACAACAGAACCATCTCGGAAGAGACCGACAACAGAAGCAGAACAACAAAACTAGCTGGGAAGAGAAGCAGCAATAGAAGAATAAAAGCATCGACAAAATAGAAGCATCAGAACAACAGAACCAGCTCGGAAGAAATGAACGACAGAAAAGACACAACAGAGACTGAACAACAGAAAAGAGATGGAACAATAAGGACGCAACAAGACGAAACCACAAGATGGAACCACAAGACGGAACCACAAGACGGAACAATAAGACGGAATAACAAGACGGAAAGACAGAACAATTTCAACGCAAACGAAGCCTGGACATGGCAGGCTAGCATCATACGGAGACACCTTCCGTTAGTACATGGAATCACGGTGCCGGAGCGAAGCCCCTCATTAGAGCCTCCCGTCGGCCAGCACGACGTTGACGATTGCTAGAGCTGTGGACTATCGGCACAGGTGGGCCAACCATCCGCCTAAAAGGCTGAGCCTCATACTGAATCGACCGTCCCGATGCTGAGGCAACAACATGTGTCCCGCATACTGGCACAGTGGCTGAATTCCGCTATAGAGATTGACGTCCCAATGCGGAGGGGAAAGCATGAATCCAGTATACTGGTCCGGGTGATGGATGGATCCATAGTGATGGACGTTCCGATGCGGCGGGTACACCATGCGCCCAGCCACCTAAGCCTGTTGAGTCATTGAACCGTAGCGACCGTCCAGTTGCGCGGGTCCTGGGACCTGTGGGTTGAAGGCCCCCTCCGACAAGTGGAGCCCCTCCAGCGTCAGTCCATCGTCACTGCTTAACTCGGTTCTGTCCAGCCCGCCGGTACCAACGGCTCCATCACCCTCCTCCTGGTCGCCGTTGTCGTGCTCATTATGGATTGCCACTCCACTCGCAACCTGCTCACCGAAGCCAGAGACAGCACCCCTATCGACACTCGACGGGGGAACATCCGCGCCGACCATGCCACTCCCGCTTAGATATCCCATGACGCGTAGGACGTCGCTCCGCAATGGGCGGCCGCTGCCGTGCTCATCTCCGACAGTGCACTGGACTTTTTCGCGGAGCGATCCGCCACGCAGCCCGGCCATCGTCTTATAAGCAAGGACATCCATCAGCTTGGGGTCGTCTCCAACCTGCTCAGCAATTTTCTTGCAACGAAAGAGGTACTGATTGACGGACTCCTCGTGGTGCTGTTTCAGCTCGGCGATGCTGACGAACTGCTTGAGATCAACTAGCTCAGTGGGGAACTGCTGGCGGAGAGCGGCCGTGAGCCTCTGAAGTTTGAAGATGTCTCGTGCCTCAAGGATCTGAAGAATCTCTTGGCCTCGCCTCCCAGATTATCCATAAGTAGGCCACGCTTTGTTTTGTACATTTGGCGTTTAGGAATCCATTGTTCAAGCTCCCTGGAAACACTCTCCACTTCTTGGAGAAAATCATCGATGTCCCCGCCCGCGTACCCGAGGAAGGGCTTGATCCAGAGGCCTTGTCCGTAATACGGCATCGTCGCTGGGTGGTGGTAACTCGTTTATGAGGACTGTTATCTGGATTAAGGCTGTCAGTAACCAGTAACGAGGAGGAAAATTACTGAAATGGAGAGGAGAAGGGTAGGAGGGCAGAAGGGGATAATGACTGACCGGAGAGAGAAGAATTACTGAGCCGAAAGGATTATTGTCTTCCTTCGGGCTGTCTGTAACTTTTTATGAGCATTATTGTCTCCCTGGAAGCCGTCAGGACCTGGTGACAAAGAGGAAGATGACTAGAATGGAAGGGAGGAGGGGAAGGGAGGAGAGAATGACTGACCTGAGAGAGTAGAGGAGAATGACTGAACCGAGAGGATTGTTGTCTCCCTTACTTCTGTCTGGGACCGTTGATGTCTCCTTTGAGGCCGTTAGGAACCGGTGATGAGGAGGATAACGACTGAAATGGAGAAGAGGAGGGGAGGAGAGAGGGGAGGAGAGAGGGGCGGAGGAGAGGGGGTGAGAAGGAAGGATAATGACTGACCCGAAAGAGCAGAGGCGAATGACTGATCCGAGAGGATTGTTGTCTCCCTTAAGGTTGTCTCCCTTAAGATCGCCATGAACCGGGGGTAACGAGGAAGACGACTGTAATGGAGGAGGACGGGAAGAGAGGGGGAGAGGAGAGGAGGAGAAATGACTGAAATGGAGAGGAGGTATCTAATCAATTCCTACGGGGTATGCTGTATTCGTTGAAGATCCGGGTCGTACCTTCAGGCAGGATAGGATGGATGGGGATTGTCAACTTCAATGCAGCAAGAGAGGTAGGTAGATTGGAGGAGAAGAAACGGGTGACGGGAGTTCACGGGGAGGTAGAGGGGTACTTATACTGCCGATCGTGCTGGCCAGCTAGCCCTAACTTGCTACTTAATCTAGGAAGCCTTCATACAATTTCGCCAACAATCTGTACAGTCTTCCAGATCAAGCCTGCCGCCTCCTACTCGGCCCACCAAGACTGACTGTACTCGCTGGAAAAACAGCCCGCCTTTGCTCCCTTCGCACCGTCCGAGTGCACCATCACACCATTCGTCGTCATGGCTGCCTTGGACCCTTCAGGGACACAGGAGTCCCAGCTTGCTGCTCCCTCTCTGCGAGGTTCGATGCATCTGCATGCATTCTGTTGCATTCTGTCACAGAGCTTGGAACCGGCCGATGGAGACCATCTTCTGGCCACCCGTCGATCGTGAATCCATAGACCCATCGGGATCGTCTTTGGTAGCCAGGTCTCTCTTCACAATCCGTCCTGAGCCTTAGCCTGGCCAAAGAATCGTTCGGACCGCACAGCCAGGGTAGAAATCACTTTATTGACGTATCTATGGACCTAAGTAGATCACGACGGTCCACGCCAAAGAGAGCCACCACCGCGAGTGAGACCAGCTAATCGGTGCCCCTGGCCTGCCCTCGAGAGAGAGAGAGAGAGAGAGAGAGAGAGAGAGAGAGAGAGAGAGAAGTACACCAGCCAATGGAAAACAAAACAAACCGCCAGGTGTGCAGTATGTACCTGGTGCCGGGCGGGTGTCAGCCGTGCTGGACACCCACAGAGCTTCCTGGAGCATCTCAGCACCGCTACCCTCAACTGCAGCGGACGAAAGAGAGAGATCTTCAGTTTATTTCTCATGCAGCCCATCGAGACTATGGCAAAAATATGACATGTGCCCGATCCATCTGGCGAGTCCGAGTGCAAGCTGCAAGATCAGTCCTTGCAAGTTGCTCCGAGCTCATGGAGGAGAGAGAGTCGTGCTGAGGGCCTGGGGCAGCGAGGCTCGGTGTAGTAGACATTCTTGATCGCAGGAGTCTGGACTCTGGACTCTGCTGGGCGCTGAAAAGGGTGCTCGAGCATGGGCGTTCGCAGGACGGCGAGGCAGAGAGAGATCTTCAGTTTATTTCGCATGCAGCCCATCTAGATTCGAGACTATGGCGAACCGTCGCACTCCTTTCCTTCCCACCCTGGCCAGCCGGGGACGGGTTGGGATCCCGCTACCGGCCAGCACGATGCGGCGCCGCTGCCTGCCAAACAAAAAAAACAAAAAAACAAGGGAAATCGGACCAGTATATGTTTCGCACCAAGAACAGACAATGACATATCGTGGCTCCGCACCTCCCTGCACAGGCCGCAAACACAGCATCCTGCTGGGTACTCTTGTTCTGCCCCCCGATTGCTTCGCTTCCCTCCTCCTCCACGCTCCTCCAGGCTCCTCCAGGAGTCCTCCTCCTCCACGCTCCTCCAGGCTCCTCCAGGAGTCCTCCTCCTCGTCCTCCAGGCTCCTCCAGGAGTCCTCCTCCTCGTCCTCTAAGTCTGGCGGAGCTTTCCTCCCTCGTCCGGCGTTCCTAGGAACTCTACGATCGCATCGCTGCATCGCTGCACCGCTCATCGGCGAACAGCTCCGCTATGACCTGACCATCTCCCCTTCCTTCTCTTTGTCTGCTTCCCAACCTTCGCCCACATGGCTTTCTGCTGGCTTCTCCGAAGAAAGGCGACCTTGTTAGAACCTGGGTGAGACCTTGTATCTGGGGAGAGGAACATTGTAGGGACCTGGCGGGACTACCTGTTATGCAGCCTGCAGGCGATCCGAGATGCCAGGGGTTTTTGGAGGGGAGACACGATGCCGTCGTTCGACGTCCATGGTCTCTGCTGTCAATGATGAAATCATGCAGATGCACGAGCGGTGAATTTTCGCCGACCTGCTAGACCAGATGCGGCGGGGTCAAACGTTCGGAGTGCTCTTGTTTGCTTTGCCGAGAGTCTGTCTGTCTGTCTCATCGTCCATCATCATTGTTACCATCATTGCTTTCATCGTTCTTGTCTTTTTGCCGGTTACCTGCTCGATTCGTCCAAGGGGTTGTCTGCTCGTTTCTTCGGTTTGTTCTCTTGCTATCGGGTCTCTTGAACTTTACGGAAGGCCTTTCTTCTTTCACGAACCATTTCTCTTTCGTGGCTTGTGCTTGACTTTCTTCACCCCCGTCACAACCTATCTCTATCAAAGTCGACCGAGGGCCCCTCTGGCTCTGATTTCTTCAGTGGGGACCTTTGCTGGTTAATTCCGGCCTGAATGCGGGGGAGGGGGGGATTGTAGGCTTCCGAGTCATGTTTTTGAAGAGAATGCTGGCCGCATGGACTGTGGGCCGTGGACATTTGAGTAAATGACGGTGCCGCTGCCGGGTGGTATTTTGCGCCTCTTCTTCTCCGCAATAATGCTTCAATTCAACGACTTGTCATCAGTCCTTGAACTTTTTTTTTTTTGTAAAATAACAACTTCGCCACAACTAGAGTAGAGATCATACCTTGAAGCCGGGCTTAATTTCCTCTCTGACCGCAGCAGCCACATCACGGTCGGACGTTGGGTTTGGCATCTTCTTGAGTTAGCAGTGAACAGATGTCAGAGTTTTCAAAAGGATTCCCCTCTTTTTCATCTCTGGCAGTGGGCACTGGTGGAGCCAATCGAGAGTCGTGTCCATAATCGCCCCTTACCTTCAAGGAGTCGTCTCGAGTCTCGACTCTCCTCCTTGCCCGCCGCCACATCTCTGCGCCACCTTCAATCCCCAGTCACGTGGATGGCGTGTTGCACAGTATCATGACCTCAGACTTTACGCTAATTTGACATCCCTACCGTGCAGAATCTCCGGGTGATGTCCTGCATGCGGGCCGGGGTGGCGTTGGGGTGCAGTGGTAGTTAGCGCGACGCGACCCTGCCCCGCCTCGCCCGGGACCGGCCACGCGGGACATATACATAACGGCGGCATTTACCCTTCCACCGTCCACGGCCACACAGCACACAGCGCAACAATGGCCGACAAACTCAGCGAATCCTACTGGACCAGCCTGCTGTCCAAAACACCGGCAATCCTCTCGTCGCCCGCGCCAGCGCCCGTCCCGCTGCCCGCCAACATCGCACAGACGATCGATCACACGCTGCTCGCTCCGGCCGCCACCACCGACCAGATCGCCAACGTCTGCGAACAGGCAAAAACCCACGGCTTCTACAGCGTGTGCGTCAACTCCAGCCATGCAAAGCAGGTTGCAGCGAGTGGTGCCAAGGCGTGTGTCGTCGTCGGTTTCCCGCTGGGCGCGATGAGCACCGAGGGGAAAGAATTGTACTCTCTCTCTCTCTCTCTCTCTCTCTCTCTCTCGCCCCTACCATGTTTGGTTTCAGAGGGCTATGCTAACGAGATGGACCACGCACGCAGTGAGACGAAAACGGCGATCTCCCACGGCGCGACCGAAATCGACACGGTTCTCGCGGTCGGGCTGCTAAAATCTCGAGAATACGTGCGGGTGTACCGCGACATCGCCGCGGTCGTTTCTACCGCGGCGCCGTACCCGGTCAAGGTGATCATCGAGACGGCCCTACTCACGGATGAGGAGAAGGTAGCCGCGTGCTTGATCTCGGCCGAGGCTGGTGCCGCGTTTGTCAAGACTTGTACGGGGTTCTCCGGGGGGGCGGCGACTACGGGGGATGTTGCGTTGATGAGGAATGCGGTGGAGGGGTATGCGTGGAAGGGACATGGCTGGGACGGCAGGATCAGAGTCAAGGCTAGTGCGGGCGTGAGAACGGCTGAGTCGGCGAAGAGGATGCTGGAGGCGGGCGCGGATAGGATCGGAACTAGCAGTGGGGTGGCGATCATGGAGGGCGGGAAGGGGGAGGGCTACTAGGATAAGATGCTGAATACATTATATATGCTAATCGATCATTCGATCGGAGAGAACAGAGGCGCCAGTTGGGGCAACTTGCGACCTCGCGGTACAATGGATTCAGATGAGGGATTTGAAGTCGCAATGTGAACTGCCTTTATGCCTCCGCAAAAAGTAAATACACAGCCGCATGTCGATTTCCTGTTATTTGAGTCTCCAGCAAAGTCCAATTCCGTATAACCAACCAGTACAGACCGTGAGATCGTTTGTCTCATCCACCTCGAGCTATTCTCGATGACGATACATCGTACCACGGCTCACAGTCCGTCTGGTCGGAATTCTATTTAACAACATGACTACAGTCCTGCCGGTAGAACCACATTCAATAGTGAAATCACTCTGTACTGTACGTACGCCCTACGGAAACCCTTCTGTTCCGGCAGGAGTTGGGGAATCTTTGGGAGAGATTACTGATGGATGAATAGGTAGGTACAAGCTCACAGACAGCAAATATCTCCCAAATGAGCAGCCGGATGCCTCTGGAGAGTACGTTGGTTCAGCAGTATGTTATCTACTTACGCAACGTCACAATGCTGTTCTGTACTGACTAGTGTTGGTTAAAAGAGGATCTCGATGCTCATCATGTTCAATTACTGCGCAATCTCTCCGGACCGGAGGTCCTCTATATATACAGAATCTCGAGTCCCTCCCATAGGTCATGGTATAGCATACCGATGGATTTGGGCAATAGTGCGTTGCTCACCTGTGGGGAACGAATCACGTACCCAAGCAACAGCAGATTGACTCTTATGTGTTCCTCGAGGAGAAGGCAATACATAAGCCTCAACAGCTTTCCCCTCGAGGAATATGTAGGGGTCGATCTGCTGTTGCGTAGGTACACGATTCGTTTCTCGGAGCTGGTAGGAGGTTGTGTTTAGGGTCGCCATAGTCAGGTAGTTAGGCCGTATGCAACAATGAATTGATGTGTTCTGTCTCTCTCTATGATATGCTCTAGTTTGCGTCTCATCTCACTACGTGAGATCCTTATTTTTCTTTCGCACATCCTTCCGCTTTTCTGCGCACGCCGTCAGTCCTCAGTCCCCCCGTTACCACGGATTGTCGTCTCACCTTTCCTCTCTTCTCTTCTTGTCTCCTTCCCGGCCTTACTCTTCTTGGCCTTCCTATTCTTCTCACCCCCACCGCCACTCCCGTCTCCCTCCTCGCTCTCCTTCGGGCTTCCCGCTTTCGCCGACTTCTCATCCAGCGCCACCAGCTTCTCCATAGCCCCCTCCTTCTGCGCCCTAACCTGCTCCGCCCTCTCCACATCGTACTTATCATTCCCGGCCAGCCCGGCCTTGATGAACCTCCCAGCCGCCTGCTTGTCTAGAGCCATTGGCCTCTCGGTGGCGGGCTCTGCGCCCTTGATCTTGGCGACATACTGGCGCACGCGCGTGAGCTCCGTCATGATGGCATGGTTCTTGGTGTTCGTTCCCTGCAGCCGCAGATATGAGAATAGCAGCGAGTCGAGCGCGTAAGTGGCCAGGACGTGCAGCCGCGCTTTGTCGGCCACCGTGAGTGAAGTGGCGACATCGCTCAGCGGCGTGCTGAGGAGGGGCGCGAGCGTGCTGGTCAGCACCGATAGACTGTCGTCAAGGTCGTCGAGGAGGTCGAGCGGTTCGAGGGCGTGCGCCATGGTTGTGGTGGAGAGTGGTGCTGGTGGGGGATGGTGCTGGTGCGCGCGGGAAGACGTGGTTTGCGCGACGGAGAAAGGAAAATCGGCTGGCGCAGACAGGGGTGGGCATTAGCTTGGTGCTAACTAGCGGCCAGGTAGCTTTCTCGAGAGCTCAGAGCCGCATAACTCACGCGACCGAACCGAACCGACACGACACCATTGCCACTCTCACCTTATCTCGCTCCCACCTAAGCTCACCTCCACCACCAAACACCAAACACCAATACCCCACAACCATGGCAGCAAAAATAACCGACCTTACGACGCCCGCGCAGCTCAGCACGCTGCTCAGCAAAAACAGCGTAGTAGTCCTCGACTGTGCGTCCCCGTCTCTGCCCACCTCCTTCACCAACTAACTCCGCGTAGTCCACGCAACCTGGTGCGGCCCCTGCAAGACTATCGCGCCCGTCTTCTCCGCGCTCGCCTCGAAGCACGCGTCTCCCGGCAAGGTAGCCTTCGCCAAGGTCGACGTGGACGCCGCGCAGGCCATCGCGCAGCAGTACACCGTTACGGCGATGCCGACGTTCCTAGTCTTCACCAACGGGCGGGAGACGGCGCGCATCCGCGGCGCCGACGCGGGAGGGCTGACGTCGGCCGTTACCGCCGCCGCCAAGAGCGCGAAGCCGGCGGTTGGCCAGGGCGTCAAGTTGGGCGGCGCGCCGAGCACGCCGAAGCCAGTGTTTGTGAGGAATGGCACCCTGGCGGCTACCGCACCGTTGGGGAATAGGATCGGTGGGCTGGTGGATACGATCATCCGCTTCGTGGTACTGTACGTCGTTAGTCTGTTTAGTATCGATGGGATTAAGGCGGCCGAGGAGAGCAGGTTCTCGGTTCGGGGAGGAGGCGGCAGTGGTGGTGGTGGTGGTGGAGGCGGTGGCCCGGGTGGCAGGAAGTTGGGGAGTATGGACACTGTCAAGAGGACTAATGCTTCGTGCTCGGGTGGGAGTTGTGGTTAGGTCGTAGTTGAGGAGTTTGCGCGGGCTGAATGATAGGCAGTCTACTTTACAATACACATGCTATTCTTGTTGTAATCATCATAGCATTTGGCCTTGGGTAGGTCGTGACTGTTACAAATCCGTTTACTCCGCACTGCCTTCCCCGTGTGGATGCCCTTGGAGACGTGCCTATCGTTGCTGCTGTTGAATTTACTGGTGATATCGTCGATACGGCCAACGTTGGTGAATCGCTCGTCTGCAACCTTTGTGACATGTCCGCCAGGTCGCAATTGACAGTAGAGTAGGTGACGGATAACTAAGAATCCGGCCATGTGATTAGTAGTACCGGAATCAAGAATCCAGTGATTTATAGTAGTTTTAATCCTAACGACAATAACATACCGTATTATCTCAGATAACTGACCTGTCGTACAAAGTCATTAGCGCTGTTACACACAGGCTTGGAGCGCTTCGCATGTGGTTAGCGCTGGCTTGGAGACCTTGGCACTTAGTCAATATCAGATACCACGGGCGGGGGCGACGATTGAGGGGGCGACGATTGGGGGGGCGACTGGCGGGCGCGACCACGGGCGGTATGTAGAGTACATAGCAGTGTAGACGGTCACTAGTATCTGCTATTGACTAAGCGCCAAGGTCTCTAATCTGGCGCTAACCACATGTACCAGCGAAGCCGAATGCAACGGAGAGCACGAGGCTATCGACAGCCACACCGCCTCCAACATGGAAGTTTTCCAACGGCTGTTTCGTTGGCTTTTTCAGTAGCTTTTTCGGTGGCTGTTTCGATGCGCTGATTGTGTTTTGTGTTTTGTGTTTCGTATCGTACTGGTCTGTGTCCCTGCAATCCGGCTTTCGATAGCCTTGCTCGCCGTAGCCGTAGGCTCGTAGCACGCTACGCACAGCGCTTTGCAAGAGCACATAATCGTCCGGAACATTCTTCTTGCATCGGAGAGTGACCTCGAAGGTTCTAGCTGCTCCACGGCGGGTTCGGAAGTGGTACCTACCGTGCTCAGTACAAAATTCCAACCAACATTCACGTGAAATTTGTCTACCTATTCGGTCGAATCAGAAAGGCCTTTAATCGGGTAGGTACCATGTTATGGCTTGTTGATCCATCTTGACACCACAGATCTCGACTCTCGAGCTGGGTGACAGTTCCTTTGATCTCGGTGTACTAGGTAGTATGTCATTGCGGAAGCATACTCTGTGAGCTCGAACAGCCTACAGGTGCTTTCTATCATTTTTTGGGACGCGGTCCGACTCGTCCTGGAGCTCGGTGCAGACTCCACGGGCTGCGAGGTTCGAAGATCCACTTTGCATCATCGTAGTGGACCTTTGGGACATGTCGCCTACACCATAAATGATATTAGAGAACTTCCAAAAGTCCTTCTAGTACTACCCGTATCTGATCTTATATCGGCCGAACAGCTTCATTTATTCCGCAGCCTTCTATCAAAGTTTCAATCTACTATAGACCACGTGATAACGTTAACCTACCGTCGAAGCCAGGATGAGGATTAACTACCACCAGTTAGTGAGCTTAGGGCTACGGTTAATAATCCATGCAGCATGTAATCCTGGTCTCTAGGGTTATGGCCGATTAGGGCTACAGTGAGGACTACGTGAGGGCGGCAATTCTCTGGAACGTCAGCTAAAGCACCCAGAAGGCTAAGTTGAGACTGAAGTTCATGAGAATGGCCTGTTTCCTAGTATCAGAAATAATAAAGATGTTGATGGTGTGAACTTATGTTGGAGAAACGAGGCCGGAGGGCGGGGAGTTCTGATTGGAGGCCGTATGTAGTGTATTGTACGAGACGATATTGAATAGGTATCGCGGGGGTTTGCCATAGGGAATCTTGTATTGACTAAACGTCGCACGTACTACGAGTGCGGCCAATACCACGAAGACCAGCGCTAATCGGTCGAAAAAAGAGGACGATCAGCTGGGATCATTGTCCTCTAATCGGTTGCAAAACGAGGACGATCAACTATCGGAAATTATCCCTTACATGTCCGGGCAATTGTGGATTTTTTGCAGTACATGAATGTGCCGGATTGGGAGGCGGTAGTGCGTCTACACAACAACATAACTCACTGTCTCGATTATTCTGGTTGCAGCTGTGCTGGTAGTGGTGGCTACCATGAAGGTCGCCGCAGTGGCGTCGTACGTCTAAGTACTTGGTGCTCGTCCCCTTAGATACCCAATTTATACCACTCGATCATGTGTACCGCTCATGCCCTGGGCGTCATTCACAATTCACTCTGTGCTTGATATTAGAGGATATCTACCTGAAGATTCTATCACCGACACGACTACTTAGTACTCACCGCCATTCAAACATACTACGCGAAACAATTCAAGAAGTGCATCCCTATCATTTGGTGAATGTAACTTTTCATTGCCAAATCAACCAACTAGCTAACCAAGAAGAAACCCGAAAGACCTTCCAACAGTTGCCAGCCAGCCAAATCGTACAAAACAGATACCCAAGAAATCATCGCTTTTTTAGTACACCAGTACCATCGTCGCAGTACACTAGTACCATCGTTCGTCGTATGTCGCATGTCGCAAAAAGGATCATCTTCCCGATGGACCCACGTCCCGTGATCCTCCAAAACCTCAGACAACCTTCCTATCAGAAATCCAAAGCCTTCAAGAGAACCACCATTACTATTAATCCGCCGTTTTTTCCTTTTTTTGGTCGTATTAGAATCGTCCGATCTTTCTGTGGCTTTCCCGACGGCGTTCGAGGAGGATTTTCGTTTTTTTGTTTTTTTTTCTTTCGTTTTTTTTTGTTTTCCGAAATCCGTATTGACAAGTAAAGCAAAATTAGTAAAAAGAGTAAGGATGAATGCTCAGATGAACACCCTCAACATCCGGGTGACCTCGTGGGGCTTCTTGTTGATGGACGCCTCGAAAATCTTTTCCATGTTGTCGTGTAGGAAGTGGAAAGAACTCTGCGATCCTTTCTCCAGGGTGAATCGAGCGACGCATGTGCCCACACGGCGATTTCCCTGGGCCACGCGGATCTCGACAACGATCTCGCAAGCCTTGACACACATGTCTGTTCAATCAGGGGTTAGTAATCTCGATCGAGAGGCTTGGGAATGGCGGTGGAAAATCTTACGAGGTACGTCTGGGATCTTGCACCGCATCACGAGACCCTTATGATCATCCTGAAGGATGATAATGCCGATATGGCGCCAGCGCTTCAAGAGCTGGATGCACATCGCATAGGCTTCAAACGCCGGGACATTGAAGCAGCTGAAGACATAGCTCGGCATCATTCGGAGCATCCGCTTGATCCATGTCTGTTGCTTGGCAATACGGATGTACTCGTCCCGTTCGATATCTTCGAATTCGTCGATATCTTCGTAATCGTCATCGTTTTCAATCTCCGGAGCCGCCTGTTGAAAAAGTTCCATGAGACCGCGCATCTTGTTCTCCGTACGTTGAACTGTAGAAATTTTAGTAAAAGGCATCGACATATTCATTGATCAAAACTTACCTTTGCGAGCAGTTATCTTGTGAAGGACATTCTTGAACGACTTCTTCAGGAATGACAGGGCGCCCTTGGAGCCGCCATCAGCCGGGCCAGTCTGGGGCACATTGAGAAAACCTCCGTGTACGTTAGGGACTTCAAGCTGAGGAATCGTGAACTCGGCAAACTTGAGCTTAGGAACCTTGATCTCAGGGTTCACATTGCGATCCGTAGCCTCTTGTTCATCCTCCTGGATACCCGCATGATCCTCTGCAGGCGTAGTATGGAGTTTCGGATCCTTTCCAATTACCGAGCCAACAGGATTGTTCTTGATGGTTTCGTGACTCTCGTCGCGCGACATTGGGGGATTCGAGGACGAAAGATCCGCAAATCGAGAATCCGGAGTCCCTCCGTTGGCCGAGTAATTACCTGAGGTCATGCTGTACCAACCCGGGAGAAGACCACGGGGACGCATGTGAGCGTTCATCTGCTGGATGATCAGTCCAGAACTTCTCCGCGAGAGGAACGAGGCCGCTCTGGAGCCTTTCTGGGTGACCATGCTGCCGGTGACATGTGATGATGCCTGCTTGTGTAGTGGGGAAAGAGCGACGCTTCCTTTATGAGAACTATCGGAAAAGGAAAATGTGCGGTATCCAGGAGTAGCCGGTTCGCCTTCCACGGATGGAGGAGGGCTACGAGCATGGCACAACGAGCCATTCGACGGATGCACTTCGAGCCCAACCGTCATCAACGCCTGCTGATATACGTAAGACTCCATATCGCGGGACCGGCGCTGGTGGCGTTGAATATTTTCCAACGCGTCGCCTCCTAGGATTGGGCCGTCTTGAAACGAGGGACCCCGGCTTCTCGTAGGAGTAGCAACACTCAATTTGCGCCTGTAGCCTAGGGTTGGCTGATCCCTTAGGAAAGAGACTGTGGAGGCCTTTGATCCAGACCTGGCCCGCTGTGAGGGTGAGCGTATAGTGCTGAAGCTGTCCGAATCAGACATCCAATTGAAATCTTCGTTTTCTTTCGGGACTTCAGCTGCATTGTCCGGACTGCCCTCGAGATTTTTCCGTTCCCGGTCGGACAGGACAACTGAGTTCTCGGCAGGCAACCTGGAGAGCTCTTCATCGGCCTGTGATTCTTGGTGATAGAACTCTCCGAAATCGTCGTGATCATCGCCGTTAATGGCTTCGTCCAATTCTGAAGCGAGCTCCCATTCAGACATGTCTTCGAACTGATCTGCTTCTAGCAAGGGCCTCCACATATCAAGTCCGAGACTGGGTGCTTGAGCGATCTCTTCTGCGTTGTCATCCGAGTCACAACCTTCGAAGTAATCTTTATCTTTTTCCGCCGCCTTCATTTGCAGCATGTATTCGATCAACGATGGCTTATTAGGAATTCCTGGGGCTCCCTCCATTTCTGCGGTCTCGACTTCCTCTGGTGGAAGCAGTTCCCGAAATCCGTGGTCAAAGACATTCTGAAAGCTCTCCGTGTAGTACCCAATTGAAGGTACTGTCGATGGAGAGACATTGGCCGGACCATAACCCCGTAGGGTTGGCGGGCTGGCAACCAGCTCCGTAGCTCTCTCCCCACCACGAATCTCTCTCTCCGACAGTTTTGGATAAATATGCCTGTTTTTGTTTCTGAAGTCTATCAGAATACAGTAGAGCTGTTTGATGCCGTTTGATCTGTGTTCCATGTTAGCTCGGAAGACTGAAGCTCGGAAGGGCGTGACTTACACCTCCGTCCTCAGCTGATGGTAGATGTGAGTCTCGTCCATTCCCGGGTGAAGCCCAATTAGATTGCCCATAGTGATAGCATCGACCTCATCGTCCTCTTTCAGCAGTGGACCATCGCAGTCTGCAATTCCCACCGCTCCGGAAATGATGTCCGCGGGTCTGCCCGGCAGTCGGTCCGCCGGCGCCCATTTCGTGACGAGAGGATGCTCCCAAATCTTCCTTAGCTTGATCCGCTTTCCAGGATCAAACTCAAGCATTTTTGAAAGCAGGTCCGTCAGCTCGGGACTGAACCAAGGCTTCAAGAATTGGCCTTCCTTCATCACTGCGACAGTAGTTGATAGTTTACCGTCGGGGAAAGGACTGTGAGCAGTCACCAAGACGTAAAGGACAACGCCCAATGAGTAACTTCCAGCAAAGAACTATCAGCGACTGCAAGCTATGGCATATATGATATGAAGATTGGAATACGTACACATCCGCCTTTCTGCCGTCATATTCTTGTGACTGGAGAATCTCCGGAGCAACGTAGTGGGGCGAACCACAGAGAGTGCTCATGAAGATGTTTTTGCCGGCAATCGAACACAACCCAAAGTCGACGATTTTGAGTTTATTGTCCCAAGTCAAGACCATGTTTTCCGGCTTGATATCTCTGTGGGCGACATTTATCATTTGACAGTAATAAATGGCTGAAAGCATCTGTCGAAACAACGGAAGCGCCTGAGCTTCGGTCAATGCACCGTAACCGGCGAGAAGCTTGTATAGCTCGGTACCCTCACAGTATTCCATGGCGACGTAACTAGAAAAAAACACATTAATCATTAGTCGTGTCGAGTGATGCGTTGGGGAGCAGGTTACTCACAAATTATTGTCGTCTTCATAGAAGGATTTGAATTTGACAATGTTGGGATGGTTCATCAGCTTCAAAACCGCGACCTCCTTTTTGACTGCGTAAGAGATCGCACTGTCGTTTGCGGCTGCCTGCTTCGATATGACCTTGATGGCCACTGAATCCCCGGACATCAGGTTTCTCGCAACACAGACCTTGCCGTTCGATCCGGCGCCTAATTTCTTTCCCAAGATGTAGGGACCGATCATGATCTTCGGTCTCTTTTCGTCCGAAGTCGGCTGCCGGGGCGTGACAGTGCAATGAGCACCTTGGGGAGGCACAACAGGTTTCTGTGGGGACGGAAACATGCTCGTCCTGTCACGATAAGGTGTGGCTGGCGGTTTTTTCGGAGAGAACTTAACCTTTATCCGTCGTGGAGTGACAGGTATCATAGGATATGATGACTTCTTTTTCTGTCTCCTCGGTGTCCGAGGGACCGCAGTAGGAGCGACAGCTGGTTTTAACCGGTATTTCGGACGAGGAGTCGGGGATTCCGGAACACCCCTCTTGGCAGCCTTTCGGGCGACCTTGGTACCAACAGGCTTGAACGTAGCCTTTGGTGCCTCGCCCATGATATCTGATCGTTGTTTAGTAGCTGGAACTGAGATATTACTCTTTGAGGAATGCATGGTCGAAGGAGCAAAGCACAGTGAGAAAAGGGGAACAGATAGAGGATGAGGGAGGGAGCAGAGATGAAGAAAGAAGAAGGTGGAATGAAAGGGAGATGAGGAAGCAAGGAAGTTGGATGAAGAGGGTGGGAAGGTTGAAGGAGAAAAGAGGGCGAAAGCGCGCAGAAAAGGAAGGGGAGGGTAGAGAGGGCAAGTTTGAACGAATAGCGGTGTACGTTCAGTGTTCTGTAGAGGGGAGCATTTGTGAAACACCGCAAACCAGAGGAAACAAACTAGTTGCGTGTAATTCCGAGCAACCGTTAAGCAAACACCAGATCTAAAGTCACGAGCCCTCCACCAATATCATAATCTGGGACCCCTCCAATTCACCGCGGTAAAAAAATTGCTAAGTTACTTGGATGGGGATCGGAAGTATGGCAATTACGGGCCAGACGGCTACATCGAACAGGACATGAGCGAATGAAAGCCGGGATAACACACTGTAACTGGATGCAAGAAGCATGCGATGCCGTATGGCCAACTCGGACGAATAAGCAAAGTTGGCAGTCGACATCCCCGGAAACCCATATTCGACCGAATAAGCCAAGTTGGCAGGCGACAGCCTCACCGCTCGTGGCTCGTAGAGTAGGAGGCCCCGCTACCTCCAACAACTACAAAGGCGTCTCCGGAAACCAAAATTCGAACGAATAAGCCGAGCTGGCAGTCGACATCCCCAGAAACCAGCCGGACCGAAATTCGACCGAATAAGCCAGACCAAATTCAACCGAATAAGCAGCGCTGACAGCCGACAAACCCCATTGCTCGTGAAGTGAAGGGCCTCAGATCCGTGGCCTCATCGCAGAAGAGCATTGCAGCCAGGCATCCTGGGATTCCTTGCTACCATCGATACGAGCAGGTGGATCCCGCAGGTCGCCATGGAAAATGCAGCCATCGCCCGAGCGTAGAAAACGGCCGTCTAGAGACAGCACACCATGGGCAGAGTCACCATCCACACGGAGGCGCAGGCGGCCACTGGAAGGATAACCCACGACGCTCCCGGCTCCGGCAGAAGTACGACATCCAAACGCGGAAACACATCGCTGCCTTCCGCTGGAGAGAACCCGAGATCAACATCGACATCAAGTGGTGCCGGGCCCACAGAGGAGTCTCGGGAACCAGTATTCGGAAGAATAAGCCAAGTTGACAGCCGGCAAACCCACCGCTCGTGGAGTGGAGAGCACCGTTCCCTAAACAACCACGAAGGCGTCTCTGGAAACCAAAAATCGACTGAATCGGCCAAGCTGGCAGCCGAAATCTCCAGAAATCAATATTCGACTGAATAAGCCAACGGAGGCCTCATCACCTTAAACAGCTACAAAGGTGTCACCGGAAACCACAATTCGGTCGAATAAGCCAAACTAGCAGCCTCTTCGCAGACGAGCATTGCAGCCAGGACATCTTGGCCTTTCTCGCCATCACCGATGTGGGCAGGTGTATCCCGGAGAGAGAGAGAACATCAATTTATTATCGCATACGGCCTTACTCGACCATGGCAACCACAAATCAGTCCTTCCCTGCCAGCCCCGCGAGGGCAGGGAGCAAGCTCTATCGCCTGCGTTCGTTGCTGCACTACTGCCTACAAAATCAAAAACAAAGCAATAATCGATTCTGACAGACAGAAGCAAAACATGACCACACTCTATTCAAGTTGCCGGCCCCCTACGAACACAGTCGGCACACAGTCGGCACACCGGACACATCTGCTTAACTCAGTTAGATCCCGGAGGTCGCTAAGGAATACACAGCAAGTGAACTGTGAGGCGTCCGTGTGAAAGGTTGGGGAGCGGAAATAGAGACGTGCCGAGAGTAGGCAACAGGAGGAGGAGGATGAGAAGGAGGAGGAGGAGCGCGCTGAGGTTGAGCAACCGGGATCACTCCCACCATTCCTCCGCACACTATCCTTCATGACATCTCGGATCTCCTCATGAAGAGAAAGGAGGCGAGACGGTGGGAGGAGCGTTTTTGTTTTTCCTGGCTCCATTTCTTGGTACGCTTCACACGTATCTTCGAGAAAGGCCAGGTGGAGGGCAGGGGAATCCACATCAGACCGCTGGACGAAAGTTGGGTTGAGCAGTGTTACTGGGATGTGCGAGTGAGAGGTCAGGCACCGTCAGGGAGGGGAAAGAGATACGTGTCGAGAGGAGGAGAGAGGAAAATAAGGAGGAAGACGCTCAGATTGAGAAACCGGGATCACTCCCGCTGTTCCTCCGCACACCTTCCTGGATGACCTCTCCTGATGAAGGGGCAGGAGGCGACTCAGGCGAGATGGTGTGAGGAGCGGACGTTTCTTTTCCTAGCTTTATTTCCTTGGTACGCTTCACATGTATGATGTATCTTCGAGAAAGGCCAGGCGGAGGGCAGGAGGATCCACACTGGACTGCTGGACAAAAGTTGAGTTGGGCAGTGTTACTGGGGTATCCGAGTGAGAGTTCAGGGAGCGAGAGGACTCAACAGAGACGTGCCGAGAGGAGGCGAGAGGTGACGAGAAGAGGAAGAGGGGGAGGGAGGGGAGGAGGAGGAGGAGGATGAAGGTGCTGAGGTTGAGCAACCGGGATGACTCCCACCGTTCCTCCGCACACCTTCCTTCATGGCATCTCCTAGTGAAGAGGCAGGGGTGAGACGGTGGGAGAACCGTTTTCTGTCTTTTTCCTTGGTGCGCTCTACTTATATATTCGGGGAAAGGCCATGCGAAGGGCAGGGGAAACCACATCGGGCCGCTTGATGGGAGTCGGGTTGGACAATGGCGTGGAAACGGGGTGCGTATATTGCCATGAATCACGGTCTAGATACCTAGGGCACATGCAATTGTTGGAAGGTGTGGCGAATAAACCTCAATACCAGCACTATATAGGTAGGTAGGTACGGAGGTGTGGGTCATTGACGAGATTACAGGAGGATATAACTTCATATAAGAGTCATTAGATAGCTGTCAATGAAAGGACAACTCTCACAAAAATTACGTCGTACACCGAGGGAAACTATTCTTGTGCCTTTCAACAGCAATTAATGGTTGAACCAAAAACAAAAGCTGAAATGAATGTCACTCCCTCCGCGACTAGGTGCAAGACGATTCGAGGAGCGTTTTTGTATTTTCCTGGCTTCATTTGCTTGGTACGCTTCACACGTATCTTCGAGAAAAAGGTCAGACGGAGAGCAGGGGACTATAATGTACATCGGACCGCTGGAAGAAAGTTGGGTTGGACAGTGGACAGTGAACATGGAAATAGTGATGGAGAATCGTGCCCGCCAGTCCCATGCGGTTACTTGTAACTTTTGCTCTTCTGCAACCCCCCATTCAAACGATTCAAGGCAGGCACCATATTCATTACGCCTCCGAGCAAGGTATCACTATGTACATCTACTCCTCGCCATAAAGCACCTCCTCGTATGCCTTCCGGAGTCCTACTCCCTCCGACTCCACAACGATCGGCACCTTTTTAACCGCAATAGCCCTTCGAATCGCCTTGCCAATATTCCTCCAGAACCACCGGGCCTCGTTGTTCCCCAGCAGCGTCCAGGCGTCTCCCTCATTCCCTGCTCTGGCAGTACGTCCCACTCGGTGCACATACGCGCGCGTACTCGCTGGGATGTCGTAGTTGATGATGTGGCGGATGTTTGGGAGATCGAGGCCGCGGGAGATGAGGTCGGAGCAAACGAGTCTGTAGATACAATCAGCATCTGGATGTTAGATAGTGGAGGGGGGAGTGCAGGGAGATGTACATATCAACTTCACTCTTGGAAAACCGCTTGAGGATCTTTTCTCGTCGTTTCTTTTCCATTTCTCCCGTGACAAGGCCGACCGAGAGCTTGTCACCCGACTTCTCACCCACGGTTTCCAAAAGCTTTGCGAGGCGGGCTGCGCCCTCATTACTCTTGACGAAGACTAGAGCGCCTGTCTTGATCCCCTGTTTGCGGAGGAGGTATAGAAGGTACAGGGGTTTGTGCTCGCTGCTTTCAACGGGTATGACATGTTCCCGCAACCCCGCGGGAACAGAGAATTGCTCCAGCTCCTCACCTTCCTGAGCGTCGTCTTCCCCGGCGTCAGCCATATTGATATCCTCTGGCAGCGGGGGGTCCTCAACGACCACCAGCCGTGGCCTCCGTAATCTCAGCCCGGCAAGCTTCCCCACATCCCTAGTCATAGTAGCTGAAAGCACCACCTTCCTGACCTTTTCCGCCTCGCGGCGGCCACTTCGCAATCCAAGATTTCCCAGATCGACACCCGCAATGCTGTCGACACAGTGCTTTGCTGCCGCCTCCTCGAGCCCAACGATAACCACATTCACCCACTCCTGGAAGCTCTGCGCGAGCAGCCGGTCGGCCTCGTCGATGACCAGCCACTTGACCCACGTAAGATCAAATCCGGGCGTTGCACGCACATGTTCGACGAGTCTCCCAGGGGTGGTGATCAATATGTCCACCTTGCTGACCACAGAACCATCATCCTCCTCCGCCACGAGGAGTCCCTGCTCAACCGCCAGTGAGCGCGATCCAATAGCAGTGCCGATCTTGAGACCGGTTCCAGAAGAGATTGAGACGGCAGTGGAATTGACTTGCTGCACCAGTTCTCTCGTCGGCACGACGACGATGGCGCGGAGGCGTGTCACCACGCGGGACGACAGTGATTGGATGATCGGTAGGACATACGCTAGTGTCTTTCCCGAACCAGTGGCGGCGGAGATACACAGGTCGCCGCCGGTCTTTGCATCCAACAGGAGCGGCAGGACGGAGGTCTGTACGGCGAACGCCTCCGTGAGAGACAGGACACCAAGACGCTGTTGTAGCTTCGGGGATAGGCCGGTGATCGACGAGAACGGCGTTCTAGTAGTCGGCGACACGCTGATGGGCTCTTTGAGCCACGACGGTAGCGAGAAGAGTGTCGAGACCGGCTTGGATGCCTTTGTCGGCTCGGGCTGCGGAAGCGGTTCGAGGCCTGTTGCTTCAACAGTTTCAATTTCAATTTCCGGTTCGTCGGCGGCGGGGGTGGACTCGGGCTCGGGGGTGGATACGGGTTTGGAATGCGCAATTGCGAGGGAACGGCGGAGTTTTTGAAGGATCAATGAGTGCCCGGTCGGTACGGGCTCCTCTGCGGGTTTGGGGTCTTTCTTCTTGGACGAGGGCTTTGGAGCCGGTTCTGGGGCACCATTCAACTCCATTGCTGCCGCCTCCGACGATTCCGCATCCGCATCCTCCACCGTATCCTCCGCATCGTCCGCCTGCTCCGCCTGCTCCGCCTCCTCCTCCGCCGGCGGTTCCTCAATGTTCCTTATTCTCTTCCCCTTCTTCTCCTTCTTCTCTTTTGTATCCTTCTCCTCCCTCTCCTCCTCCTTCTTCTCCTTCTTCTCCTTCTTGTCCTTTTTCTTCTTCTTCACCGAAGAATCTCCCCCCACATCCTCATTCTCCCGCCTGCTCTTCTTCTTCTTTCCGTCCTCCGCAGTTTCGGCATCCTCCTCGAGCTTCCGCTTATTCTTTTTCCGTTCGTCCTTTCCTTCGGCGCTCTGTTTTCGCTTCTGTGGCTTCTCAGCGGTGATGGCGTCGGAGGACATTGTTGCGACGCGGTTGTGGATTTTGTCGCAGGTACGTTCGCAAAACCCAAAAATCTGAAGCGTGCCAAGTGATGGATTGCAGCGCCAGCACTGACAGGGATCCTCTAGGCTGTCGCACGTTCGAATCCAAATTTGACGCGACTCCACGGAAGATGCCGTGGCGGCGGAGAGCGGCGATGTGTGAAGTCGACATCTGTCTTCGCACCACGGAAGCAGAAACATTTAATTACCATGAGACTATACTACAAGACACTTCCTCTCCTCTATGGCCATCCCGCAAAAACTGCGGTCCAGAGCCTAAGTAGAACGCCAAACGCCGTAAAATCAAAACCATAGCTCATGAAATCATCGTTCGCCGCGCAACAGTCCCTCCATGACCTCGGCAATCTCGCCCCACTCCATCCTTCCCCTCTCGCCGAGAGTCGCGAGGAGCTTCTCGGCCATCTCCTTGTCAAACCTGACCCACACGCCCTTCTTCGTAACCATTCCCACCGCACCATCCTCCGCGGTCCCAAGAAACCCCTCCCGTTTGACGATCCTGCCCACCCACTCCTCGCTCCTCCCGAGCCTTCCAGCGACGTCCTTCAGCACCACCGACCTGCCGTCCCTCATGACCCTGACAACCTCAGCCGCATCCTTCGCTTCCCTCTCCCTCTCGGCCTTTTCCCTCAGGAGCCTCTCCTCCCGCTCCGCCTGCTTCCTGGCCGCGATCTCGTCCTCGAGGAGGTACCGCCGCCGCGCATTCTCGAATGCGCGCGCCTCGTCTTCTTCACGGGCAGCTTCCTCCTCTTTTTCCCGCTGCTGTGCCTGCGACTGCAGGAATTCGTGGTAGGCTCGACGGCGGTCCCGCGCGGCGAGGGAGCGCGCTTTCTTCGTGCCGACGACGCGGGATCGAGTGGCGCGGAGAGGTTGCGGATTGCCGGGATCAACGGGTGGTTCCTCGTCTTCTTCTGCTTCTGCTTCGGATTGGCCGCCGTCGTCGTCGCCGAAGGGCTCGTCACCCTCGTCGTCGTCGGAGAGTTCGAGAGATGCCGGTGTCGCTGTGTCCTCTACTTCTTCCTGCTCCGCCTCTCCATCCGGCTGCAACACTGGCTGCGGCGGTGGGGGACGCCCATAGTTATCGAGTAGATATAACGCGCCAGCTGCGAGAAGTAGTAATGGCGAGAAGACAAGGAGGTTGTAGAGGAACGACGACATCGTGATTGCTCGTGGCCGGTTGTTGTTGCAGAGTGACAACGGCGAAACAAAGACACGAGTATGCGAGTGACGAGATGACTTGGCACACCAACTGCCGCGAGCGAGCTGCGAGCCCCTCCACAGAGCCTCAACCCCTCCACCAAGCATCCCAGCCATCACCGCAACGCGCCGCCGCATCCTCTCCCATCCCCATCTCCGTCCCGCCATCCGAACACGAAGCTAAGATGGACAAACGCCTGGTATGTCCGGCCAGCAACCCGTCCGTCGCGCAGATGAATGCCAATCCCCGCTGACAATGCTACATAGCTCTCCCGCGAAGACGAAGCCGCAACCGACACGCAGGTGACGCGAGCGGACCAGGACAGGATCAACCGCTTCTCCACGCTTCACCAGAAGCAAGGGCTGCTTCGCGAGGAGCTTGAGGCCAAACACGTATGTGCACCGTCCCCCGCTCCTCTCCCTTTCCCCCTTTCCCCCTCCCGCTAACCGTCTCCCAGCAAGAGAAGGAGTACCTGACGGACGTAACCTCGGAGCTCGAGCTCGCGGACGAAGACGAGCTAGTGCCGTACAAGATCGGCGACTCGTTCCTGCACCTGCCGCTCGAGGAGGTGCAGCAGCTGCTGGAAAAGAGCACGGAGCGCATCGAGAAAGAGATTGGTGCGATTGAGGAGAGGATCAGCAAACATCGGGAGACGATGGAGGAGCTGAAGGTCGAGCTGTACGCGAAGTTTGGGAAGGCAATAAATCTCGATGTATAGCGCGGATAATGGGAATGGGAATGGAGTGGAGATGATACCAACATTTGGAGCGAAGCGAGTGATGAGGAAGGAGTGTGCAAGTTTCCGCGATGGGCATCAAACGGAACATGCGGGAAATCTCTCGCCCCATGCAGTAAAGCGAGTGGCCACGGTCCGTGTTGCATGAGCGCCCTCAAGGCATCTACTGACTATGCCATCACTATTTCATCAGAAGACTTCGAACCTCCTCCGATCTCAATTTCACGATCGAGTGCTCCATCCCATCATCGCGGGGATCCTCCTCATCACTCACACGAATCAATACATCACCTACGTGGGAATCACATCGAACTGCCGTGCCGTTCCTGCCACCGGACAAGTTCGTCGGTTGTCTCGCAGGAAAAGCAGCGATTAGGTAGCCTGAGACTCCCGCCCAAAACCCGGTGCTGCCGTTAAACCTGTGGCCTGTTGCTGTTCCAAAAGCAATCACCGGACGTCAGCGATGTGGTGATCAAACGCTCCACGAATTTAATCTTATATCAGCGCCGATAATGGTGCATAAGAACGAGGCCCCGAGTACATAAGTGGGGCAGTTTGTGATTCCGGGAAGTAAAATGACAAGAATTATGACGCTGTGAAGTGATGATATATACCTAGACGGACGTTTCTGAAATACGTAATGTACGTAGTAATGTGTACATGTCTAAAAGCATAGATCCATCGTAGATACGAGTGAAAGTTTGTCTAAAACTAGTGGCATTCGGACGGCCTGGTCCAACAGAGCTCTCCGATTGCGACCCACAATCTGGAGTGGCGAAAAAAAACACGCAGGGAATGATATTGATGGTTCAGAAGTGGATTCCATTTTTTCACCACAGATTATACGAGTAGGTACACTGAAGAAATAAAGAAAGTAAACGCCGCAGGAAACCAGAGACACCCGGACTAAACTGGATGTGAAGGTGGATACTATTCCGACTCTTCTTCATCCTCGTCGGAGGTCGGCATGGGCTTCTTCTTTTTCTTCTTGTGAGCATCGTCGGCGTCGGCCCGAGGCGTGTCGAAATGCATATCCGTCGTTGACTTCATGTCGACGCCGACATTCCTCTTGAACTTAGCCTCGAGATCCTCGATCTGCTCGTCGCCATACACCGTCTTGATCAAGCTCAGCACACCCTCCTGGCCGATCTCCACCTTCGCGCGCGGGCCCAGATGGTATTCGAAATGCTCCGAATCTCCCCCATCGTCCTTAACACGGATAATGTAGCCCTGCTTCATCATGAGCTGCAGTATCTTCTCGGTGCGGTCGAGCGGCATCCACTCGTCGGCATTGAACCTGGCCAGGTACCGGCCCAGCTGCTGGGCGGACAGCGTGCGGCCGTTGAGATAGATGACGGCGACGACGAACGTGACGAAGCCGTCGTACGTCTGCTCCTTGAAGCCATGCGGCGCGATGATGGCGGGGTCCTTGTAGGGGGCAGGCAGGGTCGAGGTGAGGATGTAGCTCTTCAACGACTGGGACGTCTTCTCTGCGGTCTGTGCTGCGCGGCGAGCCGCGAGCCGTGTCTTGTCGCGCCGGGGGAGCTCGGCAAGTTCCATTCCGAAGACGTCGCGGAGGTCTTTCTGCGCCAGCGTGAATACGCTCTTGAAGCGAGCGCCCTTGGTGACTGCGACGTGGTCCTGTCAGCGAAGTGGCTCCCCCCGACACACACACACCGGAAACGAGAGGCGAACCTTTGCTAGTGATGTCCGACCGCTTTATGGCCACCCTCTGAAGCTCCTGCACCAGCGCGAACCGCACGAGATTCTTGGCGAGCCGGTGGGGAAGTCCGGCGCCCTCGTGGGCCATGTCGCTGTCGCTCGGCTCCTCCAGCTCCTCCAGCTCCTCGTCCTCTTCGGCATCCTGGTGCGGTAACCATCAGCCTCGTATACACAGTTACTGGGAGAGATACACAAACTCTGTGAGTGGCACGTCGGGGCGGCATCTTGGCGGGTGGTGGGCGGTTTAGTGGTTGGGGTTCGCGTGGTAGCAAGACGAGGGTTGAAGGGAAGACGCGTTGACCGGGATAGACACGCTTGTGAATTTGTAGGGATGTCTACCGGATTAACGCTACCGCAAGGTCTGAACTTTGAAGCCCGACCGTAAATGGGAACGGCAGCAAATGTATTCCTGTAGCTTCTCTACTGTATATGACTGTGGAGTATTTTCCTTTGGTTCGGAGCTTCTCCACAGGACGAATGGGATTCTGAAATGAAAGAAATGGGTATGTGCCAACCACCGGACGGGGCAGTGTCGCGGGAATCGAGCCACGCTATCAGCCACATCTAGCAACATCATCAGCCACCAGCCACAATCAGCCTCTCTAAAAGTGTTAAAGTCATGGGCTTTCGTTTTTCCGTCGCCTTACGTGAAGCATAACCTGACTGTCATACTACTTCCCCATCAGTGGCACTAATGGGGCATTGGAGCGGGAATGTGTGTTTTGGCCGGACTATCAAAGAAACCTTTGGAGAGGCGCTATGTGACGCGACGCGCCAAAAAAAAAAGCTCTCGCGTTGGAAGCTGTCGCGGCCACGTATTTCACGAGGATTCACGGTTCGAAGCGGAGCTCAGGTCACGGGGGCTACTCGGAGCACTATATGATAGGTAGAACGTTTGCCACGAATATCTCAGATCAAGTTCATCCGCCGTCTCAGAAACACGCGACTCTGCACAGCGCCACTCCAGTTTCGTCCCCTCCTGCCCATGCCGTCCTAATCCTCCTTCTCCGGCGGCTTCCCCACAGGCTGCACCATCTTCTCTATGAACCTGGACCTAAGCTTCGCCATCGGGACTCCGCTTCCGATCGCCATGTACTCCAGCAGCGGCGGGTGTCCTACGTAGGAAGCATATGTGTCGCGGTGAACGTTCGATATCCACTCGCTATTGTGCCGCACTTCGTCAGCTGAGGTTCCCCGTGCGGCGAAGGACGAGCAGGGGAGGGTGAGGAATACTATTTTGTGGTGTCGGCGTGCCCAGTTCCCATGTACCGCGCCTGGAGCTGCTCGAGTTGTTGCGTTGCACGAAGTTTGTCGGCCATGGTGCCGGCTGGGTGAGGTTGCAGATGGTGGTGGGAAAGGGAGCTCGCGCGCAGAGAGGGAGCTTATACCTGCTAGTATGCAGGGAGTAGCGGCACACGAACGCTGGGCTTGGCAAGCAGGGTGGGAGCGGCAAATTCAGGAATTCGAACTATTCCTCTGGCTGACGCTATGATTGGCGTTGTGCCGGAGGAGTCCTTGATGATGGAGTATGTGTCGCTGTGCAGTTGATATGGTACGAAAGGATTTCTAGACTAGACTGTCAAGAAACTCGTGGATCTCTGAGCCAGATCGTGATGAAACTCGTGGTTGTATCTATCTACCGGTACTCCAAGTATCTGGTCATCAACCCGCGTTAGAATAGACGAAGCAAGCGCGTAAAGGAAGCTCTCACCTCATTGGCAGTCACCGCAACTCACTTTTCTCATCCGCCCTCTCCCTCCGCATTAAAAATCAACTCCGAAGGCCAATTAACGGTGAAACAGCTCCTTCACGAGCGTTCCCACACGGCAATACCTGTGCGGCACCGAGCAACACCTTTTTGACACTTTACGCGGACACGAGGAGCAGCACAGGGCATTTCCCTCGCGTCCGTGTAAAGCTGTAAAAAAAGGGGTTCCACAGTACCGAGTTGGTACTGCTGTGTGGGAGTACCTGGGAAGGAGTCGCATTCACCGTCAATGGACCCGAGGAGTTGATATGGATGAATCACGCCTCAACGGGAAGGTTATATAGACATTGTATGGAACCATTCGGCTCTGACAATCACAGTAACATGGCGAGATTATTCAAAATCTAGCCAGAGGGCCAGACACGGCGCTGCGTCCTTTCATGAACAATTCCCGCACTTCAGCAGAATTCCCACATATATCCTTTGTGAGACTTGGGTTTTACGAGAATTCTAGTTCCTTCGGAATCTAGCTTAAGACAAACTGCGGCGATGCCACTTGTATCATAGGCAATCACTCGGTGTCAGTTGATTTTTTTTGGAGAACAAAAAAAGCTACATCGTTCAGAGTCCAGCAACGATGTAGAAACATGCATGCCGATGTTTCCTTTGATGCAACATTTTTGCCTTCAGTTTCTTTAGTGGTGGACAAATGATGGTGGTCATCCTTTGAGGACCATCAGCAACATTCCCCAGTGAGGAAGAAAAAACGACAAGTCAATCGGCATTCCTGCCGCCTTTGAGAGTCTGGATCTAGGGAGTTCCAAATTCCCGTCCTGTTTTTGTTTTAAACCCAGCTAGGTAGACAATGCGCCAGGAATACTAGCTTCACAATCCAGCACTCAGCAGCTAATGGCCGATACACTACGAGTCACGTTCTTTGGCCGGCATACCAACGGCATCCTTCCAGCTTCAGGAATTGGTATTTGCAGAGATCGTACTCGTAGTGATACGACGAGAATGTGGATTGCAGGGTCACGAGTTCATGATATGCGTGCTTTGCATTTTCCCTCACCCGGCTGCTAATGGAATCGTAGCTGTATCTCATTCCTAAAGACTGGAACTGGCTGCTGATGCCGCTGATCTCCAGGGAAGTGAAGGTTACCAAGGAGCCGAGATCACGCGAACGGAAGATCTTCTGAAAGAATTACTTTCCTCACACGGAAAATTATTGATAACACTTGTATCTAGGAACATGTCTTTATGTTGGGTTAGCGCTGCTTGTCCTGGTGGAATTTCTCTATCGGATGCTTTATTGCAGATACCTCCACCAGTGAGTAGGACAGTCGTTCCCGGGAAAACTGACTGAGCTGCCAGTTTGACGTTTGAACTGCCAGTGCAGCCAGGCCAGCCAGGGAAGTCGAGATGACATCCTTTGGTCACGAAAAGAGCGATACCTAGCAGATGGGTGAAGCACTACCTAGTTTTAAATTACTCTTGAGCGTGCGCTCTAATGCTAGGTAGGTAACTAGGTAGATATGGGGGTACGGTGATTGGATCTCCTGATGCTCTCCAGAGCTTCAAGTTATACCACGAGGAGCCTGCAAGATGCTTCAGCATAATCAACACGAGCGTTGCCCCGAGCACTACAAATGCATCCTCTCCCCACCCTCGAAACCACGACCACCACCGCTCACTGAACTATGGAACCTCGATCCAGCTTCCCAGTGCCTCCCGAGATCACGCTCGAGATCATCGATGCCCTTCCGGGAATCCACGAGTACCTAGATCTCCGGGGCACCTCACGGGCGATCCGAGCAATCTGCGACCTGGTCTCACTAGCCGCTCTACGCCGGTTGCTGCTGAAGAGTGTGCTGAGAGCTCGATCGCGGCGACGCGCCGAGACTGCTTTCTTGGAATGACTGTCCCGGCTATACCTATGGTTAGGCAGGGTCGGGTTCATGTCGGGAAATAATAAGCAACGGAAGTTTTGTGCGGTGCTGGGTAGGGAGATTGATCAGGCGCTTTGGCTGCAGTTACGCGGGAGGTGTGAGGATATCATATTGATGCATGATTGGTGATTGCCCCCAAAACCCTGCGCTGGGACACTCTAAAACCGCCTGCCAGATTGACCACACCTAAACCCTCAATCGGATGAGAGTGGAGCCCTCGCTACATTACTGCCACCGCCACATCTGACCGTGGCGTTTGGTGCACCTCCACCGCCACTTCCGGAATGTGAATACTTGTGTAGATATGCCACGTGACGAGGCCTCCAGCGGGCCAATCCAACCCACGAACAACTTACATACGGGACTCACTGTCTAACGAGAGAGCAAATATACCTACTTACATGACTAAACAAGAGAGAGACCATATGACAAACCGTGAAACAAACACGTGACAAGCAGTAACAGCGAGTGACATACCATGTAGGAAGAATCAACACTCGCACTCACACTCACACTCACACTCAGAGGAGTGTCCGTGTGAGTACAGTATTTTGAGTACTGTGAGTACAATGTTGTGAGTATTGTGAGTAGCCTATGCTAGCGTCACCCTCGACCAGCTTCTTCCTATAGCTATTAAAGATGCGAACGAACGGACATATTCTTCCTTCCCTTCCATCCAGAGCCCTTCGAACCACGACTACGATCGATCATCAGTCCTCCGCTTCCTTCCTACTCTCGATTCTCACACCTCATCCTACCTAACTACCTATACGATGTTCGGAAGTCTCTTTCTGGGAGGAGCTCTCCGCAGCTCTCTCCGCATGTCCCTACGCCGTCCTGTTCCTATTCCCGTTCCCCTCCGTAGATCTCTTCACCGTCCTCAGCACAATCTTCTGAGAAGCTCACACTGGATCACTGACCTGGACGCTGACCTGGACGCTGACCTGGACGCTGCCCTGGTCGACTCCCACGAAGTTTTTGAGGGATATCCCGGCGAGAGCTACCTATACCTGCGCGGCTACAGATACAGATACGGTCCCGACCGGCGGTGTAATGATATCGAGATCGATATCTCGGTGGCGGACGTCAGCCGCTGCGAGGATACCAAGGAGGATACCGGAACTGAGGCCGAAGTTGAAGTTGTCAAGGCTCGGCCCGATGATGCAAGTGATAAGTTTAGCCAGCTCCATGCGGCGATTGCCGCGCTCGTTGGTGAGTGCCGTCAGGAGAGGGATGCTGCCCTCGTTGGCGAGTGCCGTCAAGAGAGGGATGCTGCGGTTGCACTGGGAGAGCATATCAAGGTCTGTACCTACCTATTCCCCTATGTACTTACGTTGAACGGGTTTCTGACATGTTATTGGTTGGCAGGGCGAGGCGCTTCGCCTGTTCGACGACAATCTGCGTCTCCGCAGCAAGTTCAATACGCGCGGTGCACTCGGTACGTAACATTTGTCCTTTCCTCCCCGTTCCTCTCTCCCACACACACTAAACCCATATTTCCAAACCAGAACGGATCGCCTTCCACGCCTCTCTGAACCAGTGCGTGCCGTACTCCTACGGGGAAGGTGAAGGAGTGCAGCGCACGCTCGATGCTCTCGCGCAGCAGCCGGGGTTCTCGGCAATCGTCAAGAATGAGGCCGACGCGAGACAGCTCGTGTCGGATCATGTCGTCGCTTGTGCGCGCTTTTTGGTCTCCGAGGTCGCGAAATACCTGGGCGGCAATGATGGCGTGGCGGTCGCTGTTAGAGCGAGGGATTACTCCAGACATGAGCTCACGGCGATCGTAGCGTATCTCAAGCTGCAGGATACTTGGGAGAATGCGTTGAAATGGAGGGAGGAGTAGGAAGAGAAAGGAAGGGGATGGAAAGGCGGAAAACTGGGATATGAGAAGAGTCAGGTAGTAGATACTGAATGAAATCTTCGCTCGTTGTTGTAGTCGATTTTTTTTTGGGAGCGTGTGGCGTGGTTGGAGGCATATCCACTTACTGACCGGTGCCCTTAATCGTGATTTATGACGGATTCCACATGCTCCTACAAACCAAAAAAACCAAATGATTCCCATGCTGCAGTTATTCTCAGCTTGTATATAGTGGTGCATTTTATTTCGGCATCACTTCGAAGCGATGATCAGTCCCATTATCTCAGTCGCTTCTTCTCATCCTCTTTAATTTCAACGTGGTGAAAGATCATGACAAGCCACCTGCTACTACGTAGTGTGGATGAGGAGTGACTAGCTGGGCCAGCAATTGGTACGAGCAAGCTGACCGTTTCGGAAACCAACACCACCTCGTGGTGATGAGTTGCAATCACCAGCTATCACACGTACCTAGTTTGTAGATTGTGTCAAGAAAAGTGGTATTCTGAAGTAGTGTACAGTGTATCAGACACAGCAGGAGGAAAGACACATGTACAGGAAGGCGGAGGTGCCTCGGATAGAGGCCGCTCGCCACCTCCCGTCAGAACGGATAACGGAAGTCTCTCGACATAGAGAGTGATCTCGCATGATGCGGTACACGGAGGTTCGTGATATTATGACAGATGGACTTCTTCATTGTCCCTCTTACTTAATGGCTGCTGATAATACGGTGACAGTTGTATCCATTCTGATATCTATGTCCAGGGTATAATGTTGCCAGCTCGCTGGGTACAATACAGAGCACGTAATGACCTTGTGCTCCAACTTTGGATATTTCATAACTCACTATCGATTCGTAGACTAACTTTCGGTCAATCCTGCTTAGTGGCTAGAGTCATTCTCTCACTGTCTCTGATAATCTAGGGCAATAGACTGCATCAGTGTTCCCTCGATTGCTGCCAATAGTCCATTTAGATGCCCATATCCAGTGTGTATAAGCCGTGTTTCCAGCCCACTGTAGTCAATGTGTAACACCCTCATCCCACGGAGGGAGGCCGAGACCGTAGCGGGCGAGCGGGCGGGCGGGCGGGACGTAGCCCACCCCACCCCACCAGCACCAGCAGCTCACGCAACCCGCCCGCGTCACCATGCTACCTATTCACTGCCACCGTCGTTTTCATGTAGGTACTACACAGTCTGGACGCTGTTCATGGTATGTACCACCCTTTTTCCTTCCACACCCTCTTTCCCCTTCCTTCCCCATCCTTCCGCAGCCCCCCAGCCCTTCCATCGATCCCCTCCAACCCCTCCAGTGTCCACTAACGCCCCCCCCGCCCGGCAGCCATTCGTAGACCAGAACCTCGCGCTGCACAACTTTTTCCCGCCCCGCCGCGCGTGTGGACGATCCGCATCCCGATGGTTATCATAATTGTTGGCATCGCGGCCGTAGGGGAACTATGTTAGTTAGATCATGATTAAGAGTGCGCAGAGTGCGCAGAGGTTGGGGGATAGGCGGGAATATGATGGGGGGGAGGGGGGAGGAGGGTTGATTGATTGATTATGTGCTTATGGGTAATGGGTGATGGGAGGGGAGGGGAGGGGAGGGGAGGGGATGTGGGTGGGGATTCTCGAGGCGTTTTTTCGGCTGGATGACGTCTTGATTATTACGGTTTAATGCGAACTCGATGTTCTATTATTGCTGGTAATACCTACCAAGTTCCACACCCAGTACTTGTAGTCCTGTGCCCCCAGTTCCCCGTGAATGACGTTGTTTCGCCAGAAGCTAGGGCATGGAGTGGACAGGACTAAGCTGAGACGTTCAAGAGATTGGGGTTATCGTCATTGCAACTGCTGCTGCCGGTAGTGGTGAAGGAGGATATGCGTGCAACTGGGATTCTGGGAATGAAAGAGCGGAAGAGTACTGTAGCCCGGGCGTCGCTCTCCAGCCTGGCGAAGAGGTTAGCTTACACTCCTTCGTTGCAACATCACCTACTGCTGATAGGTATGTACATACCAGCACCGTATCCGACGCCCTCCTCGATCGAGCCTGGTAGTAGTATTCGTATCATTGACGGCCGAGTGCGTACATACATATGCACTTCGAGGCTCTCCCTGTCCGTGTTGCGGATTTCGTTCTTCGCAGCTTCAGGCGAGTGGACATATCCTGACGGTGATGAATTCTGAATTGAGAAGACATTTCACCGAAGGAGAACACGACGACCCGTCGACAATAGTCAGGTTCAACGGTAAACAGAATCGCACGTACAGGTGACAGGTCTATGGTTTCGTATCTGCAGAACTTGATGGATGTATGGCTACTCCAGCACGCTGGATATGATCTCCAGATCCTAGGAACAGTGCAACGAAAGCCTTTCCCTGGACGATTGCCCGCGATGAAAATGCACAGACCTGCCCGTAGATGCTCGGTATTTTCTTGCTCCAGATGAAAGTAGGATTGAATTCATGCTATGATTTCTCCACATGCTGGAGAACACCTCAATCCCGCTCGCACCACCGTCTACCTCACCAAGTTCTTCTCGACCACACTCTTCAGCTTCGCAATGACCTCGCTAGGATCGGCCGCACCAAAAACGGCCGTTCCGGCGACGATAACATTGGCACCCGCCTCGGCAGCAACATCAATGGTTTCCAATCCCAAGCCTCCGTCAACCTCAATGTCGAGCTCCGGATACCGCTTCCTCAGCGCTTCGACCTTGGGCATGCAACGATGCTGGAACTTCTGGCCGCCGAAGCCGGGTTCCACGGTCATTACCAGTACCATCTATCGCCGTCAGCATGCGTGTTTTTGGGGGCCGAGGGGCGGAGGGCGGAGGGCATACATCGGGCTTTTCGTCGTCACCATCCAGCAGCGGGAACAGCACATCCACTGGGGTATCCGGCTTGATGGCGACGCCCGCCTTCAACCCGAGCGCATGCACTTGCCTGATCAATTCCGAGCTGGGGGTATGCGGGGCCTTCGACGTCTCGGCGGCCTCGTAGTGGAAGCAGTAGAGGTCGCAGCCAGCCTTCTTGAAGTCCTCGAGCCAGCGCTGGGGCTCGGCGACCATCATGTGGCAGTCGAAGACGCCCTTCGACCAGTCCTGGGAGCGCTCGACGGAGCCGCGGATGCACGTCACTACCGGCGCGCCGATCGTGATGTTCGGAACAAAGTGCCCGTCCATGATGTCGATGTGTAGCCAGTCAGCGCCCTGCCCGATGATGCGAGAGCATTCGTGCGAGAGCTGGCCGAAGTCCGACGCGAGGATCGAGGGCGCGATTATGGCTTTTGGGGGCATATTGGGAGAGGTGCGGGGTGGTGGTGCGGTGGTGGTGGTGCGGTGGTGGGGATGGAGACGCGGAGATGGTGGGCGGGGCAGGGATGTGGGACCGTGGTGGGTTAGTCCGACTGGGGGAACCGCGGCCCGCCTTCTGCGAAACATCAATCCCGGCCAAGTTGCAGCTCCGCATCGCAGCTCGGCTTTCCTATATGTATACAGTTTACCATGGCTAGTTCTTCCGTCTTCAATTCCCGAGGCCCATCAATGCCCCCAAATATTCACCTTCACCCAAACGGTCCACGGATAGGTATTCATCATGAGTGCTCCCGTTAGCGGTGGTAAAAGCCACTCTTGCGGGACGGTTACTAGATACGCTGGAGTTTGAGGCACCGGGGAAAGGTTGGGCTCAATGGAGGCATGCGGATGGAGATGGCTAGAGAGTACCGCCTAACGGATCGGGAGGAGAAGGTTGCGTTTGTGGAGATTGTGGGCGGGCTGGCGTCCACACATCAAAGCAGCTTCGTAGTAGGAATTTGTGGTGTTTCGTTGGCCTTTGCGCGTGTCCAGCATGCGGTTATCGGCTCCTCGGAACTCTATACAAACCGCGGCCCTGAGCGCCAGGACAGCCATAGAGGAGCCGGGTCGGCGTTGCGGCAAACCCTCGGGCTACATGGCAAGGGCTTACCATTTGCACGGAAGGTTCGAGATCAGAAGCATGACGGCGGGCCAGGTGTCCTCACGGAACAACCGGGGAACGGCGTGCAAACATAGAGTACAACGTCGGCTGTAACTGACTGTTCAAGGATGGCCGATTCTCGGCATGGTATCCGGAGAAAATCCCGCAGCGAACCATCGGTAGCTTTGCGTATATAGCGCGGAAATCTTTTGGGTGTCGCCGTGCTCGAGAAGTATTATCCATCCACACGTGCCCAAGCGCCTCATCGCCGTCTATACAGATTTCTCCATCCTTCGCCATCGTCCCCATCCTTCGCCATCGTCCTCATCCTTCCTTCCCATTTCCCACCAACACCAACACCGCCATCACTACCACCACCACCGCCACCACCATCACCACCGCCCAAAATGGTCAACCACCTGGAATTCGGCTACGACGTTGCCGCGCGCACGATGACGCTCCTCGGGCGGGAATACAGCTTGGCGACGCTGCTGCGCACGATCACCTTCCTCGGCGCGTACCTCCTGCTGCGACCATACATGCTGAAGTTGTCCGCGAAATTTCAAGCATTGGACCACGACCGCGAGGTTGGCGACGACGCGGACGGCGACTCGATGGCCGCCACGGGCAAGACGGCGCTGCGGCCGGACGAGATGGACAGTGATGGCGAGGAAACGGGGTGGGGCGCGAAGGCGCGCCGCCGCGCCAGGGAAGAGATGAAGAGGCTCGAGGAGGAGGAGGGGAAGGCGGAGGAGGACGAGGACGAGCAGCTCAATGCTCTGTTGGAAGATTGAGTGGATGGGTAATGGCCCGGTGGATGCGACTACGCGTGTAATAATAATATGAGGGATGACGCAACGGAGGATTGTCGTGGCCACTGTTCGGTCCGTCGAATGGCCGTGCCGTTTTTTTGGGCTTTCTGTTCTGCGACATCCTATTGCTTACCGAAATGTGTACATACCACATGCATAGAATATTTCATTAACTTGACAGATTGCTCAAACTGGTTGCCAGTCACTCGTCTAGTGATTGGGAGAAAATGACCTTTCAAGCCTCATCTTTGGAGAACTCCAGGAGAACTTTCGTTCTGTACCCATCGGATAGGCTGCTATCTAAGGTACTGATTCACCATGAATTGATAAACTCCATAAAATGCGAATACAAAAAACGATCTTCCTCATCCCATCAACTGCAGGGGATCCTCCGGCGGCCATCTGGTCTGGCAGAAGCTCAAACAGCGCTTGATGCTCTGCAGGAACTTCCTCGTCACCTCGTCGCTCATGATGTGCGCCGCGCCGTCCTTCTGGTTCTCGTGCAACTTCTCTCGTGCGGATCGCTCGTGGATACCAACCATGGTGACTCCGATGGGCCATGCACTATATCCCGCCAGTCAGCATCGTCTCGGGTGAAGTGGAGGAGAGAGGAACAGACGCGTTTCCAATACTCAGCTTCAAATAGACATCGTTCGCCTTGACATATCTCCTTGCCTGAGCCTCCACCACGATCTCACACACCTTCTCAAAGACATTCGCCTTGAGGTCCTTCTGCTTGAAATGTCGGAACAGAGGTTTCATGTACTCCTCTGCCTGCTTCATCGCGTCTTCCGCCTTCCTCCCCTGAAAGCTCTCTTTGACCGATAGCGGCCGCTCATCCAGCGCCCTCCTCCACTCCTTCAGCACGAGCCTGAACCACGCATCCAGCTGTCTATACACCAGCTCGGGATCATCCTTGACATTCTCCAACTTCACGCGCATCTCCTCCTCGGAAATCAGCGGCGGCGGTGAATCGAGCGGATCCTTCGCAGCCTCATGATTCGCCACGATGCGCTTACACCTTTTGACCCTTCCAATAGTGCTCTCACCGAACAGCCTAGCGGGGTGCCCCAGCTCCCTGAGCAGCCTGACCGCGGTCTCCTCAGTCATCTCCTCGCCCTCCTTATTCGCCTGTTTCTCGGGCTTATCCCCCGTTCCCTCGCGCTCCCTCCTCAACTCCTCCTCGCGCTTCCTGCGCTCCTCCGCAAGCCGCCGCTGCTTCTCCCGCGCCTCCTCGCGCTTCGCCGCCGCTGCCTCCTCCTCGGCAGCCTTGGCCGCAGCCTTGCCTGCCCGCACTGCCGCGACCTCCCGCTGTCGCCGCACGTACTCGCTCTCGCGCGCCGCTTCGAGCTCGGACCGCTTGAGGTATTTGGATTTGGGCGCGGTGGTGGTGGTACTGCTGCTTGTCGTGGTGGTGGTAGCGCTAGAGGTGGGCGATTCTTTGCGCTTCTTGGAGATCTCCGAGGAGAGGATCGAGGCGAAGTCCATGGTGGCGGATAGGTGGGGATGTGTGTGGGATCGTAGGTTTGGGTGAGGTCGCGGTGTTGGAGGAGTGGCCGGTGTACGCGAAACTGTCAGATACTCTACTTTACTCGAATGCGTGACGCTAAGTGGAGTTGGTGCCGAATGGAGTGGATTCTTGGCACGGGTGATCATGCATGAAGTGCTGGGAGGTGAGTGACCATCTTCTCACGTCCTTTGTTGACAGCAACTGTACGATGGCCCACAGCATCTGCAATCAGTAAGGACCTTCTAACCGTGATCTGATCCTTTGACTCTCTTGGTTCTTCTTTCCCGAATCTATGGGAGGCAGAACTGCCTGATAAGCTTTCAGCAGGTTCCAAGCTTAGTCATTCCGAGTGGCATATTATGAAATGACATCAGGCTGCCAAGCTGATCACAAGTCAATCCCGTTAAGCCACGCAGCACAACTCAGGAGAGAGAGACCTACGTCTGTTTGAGTCCCTTGAAGCCACCAAAACACCTCCCATACATCCCGTCGCCGCTGCAACCTATCTACCGCATACGCACACATACACACGTACACATACGCCATGCCCTCCTCACCCACAAGCGAAAAGATCACGCTCACGTACCCGCTGTTCTGCGCGGACTTCCTCGATGCGGACCGCCTGGTGGTGGGCGGGGGAGGTGGTGAAGGTCGTAGTGGCGTCGGGAACAGAATCGTGCGCTGCTCCGCTGTGCTCCTTTCGTCTTTGACTTGACGACGACCTTGCACGATTGCACGATTGCTGACGCGCTGACGCCGCCCCGCCCGCAGACTCTCCTCGACGTCTCGAAATCCACCGCCGCCCAGTCGGCTACTACCACCAATATCCAGCAGCTCTCGCAGCACGACTTGAGCGCGTCTGAGGACTCGTGCATGACCCTGGTCGTCGCGAGAGCTCCGATCTCGAAGAAGAAGTCGAAAGGAAAGACCGCGCAGCCGCTGCTGCTCGCTGGCATCAATAGCTCCGAGGCTCAGCAGCGCGAGGGCACGAACGAACACTTCCGTGTATTCTCTGTTGCCGCCGGGAGCGATAACGCCATCTCGCCCGTCTCGAGGGGGCAGCTGTTTACGCCGACGACGACGGATGTTTACCAACGCGTGCTGCGGACTCGGGGGTCACTAGCGGCGGCGGCGAGTGGAGGCGGGAAGAGCGGGTTCGAAGTCGTCGTTGTTTCTACCGACGATTTCGCGGTGAAGCGCCGGATCTCCACAGAGACCGAGGTGGCGGATCTGGATCTGGCCGAGGATGGCACACTTGTCTACTGCACGTCGAAGGAGATCTTTACCACCGCCGGATCCGGAGCATCTACACCTAAGAAACTCAACTTCCAGACCACGCCGGCGATCCCGGGGACTCTGCGGGCGATCCGGTTCCTTAGCCGCGAGCGTATGGTAGCCGTCATCAACGCCCCGCAGCGCAGCGGCTCAGAAATCCTCCTCCTCGATGCCACCAGCGGCGGAATCGTGGCACGCAGGAAACTCCACAAGGGGGTCGGCGCGGTGACGAGTCTGGACGTGGTATCGCTCTCTCCCACCGGCGGCGAGGGCGCCATCGCCGTTGCAGGCGCAGACCAGAGCGTCGAAATCCTCGTCGCCGAAGACGCCGCACGGCTACACACCGCCCACGTGTTCAAAGACCTACACCCCTTCCAGATCTCGAAAGTGGTATTTTCCCCGGCGCCGGAGCCTCCAGTAGTCACGCACGACGCCGAAGACGAGGAGACGCCGCAGGCCCCGCAGCAACACGTCATACGCGTGGCTACTACTAGCATCGGCAACACCGTCGTGGTGCATACCCTGCCGCTGATCGACTCGGGGAAGGGCCGCGGGTACACGCTGCTGCGGTCAGGCGCCGTGCTGAGACAGACGGCCATCTCCGTGCTGCTCAGCTTGATCGCCGTCGTCGTCTTCGCCGCCCTGCTGCAGATGGTATTCGTTGCCCGCGGAGGCCTCACGGGGCTGCAGGGCATCAGCGACATGTTGCCGCCGATTCCGGGGATGGGCGGGCACACGCACACCACGACCGCCACGACGGCGGGGACGGTCAAGGAGTCGGATGTGGACGCGCTCATCGAGGGGATGAAGAGCGGCGCCGTCACTGATCCGTTCGATGGCGGTAACGTGGTGGACGAGGACGAGATCCGCGAGGAGCTGTTGAAGAAGGTGGTCGCTGCGGCGGACGATATCGCCCACAGCAAGAAGGATGAGCTATAATCGTTGCGTTGTGTTCTGTTTATTTGTTGTTTTTTTCGTTCAAATTCTACCTATACCTCTCCTTCGGTCGTTCAGACTTAGATTGAACACGCGCGCCGTGCCGACGAATAGTGGGAGCATTGGGTGGCTGCAAGAGGGCGACGTGTATTTTAATGCTTTAATGGAGGGTAGGATACTATTTGCTTGCTACTCCGGAGTCCGCACAACTGACTTGCTCATCTGCCTAATGTATTTGATGCTTTAATGGAGGGTACGATGCGATTCGCATGTGACTCCGGAGTCACCACGTCCGACTTGCTCATTCGCCTATTGTCCGTCCAAATCGTTGATTTATAGGTACCCAGGTGATGACAACATCATAGGGAACAGAAGTCCCCAACTATCTAGCCCTTGGAAAAAGCAAAAGCAAAGCAAAGCAAAAGCAAAAGCAAAAGCAAAAGCAAAAGCGACACTTCAACTCTAGTCATGCCAAATGCAGGCTCATTATACAAACCACGTGAAAACCCGCGATACACCCGCCCAGCCATCGTACATCCATCCATCCATCTATCCTTACGCAGCGCTCACCGCTCACCGCTCACCGATCCCGACCCAACCGCTCCTGCAGATCCTCGACCAGCTCGTACGCCGGCCGGAACCGCGGTTTCGCACCCTCCCCCTCTTCCGCCGCCGGCAACTGCAGCACCGGGTTCGGATGCGTGTCGGTCGTGCCGCCGAGACTGGTGTACCCCATGTCGTAGAGACAGCAGTACGGCACCTCGAGCTCTCTCAGGAACTATGCATCCGGCGTCAGCCCCAACCCCAATACATTCGTTCACTCCCTCTCTCTCTCTATTTCCGGGGTAACTTACAGCCCAAACCTCCTGATAATGCCAATCGATGACGGGCTGCACACGCATGAAATCGGGCCAACCATGATCTGTGCGATCAAAGTGGTTCAGGAATTCCCCATGGGGGTCTGTACGTCTGGTGCCGACAAAGACGGCCTTTACGCGCGGGTTCTCGCGGAGGTACGTGGCGAACGCAGATTTCATGGGCAGCGCGTAGCGGTGCAAGTCCAGCGCGTATGACCGGATGCACACGTCCACGAAGTCGTCGACTTCCACGAAGGGGTGCGAGGACATCACGTATACGCTCGCGATCGTGGAGCGGGGGGTGATGGTCGGTGGGGATAGGCACGAGAGGAACAATAGTAGAAGGACTAGGCAGTCCTTGCCCCCGTTGAAGGAGATCGCTAGCTCGTCGAAGCTGCCAGGAAGTTAGCTGGGGAGCAAAGGTACAGCGGGGGAGAGGGAGGAGGAGGGGAGGTACGTGTAGTCTGACAATGCCCGCCGCACCACGTCCAGTGATATCCGTGTCTGTTCCTGCACCCGTGCTACCAGCTCCGTGCGCGGCGGTTTGACGAGAAACCTTGTGATCTGGTCGTTGAGGCGCGCGCACACTTCAGGGAGAGATGGTGCGGACACATCCTGCGGCCGTAGCCCTGGAGTCTTGGATTGCGGTATCGTCGTCGTCGTGGTGGTCGTCGGTGTGGTGGACTTGACACCGTTGCTCATGATGGTAGCGGTTCCGTTCGTGGTCGCGGTACCGTTCGTGGTCGCGGGCGCGGTCGTGGGCTGGGTGGAGTCGGACGTCATGGTTACTCTACTCGTGTGCGGAGGTTTGGCGGGGAAAGGTCGGAGCTAGAACTAGGAATAAATGGACGTTGAACGTGCCATCTAGACGAGTAGATATCTCTCATCACTTCCCCCCCTCCCCCTCCCCCCCAGGCCCTTGGATACCCGCCACAGCCACTAACCCTGCAGATTTTCCGGGGATTTGCCGATGGAGAAGCGGTGGTGGTGGAGAGAATGGTGGATGTGGATACCATGTGCCGCAGGATCATGTAAGACAGCAGGCTGAGTTCCGTCCAGGCCGATGATGGATGGCTGTGATTCGTGGGCTGCAGGCATTGAGTGGAATAGTAGATAACTTACATACCGGGCTCGCAGCACTCACCGAGGTTGTGCCCCGTGATTGGGAGATTCCTTCATGATTACACAGTCCCTGCATATGTATCTATCGGTAAAGCATATGAGTTGTTTGGCATTGGTAGAGACAGGAGACAGGTCCTCGCTGTTCCTGGACCAAACGCGAGACGTCACGGATGGACTGCCCCCCAAAGTGACCAGTCAATTCGGTAAAGTGCCGCCCCGCGATGGATTTTACCCGAGTCGTGCTGATGTGGATCTCGGCATTGGATGCGATGCTATGAGCGGAATGTGCAGCCAACAAAGCAAGTACTTGCTCTGCTGAATCGCAGCTTGGCAGTACGTGTATCCCAAGTTCCGAGACATGCAGACGAGTGCAATGTGGCTTCAATGTCCACGGCAGCAAGCAGTTGCTCTGTGCATGCGCCGTCGCTTAGGCTCAGAGCTTGTCGGATAGACTTGGAAGGACAGGTAGAAATCTTTGCGTGCACTCTCATCACGAATTACGTGGCAAACCGAGGGAGATGTGGAGAATAGGAGCATCGTGGGGAGCAAGAGAGAATAATGCGAAGGCGTATTTCCTTACCAACATCTCTCTGCTACATAGAGTACATACCCAAAATCAATTCATGCCTTTCTCGATTATCGCGACCCGCCTCCTAGTCCTTGTGGGGAAAGAGTGCGGGGTTTATCCCGCCCACTAGCGGGAGTTTAGTGTGGTGGGGATCTTGGCAGTCTCGGTGTGTGCGGTCTTGGCAGTTTCGAGGTTCCTTTGTCTGTTGTTCTTCCTTCTCTTAACATACCTCCTTCTTTCCTACACACAACACCCAACATACAAACACACCAAGTGTCCCACTCTGAGTAAGTTCACTACTATAAAGTCGTGCGAGAATCCCGGACTAATATTTCTGGATGTAGAGAAACTTCCTTTCTTGTTCCTCCTCTTGTAGGATGGCTTCTTGCCTACACACAACAAACCCTACCGCAACCTACTGCGAATAACCCGGTCCGGGACGGTGACACTTACGAGAGTGAGAGCTCTTGACGGATTTCGGCCCGTCGGTGGATGTAAGTCAAAACTCGATTCACCGTTCTGGACGTGGTCGTTGACATAGCTCAGGAGATATTCACCATCATCACGGAGGAGTTCGATGTCCTCCGAGACGGCGGAAACGCCCAACAATGCCGGTTTCGACAAGAAAGAAAGAAGAGAATGAAATTAGACTATACGGTCTAGAGAAAGGCCGAAGAGCAAACGTGAGAGAGACAAGCCTCCGAATACCATGCCTTAGCTAACGATACTGCAGTGGTCGGCATCCCTCCGCCGCAGCTCACGACCTAGCGGCTTACCCTCCAGGGGGAGCCGCATACATCGCCGTCTTGGATCACATTCAGTTCAAGTCGGCGATGTGGCCGGCTTTGATTGGATCCAGTTCTACGCGGCCATTTGGCCGTCTTGGATCGTATCCAGTTTAAGTCGGCCACATCGCCGTCTTCGACCGAATTCGGTTCAAGTCGGCCACCGCGAACACTGTGGACTGCGGGGTATCCCCAGCATCGAAACCACCACGATCCGAACCCAATTGGTAGACCGCGACGGCTTTTGGTCTTCAACGTTCATTTCATGACGGGTGGGGTCCAGCCGTTACAGAAGCGCTTCATAGTCTCCCGTTACCACCTTGCGTACACACGTCTCATCACCAGCATACGGGTGTTTCTTCGCTCTTACGCGAACAATGAATTCCAACTGAATGCTCACCAACCGATCATTCAGATCGAGGATGCTCGGTTTGGCTACTTTGCGGTAATGACCACAAGAAGCTGATGGCTTGCCGGGACACTTTCGACGATGAAGCCAGAGCTGCGGATATTATCTGCAGAGTATGGCTGGTACCTGTGTAGGGTCAACCGGTAGTTTGTACGATACATTGTTGGCACGGATGGTTTTGGAGCGATTTGTCTATTTATCTGTCTACATGTTTGATGTGTACTATGCTTTACTTTCTAGTGAATACAAGCTAATAAGCTACTTCATTCTACCTACTTTCCTCTGTGAAAATATTTGCTATGCCTTCGGTTTTGTTTTTGTTGAATCAGTAATTGCTTGCGACCTAAGTAGATCATGACAATATATGTACACACTCCGGTTCCACGTCACTATACAACCCGACTTTCTCAGGCGGCCCGATGTGACGTGGCTTTCCCTGCCCTCCGCCCCGACCTCTTCCCGCAATGAAGATAGATGCTATGCATTCGGCATGGAGCTCGAGATGGTGATTGTGGCTGGGCGAGTGCGACAACTGGAGAGCTCTTGGAGAGGCTCTTGCGCCATATCCTTCACATTCCAATCAATACCGGTTATTTCATTCTGCCCACGTCCCTCCCTCCGTCACCATAGCCGCCACACCTTCGGTACGCAGCTCGAGATGGTTTTAGTAGGCTGACCGAGCGTGAAGACAGGATCAGATCGAGACGACACTGTTTCTCTACCGGTTGCATGGCGTCGGAAACGATTCATACCATAGCCAAAGCGAGCAAATCGGAGCGTCCCGGTGCGTCAACCAAAGGTGGGACATCCCCTGAAAACACGGTAGGTATCTGTCAAGATCAGGGAGATCAGGGGGAGCAGAGGTGCGAATGAGGGGCGGCAAGCAAACCAGTGAGCACCTGCTCAAGAACTACGGGGTGTGTAACTTGTAAGTGGAAGCAGCAAATCCTGTGGGCGGAGGCGTGGCTAATGATTCATGACAAAGAAGCGGGTGAGGTCGAGGTCCAGATATCCGGATATTTTGCGGACGACATATTCAGCTGTCGACTTCATCGTGAGCACGGATATCGGCAGGAAAGTCCTTGCGAGGAAAAAGGATGGGCGTCGAGTCGTCTACTCTGACAGAGCGCTCGACCGGGCTGATCGGAGCGGGGCGACGGAGAAATCGGGGCAGCAACGATGGGCCTTCCTGGAAACAGGAAGTGTAGGAGGATGGTCCAGCGAGTGTACCCGCTCTGACCGTCGAGGGGATGTTTCGGGAAGATATTAGGAGGAAAGAGAGATCATGGCATCAGTCTACAGATCTAAACGAAGAATACGAGAGATTTCCCTCACAACATCGCCCGCTGAGTGTACTCTAGGAGAGACACGGAAGAGGATGCCCCAATTCCTGTCCATTTGGGGCGGACTAGCAGAGCTAGGATGTGACTGGAAAGGGTGTAGATACCTTACGACGATCTGGATGGCCGAGTGCGGGTTACTGAAGGAAAACGGAACACCGTACTTACCAGTCTTGTCGAGTGGATGTTCCGGGCTGTCAGATTGTCCCTTAAGGCCCCGTGAAGTAGAGGTGGAATTTCAGCATGTCATTGCATAGTTTGAGCACCGCTGCGGAATTTGGGAGATGGACATGTTTGGGAGATGAACAGGTGGGGAGTATCGATCATTGGCTTTTTCGGATACTGATTGGCCACGGCTGGGCAGGAGCAAGCCCGGAGGGCTACCGAGCGAGTTTGCATGTCCTTGTATTCTCAAATTCTTCGGCCTGAGGGGGCAGGGGGAGAGGGAGGGGGTAAGGCACACGGCCGGATGGTCTCTGGAGTTGGGATGGTGGAGTGATCACGCATTGTTGAATGTACATATGATTGATTCCAGCATCAAGCAGCGGGCACATCGTAGTCAGCGGAAACGGAAACGGAAACGGTGGCCCTCAGGATATCAGTCGTAGTCGTAGTCATTTATCTAGCCATCTGTGCCTCGATGATAGTTTCAGTATGTGCTGCCGGACATCCTGGCGAACAGATATTCGATTATCTATTACTCAGGTAGCCGGAAGAGCAGCACAAGCGGAGCTCGGTCCGACAACACTACCTCTCGTTCTCTCAACCACGAGATATCTATCCACTGCCACCGTGTCCATTTGCCAACAAATAACTTTGTTCCCTCGCACAGAGGCCAGGGACATAATGTTATTTTGTTATAGAGGATAAAACCCGAAGGTTAAAAAAACCCCTTATCGATACCGGAGTTCCCCCCCTCACCACCACCACTTTTAACTATGCATGACGAGGAGCCCCGGCTAGATCACCATGGTGATACAGTACTGAAAATCACTCTCGTTAATGGCAAGCACATGATCTACGGATCATAAGAGGTGGTGCTTGCTGCAACTGCCCTGTATGCGCAAGATTGGCACATAAGGTACAGACATCTCCCCTTTTCCGCATTCAGACCTGTGCCGGAGGCACCCCCAGCTCTATGGAATGTCAAGTCATAGTGCACCGCTTGCCAAAAAGGTAAGTCCACAAAGGCACCAAGTTAACCAGCTACCTCTCCTGATAGCAACCTGACTATCTGGGATTCTGGGTGGATGCGGGCTATGGGGGAGACGAAGGAGGCCGATTCCAGATAGGATCTCTCACCTGTGTTGGCGACGCCGCTGTAGGTTGGATCTCTCAGCGGCAGCCGGTAGTTACTCTCTCTACTACTGAGGCAGATCGGGTCCATTGCTCTCTCTGCCGGGCCCAGCATGGTGTTTGGACGAAAAGCTTCTTTCAGAGCTCGGGGAGGTCACCACACCAGCTATCATCACGGATAAAGATGGAGAGCCGGAAAGCCCAGTGAAACCCCGGGGTTTCACAAGAAGATAAAGCATACCTAACAACCAGCGATAACTAACACTACATTCGGCAACAGCTAGAGCTGGGGGAGCTAACAATTGAAATTTGAGTGGAGAGCGGGCAAGCACAACGAGGCTGATTTGCTGACAAAAGTCCTGCCAGCACCGACCCTTAGTACTTACTCGAGCGAGCGGCACAGTCATGAATGGGCACGCTCTTACCGCGAACGGGGTCCCATAGGAGGAGACGCTGGACGAGCACCTTGGCAAGGGGGAGTGTTGATTGTGTGCGAAGATGCTGGAGTGGAGGCCTGGGAGAGCGGGGAAGCGGGAGAGCGGGATTCGGTTTGCTTAGGTGCGGAAGGGAGGATAGAGAAAACACATACTGTGCATCATGCTTAGTCACTCGGTGCCAGATGTCGCTGCCTCTTTGATGACGTGTAGAGTACAGATAACTCAGTGCTTGACGTTCGTGGGTATTCCCGAAGGCTCCACATAAGTATCAGCAACTTCCTGCCATGTCAGTACTTCTTACTTGTCCTCCGTGATCCCTATGCATGTGGAAACGGATTCCGGAATTGGCGGTTGGCAGCCTATACAAATGGTTCATCTCACCGCTCAGTGCGTACTCGGACAGCGAGGTATTGGTGGGCCTAGTGAAGGAGGGCTGGATATGGAAGGGGGTGAAGGATATTCCGACCTTGTTGGCTACCGTGTATCGAAGTCTACCGGCGTTGTGGAAATACAGCACAGCACGGCCACCAAACGAGAGAATCCAGCTGTGGCACTGGAATACCGACACGAAAGTGGCAGCACCTGCCATTCCGGTGACCCCTCGGCTGAAGCTTTCGAGAAATGATTCTCCTTGACGGACACGACTCGGTACTCCGCCTGGAGAGGGTTTGAGAGACGTTGGAGAGTACTAATACTACGGACTGCGAAAGTGGGAGAGGCAGTGTGCCCAGCGGGGCTGAGACAGTTGCATCGAGATGGATCTGGGTATCTACCATCGTTTTCTTTGTCCAGTAGGAAGAGAGGGCGTGAATGGCGGGTTCGGATGGCTGGCCGAGGGCAGGAATGGCTACGAAGGGTGTGGTTACGGCTTACGGGATTTGTTTTAGAGGCTTTGTACTAACTAATTCATTGTTTCCTTTGCTTTTACCGCGGAGTCGGACTTGCGTGGCGGCAGTGCCACGGTGAGTCGGTGGCGGCAGCGAGAGATCATCATCCACGGAACTTGAGTTGCACTACACCAAAGCCGCTGATGTAGCTGCACTGGCAGTCCATCCGTCACACTGGCAGTTCAGCCCGTTTTCCCGGGAACAACTGTGCTACTCACCTAAACCAACTGCGAACTGACGGCCTCCGTTCCCAACTGAACTGGCAACGAAACCATCCAGAACTGAACTGTTTCAACCAGTGTTCCTATTTCAGCCAGTTAACTAACTGTTGGAGGGTCTGGGCTGCAGAAGATTCAAGGCGAAGTGGGGTAGGAGAGTCAAGATGACGTGAGACCGAACAGTCAAGATGTACGCGGAGACACACGGTGGAAACCTTCACTGAGTCATTGAAGCTAGCTAACTATTCTATAGGGGTATCTCGCAATCACCAATCATGCATCAATATGATATCCTCATACCTCCCGCGTAACTGCAGCCAAAGCGCCTGATCGATCTCCCTACCCAGCACCGCGCAAAACTTCCGTTGCTTATTATTTCCCGACAGGAACCCGGCCCTTCCCAACCGTAGGCACAGCCGGGCCAGCCATTCCAAGAAAGCAGTCTCTCCGCGTCGCCGCGATCGAGCTCTCAGCACGCTCTTCAGCAGCAACCGGCGTAGAGCGGCCAGTGAGACCAAGTTGCAGATTGCTCGGATCGTCCGTGAGGTGCCCCGGAGATCTATATACTCGTGGATTCCCGGAAGGGCATCGATGATCTCGAGCGTGATCTCGGGAGGCACTGGGAAGCTGGATCGAGGTTCCATAGTTCAGTGAGCGGTGGTGGTCGTGGTTTCGAGGGCGGGGAGAGGATGCATTTGTAGTGCTCGGGGCAACGCTCGTGTTGATTATGCTGCAGCATCTTGCAGGCTCCTCGGGGTATCGCCGTCCTGAGCCGAATGGCGCTTGACACTCTGTCCATCCCAGCAATGTCGGCTGAAGTTGAACGGCTTTTTCACGGAGTGCAAGATGATTCTTACCGATCACCGGAATTCCCTATGTACTGACAGTATTGAAGCTCTGGAGAGCATCAAGAGATCCAACCGCCGTACTTTACCACTAGTGATGGGACGTGACTGCCACTCATGATTCATCACTACAAGGTGGTGTTGCTTTCTGACACGGTCAGCTTTCTCGTACCAGTTGCTGGCCCAGCAAATAATTTCCCATTCATACTAGTTAGTAGCAGGAGTATCATCTTGATCTTTCATCGCCTTGAAATTAAAGAGGACAAGAAGAAGCGAGTGAGATAACATGACTCAAACAGCGCTTCGAGTGATGCCGAAAGAAAAAACAAAAAGCACCACTACCTACCAGATGAAAACGACTGCGGCATGGGAATCATTTGGTTGGTTGTTTGGTTTGTAGGAGCATGTGGAATCCGTCATAAATCACGATTAAGGGCACCGGTCAGTAAGTGGATATGCCTCCAACCACGCCACACGCTCCCAAAAAAAAATCGACTACAACAACGAGCGAAGATTTCATTCAGTATCTACTACCTGACTCTTCTCATATCCCAGTTTTCCGCCTTTCCATCCCCTTCCTTTCTCTTCCTACTCCTCCCTCCATTTCAACGCATTCTCCCAAGTATCCTGCAGCTTGAGATACGCTACGATCGCCGTGAGCTCATGTCTGGAGTAATCCCTCGCTCTAACAGCGACCGCCACGCCATCATTGCCGCCCAGGTATTTCGCGACCTCGGAGACCAAAAAGCGCGCACAAGCGACGACATGATCCGACACGAGCTGTCTCGCGTCGGCCTCATTCTTGACGATTGCCGAGAACCCCGGCTGCTGCGCGAGAGCATCGAGCGTGCGCTGCACTCCTTCACCTTCCCCGTAGGAGTACGGCACGCACTGGTTCAGAGAGGCGTGGAAGGCGATCCGTTCTGGTTTGGAAATATGGGTTTAGTGTGTGTGGGAGAGAGGAACGGGGAGGAAAGGACAAATGTTACGTACCGAGTGCACCGCGCGTATTGAACTTGCTGCGGAGACGCAGATTGTCGTCGAACAGGCGAAGCGCCTCGCCCTGCCAACCAATAACATGTCAGAAACCCGTTCAACGTAAGTACATAGGGGAATAGGTAGGTACAGACCTTGATATGCTCTCCCAGTGCAACCGCAGCATCCCTCTCTTGACGGCACTCGCCAACGAGCGCAGCATCCCTCTCGTGACGGCACTCGCCAACGAGCGCAGCATCCCTCTCCTGACGGCACTCACCAACGAGCGCGGCAATCGCCGCATGGAGCTGGCTAAACTTATCACTTGCATCATCGGGCCGAGCCTTGACAACTTCAACTTCGGCCTCAGTTCCGGTATCCTCCTTGGTATCCTCGCAGCGGCTGACGTCCGCCACCGAGATATCGATCTCGATATCATTACACCGCCGGTCGGGACCGTATCTGTATCTGTAGCCGCGCAGGTATAGGTAGCTCTCGCCGGGATATCCCTCAAAAACTTCGTGGGAGTCGACCAGGGCAGCGTCCAGGTCAGCGTCCAGGTCAGCGTCCAGGTCAGTGATCCAGTGTGAGCTTCTCAGAAGATTGTGCTGAGGACGGTGAAGAGATCTACGGAGGGGAACGGGAATAGGAACAGGACGGCGTAGGGACATGCGGAGAGAGCTGCGGAGAGCTCCTCCCAGAAAGAGACTTCCGAACATCGTATAGGTAGTTAGGTAGGATGAGGTGTGAGAATCGAGAGTAGGAAGGAAGCGGAGGACTGATGATCGATCGTAGTCGTGGTTCGAAGGGCTCTGGATGGAAGGGAAGGAAGAATATGTCCGTTCGTTCGCATCTTTAATAGCTATAGGAAGAAGCTGGTCGAGGGTGACGCTAGCATAGGCTACTCACAATACTCACAACATTGTACTCACAGCACGGTTTGTCATATGCTCTCTCATTTGACCGTGAATCCCGTATGTACTGTAGGTAGGTCGTTTGTGATTTGGGATTTCCCGCTGGAGCCCTCGTTACGTGACATACCTTCACAAGTATTCACATCCCGAAAGTGGCGGTGGAGGTGCACCGAACGCCACTGTTGGATGAGCCGGCGGCAGTCAGGGAGTGGGGTCTCTACTCTCATCCGATTGAGGGTTTCAGTGTAGTAAATCTAGCAGGCGGTTTCAGAGTGTCCCCAGGGCCTTGGGTTTTGGAGGCCAGCAATTGAGTACCGTGGTTATTGCTTCAGTAGAAAGTATAAACCTTGAGTAGGTAGGAAGGATCCAGGGAACAGTCTTGATGGAAAGAAGAAGAGTGCAGAACCAGGTACCTAGTATCATACATAGTGAAACTACGGTACCGGTAGATCTCACCGTCCCACCGTCCCACCATCTCGACGTTGGCGTCCACGTCTTGTAAGGCCATAATTACAGTCGGCGTTCTTGAAACGCACCCAGGTACCTGGTATGTAAAGTACTAGGTCAAAAGTTTTTGTACAGGGGCCGTTTTACACCCAAAATGCCCATTTTCAAATAACCAAAACCCACCCTTCACGTGGCGGAAAAAAATCAAGTCTTTCATAGAAGCTTTAGAATCGCAAGATGCATCACATATAAGAGTTCTGACGGCTTTCGCTTCGAATTGGTGGCGCCTGGGTTGGTGTTGTACACGGGTTGGAGAGTGATTTCAGATTTTGTATGGGGCCCCCATACAAAATTATTGCGTGACAATCTGTTTCAACACCAACTTTTCTCCCATATGGTATTACTCAACAACCACGAGTTAGAATTATGTGCCGATTTCAATCGAGGTTTTCTACCTGATTTAGAAGCCCTTCTAATGGTGTACATATTTTTACACTACCTTATGGTTGCTGTATCTATGGCGGGAAATGACCTGCCTCGGTAAAAGGGAAATCCGCCAAGCCACCCTACTTCGCATAAAATAATTAGACTAGCGAGCTGGAAATCTCATTGAAGCTTTATCGGTATGAATTCATGATATATGTCAATTATTACTACTTTCTGATGTGTGGTTGTTGTGTTAGAGAGATTTATGTCTGTGGTGTGGTGGCGCTGTTGGGGAGGTGTACAAAAACTTTTGACCTGGTACTTTACATAGGTCGGTCCGGACTGGCCCTCTCATCAGCCCAACCTCGCCCGACGATACCTAGCTTTCGTATGGTTTCCGTACACAAACGAACAGCAGGTACTCAGGAGGTACATAAGTTTCAGCGCGTCAATTTCTACCGCGACAATCCGGCGGACCAACCCGCGTGGGCATGGCATGATTCACTGCACCCCAGTAGTTCACCACATCTCATCACCACCGTCCGCCCTCCCTAGCGATTCCAAAAGTATTTCCTTGCAAGTCGCACTGCATCGGTCGCGTGTGTGTATGTAATACATGGATGGGAAACTCGAAGAAGCAGAGACAAAGAAAAAGATTCCAACACGCAAAGCGATGCATAAAGTAAGCAAAGTAAAGTAAGTTAAAGTAACGCACAACCAATCAATCACTCGCATACACCCGGTCTCTCTACACTACGCCTTCCCCTTACCCTTGCCGAGATGATCATCGTCATCGCTGCTCTCGCCGCCGAGCGAGTACCTCTCCGCCTCGTCCAGCGACTTCCTCCGTTCCCGCCGCGGCGCCAAGTCCTCGAGCTGGCCCTCGTCCCACTCGCGCCCGTCCTCGAGCCCCACATCGCTGCGCACCCCCTTGTACCCGAGACGGTTCCGCTTCTGCCGCTGCCGCCAGATAAAGATCCCCCAGATGACGGCGGCAGAGGCGACGAGTATCAGCGCCACCTCGCCGGAGCGGTAGTAGGCGTCCCACCGTGCCGCCTGAATCCGCGCCTTCTCGACCTCCTTCGCCGCGGTGGAGTTCGGGTGGTTGCCCACGGCGATCAGAGGGCCCTTCTGGCCGTTGATCTGTGAGTCCTTCGGGTCGCCGCCGATGGTGGCGATGTCAACCTCCATGAACCGGTCCAGCATGTCCCTGCTGGCGTGCGGAACGTCGAACGGCACCATGTGCGACGAGTTGTAGAACAGCACGTAGGTGAGGTTTCGCGCAGACTGGTATATACCCGCGGGCTTGCCTTCGAACATCCAGTTCTCGCGGGGCGCCCAGTTGCCGGGGGAAAGCTCGAAGCCTTTGCCGCCGTTCCATTTGAGGTTGTTGATCAGCTCCTCAGTGCCGATGTGGTTGCAGATCAGGTCTTGGTCGCCGGAGAAGAGGATTATTGGGATTTTCTCGAGGAGGCCGGGGAGGAGCTTGACGGAGGGCTTGGAGTGGCGGGCTTTGAAGGACGACGAGACAGCTCCGGCACACTCGACCCAGCCGGACTTTTTGTCGGAGTTGATGTGAAGGGCTTTGATCACGTCCTTGCGGCGGAGGTAAGGTCCGACGCTCGAGAGATCCGGGGGCCAGTTCATGCCGCACGATGGGTAGGTATCGGTTTTCCGGACGTCGTACATGTTCCAGCAGACGTTCTCTCCCTTGTCATTCTTGTGCTGCGTCTTGGTGAGAATATCGTTGAGCACGTTCTCGCACGACAGCGTATCGACGTGATCCGCGCCGCCGCGTGCAAGATCCTTCATGCAGATCGACAGCTGCATCTCGATGAGCTTGGCCTTGTTCGAGTCCTTCACGAGGAGTCCATGCTTGTACGCGAATGTCGTGTAGGAAAGATACTGGGGCTCCGGGTCGATCCAGCCATTCCCGATGACTAACCCCTTCAAGTTCCACTTCGTCGTGTCCCTCTTGTCATTGTGCTTCAGGATCGCTTCCGCGATGTAGGGAATGTGTTGCCCGGCATACGACTCCCCAGCAATGTAAATGTCATCCTCCTCGTACTCGGGAAACAGCTCAAAGAACTTTGTCAGGAAGACCATAAACTGATCCGCCATCTGGTCGAGCTCGGTGAGGTAGTGATCCGTGTTGACGTACGAGAACCCGGTGCCGACCGGCTGGTCGACGAACAGCACGTTGGCAAACTCATGCCAGGACCCTGGATTCTCGACCAACGTATTCTCATCCTTCAGGCGATACGGCCCAATCTCCATCAGAGCTCCATCCATCGAGGAGCAGCCTGGCCCGCCGTTGAGCCATATCACCGTCCGCTGCCGTTGCGCGATATGTTTGTTCTGGAAATGCCAAAAGAAGAGGTGGCCGTTGTTTTCTGGGTCGACTTCGATATGGCTGCACGCAACACACTCGGCGGGTCAGCTGGTGCTAAGAGTAAGCTCCCCCCTCCCCCCACCACTGGCGCCGCTACCACCACCCCATCACCACGGCCGCACCGACAGAGAGAACCCACCCAGCATGCATCTTAATGAGCGAGTCCTTCGGTTTCCCCGGAAGATTCCTGACGAAGTAATCTGCGGCGGTGGCCGATGCCGCCAGTGCAATCTCTCCGGCGGCCAGCAGGAGCAGTGCCGGCCCCGCGATTGAGAACCGCATGCTTCGCGGTGTCTGGGCGCGTGCCTTTCAAGAGCGGTTCGAGTTTCGCGGATTCGTGGGGGAGCAAGAGCTGTAACTGTGCTTCTTTTCCCAGGCGGGGACGGGAAAAAGGTGGGGAGAGATGTCGATCGGCCGGTGAAGAGCGGTCGGAAGAGCTGCAACTGGACGGCAACTATAACTTCCTCGCTGCACCTGGGTGTCCGTGCAGGGCGTCGTGGCCTCTTAGCTGATGCTTGGCGCCCAGACAGCCAGAGTCGCGTTGACGGCCGCGGCAGAAATCAAACTGGCGGCGATCGAAAACACCCCCTGCGTCGGGATGGGTAGCTTCGGAATGAGCTGCCTCGGAATGGGGGGCTTCGGGATGGGTAACGAGCGTCAAGGAGGCGTCGGGCTCGCTTGGGTTCTACTCGAGATAACTACCGCCAGGCGCCAGGACTTGCACGAACCAAAATTATCGAATCATGTTGGTTCGTCGAGTGCTAACCCGTGGCACGACAGCTGATCAGGAGCAGATCGTTCAGGAAACAGGACTCACACCGAGCGAAGCCACCAAAGAAAGCCGTTGTTTATGTCGATAGCCTTCGGTCGCAAAGTGACAAAAGGGCAACGCGACAGAGTGAGAGAGAGACCGAGGGATAGAGAGGCAACACGATCATGTGACAAGAGACCGAGGGATAGAGAGGCAACACGATCATGTGACAATAAGACAGAGGGACAGAGTGACAGAGCTATACAGTGACAAAAGGACAATGTGGCAAAGTTGCGAGTGACAGTCGATGAACGCGTGCCTGAAATCTCCGAATCCGCAGCCCTTTCACCGAGAGCCGTAGTCGGTGGACATGCCGAGTGGTAGGTACTCTATCTCCGGCCCCGCCAGCACGCACAAGCCGATCGCCACTTGTCGATCGCCACTTATCCATCGCACCGAGTTGTCCTTCGTGAAGTAGAAGAGAAGCGTGACGCTAATCTGCGACCTGCCCGTGCAACCCGATGCTTATTCCGCACCGTGCTTATGTTATGTGGCACCAATGATTATCCGACTTTGAGGGTTGCTGTGGATCGGACAAGAGCAGTGGCGCAGCCGACGCTTTCCTTGGCCTTCGAACGTGATCACATGTGCAAGTCGGACGCGTCGATGCCTGCTTTCTCAGCATCACGGACCGCAAAAGGCAGCATTCTTACTCACCGTGAACGCCTCGCCCGTGGCGGTATTGTTCCGGTCGAACCTAGAGTCCCGTAGAGACTGTCCCGGGTCTCGCTGAGTCTTCTTCGTCGTTGCGCAGTTCCGTTCATCCCGTGTCGAGTGCCCTTTCTCGGTATCTAATCAGATCCTCCGGCCCCCAGTTATTCCAATTGCGGCGCCGTGATTGGTGGGTGACCCCCCGCTCTCGACCGAGGTTAACCCACCGTTCCGAAGATCGACGGAGGCAATCGCACTACGGTTCTCGATCTCTGGCCGTGACTTTTGCCTTCTCTTCCCGTGTCTTTTGCCTTCTCTTCCAACAGCGACCGACCGACCTTTCCCTCCTCTCCTTTCTAATCCACCGCCCCTTCACACCTTTCTTCGTCAGATATCGTCATCGTCCGGAACAAGGGAATTGGGTTCGATATAACCCACTACCACCGCCCCGCAACTCGCTTCTCTTCCACCCACTTTCCACACATATTCTATTGAACGTGAACAAATACAACACATAATGTCGGCCTCCGTCCTCTCGAGAAGCGCTCTTCGCGCCGCCGCCGCACGCACATCCTTCCCCGCTGCGACCCGGGGCCTCGCCTCCGTGGCGACTTCGCAGGCACCCCCCTCCACCCCCGAGTCCAAGGCCCCCCGCATGAAGAAGTTCCAGGTCTACCGCTGGAACCCTGATCAGCCCGAGAAGAAGCCGTACATGCAGGAGTACGAGCTGGATCTCAATCAGACCGGACCCATGGTGCTCGATGCGCTCATCCGCATGAAGAACGAAATGGACCCTACCTTGACCTTCAGACGAAGCTGCAGAGAGGGTATTTGTGGAAGTTGCGCGATGAACATTGGAGGAACCAACACATTGGCTTGCTTGTGTATGTCTTGTCCCTGTCCTGTTCTGACACTCTCGGGGTGGCGTGGGGGCTGACCGCTTTGATTTTTAGGCCGTATCGAATCCGACACTACCACCGCCACCAAGATCTACCCGCTCCCGCACACGTACGTGGTGAAGGACCTCGTGCCCGATCTCACGCAATTCTACAAGCAGTACAAGTCGATCAAGCCGTATCTGCAGCGCAAGGATGCTCCCACACCGATGAAGGAGAACATCCAGAGCATCGCCGACCGCAAGAAGCTCGACGGAATGTACGAGTGCATTCTGTGCGCGTGCTGCTCGACTTCGTGTCCCTCCTACTGGTGGAACTCGAGCGAGTACCTCGGCCCCGCCGTCCTTATGCAGAGCTACAGGTGGATCGCGGACTCCCGTGATCAGTTCACTGAGGAGCGGAAGGCCGCCCTCGACAATGAGATGTCCGTCTACCGGTGTCACACCATCATGAACTGTGCAAGGACTTGCCCCAAGGGCTTGAACCCAGGTTTGGCCATCGCCAAGGTGAGAATCCCCTCCGCCCCTCCGCCCCTCCACCCCTCCACCCTCTCTTGCTGGAGATCATTTCTGACGTGCTGCGACGCAATAGATCAAGAAGGAGCTGGCTCTCGGCAGCTCATAAGCGTAGCGTTTTCTTTTGGTCCACTAGGGGGGTTTCGGGAAGAATGTTATAGTACTGTTAAAAGAACGTGTTTTTGAGAGGTGCATTTGGAGGATCACTGAATTTTGAGGATTGAGGGAGTTGGTAACTGTACACAAGGACTGACTTCTGTTTGCTTGCTTCAATATTTTTTTCTTTTCCTGACTGCTGCTTGTTGGGTTGAATTGACTGTTGGATTTGCGAATTGCGAATGTATCATGTTATATCGCAGATGCACTACGTGTTTGTTTCTAGTTCGTGGTGACGGTGAAGCAGCCACTGCTAAAAGGCCCTCGTCCCTGCAGGGCCGTCCTTATTCATTCTCAGCCCTTCTTCATTCTTAGCCCTCATTCATCCTCCTCTTCGCTCCCACAGGTCACAACTGCTACCTCCTATATGAAGATAATGACGATAATGAAGCCGTTACCTCCGAAGTACATCTAGCTCCGCACACCAGTAGTTACAGTTCAGCTCAGAAGATTTCTCATGTGAAGTCCGGCATGAAGACCAGGTCCGACCCGCTGCTACCCATTTCCGCGTGAGGACTAGACCGGACCACCTTCCGCCTCCCTCCCTCCAACTCGACAGCGAAATGTAACGAGAGGGAGCATGCACGTGACAAACAGTGAACAAACGAGTGATAAGATATGTAGGTACAGCCAACCAAACGTGACAATCAACACTCACACTCACAGAGAAGTGAGTCTCCGTGTGAGTAAGATATTGTGAGTATTGTGAGTAGCCACAGCGTCGTCCTACAGGTATTAAAGATACGAGCGAGCAGACATATTTTTCCTTCCCTTCCATCCAGAGCCCTTCGAACCAGCGATTACGATTGATCATCAGTCCTCCGTTTCCTTCCCGCTCTCTATTCTCACACCTCACCCTACCTACACGATGCTCGGAAATCTCTTGCTGGGAGAGGCGCTCCGCAGCTCTCTTCGCATGTCCCTCCGCCGTCCTGTTCCTGTTCAATTCCGTGGTTCTCTTCACCGTCCTCAGCGCAGTCTTCTGAGTAGCTCAAACTCGGACCCCGACCTGGGCCCTGACCTGACGAAAGTCTACGAAATATATAGCGATCATCCCGGCAGGAGGCTATTCTTCGTGGCCCACGGACACAACCCCCAGCTCTTCGAGAGGCTCCGACAGGCCGCTAATGACTGGTGAAAGAAATGAACCAGCTCCACACCGACACCGACCGGCGCGGAGATATCTCGACGCCGCACGAGGATCCCGGGACCGGAATTGTCCAGGCTTGGCTCGATGACCCAATTGTTCGGTTTCGCCGGCTCCGGGAGGGGATTGCCGCGCTCGGTAACGAGGGTCTTCGAGGGGGAGACGCTGCTGCGGCCGACCTGGTCGAGCGGATGAAGGTACGATACCTATCTGCGCTGTATTCCTCCACTTGAGTTGGGTTTCTGACATGCCGTTGGCAGGGCGAGGTCGAGCAGATCAAGGTACGATACCTATCTGCGCTGTATTCCACCACTTGGGCTGGGGTTCTGACATGTTGTTGGCGGGGCAAGGCGCTTCGGCTGTTCGAAGACCATTTGCGGCTTCACAACGAGTTCAATACGCGCGGGGCACTCGGTTTGTTGTCCTTTCCTATTTTCCCTCTCCCCCCCACTAACTAGGTATGCATAAACAGAACGAATCGCCTTCCACGCTTCGCTGAACCAGTACGTCCCGTACTCATACGGCGAAGGGGAAGGAGTGCAGCGCACGCTCGATGCTCTCGCACAGCGCCCCGAGTTCTCAGCAATCGTCAAGAAGGAGGCCGACGCTCGCCAGCTCGTGCCGGATCAAGTCGTGTTTTATGCTAGGTTTTTGGTGTCCAGGGTCGCGGAATACTCAGGCGGCAATAATGGCACTGCTGTCGTCGTAGCCAGAGACTATCCCAGATACATGTGTGCCACTCTGGTTGCGTACCTCAAGCTACAAGATACCTGGCCTCATGCATTGAAATGGAGGGAGGAGTAGAAATACAAGGGAAGTGGGGGGGGGGGGGGGGACCAGGTGGCTGAGGGTAGAGGAGTGTCGAATGTTTGCCGCCTATCGGATTTCTACGGCTGATTCTAAACTTAGGTTGGGCCTACATACTTTTACGAATGATGGAAACTAAGAAGGGGCGAATGCATTGGGGCTAGATTGGCCACTTTTACCTTACACACGCCGTGGGTTTGAAGATTAAGCTCCTGTGCCCCCGCTCCAAGATCGACAAAACGTGGTTGGCGGAGGGGGATTTGGTCACTGGCGAATCATCAGACGTATCGTCTCACACGTTCTCGATGGGGATGGCTAGAGTACATTATGTATCCAAGCCAGGTAGATGCGATACAAATTGAGCTTGTAATTGTTTCCCTGACGTTTCTGTGTAAAACCTCGACTCTCGTCCCTCCCTCATACACGCACATATTCATTCATCCTCCGGTTTTTTCGTAAAATCATACTCGTCTCCCAGGTCGACGGGTAGCCAGGGCGACTTGTGATCCCTATCCTTCTCGTTATCTCTTTCCTTCAACAGGATCCTCTCCTCTTCCTCTTCTCTCTCCTCTATTGTCCGTTCGTACTGAAACGGAACCGACGGCTTCTGCCTCTTCTGCCTCCTCCGTCGCTCTTCCTCCCCATGTTCCGCCAATAGTTCATTCATGACCTCCCTGCCCCTCTCCTTGGCACGTTTTCGTGCTTTCTGGGCCTCAGCCTTCTCCTTTTCCCCCCACTTGAGCCTGCCCTCCTTCGTCTCGCACGCCTTGCCCATTCCTAAGGGGATGAGGTCTGTGGGACCGGTCATGTCATCGTCATCGCGGAGGTCGTGATACGGGTTCCATTCCTTGGTCTTGGCTCCTTCTCGCTCCATTCTTTCCCGATCCTCATTCAACATTTTGACCAGAGACTTTGATTTTTGCACCCGGTCCTCCTTGTCCACCATATCCTGTTCTCGCACCCACGCCCTCATCTGCTGAATGTCGCCTGAAAGGGCATCAGTCAGTCACGGTTTCGTGGAAATGAAAAGCAGCGGAGCGCAGAACGGAATGGAGAACAAACCAATGCGTGGAACGACACCAGCCGGGGCCACCATAATTTCGCTTCCGGCGCTGTAGTCATCGTCGTCGCCGCGCACGAACAACGCGGGTGTCACCGTCAACTGCACCTTTCCGATCGAAAAGAGCTCCCATGGGATATGGTTGATTTCCTTGGCCCGTTCCAATATCGCAACGATCTCGGGATCGTCGCCTAGCCACGGCTCTTCGCGCACGTCCACCATCGCCCGCCCTTCGAACTGATAGTCATCCACGGGCGGCTTCATGCGCGTGTACCAGCACTTACGTTGGCACTGCATCGAGATGGCCAGGTTCAGCGCGTCCTTGACGATGTTCCAGAGCTCGTACTTAAGCGCCGACCGCCGGATCAGTTTGTCGTGCGCGATGCGCGCGTGCTCGACCGTGTCGAATATCAACCGCACGACGGAAGTTCGCCAGCGGAGCATGTCCGGCCGCATGGGATCTTCGACGAGCTGGAAGATGGTCTTCATCATTCTTGCGCGGTTCAGGTGGAACGCCTTCAGGTCGAAACTGTGCTGGAAACGGGTGTCCATGTCGGTAAAGATATCGTATCGCAGGGCTTTCTTCTTCTCGCGCTCCTCGGCGCTGTTGGCCATGAGTTGTTCCTTCGTTTGCAGATCTATCTCGGAATAACTGAGCGGGTCAAAGGTTGCAGTATTGGTGTCTCCGAGATTCTTTGCCGTCAGGACCTCCCACTTTCGTGTCTTCCAACTTTTGGGCTCCCTGTTAGACCCTTGATAGAGTCTGCGCATGCCGCCAGTCCACCCCAAAACTGGCTGCGGCTTGTCCATCCAACTCACTGTTGGTTCTGAAAGTTCGAACTTCAGGAATTTCTTGACGCCCTCGAAAACCTCTTCGTGGAGAATGCGGTGCACTAGGCCTTGGATGACAAGATGTCTGCTACTACTGTTATAGAGTTCGACGAAGGCTGCGTTTCGCACGGATATGTCTCTGGCATAGATACACATCAAATTATCATCGCTTAAAGTCATCGTCATAAAGTCCTCTATAGTCACCAGCTCTGCCTCCGGCGCGTAATGATATCCCACCTGTGCCCAAGTGGCTATCCGGTCGCAAAGTTGCTGCCATCGCAGCAGGAAGCTGGTCCGCGTATCGTCCATTACCGCCGGGATCAACTGGTTATACCGGACATCGTCCAGCTCCCGGAAGGCCATCTTGCATTCGCGCGAGGTGGCTTTCTTACTGTTGGCTTCCTGGCGCTGTTCCAATTTGGCGTTATCCTTCTCCAATTTGGCGATCATCTGCTCCAGCTCGGTGATACGGGCGATGTCCCTGAAGTGCTGGATGCCTTTTTCCTCCTCGGTTCGATTATCCACTGCGTGAATATCCGCACGCATCTTGTGGAACTTCCCCAACTGAACTTTGGCCGTGTCGAGTTGCTGACGGAGCTCGAGGATCTCGGCTTCGACCATCGGCGGTGTTTTCAGCTGCTGTATCCTCAATTGTTCCTTCAAATTCTCGACGAGTTTTTTCGTTGCCGAACTATTATCCGTACCGAAAGTCGTATCCGAACCTGGATTCTGCGCCAATTCTACTCTCGGCGTCAGCGAAACGGAAAACTTTCGAATTTGCTTCTCGGCCCGAGAGTGATGGATGCACATGAGCCGGCTCGAACCAAGCCGGACCGAAGCCCACTTAGCACCCCCGCCCCTGCAAAACCCGATCCGATACCGCCCGCTGTCCTTCATCTGGGTCTGGCAAGAGGAAAGGGGGCTGTTGGCGGATGTATGGCTACTTGATCGTCGGTGCTCAACGCCGAGCTCAAGAAAGCTCGGCTCATGTGAATCACTCGATTCCCGTATTGGGAGGCCGGAAAGGGATGGGAGGGACTACGAACTTTGAACTTGCAGTATCAAGTCAGGCAATTCCTCCAGCGCCAGATCCACAAGGCCCTTGAGCCGCTTATAGGCCTTCGCGATGTCGCTGTTCTGCTCGCGGGCGTTGAGGGCGCGCTGACTGATAATAGCGAGGGCCTCGTAAGTAGCCTGCTTGAGCGCAATCCACTCGCCCATCGCCTTCCCGTCGCGACCCGATCGTTCAAGGACACAAGCGTGCGAGGCATTCAAGGCTACCTCGACGTACTTTCCGAAGGTCTCGAGGGAATTGTAGAGCGCCTCGATCTGGAATTCGCGGTAACCGGGCTGGCCATCGCGCCGCGTCAGCACGAAGTCGTCCTCGTCGCGGATCGTGAGCGGTAGCACTAGCTCCTCCGTTAGTTTGGCGTGCATCGAGAGCGTCGGCGTGAACGCTTGCAGCGCTTCGAGATGCCGGTTGAGCCGCTCGAGCACTTGTTGCATCGTCATGGTTTTTGCGTCGACCATCTTGACGAGGGCTGGGGATTTTGCGTGGGTAACTTCTTTTCGTCCCTGTTTGCCGTCCTGAAAACTTGATGGAGTCTGCTGGACGATGGAGAAGTTGGATTGCGGGCTGTGGGTTGTGGGTGATGGGTTTTGTACAGCCACGGCGAGTGAGATGGTGAAACGGACGGGTTTCCGGTATGTGTTATGGAAACAGTGTGCGCAAACAAAGAACAAAGCCTTTGATGCGAGCCACACCACAACAAACAATGGATTTCTTACCGGTTAGTTCTCCGATCTCGAACAAAGCCATTGGGCTACCTCAAACAGCAAGCTTCGGGGGAGAATGGGCAAGAGGCACAGGATTGGGGCAGGGAAAAGATAGAAGGGAAAATCCACTGGCTCTCGGAAAGCTCAGAAGCCGAAAACGGCAATCACGGAAAATCCCAAGAAGCTGCGGCGCGGGAACTACTGTCAGCTGAAAACAGGACACTCGCACACTGGCCAATACCTCGGACAATCCTCCGAGCAAGCGGCGATAGAACGCGAACCGATATATCCGATCGACGGACCAGAGAGAGCAGGATCCCGAGCCGAAGCATTAAGGTGCGGAACAGTGATTAGAGGTATCGGGGAGAAGGCCAATCCACGGCCCAGAATGAAGCCTTCCCACCGGGCTATGCATTTCACGGATGATACCAAGAGACTGCAGCAGCGAAATTGCTTGGGCGTCATCAGCCTCACGCTCCGTAGAACAGTGCTAGGTCTCGGTCAGCACTCCCTCAATGACCGCTTCGGAAAGCCATACGGCATTCTCGTGGCCGGCGCAGAGGGAATGGGACAGGGAAAATTAGTCGGATAAGAACCGCTCGCTCGCAATCCGGTTGTTCTTCGCCCCACATACGGCCACAATATATTGTCGTCCACGAAACAAAATCTGTTCTATAATATTTCTAGTTCGGTACTTGGGTTTTGCACGCAATGGGAACTAATTTCTGCGGACACGATTGGAGAGTAATCAGGAGTGTCAAGAATATTGGCCAGAGTGATATCAGGATGGGTACCTGGTAGATGGAGATTATATGTTGATTCTCTTACTTCTCGTCGGGGCGGAGGGGCTCTCCATACCCGCTCGCGCAATCCAAGGCAGAATACTCTTACGCAGCAGATACATACTCAGAGCCTTGGGCTTCCGATACGCGCACGGTCCATCGCGGCTATTGACGTAGGTATCCACGCATACGCCATACGGCCGAGCCTTGGGGATCGTAAGCCTTCCAGAGCCTTTCGGGCGCCCCGGTAGTCGTGATGAGGAGTACTCGTACAACTGAAACGGGGATTGCGTCGTGAGGGGGAGGAGTATGGAATACTTTACGAATATTGAGGAACTTAACTGATGCATGCTTGAAAATGCTGCAATATGGGATTAGATTTATGGCTACTGCACTGTAGTCCAGAATCTTCGGCAGTCGTGGCAAACTTTAACCTTCATGTTCCACTGTTGCAAGTGCTGAGAAAGTCGTGTTCAGATCCAGTAGATCTAGATATTTGAGGGGCTGTAGACGGAGAACCGGCTAAGGAGCCTTTCCGGCCAAGTTCTGGTCTGAAAGTTACTCAAGGCCTTCATACATGTGAAGAAATGTCTGGTGATGATTTGAGTTATCCTTCCCACCTACACGTCAAACTATGTTTACTTCTCACCTCCACCGACCGGCTCGGCCACCACCTCACACCTTATCAGATTGCACACTGTACGGGACTGATGAATTGTGGGTCCGGTCTTTGTTCATGTTCCGGAAACGATGGCAGGTAGCTACACTAGATGACTATTCCGGTCGGCCCGGAAACGCTCTAGTTAAATTTCCGCGATGATGCACTGGTAGATACCTAACAGAGTACGACTTGCAATGTCGACGAGCCCTGCGGAGCCCTGAATCTAAAACTACGCTCTACGAGATCGGTTTTACCTTGGTAGGTACTTGGTGGTAAGCGCGGTGAGTATAACACTATACATTATATGAAGATAGAAGTTCCCCTTAACCGGAGTCCTCACGAGCGACCTTTTTCCATTCTCAGTAGAATTCATCGTACCTCCACCCAGAGCCACACCCTACGATGTCTCAGACTCCAGATGGTCGTTCTGTCCTCAGCCCCCTCAGCTCCAACTCTGATTCCGATCCGGAATGTAACTCCAACTCCGCCTACGCTCCCTGCAACGCCGCGATTGACCAGCCCGCCCAAACAGCCCAAAATCCGGCAGCCGACCGTTCAGGGCCCGAATGGCTCACCGACGACCGGCGATCCGGCACGACGATGCTGCATGCACCATCACGCATGCAAACACTGCACCACGTCCTTTTCGCGCGGCTATTCGCGTGCTGCGGCTGGCACGGCTTCTGCAACATAGTGCGTCCGGGCTCGGTGCGGCAATTCGCGCACTACCGGTACCTGCGGCAGGAGTTCGGGCTCGTGCCCTCTCCGCTGGGCTTCGGCTTCCTGCTCGACGAGAGCCACCGCTATTGCCTGTTCGTCGCCCGCGACGGCGTGTACGTCTTCAGCTACCGCCACCGCGTGGCACAGCTCCTTGCAAGGTCCCTGTCTGACGCGTTACTGGTGCTCCGCGGATACCGCAGGCCGGACGGGAATCGCCGCCTCCATGGCGCCGTCTACGATCCTGCCGCTGAGGACCAGTCTCCGCCCCCCGCTGCAGGGACTGCGGATGCCGAGGCCGCTACGGCCGCTGTGGAGCTGCTCTCGACAGCGGCTACCGATCCGCCGACCACGGAGCAGACCCCGCCCTCCGAGCATGGACCCGCCGGTTAAGCGATGGTCCATGGGGTTTCCGGGTTATTCCCTGAGGGCTTCGAGGCTTCTGGCTGGTTGGTTAGGTCACTTGGGTCCTCCTGCGGCCGTCTTTTGTCAGTGGACGGCCGCTTATTTTAAAGCCTCCGTCGTCAAGCTCGCTTGGTACAATACATAGCGCTGGGTTCGTGAATCATACATCGCAAGCAAGCAATTGTTAAACATAAACAAAAAAACAGCTGGAGTCGTGCCATTCCCTGTGCGGGTATAAATGTAAGTGTAGGTATATGTTTGGCTTGTGAGGAGATAATACTGGCCGTTTGCCGTATTGTTGTTAGCTAGTTGCTTACCTACCTACCTAGAGGGGGTGATTCAAATGTTTTGTCTTTTTATGCTGCAGATTTCTGGTATGAAGTGCGGAATACAATCGTGTTATGATGGAGTCGATAGATACGATGGCTTCTGAGGGTTTTGTTTAATCATTTATGTGATTTATTGCATGCGATTTACATAGTTCAAGGTGACAGAATACAGAAACACGCTGACCTGGATCGGTCCGCGGGCTGCTCGTTATGGCATCCGCTAGCGTTCTGTCGAAGAGTCGGAGGTGAGCTGTGGACCATTGCTTTTCCTTTGCAGTATGTTTGATGCGCTCTGTAGACCTGATGGAACGGCCAGGACGTTTTTATTTTGTTTAATCAGTAATTGCATGCGACTTATCTAGATGATTTTAATATCACCCCGTTCGAACGGCTAGGACAGAGAGCTTTTTTTTGCTTAATCAATAATTGCTTGCGACCTAAGTGCCAGGACGGAGAGCAACACCTTCATAAAATCTCACTTAGTGAGTGATAGCGTGTGTTTGCCTCCGCTGGCCACAGTAAAGGCGTCAACCTTGCTTCTACGGGAGGGCGTTGAGCTACATAAGCCGCTGGGTGGTGTGGTAGGCGGATACCGATAGTAGCGTCTCAGCTGACGCCGACCATATTCGCCATCAGCTCGTCTAGAGCAGTTCGAAGTTCGAACTTAGGGAATTACATGATGTGGTGGTGGAACGACTCGACGACTCGACGACTTGACGTCTTGACGAGGCTGCAAAAGTCTGTTTCGTTGAGGGATTTGGTGTTAGAGTGTACCTACGGTAGACAGAGTGTAGCTCTAAAACGCAATACCTACTCAGTCCGTACATGGAATACCGGTAACTCTCTCCATACAAGCTTCAGTGTTCAAATTGACTTCAGTCCGAACGCGTAGGTATACGGTACGTATTATGTGCGACCCAGACTTACCTGCCTATGGTATGGTACAAGGGGATTCCAGTTAAGTTAAGTTGGAAAAGTCATAGGTCAAAGGTCAAAGGTCAAGACTCAAAGGATCGGTACCGTATGTATCACGGGCGCCGTCGAGTCGGCGTGAAAACGCCGTGACGTACGGCGTAACGCCGTAGCCGCGTAACCATCGAATCTAGGCCCCGCCCCGCACCGACCCGGTAGCTACCTCTCCTCCTCAGATCTCGCCATAATTCCAGCTTGAGAGATAATCCAGCACTTGGCCTGTGCATCGGCACGGCAGCTCTTTGATTAAAGTTTAGTCATCCGATACCGACCTAGATCACAGGTACCGTATCGATCTCGGCGGGTGGGTGGCTTTCATTTCATTTCATGAGCGTGACGATGATGAACTTCACATATCCTCATGGTATGATAACTAATTGAAGTGAGTGAGCACTGAGTGAGCACTGAAAAAACGGTTGATAAGTGTGTGCGCACTGCGTGTACGCCATCGGTATATACATTGTCCTTCCTATCCCCGCAAGCAAAACTATATCTACCACTTCCGTCCCAATAGCCTTCGACACGTCTCCCGCGCGATCTTAAAAATACACATCACGCCCTCGTACACCGCGTACGTACCTAGGTACATACACGATGCCGCGCCACTTCACCACCTATTCACGGCACCCGCTTCATGGTTTTGACCAGTCGCACACGCCGATACACGACCTGTGCAATTTTTGGTGGTGTGAATATGATTGCTGGATTGATACACTGAAGATCAACAGGTATGAAGCCTGCAAGCCAATTTCCCCCCTCCCACGCCTCACGTCTCACAACGCCTGATGCCCTGATGCCCTGATGCGTGTGGCTTGCATCCAACACTGGTGATGGAGCGGTGGCAAACAGTGTAGTTGGAGATTCTGGATGCTCAGTACCTATTGGTGGCGGCGTTTTTGGTGGCCATTGTGGCTTTCTCGGCGTTTGTGGCGTTCTCGGGCGGCGTTCTCGGCATGGTGAGGGGGACAGGAGCTTCCATGGCAGAAAGATAGCTCTGGGTATTTGAGAAACAGGGTGAGGGGTTCGTTCGATTGGTTGGGGATTGGTGGCTGTCACGGTGATGGCGATTCGATGGTGCGCGGAGACGCGACTTTTGGGTCTTTTCGGCGTGGTCGCGGTTCCAGTGGACGAGATCGAGAAGCATGACCTTTAACACATGCTGCGGTCTGGATTGCACGGCTGGACTGTTCTTTCGGCTCGGATGTCGAAACAGGTTGTGGAGAAACGAGAAGGATGTGGTTGCTCGAGTCCTCAGCACTAGTCGTCAACTAGCTCCCCACTGTATCGATCACGCCGCAGGCCGCAGGCCGCAGCGACAAGGACCATGGGCGATCGCGATCGAAGCGAACCCCGCACGCACGCGTCGGTCCCGACTTCCTGGGCCGTCGGAGGTTTGTCGATTCCTAGCGTCGTCGTGGGGCAGCTCGAGCTGACGATGCAGCTGCGATGATGCTGCGGAATATCGATATCGCCCTAGCTAGGGAGTGGGAACTGGACCGGCGTGTTCGAGCACCATGCACTCGCGTCACGCCTGTTGGACCGAGCTGGGTGCGGGGAAAGATAAGGATTGAGGGCGGAATCCGGGGGGGAATGGGCCAGGAGGAGGCGACATTTACCAACAGTAATGCGGTATCGTCGCTATATCGTAGCTGTATCGTATATCGCTTTTCTCCAGGCTTTGTGCGAATCACGTCCGGCCCACAGGAAGCGACATTACCAACAGCAATGTGGTATTGTAGCTGTATCGTACATCGCGTTCTCCAGGCGGTGCCAATCACCACCAGCTCCTCCTTCAATCGTGGACTTCCAGCACCCTGGCCCTGTCCTCTAGAGCGTGTACTCCCACATCGCCCCGTCACAGCCTGATAGTTAACCCCCGACCCCCCTTTCGCCTGCTGCTTCCTGAGATTCATCCGCCCCCCGTGCTCCCCCCCAGATTGCCGGTTCGCCCGAAAGAAAGGAAAAAAAAGCCTTCATTCCCCAATATCTCCACGATGCCCGTTCTGAGAAGAGGTGATAGTAAGAGTAATCTTCCGTCCGTTGCGTTGAGCTCCTCTCGTCGTCGTCGTCGTTTGCGGCCCCCGGCGTGCCCCGTGCTGACCGGATGCCTGCCAAACTCCGATAGGGTCGGCCGATTGGAAGCGAAAGTCAGAGGATCAACACAACACCGCTGCGTCGTCGTCGTCGTCAAAGCGGCTCAAGGAGTCCGCGGCAGCGCCTGCGAAGGTCGAGCCTCCCCAGAAAGAGGAGCCCAAAGGCGCGCTCTCGTTCCTATGTGCGTGCTTTCCACGTGCCCGCGTGTCCGCCGTTTGCTGACGTGAAACGCGTCTACCCATCGAATAGCTGCCGCCCATCAGGAAGAGCTCAAAGGCGCAATCGAGTTCCGCGTGGTAAACAACGATGGCCAACGCGAGAGCACCATCGTGCTCGCGGGGCTCAAAACCATATTTCAGAAGCAGCTGCCCAAGATGCCCCGAGACTACATCGCGCGCCTCGTGTTTGACCGCACCCACCTCTCGATGGCCATCATCAAGATGCCGCTGGAAGTGGTCGGGTGAGTCCCGTTACCTACCCAGGCCGAACTAGAACGCGCGGCGCGTACAATGTGTCCTAAACGTGTATCGCGTCCACCACAGAGGCATCACCTATCGCCCGTTCAGGGGCAGAGAGTTTGCCGAGATTGTCTTTTGTGCGGTCTCGTCGGATCAACAGGTGAAGGGCTACGGTGCCCATCTGATGTCCCACCTCAAGGTAGAGCTGCGCCCCTCCCAATTCCCCGTCGGTTTCATCAGTGTTGTCGGTGTCGTCGTGTCCTCGAGCTCACCGCCAATCCGCAGGACTACGTGAAATCAACCTCGGACGTGAAGCACTTCCTGACGTACGCCGACAACTACGCCATCGGCTACTTCAAGAAGCAGGGCTTCACCAAGGATATCACGCTGGAATCGCACAAATGGATGGGCTTCATCAAGGACTACGAGGGCGGAACGTTGATGCAGTGCACCATGATCCCGCGGGTCCGGTACCTGGCAGTAGCGCGCATGCTGGCCAAGCAGAAGGAAGCCGTCCACGCCATGATCCGCGCGCGCTCGAAATCCCACATCGTGCATGCGCCGCCTGCAGCCTTCGCCAATGGGCCCTGCAAGATCGATCCTTCGTCGATACAGGCAATCAGTACGTCCCCGTCCCTCCCGTCCCCCCGCAACCCCAACTTTTTCCCACACTTTCCCCACCGCTTCCCTCCCGCAACCCACCACTTTCCCCACACACTCTATCCACGGACCACGCTTTGCCCCCCATGCCAGTACGCACCGTCCACTATATCCACGGCAGGGTTGACCCATGCATGCTTGCTTACCTACTGACACAGTTCTGTATCCATAGGAGACGCCGGCTGGTCACCAGAGATGGACGAGCTCGCGCGACAGCCGAAGCACGGGCCGCACTACGCGTCACTTTTGCACCTTCTGACGGACATGCAGAACCACCAATCATCATGGCCATTCCAGAAGCCGGTGGACCACGAGGAGGTGCCGGACTACTACCGCGTCATCACGGAGCCGATGGACCTGCAGACCATGGAGGACCGCCTCGAGGAGGACGCTTACACCACCCCTGGAGACTTCGTGAGAGACGCTAAAAAGATCTTTAATAATTGCCGCAGGTACAATAATGAAACTACCTCCTACTGGAAAAATGCTACCAAACTGGAGAAGTTTTTGAATACCAGACTCAGGGAGAATCCCGACTGGGTGGTATGTCCTCACACATCCTCACCCGTCCACCCAACCGGTCCTAGCTAACGACCGACCCCCACAGCATCTGGCGGACTATTGAGATACGGCTTGATCTATGTGCTTAACGGGTGTTTGTTTTGTCTATCTATCTGCGGGTGTTTCTTCTGCCGCAAGTTTTTTGGATTTTTTCTTCCGCAAAGCAAAATTGTTTATCCTTTTTGCATACCTCCTATATGATATTGTATCTGCATTTCATGTCTGCGTTTCATACCTAAGTACTTACGTTGCGGTGATGGATTTTGGATGTTTGGGAGATATCATGATTGGAATTTGAATGTCGACCCGCTTGCTTGCTAAGTGCTTGCTATCTGCTTGCTTGCTTGGTGGTTAGTGGTTGGGCTCATCTGGGCCGTTTGGGCCGTTTACGGTGTACCTACGAGAAGGGGAATGGGAATATCGGTGCTTTAACGATGATTGCTGAATACAGGGGCAGTGGGTGCCTGGGAGCCACTGGGATTCACAATAAAGGAAACTTTTGAGATCCATTGATGATGTTTATGGGAATATACCTACTCCACGCTGTGGTCCCGGACGTCCAAACCGCAAACTGCAGCTCGAAAGCGTAGCAGTCACAGCCTCCAAGTGAGTATACATTCCCGCTAGGGGATTGGTAGAGGATGGCGAGTACATACTCTTTCGAGAACGACACACTTGTCACTCGTCACTCGTCACTCGTCACTCGTCACTCGGCGTTAAGTCAGGACCATCACGACGGCGGCGGGCGAGGAAGCAGCAGCGGTAGCAATGGCACGTTGGAGGAAGGCCACCTCATGGTGCACGGATGTGTGGATGGATGCGCAGAGTGGGTGTGCGCGGAGTGATGAGGTGGAGCAGCGACATTTCGGACTCGGACTCGGACTCGATCACACCACAGCACTCGACGTCGGTTCTTGGATTGACTCGGTCAATCTGGTGAATAACCAGAATCGTTCCCGTAATGGCTCTAGTGATACGGGTTGATGGACTGCTGTACTGTCCGCGCGATGGCGTGACCGGCGAGGGCCCGCAGCCAATCACGGTAATCGACTCGAGATGGCGGATTTGCCCCGAGTCGAGACGGCCCGCTCGACCGGGCCGATCTAGCGGAGCTATGCAGTAGAAATCGGGGCAACAGAGCAACAGAGCAACAGAGCAGAGAGCAGAGATGTCTCACCTGAAGCCGGGCGCTAGGTGGGAATCTGCGTGTGTGTGTGTGTGTGTGTGTGTGTGTGTGTGTGTGTGTGTGTGTGTCGGTGTGTGTGTGTACTCAGCCATAATCTACTGAGGTCCAATACTGGGATGGTTGAACCAAAAAAAAACGGCTCCTTACTCTACCTACTGGCTTATCGAGCTATGTATTCATCTGACCGAGCTATTAGTCTGGTCGCGTTAGTCATCTGACCGAGCCATCCAGTTTACCCAGAGCGGGCGAGTGCTAGTTCACTCATAAGCCACTTCATCACCACTGTCCAGGGCTACTTCAACCAGTGGCCCTCTCGGAATCTGCCCATTTCAACATATCATAGTCACGCGAGGCACACACACAGCGAATTCGCCAGATGAGAGTCGAGTCGAGTAGAATTCAATCCCAACCGCCAACCAATGATCCGCCACTCCCAGTCCGTCCGTCCACACATGCAAGTAAGTTTTGGTATCGTATCGTCCGTTCAATCCACCTCTCGTAACTCCGCCTCCCATGAAATAATCCATCCATCCATCCATCCATCCAACCATCGTACAAAATCCAGACCGCCCCTACACACAGCACAGCACAGCAAAGAAAAGTAAAAAATCCAAACTGATCTAAACGCCCGCCCGCCCGCCCGCCAAACGCCACATTTTGTCCCTCCGCGCCTAGGTAGTCTAGTCCTTGGGGGCGATCATCAGCTCCGGTCGGACAAGCTCGTTGAACTCGGCTTCGGTGAGGGCCTCAAGCTCCAGCGCGCTCTGCTTCAGCGTGGTGCCCTTCTTGTGGGCATTCTTCGCGACCTTGGACGCCATGTCGTAGCCAATCTTGGAGTTGAGACACGTCACCAACATCAGCGATTCGTGAAGGAGCTTGTTGATGTTGTCCTCGTTGGCCTGGATGCCCACGACACAGTTGTCCTCGAAAGACTTCATGGCGTCGGTGAGAAGGACGACGCTGTGGAGGAGGTTGCGGATCAACACGGGCTTGAACACGTTGAGCTCAAACTGCCCCTGCGAGCCGGCGACGGTAATGGCCATGTTGTTTCCTGGGAGATGTTAGCTTTCCGTGAGCAGCTGCACAGGATCTAAAGACTTACCCATGACTTGCGCGCAGACCATGGTCAGAGCCTCACACTGGGTGGGGTTAACCTTTCCAGGCATGATCGACGATCCGGGCTCGTTCTCGGGCAGCGACAGCTCGCCAAGACCGCAGCGAGGTCCGGATCCGAGGTACCGGATGTCGTTGGCAATCTTCATTAACGAGCACGCGAGGGTGTTCAGAGCACCACTGGCCTCGACGATGGCATCGTGCGCTGCCAGGGCCTCGAACTTGTTCGGCGCGGTAATAAAGTCGATGCCCGTAAGCTTTGAGACCTCCTTAGCGACGGCCACATCAAAACCGATCTTGGTGTTGAGTCCGGTTCCTACGGCGGTTCCACCCTGGGCAAGCATCTTGAGGCGGGGGAGGGTGGCTTCGATCCGGTGGACTCCGTACTCGAGCTGAGTGGCGTATCCGGAGAACTCCTGGCCCAACGTCAACGGGGTAGCATCCTGCAGATGCGTGCGGCCGATCTTGATGATGTGGTTAAACGCCTTGACCTTCTCCTCGAAGGCGGCATGCAAACTCCTCAGACTGGGCAGCAGCTTCTCCTGGATCTCGATAGTCGCCGCGATGTGCATGACTGACGGGAAAGTGTCGTTGGACGAGGCGCTCATGTTCACGTGGTCATTAGGGTGCACAGGCTTCTTGGAGCCCATCTCGCCGCCGAGGATTTCGATCGCGCGGTTGGAGATGACCTCGTTCGCGTTCATGTTGGACTGCGTGCCCGAACCGGTCTGCCAGACAACAAGGGGGAAGTGTTCGAGGAGCTTGCCGGAGATGACCTCATCGGCGGCTTGCTCGATGGCTTTTCCGAGCTTGGGGTCGAGTCCGTGGGTCATGTTGACGGTTGCGGCGGCGCGCTTCAGGATACCGAAGGCCTTGACGACGGGAGGGGGCATGCGGTCGAAGGGCTGGTTGATCTTGAAGTTGGTGAGCGAGCTATCGTCGCATCGTCAGCACAAACAACTTCCCCCTGTGGACCCCGCCCATAGTAGCACATACCGCTGCGTCTGCGCTCCCCAGTACCTGTCGTTCGCGACCTCGACATCTCCAAAGGCGTCCTTCTCAATTCTGGTTCCGTTTACCTGTCATCGTGCGGTTCCCGTCAGTCTGTGCGTCGAACCCACGCAAGACCCGCCAAATGTCAAAAACATACCATCTTGAATGTGCTTGTGGAGAATGCAGAGTAGGAGGTGCGGGGAGAGCATGGGAGGGAGACAAGGGCGTTCGCTAGGAACCTCGGTCGGCGGGGCACAGCCGACAGCAACCGTGTGCCACCCAGAGCTCCTGCTCGTGTCACCGAGATTGATTTTTGTAGTGTGTGTCTGGAAAACATCTTGTCGCGTCCGTGTGTTGTCTTGGTTGAAGGAGAAAGAGAGCGGGAGAAGCTTAAAAAAAGAGAAGAGGACAGAGTGGGTGCGAGAGGTGGAACTTTTTTTCCTCCAAGTTCGCTAAACCGGGCCGTAAGTTGTAGGGGACACGGAGCAGATCGGAAGAACGCGGCGACGTCACGGAGCACGCTTCGGTAAGGACGGTCATACGGTATCACTCGATTCTTACCCGGCTGGTCATTTCCACAAATGTTTTACTAGCTACCGGTGTGAAAGCTCCGCCAGGAAAAGCCAGAGCTTCGAGGAAATTGTTCCGTGCGGTCCGGAGGTCTCGGGCCCGGATCTGCGTGGGCGGGCAGGGGTACAGATTGACCCCCCGCCGGCCGTATCCGACCGACCTGGATCTGCCGGTGCTGAGGAAATCACTCGGAGCCAGCTGCCAGCTTGCTATCTCCAGCTGCTCAGAATGTCGACAAGCCGGAGATGGAACGCATGGCGACTTTGCCTAGCTACGCGAGCTCCTGCATAGAGCATCGCCAGAACGTCCACCTCGTCGCTGCACTCACTCACTAGCCCTCACCCAGGCCCCCGGCCACCAGCAGTCTAAGTGCACACTTCACCGATAGAACCTCCGTATTAAATTGCGCCGCATGTCATGATACTTGTACTTAAACTTTCAGAGAGAGAGAAATCTTCAGTTTATTTCGCATACAGCCTATCTGGACTATGGCGAACCGTCACACTCCTTTCCTGCCCACTCTGGCCGCCGGAGGTTGAGACCCCGTTACCAACCTGCACGATGTGGCGCCGCTGCCTGCCTGCCAAACAAATAACAAAGGAAATCGCATCAAGAAAATATCACCGCATATCCTCATTTCCTACTTCCTCGCACCGGCGCCGACCCCGCCCCCCGCCCCCTCCTTCCACTCCACTCCTTCCACTTCCACGCTTCAATCACTGATAGCTAACCACACACCACAGTAACCTGCTGGGCACTCTTGCTCTCCTCCCGATGCGATGCTTGCCTCCTCCCCATCCTCCTCCTCATCCTCCTCCTTCAGGTCTAGTGAGGCTTTCCTCCCCACATCCATCAGAACAGAAAGAAAATACAAGAGTTGAAACAAACAGAACAACCGCGAACTATTAAAAAGTACAGAATGGTCCTTTAATCCGCAACCGCCCACTCCACGCCAGTCGCCTTGGATACTTGAGCCAGAACTCTGGTGGCCGGAACACCCATCGTCAGCGACGATCTCACCAGAAGGGTGAAACTCGACAACACCATCGCCCCGAAAACAAAATCGCGGCCGTCTTGCGTGAGTTTGAACACACCGCTCCCACTGTCTCCACCCGTTGCAAAAGTGCCACCCCTCATTTCCTTGATCGTGTGAACTTTCGCCCTCTCGATATTGGCTGGGTGAATGCCCTCCGATTCCGTGATGCCAAAGGTGGTCCCCTTGAGAAACAAATGTACTTCCGTCGAGATCAATGTCCCAGCCGTCCAACCAGTTGTCGCTCCATCCTTAAACCAGACATCACTAGTTCCTAGCGCTGGATCCTCGAAACTGACGACTTTTCCGGTGAATTCTGTCTCTGGTCGAACTAGTTTCCATTGGATCCTCAACTTCCCCAGGAATCTCTTCTCCCACCAAGTGCCGTTCTTGCCGACGAAACCGTCTCGGAGTTTGATAAGAGCCCAGTCCTCCCTGTAGCCCTCCTCATCTACCCCTAGCTGGCCATATTGGAAAGCGCCACAGACGCGCCTCACGGCCGAGAGCCACGGCGTAAGTTTTTAGGGAGTGTCGGACTTCGGGGCACGCAGCAGATCTTTCATTCGCGCGATACAATCCAGGCGACTGGGGGAGGTGATCGCATGTGCCGGTGGAAGAACATACTGAGAGCGGGGTACGAGAGGAGATATGACATGAGCGGCCGTCAGCAGCCGCACGCCAATCGAAGACTTGAGGTAAAGGCCCGCTGTCCCCTTATCCTCCCCAGCCGCCGTACCGATACTACTTCCGATCCTGATCGGCACCTCCTCGTCGGTGGCTCGGTGCGTCGCGATACGCCCGAGCTCTGTTATACGGTCTGCTGTTCTGTACGGCGGCACATCGCTTTCCACAAGCTTCCACGCCTGTTCAATTGCCTGCGATGTGTCCTCGGGGACTAGTGCCGAATGCGCCGAATCCCCGAGGTCTGAAAACCGCCCTTCCATGACAACGACCGGTAGATCGCTCACCAGTCTGAGATCCCCGATAGATTCCTCCTTGGAGGTCATGGCGGCAAGGACAACCACAGAAATTCTGGTTGAAAATCCCATCCGCATAGGTGCGAGCCCCATAGGTGCACTTTGGGGGAGGGGAAGCTCTGGGATCTCGACCGCCGCTGTGAGGGGGAAAACGTCTGGAAAACAGACGCATTTCAAGTATCGGTTGTCCCTGACACTGTAGACATCGCCTGGCTCCACAAGAGGTGAGGGAAATCTTCCATGCGTAATCCTGATATACGATTAGGAAGTCCGCTAAATTGAGAATTGTGGTGTGTACTTACAAATTGGAACTACATCCAAGCATGTACAACGAAGCGTAGGTATCGTAGCCCTCAGTTGACAGGCCGTATTTCTGGAGTGCCCAGGCAAGAGTTTCCGTTATTGGGCTCTCCAGACTCAACATCTCATCATCCAAAATAGTGGATGAAATGAATGTGCGCGATGCACTTTTCAACTGGCTTACAGCCTCGATGTTGTCGTCCCGGAATTCTGCGAGCAGCCGTGAAAGTGATTCCATCGGGCTGCCCTCGTCGGTACTGCTTGACCCTGTACACGTTTAGCATGAGTTGGGAGATATAGAGGACATGTGATTGGCACCTTTGGCCTCCACCGTGCTCTCGTCTTCCTTAGCCTTTCCCTTCCTACTCCTTCTCCTTTGCGGGTGAGGGCTTTGCGGGTGAGTGTATTTTAAAAGCGGGATCGTGTGTTAGAGAACGGAAATGGTGTGTGAGGGTAGTATTAAGAGACCCAAAAAGGGTTAAGGTTCAAAAACTTAAATATCTAGACTCGAGTAAACAGTTTTCTTGATGATGATGATGATGATGAGGACGAGGACGAGGACGAGGACGAGGACGAGGATGAGGATGGAAACAAAACAAAACCAGACGAGCCAGGACGGCAAATATAGTCACAGCAAAAAACAATTAAACGTTGGACGCACTGCATCGGGTCTCCCACCGATGACAATGAGCATCACCTCCAAGACAGCTGGCCTCGCCAGGTGGCCTCGTCAGGTCTGTACAAAGTTCGATCCCCCATCAGCGAGTCCCACTCAAGTCCGACGAAGTCCCATCCAGGCTCGCCAAAGTCCCACCAAAGCCCACTAGGGTCCCGCGCCTTCGGCAACTAGTCCCACTCAGGTCTAGTCAGGTCCCACCCGATCGGTGCACTCCTACGCAGCGCTAAGTCGACTGACATGATCTCCACAGGGGCCCCGTCTTACTAAAATAACACGTGATCAGTCACGTGGCCAGAACAAAACATTTGAAAGGCCCTCTTCAGCCGACAAGCCTTGGGCCTGTTCCAGAAGGGAAGGGCTCGGACCGGTACCTATTCGAGCCCCACGTTCACGTACTCATAGTACGTCGACTGCCAACTGCCCCGTTCTAGCTTCCGGACGTCCTCTCGTTGTTCTTGATAATCACGTACGTTGCACCTGCTCTGATCCTGGTAAACGGTCAACTTCCCACCATCACGGACACATTACCGATTCTCGTGTTGCTACTTCTTGTTTCCCATATTATTCGATTCGCGGATGGTGGTTCCTGATAGCGCCGCCTGAGAACAGGGAGCGAATCGCCCGTGAGCTGCGATTAATAGTAATAGAGTGTGAGAGGCCGTCGACTCGCACTCGGCTGATACTCGAGTCGGATCCTGTCTGTTGCTCCTAGAGACCTCATACTGTCACGTACCACGTCTCCTTCAGTCCATTGCACTCGGAACTCGGCCTCATAGTGAATCTTGGGGGATTTCTCATCTGTTCTGCAACGCCGCATGGACTATTTGGTTAACGAGGAGGCAGTGCTAGGCCCGGCTCCTTTAATACTGCAGCCCCCCAGAGTAACCTACTGCCCTCGGGGAATCACCAGCACTTGTGTGCTTAACTGACCAGATACAGTGCCGGCAGCTCTCGCAATTCCATTATCGACCGAATCCGAGTGATTGCTGAAGGAAGGTATCACTCGTAATGGTATGTACGGTCTATGTTGGAATTTGGAGAAGAACTTGACTTGATTGATGTATTGATACGAGAAAGAAGAGAAAGAGGACAGCTTATAAGGGAAACGAGCTCGTGTAGACGACGAGAAGGCCGGACCTCAGACAGAGGACACGACGATAGTCGTCGCCGGACTAGGCTGGGGGCTTGAAGGCTTTCAGCTGACGAGGCTGATTGTGATGAGACGCCACAGACAAAGCCACGAAGGAAATGAGTGCAGTATGCAAAGGAAAGTGGAAAGTAGCAGTGACACCGGAAACAGGTAACAAGACGCATAATATCAACAGTCTATGAATTCGGTTGTTCATGTTGCGGGTTTGCTGATGGATAGGCCATCCGGACAGGAATTACTGCGTTTCCGTACGTCTCACACCACCGGTACCGATTGCCTCCGAAGACCAGTATCCGAGCTCCACCGGGAATGCCGTAAACCTACAATAAACACCAAACGGAAAGAAGCCAAAGCTTCGAAAGCATCACGGCAGAAAAGCACAGCCTCCAGACCGGGTCCTAGACTAGCAACGGAGGCAAAGCTAGCGATCGAGCACGTAACGGTAGGCTACAGAGCCGAAGACGCGAGTAATGGCAGAGAGGCGGGGACATCGGGCCGAGGCCCTCCACCGGGAGAAAGGAAAGCAGAGGTATGTACCAGAGGAAAAATTATGCAGGCACGCTCCCAAAGCGGGGCGGAATGCCCTGCTCGCACGTTTTACATAAAAGCTGACGATATCATAGTGCCATGATCGTTTGTTCGCCCGTTCTCACGCTCGATCCGTACCTGAGAATGTCAACACCGAACCCGTACGATGGCACACACCTAACACTCTGCGCCGGTTATCCTGTCGAAAGCAAAAATAAACCTGCGCCTGTACAATGAGCTTCTCAACTGCGTGGTTAAGAACTTCGAGGGACAGTGGACTCGATTCAAAAGGTTCATTAAAGGTCTTACCGCAGACTCTGTGCAATGAAAGTTCGCTGGTGTAGGATCCGAACTGCTGGCTCGGATGGAACTAATTTTTTACGGTTCTGTGGCTGTAGGTGGTTGGCCTTCGTAGTAATCCGCTCCTGCTAGAGATATGCCGGAGATAGGCCGTTGAGACGATCCAATGTTTCCAGATTCTCTGGTGTGACAGAAAGAGAATGGAGTGGCTCAACATTGACCCTTGCATAGTTGTGGCATGAGTTGAGCCACATGATTATCGCGATAAACCCTTGATAACTAGTGGCTGACGTTCGCGTGAATACTCGTACACCATTCCAAACCAAAACACATTCCCCTCGCAGTCGCGTCTCCCCCCAACCACAGCCACGCGAATCCACCTGCTCGTGTCCCACCAGTCCACGCTTCGCACGAACATTGTGACCTTTTACCCCGCGCCAAGTGTACCTCACTGTATCCCACTGTGTGTGTCTTCCGTCTAGTGCACAGCTGGGCGACTCCACTGTACCCGCATCACGAGCACCGCAACCCTCGCGTCGGCTCAACCCACCACCGACATGGCGACGAACAAGAAGGATTCCCCTGCCGGCTCCTCGTCCGAACGGGCGCCGGATACTTCTAGCTTTGGAACGGTACTACTCTTTCTCGCTGCTCTTCTGCCGCGCACGGCATGCGGTGCGCATCCTGCTGACCGGCCACGAAGCTCCAACAGCTCGCCAAAGTCGAGAACCGGCCGAAGCCGAAGACGCCCGAACATCCGATTCCTCGGTCGGTCCGGAGGACACCGGCAGCGGGCCGACTGAATCCGAAGTCTCCGCATGCGTTGCGCGCGTTCGAGCAGCAGCGCCGGCTAAGTCTCGGAAGGGAGAGGAGACGGAGTCTGGTATCCAAGAGCCGTGTCTCCGATATCGATATGCTGCGTAACTTGAGCAGAGGTAATATTGTGGTTCCCTACAGCTCGGGAATGCGGCTGGCTTGCGTGTGAAGAGTCTGCTCGACTATGTCGTTCTCGCCAGCTCTCCCCCAGCTCTCCCCCAGCTTCCCCCCAGCTTCCCCCAGCTCCCCTCCAGCTCCCTCTACCCAGAGTCCCCCTATTCTTTGCTGACATGGTCGGTTCTAGCTCTTGCCCCGGGGAGCAAATTGCCGGATCCAAACACCCCCACCTCGATGACACCGAAACCACCACCCTCATCACGCCGCCCCCGCCGCTCCTCCGCGATCGTCATGTACCCCGAGAAACCTGTCGGCGAAATCTACGATGACGACGATGAAATGCCAGCTCCGCCGAGGTTGAGTTTCAACTACAACGATTACCGTGACGACAGTGACGATGACCTGCCTGTGCCGCAATTGTCTCAGCTGCCCGGCGACGAGGATGGAGATGTGCGCTCCTCGCGACGACGGCGTTCTTTGGGGATCGAGGCAGGACGGAGAGCTCGCCATAGAGTCTCGGACTACGGAATACCTGACATGTTGGAGGAGGATGACGATCCGCTGGCACATCTCAACAATACCACCCGGCGCGGATTCGGCTTCGAGTAGGATATTCCCTCTACTCCGGATGTGTGGAAAGAATAATTCAGGTGCTGACCGGGATAGACTCGATGATACGCAGGTATCCTTCCGTGACCGCGACTCGCGCTTGTCGATCCTGCAGAACGATGACGACTCGTATTCATTGGAAAGGAGCAATGAATCCCGGATGCTTCTACCCGATCACGACGAGGTGGACGACTTCCAGATCGAGGTACTTCAAGACGGTAGCGGTGGAAACAAGCATGGTTGGTTCCCACATGTAATGTCCATGGACAACAAGTTGACGTTGCGCAGATGAAGGATCCGGAATATACAATACCAACCGTCCCGGGATGACCAGCATGCTCGGAGACGACTCCATGCAGGCCGGGGAAGAACTTCTAGAAGACACGGATGTGGATGTGTACGAGGATATGGCGGAATTCGGACCTGGAGGATTTGAAATACGGATGGACGAGGAAGGCGACGACGTGGGTATCGACGCGGATGCACGCGCACGGAGGCCAACCGTGAAGCCGCTGAAGATAGCAAAAAAGAGGATCATGAACACGTCGGCTATCGGAGTCGAATATCCGCCGTTTCCCAAGCGAGTCATCAAGAAACTGGCGCAACAGTACGCTGGGGCCAACATCTCGAACGAGACCTTGAAGATCCTCGAAGCGGCAACGGACAAGTTCTTCGAGCAGGCATCGGTGGACCTGGGTGCATATGCCGACCACGCAGGGCGCAAGACCATCGATGATTCAGATGCTTTGATGATGTTCAAAAGGCATGTTTTTTCTTTTCTTCTTGTTATCGTACAGGATTCGTGACGTATTCCTCTAACACTGCAACAGACAACGCCGCATCAATCCGCACACAACTCTCTTTTCGCTAGCACAGAAACATCTACCCCGCGAGCTAGCCCAGCACATTCGCATGCCAGTGCCGCCCAAGGGTCGTGGCAAGCAAACACGCAAGACATAATACCATCTCTTTTTTTTCTCGTTGTGTACGATAGGTTCGAGGAGAAGTAAGTGAGCGACGGAGGGGATGCAACTACACCCAGTCCTTGCTCTGTCGGACTCTTCGCATAGTTCCACCGACGGGCTTTCGGACGAGGATGTACAGCATTATAGATGTGGCAAATGAAAGACCGTACCTCAAAGTTCAGTTATGTCAGTGCGGTTCGTGTGAGGTCAGTAGCATCTGTCGGCGATCGGACCCGGGCGAGACAAACCATGTGATAATGTATTGGAGATGGTTGTTGCGTATGTTCACCTCGGCGGCCCTGCCAATCGGCTTTCCTGCGGCTTTGGCATTCAACTCGTCAATGAAATCAGGCACTGTCCGGCAGAAAGAGTCAACAACGTCCATCCATCCCGGAAATGCGTATCGCGAAGCAAGCAAGTGTCAAGATGCCAGATGTAGCGAACCCGTAGTCTCCTCAACCCACACCGGCTGGGCACCCACTAACCGCGCCATCTGCTCGATGTCGGGGAAATAGAACTCCTCGATGTCGGGCCTGTTGTCGGGCGTAAACATATTCTTCTTCCACGGCGCGCGCAGCAAACCTTCGACGGTGACCTCTCCGGTCGGCAGCGTGTCGCGGTCGCGGTCCTTATGGTTCTTCTTCGACTTCGCGATCCAGCCGCGGTTGACCAGGATCTTTGTGCCGCCAGGCCGCTCCAGCGGCGTGACAACCTGGTAGCCGTTCTCGCCGTCGTGGATGCGCGGGCCCACGAGCATCTCCTGGTCGTGCCGGAACCGCCCCGTGGCCAGCACCCGCCGGTAGTCGAAGTCCTCGATCGCGGCGGGATCGATCCGCGGCGGCAGCGCGAGCGGCGCCTTCACGATCCGGTCCTCGAGCCGCGCCATCAGCGCCGTCTTCCATTCCAGCCGCTTCACCTGCCAGGTTCCCAGGACGAAGGCCGTGACCGGGATCGCGACTGTGCGTGCGTTAGATAGCATTCACGCGACGGCGGTGATGCGCGACGGGTGACGCGTGGACGGCAGGGAGGGATGCGGAAGGGGTGCGCACTGAGAATTAGCAGGCCGGGCCCATGGCGCTTCCGGCCTGTGCGCACGAGAACCGGTGGCTGGTCAAGGATCGACTGGAAGCCGGGCTGGTCGGCGGGGTTGCTGGCGAAGCGGCGTTGCGCTGTGGCTCTGAGCTGCGGCGTCGTTCGTGTGAATGCCGCCGTGCGGACGGACGGGACGGGGAAAAGAAGCCGCGAGAGCAGGCGTGGTGTGGCCATGGTGTTGTTCGTGATGCGATGCGGGGGTGGAGCGGCGAGAGGATCGGCGAGAGGTTTTGTCGGTGTGAGAGTGGGATGGAGCGGATTGCCCTCGAACCGCAGTTACCGGGTTCCTCCGTCATCGCTTTCGCTTGTCCTAGTTTGGCTTAGCTACGGGCGTCATCATCTATCACTCGCCATATAAAAGCTCACACGCTGCAAAACTTTGCCGTTCACCTCGGGCTACCTATCGGACTAGCAGGAAATGATTAGCATATCACTCGACTGGATCCGGACCATGTGAACACTTGGTACAGAATTCTGAAGGGTCCAGTACCTAGACGACGTCACGAATTTGCGCAGTGGCGTCGGAGACGCTATCAGTATAGCCGATATATAACAGGACCGGGGCGAGAACGGCGCTCTCGGAGAGCAGCGAGGGCGGGAAAAAGGGTAGGGGAGGGTAGGAAGGGAAGGGGAAGGAGAAGGAGGAGAGAGCTCCCCTCACTTCCCCCCCCCCTCAAGGTGTGCTTAACCCAAAGACCAGTCCGGCATCTTCACAGAGGCAGACTAAGAGAGGGGCGGAGGGACGAGAAGAATCCGGTAGGAGGGACGAGGTTCTGGATTTCCCCGTCGAACTGGTCGGAGGGTGGACGGGACGAGATATGGACCAAGAAGCCGGTTCTTTGGTGCTTTTCTCTCAACCTAGGAGTATGTAATCTCCTTGGTGCGTTCAAAAAGAATAGGTCGGCGGAGGGCAGTGGGAAACGTATAACGGGCTTGCTGCCGGTGGTCGGAGACAGTGGGGTTGGAATCGGCCATGTAACTGCCATAACCTATGAAGGTCCAATGCAACGATGATCAAACAAAAATAACGGATACGTCATCAGCTCCGCAGCTACCACTGCAGCCCCCATTGCCCGATCCCTCTGCCGGCCTCCGAACATATGGAGGAAGAGGATCGTTCCGATGCCGATCACGACGGCAATGTCGCCTCGCGGACGGTCGTCGAAAACCCCAGCTCACCCACGGAAAAGCTTCAGGCAATCTTCCCGACGACCTTAGGCTCGTACGCGATGAGGTCAAGGAGTCGGTAACTAGGAGCCATTAAACACCTCGCATCGGCGGTGCGAGGTAGATGCAACTCGAGAGTCGAGATGGGGCTCCGGGGCAAGCCTGCTGAGGAAACCTAAATCTCAGGGCGCAACCGCTAGTGCTAGCTACATACGACCGTTTTGCTTGTGACAGCCCCCAGGCGGCGGCGGGCAACGAAGACGGACGGATGGGCATTCCGTGCGAGTGATCTAGACCATGTGGGCAGGACCTGGAAAAGGTGTACGCCGCCACGATTTCTATAGGTTGAATACGAGGATGGTATAATAAACAAACGAGACTATAGCAGCACCGAATACGAGAATGTTCGAGCAAACAAGCAAACAAACAAACAAACGAGACGCCATGTGCTCGCTCGGCGAGGGCGTAGAACCTGCGGCTTCCTGCCACCTGGCTTCGAATCCGGGAATCGGCACGCTTCCACCGTTCAACGTGGCCTGGAGTTGTGGTTCGTGGCTGTAGTCGAAGTACCGTACTCCTCTTGTCACCGAGGTAACCATCTTATCGTAGTTTTAGTAGCCGGGTTGAAACGTTCGATTGATTCGATATATGACTCTGGGACACTGGAGTGAGCAAGAAGCTTTGGAAGCGCTCGCCTTCCGACACCCCGAATGGGGGGTCACGCACCTGGGTTCGTTGCGGTATGTACATTCTTCACGAATCAAAAGCCACATATGTAGCACCCTCCGTCGAAAGTCACGAAACTTGGGGGTTGGCTTGAGCGGTGGCTGCTTGCTCCATCACATACCTAGTGACAGTGCCCTCCACAGCACCCGCTCGGAGTCGAAAGTTAAAAGCCGACTGGTTACGGAGACAAAATCCGATCATATCAAGTGATGGCGCCCGCTAGCTTCAGCGGCCGGCGATTTCAAGCCCTCCACGCTCCTCGCCTCTCAGCCTTCTCTACCGGGTTGACTCTGATCGGATTTCGAGATCCGCCTAGACGATCATCTTGCGTGACGCGACAGAGTCCTCCTCCTTCCTGTTCGTTCGCGTGGATGACAGATCGATGTTCCTTGGATGGGCGCTCTCGTTCCGTATGTACGTCCAGCTGCTGTGGATCGTGAAGTGTCCAAATATTGTCAAAGTGCACGAGTCGTTGGTGTTGTTGGTGGAACGTGAGAAACTTGGGAGGCCGACCTGGTGTCAGAATGACGTAAACTCGAGAAGTGCATTTAGGGATCTCTGCGTTCTTTACCTACCTGACTTTGCACCTTCCGTGAAGATTTTCCAGTGGTCGGAGATGTGTATATCTACACCATCGACGAAGTAGTGGAAAATCGTCCCGGCACGCACGTCCCAACCAAGAATACGCGAAGAATGAACGTCGACCGCGAGACCCGTGTGCCGAGTGAGGGGCGGGAGTGTCCGGCTAGAGCCCCGGAAGTCTCGGAGGCAGCTGGGCCGTCGGTGCCTGCCCGGAATGCTTCCAGCTCATCCCTCACTGGCGAGCAGCACACGGCCGACGAAGACCAAGACTGCGAGCTCGGGAGGTTACAGCATCCCGTCACGATCCCGGAAAGTGTGTAGAGCTTCACCCGGATCGTATGCGCTCCATCTCGTGCTAATGATTCGCGCAGGCTACTCCCTCCGCGAAACCACCGTCCGGGCGATCGTGCACCGACTGCTGACCTATCGCCTCATCCACCTGCGCGGCCCGCCCGCCTCGGGAAAGTCCGTCCTCGTATCCCTGATCAAGCGGCACATCACCCGGGAGTTCCCGGACCACCGAGTGGTAACCGTCGAGTGGCCGCACGCCGTCACTCGGCCTCGTCACACCGAACAGTTCCTCGACGACATACTCGGGATGACAATGGAGCAGCTGTTGGGCGAGAAGAAACTAGTCCTCCTCATCGACGAGGCGCAGATGATGTTCCGGAATCAGTACCTGTGGAAAGCGTTGCTGAAGGCGACCGAAAAACAATCGAGTGGTGTCTGCGTCGGCCTGTTCTCGCTCTACGGCAGTCCGAGTTCTCTAGCGGTCGATCCCGGCGGCGGCACATCGCCGCCCATCCTTGATCTGCTATAGCGGATAGGACTGCTCGACTGTCAGCAGTCCGAGGACAGGGTGAGTGTGCTGCTGACCGTCCAGGAGGCAGAAGATGTGGTCGAGAGGTACGGAAGGACCGTATGATCGCCAGAGAAGCCGAAATACACACGAAATCTGGTCGACGGGCTGTACAAGCTTTCTGGAGGTCACGTTGGGGGATTGCGAGCATTACTAACGATCCTTCACGCGAACTCCGTGAGCATCCCCGGACCTCGGGCTGCGGTTACGGCCTTCACTGACCTTCATCCCAGACGATCCAATCCCACGTCTCGCTCCGCAAGCCGCTCACGTGTGCCCTATTCGCCACCACGCTCCTCAGCGACTTCGAATGGTTCTACCTGAACCTGAACTGCTAGCCGTTCGCAAAGGGCCTATCCACGCGCGAAGACCTGCGGTGTCCAGGGATGAGCAACCTCTTCTCGCTCGCTGTAAAGCAGGAATACGTCGATCCGCGCGACCACCCCGTGGGCGCCGCGGCGCTGAATAAGTGCTACCGCAAGGGGTGGCTGCATATGACGCTCCAGCGCGACCAGGAGGTCTATGTTTTCCCGTCGCCAATGCATCGTTGGTGAGTATTCGTACCGAATGGAAGCTCCGTGGGTTTCTAATTGTCGGCAGGTTCGTTACGCGCGGATTGGTCCCAGCGGTGCCGATGGGGCTGGAGTTAATGGGGCACGAGGAATGGGATGTTTCTGCGGTCTGGACGGCCTGAGTGATAGGGAGGTGGAGAGCATCAGGCTGTTGCCGCGTACGGCCTTACTCCCTAGTGGACTATGGCGACGCGGTCCGCGGGACGAGGGAAGGAGAAAATCGGTTGGTTTCCGCGTACGACATGACTGGACAATCGTGACGCGGCCTGAGGGACAGGGAGGGAGAGGAATCCATTATATTGCCGCGTACGGCCGTTACGGACTGCGCGCGGGACAAATCGCGGAGGGCGTTTGCACTTTCGATATCCGAGTGACCAGGTGAAGATCGAGTGACGTGATACGCCTAGAAAATATCCGCGCCGCCCACTAATGAAATAATCAGAGCATCGTCACCGTCACCGCAAGCAAACGCACGCACTGCCGTATCCCCTATTATCTTTGTGTTTTCTCCTCATCGCCCATACCCTGGCCCCACGACCTACGTGCCGCCGTTCGCGACACCAACCGCCGTACATGGACGCAGAAATGCCGCCGATAGACAGTGTCGAGGTGGAAATCTTGTGGTCAGCTATTGATCGGACCCCACACGGCTCCCAGCACCATTGATGGGTGGTTAAAAGCCGCAGAGTGAGGGCTCCAGCCTGCCCCCCTAGCACCTCGTCAAGGCTCTCCCGTCCCCCATTGATCTCCTCCACTCTTCTCCACCCTATCCGCATCATGTCGTCCCGAGCCAACCAATCCACAAGGACTCGGGATGCGCGGCCCCGAAAACCAGAGCCGACTACGCGAGAAACGCATTCCAAGAGGCTGAGGGGCATTTCCGTCAAGCCGACGCTGTGGAACGCATATCTCGAGCACTATGACAAGCGCTGCAGGCTCTAGGACACGACGCACAAGAGGGCGTACTGTCGGTACTGCATCCGGAAGGTCATCAGGGATTTCGACACTGACCCGGAAGCACGGAGATTGTTCGACCCGCGGGGGACCATCAAGGGATCGAGCGAGTGGACGTACTGCCAGGGTAAGTCGGGGGCCGCCCTCATCATCATCTCCACCGCGCGGATCCCGCTCGCAATAACGGAACACTGATGATTCGGCGGGTTGCGACGATGTAGCGATCGATGCGGTGCCGGCGACGTGCAGCCGAGTCCGGAGCATGCGAACACACGTCACGGTGTGCCCCTACATCCCCGCCGACGAACGCGCACGGGTCTTGAAGAAGTCGAGTGCTGCACACGAGGTCGATAGTTCTCCGGACGAGCCCCCGTGCGAGCAACAGCGCAACCTTTACGAAACTTCCCACGGACACTACAACGGCCACGGCGAGGCCTCGAGTAATAGTAGTAGTAGTAGTAGTAGTAGCCCCGCACCGTGGTCACAGCACGTCTACCGGGCCAGTCCTTACCAGGTACCACGTTCGGCTCGCTCCGTGGTGGATTCGCGGCCCGGGGATATTGCGCCGCCCTCGTCGCCTAACTTCGGATTGCAGGTTGCGTCGCCATCCAGAACGCCACCGAGAATTGCGATCCGAGATCTCTTGAACGATTCGATGGAAGACGCATCAAACCTGTATGACGGCTGGTTTTCATCGGAAAAAAGGTAGTGGTGTGTTACGGGGCGTGAGGAGTTATCGTTTGCTACGCGGCCGCGCTGGCTGCTTTTGGGATACCGAATCGGCCTTGTGTTTGGGATGCGTGCTCTTGTTTCTACCTGATTTTTCAGATTTCTGATTTGCGATGCCCATGTCCATTCACGTCCCGGTCGTTCCTGCGGTAGCTTTTCACATATATGTCATGTAGTTTACGAATGTTGAATTATGATTCCCACGACCATGTGTACCGGTGACAGCGCGTTTCACTTTTGGGGTCCCGGACGGTTGATCGGTGATGTGCATATCATAATCTGAGCTGATCCCTTGAGAGCCGATTCTATTCTCACCCAAGCCAGGCCGGTTCCCAATAGCGCGGATAGTCCAGTTTGACCCCGCAGACGCGCCCAAAGCGTCTGCATGGCGCCAGTGACCAACAGCTGGCGGTACATATATAACTAAGGGGGAGGGGGGGCGTTGGTGCCGCTGGTGTTCAGCCGTTGGTGCGCTCACTGATTGCTCGATTCTCAGCCGTGATTCTCGACCGCGAAAGTGAGCGTGTTTCCGCGGCTGGGAGGAATGTAGGTATGTAGATTTGTGATACCGGCGACCACGCACTGCAGACGGCCGACTGGCCGCCAGCAAGGCTGCAAGGGTGGTAACGACCGAAACCGTGGTTGGTTGGATACCAGTACCTGCAGACACCCAGTACCCACTTCGCTCTGCCGCCTGTAACGCCGTGTACAGAGGCGACCAACAAAAACTTATGAGCTCACAATGGAAACTTGAAAGATATATGTGTTCTATGCCACTGGGCAGAATTATTCTTCTTTAGATGGACCAACCCGTGTATAGATGGGTCGGCCCGTGTATAGGTGGGTCGAATCTAACAACTGGCCGGACCATGGTTAGATTTTTTCCGGCTGCTTGGCTGGCCCAGGAGCCGGATATCTCGCCCTGGCCAGAGTACATACTCATAGAATATTGCTTAGTGGGCTGGCCCAGTGGTAGTGTTGCATGCGGAACCCGAAACCCGCTAATAGTATTACGCGCTCGAGATCACCCCCACCACCCCCACCACCACCACCACCACCACCACTGCTGGCTGTACAGTTGCGGTACTACTTTGGCGACTACATTCGGTAGTACCAATCCTCAACAACCAGCAATTGAATTATATTCTCACTAATATGTACAACAAACACTGCATTGATCTTAGATGCTACTGTACAAACTTTTCCACTTACACCCGAGCCCTCTTATTTCTCAGAACCGATCCTTCTACTACAGCACCATCCAGCACAGTTGATGGGATCGTTACTGCCGAGAACGTGGAAATGAGACATCCACGGCGGACATGATTTTAACGGGTGTGTTGTAGGCTGTTCTTAGTCTGATCTCTGTGTTATTGACGAGAATTGGTTCAGGCTAAGAAAATTTCAACTTTTCTAGCTGTTTTCGGCGGAGATAATCTGACTAAAACTGGACTTGCCCAAAAATCGGAAAACATGTACCCATGGTCCGGCCAGATGTCAGATCCGACCCACATTTGGCGGAGATAACCCGTCTACTACTGGACCAGCCCAAGAACAGGAAAAATTCTACCCATGGTCCGGCCAGTGGTGAGAATCGACCCACCTTTAGATGGGCTGCGTGTCTAAACCTGGGCCGGCCCATCTAAATATGGCTAATTCTGCCCAGTGGCATAGAACATATGTGCACAGCCCAGTCCGCCTTCGCGGCACACACGCTCAGCCTTACGCGGACTTCCGCGTCCGTCTTGCCGCCACGACCACCTGGTCAACTCGTTCGCCAGCCGTCCAAGCTGCTTTCTGATCACCCACTAACCAGCGCCCAACAATTTGAGCGGGCTCTGTGGATGGATGTGGCAGAATTAAAAAACCTTCCGGTAGTTTGCTGAGCCGAGTGATAGATCATGCATATCTCCCCTGAAGGCCATGCTATTGGCCGCCACAGTGGTTGTGCCCCAGATCTAATCTGGGACCTAATAATCCTCGGGTAAGGCCCCAGCTGGGCACAGCCGTGACGGGATAAGTCCACGTGCGCCACACACACACATTTCTGATGGCGCGTGTGTTTCGGCGTGCCGAGTGATGTACTGTGACACACCGTGGCGCCGTATCGGTATCCAGCACACTTGGTGCATAGATATCACTCGGTCTCGTCAAGAAAGGAAGGAAAAAACCGTGTGACAGAAATTTTGTCTCGCTCTGGCTCGCGTTATAGCCTGCTAATTTCTCATTTTGCCTATTCCGCTCGTTGTCGTAATGAAGGGGGTGGATTCCTCGAGCATGTGAGGACGATCTGGCCGCGAAGCCTGAAGGGAACTTTCGCGGCATCCTCTGTGGCCGATGAGGCGGCCAGGACATATTTTCTCTAATCCGCAGTAGTACAAATAGGCTTAATCAATTTTCCCCCACCTTTGGGAACTAATTCCCCGCGAGAGATCGCGCGGATCATCAGATAAGATTACCCTTTGCCATTTGGCAGCGATTTTAGAAAGGTAACACGCTGGCTCATATCATCTCCGGGTTCTGTGGTGTAGTGGTTTGCACGCAGAGTATACTTCAAAATGGTATCTGTTGGTATCGAAGTCCATTTGAAAGGTCCCAGTTCAAACCTGGGCAGAACCGTGTTCATTTTTTACCAGTGGGTGGTTTGGAATAAGGTTTGGCTTGGAAGACTAAACGTGTGAACTCAAGACCAGACAAACGTGTGAAATCCCGCGTATTGAACCGAACTGCTTCGGCTTCGTTTTGGGGACGCGTCAGAACCAGAAGCCTTAACTCTCGCTGGGAACTCAAGAAGCTCCCCCCATCCCCCCCACTCTAATTGTGGGAGTCGGGAATTTCATAATTTTACCCACTATAGGTCGAGTGATAAGATATGGACAATACCCCGTTAATTGAAACTCTACCGCAGGTACTTTATCTAACGACTTCTTATATGACCATCGCCCCGCAATCCACCACTGGGATTTCGCCGGACGCGAAACCGCTTCCCCCAGCTGTGGCCCGCAACATGGTTACCTCCTGCACGTTCCACTCGACAGAATACCTACCTATCATCGTTCGTCGTTCGCCTCTCAGCTTCCTCTCCAGCTTCTCCCTGAATACTACCACTGCTACGGAAGGACAGCGTTTGTTATGTTGCTATGTAGTAGGTCGAGCCCTGTTCTGGCTAGATGCTGCTTGTGCGCTTGGGCGGGGACTGCGGCGGCGGCTTGCTGTGGGTTCAGCTGGGAAAAACAGCGGTGACTCGTGGACTGTTCTCAAAAGTGAAATTTGTCTTTTTTCATGGTGGCAAGAGAAACGGTTCTTTCAAGGTAGCGAGATAAAGTTTTCTTTAGACAAAACGTTATAGTTACTTCATACGGTATATTTTCCTCACAGTCCAGTCTCCTCGTATATCCAGCTCATACATTCACCACTACATTTTCCCGGCAGGCTAGAACACCTTCTAACAATCATTACCAAAGCGATCAAGTAGGGATAAACTCAAAGGAAAAGTAGAACACACGGATCCGGGTCTTTTTGGGAGGCTGCTTGGTATCGTACCGCCGATTTTTGATCCGGGTCAGTGACCACTGATCTGCCTCTCTCCACTTCTGGTGGCTAATCCGTCTCTTGAGATGTGCCAGTGAGACCGGAAGTGGCACGTCGCCCCGGCGTCCACATCCGCTACCTTGCCGGAGCCATTCTACTCCATGGTCGTCCGGGTTTTCCGCTGCCTGGTTGGCCCACCCGTCTGCTACGGCGGGGCCATGGAGCTCTCCTTGGCTATGTGCTACGTTGAAGCTTTCATCTGATCCATCGTATAGGCGTATCAGGGAGGCGCGAAAGTCTAGGTAGGTGCCGTTCTTCAACAGACTGGATTTGATGTTGCCATTCAGGAGAGTCCTATAGGACTTGCCTACGTTGGTTGCCGCTTTTTCCGTCGACTTTGTCCGCTACATCCTTGGTATCGGTTGGGGCCGTGGGACCTCTGCGGAAGTGACGTCAACAGCTGTGCTGGTGACAGGAGTAGGGCTGAAGTCCGCTTCCTCTTCGTCAGGCTGTACTGCGATGCCGGGGATGTTGGAAAGCGGAACCTCATCGCTATCTTGGGTTCCTGGTTCCGTCTGCCATTGTCTTTCAGATTGCAGTGACAAGGTCACAGCTCCCGATTCCATCCAGACCTGGCCCGTGGCGAAAAGCCCCAGGAATATGGCGTAGCCATCCTCATCGTCCATTATAAAGGTCTCACCCGGAAGCCTTTGTTCACGCAGACAGTTGTCAAGTGAGCGCGGGTCCTTTCCGAGGCGCAATGCCAAGGATTCCGACATGGAGAGAAATACGACTGCAGCGGCCGTAAATGTATACATGACTGACTTGTTGAGGAGGGTTTCGGTCTCGACATGGTTTTTTTGGTCATATTATCGTACTTCAGCATCGCTGGAACTCCGTGGCGGACCCGAGAAATAATCTCTGCTCAGGTTTCCCCTGCATTTTTGAACAATGCAGCTCGGATAGTATCGTAGGATACCGACAGGCCCAGATGATTAAGAACTCCAATAGGCCGCTTCCATGTCCGCGACGCAAAGAAGTAATACCCCATCATCATTTGTAGTGTATTGCAGCGGCGGCTCCTTGCAAAGGCCATGATGCCCATCGCGATTACCACGTTGTCGGGGCAAGTTTGGAGTAAACTCGTGCCAACGTGTCGGACCAGGAATCTCGAACGGCGATGGGGTGGACACCTTTAGCGCCCATTCGGCATCGGGGATCCGCACGGATAATCTCAACTTCTGTTCTACAGGCCCGGCTAGACACGCGAACCAATTATGCGAGCATCAGTTGCTTACCCGACCGTCTGTGAAACGAATGCCGTCATCACTTGCGACGAAGGTGTGAGACCCTCACCCCTTCGCTCCATGTACCGGGGATTCTCAGCCAAGGCTTCGATGATTCCATCCAGTAACCTCTTTGCTTTGTGAGGTTTGTTTCCTGTACCAAATAAAGAGGCTGCCAGATGAGAGTGGAGTGCCCGGCTTCGTAGCGGCGTAAGAGACAACTTCATTGAACACCTGATAGCTGAACTCCCTTGAAAGTAAGGCGGGATTTCCATTGACAAGAGCCTTGTATTAGACGTTAGGGCGAGTGGCCGCAGGAGTCGGAGATGGCCGAGAGGCCGAGACCCGAGGGATCTGAGGTTGTGGAGAGGCTGAAGGGAGCGACAGTTGAAGAGAATCTTGGAAGTTAGTGCTGTGCAAAGATAGAGAAAAACAGGCACTTTGAATGTAAAGCAGAGCGAACAGAACATAGAGCAGAAAGGGATTAGGGATCACACCAGAAGCGGAGGAGAGTGAAGCCACCAACGTATTTCCTAAAGGCGATGGGCGGCCAGACCAAATCTCTGGTTCCTTTTGACGCTTTCTCTTGCTGGCTGTGGCCCTGTTGACTTAAGATGTGAACGAAACGGCTCCAATCTTCGCCCTCTGCTGCTTAGCTGATATGACTACCTCCGGTAGGTCCTGCTGAGGCCTATGAGGCTGGCTTAGGTGCGGAGTGAGAGGTACATCTTCGGGAAGCGCCCTCATTTTTGACACCGAATCCATCGGGTTATGGTGATTTGGAAGCCTTGCTGTTGGACGGCGTCCTGGGTTGATTTCCTCCCCAGCCTGACGTCTCATCTCATTCACGCATCTGTTCATGTTTTGGCAGCGTCTCTGGCAAAGACTCATAAATACGTCCCTGGCTAGGCGGTCGTTCCAGCCGTGGTCCTCCATACTAGTGACAACTCGACGGATCATGTCCTCAGCAAGGCCTTTGGATGTATACCAAGTGAATGGGCGATCCAAGTCCTGCTGGGAAAGGGTCTTCACCGTGCCATAGAAGGAGGATGCAGCCGAATTCTGCTGCCTCAAGGCAATGTTGCCTAGGATCCAGGTTCCTTTGCCCTCGTTGGGTACGTTGTCTTCTTCATCGAGATGTCGAATCAGTGGCATTCGTAGTGGCAAGCGCAGACGGGGGTGATATTTGGTCCTGCGAAACGTTGAAGAGGTGGTGTAATGGGTCGGAGATGGAAAGAAAAGGAAAGGGATGAGGGGAAGTGTCAAAGGGAGTTGAATTAGGGATGAGAGAAAAGGAGTGAGAAGATGGGACGAGAAGGTTACGATGTAGACAATCGAGTCGGAGATGGAAAGGAGGTGAAATGGATGCGAAGATGATTGACGGTAACGGTAGAGGACGTCGCTGGTTTCTCGATGAGACCTTGTCGTACGGTTGTCCCGGGTTGTCGGATGGCAGTTTCGATAGTGGATTGTGGATTTCAAAGTTGATTTCCCCGGATGGGTTGGTGGTGATCATAGTCGTTGTGTTTGGAGAATGGATGGGGAGTGAGACTGTGAGAGTGGGTGAGGTGGAGTGAGGTAGAGGACAGGGGAGAAGGGGCCGCGGGTGCACTATATAGTAAATGTTGAGGTCGGCCAGGCCTAGGAATTGGGCCATCACTTTTAACTCCCTACACCTTGCTACAAGCAAACCTTGTTCAATCCCAATGTCGTGATTTGGTCGTGGTTGGTATATTGCTTTATTGCTCTCGGCCACCTCATGTACAACTCTCTCATGTCGTCTAGAAAGGTTAAGTTTCTGCTCGAAGAGTCGTCTAGATAGTAGTGATATCCAGTTGACCGCCACCAAGGAGGTAATGGACCTGTACAGTGGGTAAAGTTACTTTGAATCCTGCCGTTGTATCTGCCATCGAGGCCTCTCTGGCTCAAGGTTTTGACAAATCGCCACTCAACAATGACCTTAAAATAGCTTTTCCTCTTCCGTACCATTGCGGGATGACACATGACACGAAAATCTGTCAGAAAAGAGAGACCTACTCGTGCACGAGGTAGAGTGAAAATAATTGAACTTTGATATCATTTCGGTTCACCGCCCACCGCCCACTATAGCGCATAGCCTTGAGGGAATTCTCCTTTAGAGACCCTCTGGATACGCGTTAGCGATGCCACCGTATCCCTTCAATCGTATCGCCGCGGCGAGCCAAACTGCCGTCGTGAATGAGTCATCATCACCCTTTGCCCCCCCCGTGCCCACCCACTGCACGTCCGAATAGGATTCCGATATGATAGATTTTCTGCTTAGATCTACGTAAAGGGTTTCATCCACGTCGTGATAACGTTAATGACGATTCGAGTATCCGGTTCCACCTAGGTAGACTTCCAAGTTCAACTTTGATTTCTCCTCTCTTGACTAACCGGCCCTCCCACCTTAAATCTTATACCATATTTCGGCGTGCGGCACACACGAAAGATTCTTCCTCATGTCCGCGGTAAGGCGCTGGCAGTGGTAATGTTTCAAGAAAATTATGGGTAGAACTCTCGAGTCTTGATTCGCCGTCATCTCGTTCTATGTATCAGCGACACGGTCACCAAGGCGTTCATTGTTCGCCTCCGGAGGGGTGGCAGACTCGCAGTGAGATGAAGTGAGGAAGTTTTCAAAATTCTTCCGAGGCAAATCGGAGATTTCCTCTCCTTTAAAAACCCCAAATTGTTTCTGTCATAGGGTAATGGCCAGCACTCACATGGCAGACGTGTCGGCCAGTTCTTCTGGTGTCTCATATTCCCCGTGATTAAAATTTCGTGGTTGTTGACAACTCACGCGCGCGAACATACATAACCATCACTCGACTACCAACCACCTAACCACCACCAACGCGCGACGGAGTTACAAGCAAAAAGTAAACTTCAAACCCCAAGCTTGAACCGTAGCAAAAGAGCGTCCTCCCCAAGGCTACTACCCTTGTAACGGTGCCGATCACATTGAGGGGTTTTAATAGAGGTAGAATTTCCACCTTCCCTCGCAAAATCTTCACAAAATAAATCTCGTCACTGCATCTCCCTCGCTGCTCACACGATGGACGTCAAGTCTCAAAAGAGGGAGCAATCACGAGCCGCGGCAGACTGTTCGAGCCTCGAGGTCGGCTTAGACGCTGGGTCATGAATAAGGAAACAGTGGGTGTATAGTATAGTATTTGCCATGGTCTAGGATTCTACATAAGGTCGCACGCAATGAATGATGAAACAAAAAAAACTCCAGCGGTATGTACATGTTTTAAGGAAACCGATGAATTTCATATGTATGTAAGAAGTAAGTAAGATGTAAGTAATGCACACTGGCGACTGACATGAAGAACCACCGAGCCATTCAACCATCATCAAGCGCACACATGAGCAGAAAACAAAGCAAAGGGTTTAAGAAAACGAATTAAAAAGAATAGAAATTGAAAAAGCGCACAAAAAGAAGCCAGGCCACGCACGGCAAAGACATTCGCACTCTGAACGTATTAAAACCCCGAGTAAAAACCCCGAGAAAATCAACCACCCTCCCTTCAAATCCCATAACGCCCAAGGAGATTGGCCGGAAAGATACGCAAACGCATATCCCCCATGCCTCGGCACTGTGTACCGCGTTGCCCCGAGTAATGAGTAATGAGTAATGAATTCGCACTCCGCAAGTCGCATCGACTAAACCCGGACATTGTAAGAACCAGGCCAGTCACCGCCCGTGCCAAAACCGAAGTTCTCCGAATGTACCGTATCCGCCGCCCTCTGCTTCTTGCTCGCCTGGCGTTCCTCATACTTTTCCGTCAACCTTTGTACCACGTCTTCGTACTTGACCCTGCCAAGTATGATGTCCGGATTATTCCCGGCGACCTCACAGTACCAATTAGCCCTCATATGCGGGTCGTCCTCGATCTCCCGTATGAGGGCGAAGGCGGCGGCATTCTCGCGGTGCATTCTTCGCCAGCGTCTCCTCACCTCCTCGGTATGAAATGCCTCCCAGAACTTCGCCTCGATCAGGTCCAGCTGCGCGTTCGTGGGCCGCTTAAGCACCAGCCCCGTCTGAGCAAACACCAGATCCCAGTCCTCGCGCATATCGACCCAGAACCTCTCGGCCGCCTGCTCGCGGCTCTGCAACGAATTGTGCACGTCCATGGCGACCGGCCGCGCGAGTATGTGCGCCCTTCGGGCCGCACGGATCAGATCGGCGTCGAAGCCGAACTTCCGCTCGACGTAGCCCCGCACTAGGGAGCGCCTCATGTCGCCGTGAGGGCCGTGAGGGATGTTCTGTAGCAGCTCGCTCTCAGCCACCCCCCACATCTCCTCGGCCGAGCGAAGGGCGACGATGCCGTACAGCTTGTGCAGATTCTTGTCGCAGGGGCGGCAGCAGCGGATGCTCTCGTCCATCGCCGCCAGCCGCGACGACGAGATCAGGCAGTATCTGCACCGTCTTACGAGCCAGCGGATAAGTATGTTCCGGTAACAGTTCGCTCGAGCCGTGATAAATGGTTGTTTGGGAGGGTTGCGGAACTTGGGATTTTCGGCTGCATTCTTGAGGGCGCGGAAACATCGAGTCTCTATTAAGTGGTATAGGAGCCGGCACGTGCTGGAGAGAGCTACGAATGGATGCGAGCGGATGTTCTTGATGTCGACTGGGAGGAGGAACTCGAGGATATTATAGAGGATTTCGTTGGGGAATGCGAGGAGCTTCAGGGTTGGTTTCGGGGGCGGTGTGGTGAAGCGCGCGGTCGATTTCGAACGTTGTGGGGCATCGGGCCAGAGTGGCACTGGGGCTGGTGCGGTGAAGGCACTGATGGAGGGCAGTGGGGTGAAGGACCAGGTGGATATCGAGGGAAGTGCGGTGGACGAACTGGAAGGTGTCGGGTTTTGCGGCGGCGATTCGGTGAAGGGTGTGCCTGGTGCCGGGGGCAGTGCAAAAGGCACGGCGAATATCGAGGGAGGTGCAGTGGACGAAATGATCGGGGGTAGCGGGCTGCTAGACCAGACCGGTGCTGAGGGCGGTGCGAAGGGCACAGCGAATATCGAGGGGGGTGCGGTGAGGGAACTGATGGGGGGAAGTGAATTGGAGGACCAGGCCGACGCCGAGGGCACTCCGGTGAATGTCGTGGTTGAAGTCGAGGGCATTCCGGTGAAAGACATGGCCGGCGCCGAGGGCGTTCCGGTTGAGGAGATGCCTGGCATCGGGGAGACTGCGGTGGACGAACTAGCAGGCGTCGGGGGTTCTTGGGATGGTTCGGTGGAGGGTGTGGCAGGGGCCGAGGGAAGTGGGGGGTTCGACATGGTTAATATCGGGGGCAGTGTGGTGGGCCGCCTGGGAGGTGTCAAGGGTGCTGGGGTTATGCGGGGGAAGGCGTGGCTGATGCTAAGAGTAGCGGGCAACGGTAATGGGCCTGGCGGTGAGAAGCGGTTTGGTGGTGTCGTATATCGATGGTGTCGAAATATCGATGGTGAGGTCGGTACGAGAGGATTGATGATGGGAAAAGAAGAAGAAGCAGGATAACAGTAGGAGTGGTGGGAGTGGTGGGAGTGGTACATCGAGGTGGTAGGAGCGCTAGCGGGTGGATGGGGTTGAATGGCCGTTGGCAGGTGAATGAGGTTAAATGGCGTTGAGCGGGAGACTAGAGCAGGTTTATATGCTTTACCTCTTACTGACTTTGGCAGCACCGACCACACACAAAAACCATCATGCCGGCGACGACGTCCGGCCCGTCGATAATACCACATATCACATAGTGACCGAGCATAATCCGGCACACACACATATTATGCGGTGGTGGGCATACATGCACGTCGTGGATAACATCCATCCTGCGACTCTGGTGGCGATCGGGAATTCGTCTTTCTGCACTTTCTGCACTTTCCGCCCGTACGTGGGCGGTTCGACCTCTACATCCGTTTGGTCACAGTCGGGTCATGCCTGCTGATTCGCGGATTCCCGTCCACATAATCCGCCACATTTCTCGTGATGTCTCAGGCGTTAGTTGGCGTCGCTGCGCCGGCAGCGACTGCCAAGAATCACCGGGCGTCACCCGGCTGACTCGCCTGCCCTGCCTAGGTATAATGGCTTAGCACGGGCTGTCACGCGAGTCGCAAACCCCCGCACGGCACGTCGCTTATGCGATGGTTATCGTCTCTCCCCACACTTCTCCCACGCTGCAACGCCGATAAAACGGAAATCCCGGAATTACGCCAGCACGAATGATGCCCGCCTCCGCCGCACCCTCCGACGAGCTCGAGTACTTCGACACGCACAGCGCGCCGGCGCACCTCGCCGCCATCTCCACGCAGCTGCAGGAATTCGTCAACCTGCACCACGCGCACGGCCGCCGAGTAGTCCTCGTCTCCTCCGGCGGCACCACCGTCCCGCTCGAGAACCAGACCGTGCGGTTCATCGACAACTTCTCGGCGGGCACGCGCGGCGCCACGTCGGCGGAATACTTTCTCGAGGCCGGCTACGCCGTTGTGTTCTTGCACCGCCAGTTCTCGCTGCTGCCGTACTCGCGCCACTACTCGCACTCGACAAACTGCTTCCTCGACTACCTGTCTGAGTGGGGGCGCATCGGCGAGGACGGCGATGGCGCTAGTTCCGACGGCGGCGATGTGGTTGTGCGCGAGCGCTATCGCGCGCAGATGCTCGATGTGCTCAGGAAGTACCGCCGCGCTAAGGAGCAGAAGACGCTGTTCCTGCTGCCGTACACCACCGTCACCAGCTACCTGTTCCTCCTCCGCGAGGTCGCGCTGCGGATGCAGGTCCTTCGCAATGACGCGCTGTTCTACCTCGCCGCGGCCGTGAGCGACTTCTTCGTGCCGCCCGACAGGATGGCCGAGCACAAGATACAGAGCGGCGATCTACCGGGGGCGCCGGACACGGCGGGGGCGAGGGCAGATACTACCGCGGCTGCCGCGGTGGCAGGGATGGAAGCGCACGACGACGACAGCGGGCTGGGCGCGCGCGGAAAGAAACTGGTGATCGATCTGGATCCCGTGCCAAAGTTTCTGAAACGGCTAGTAGAAGGGTGGGCGCCGCACGCCATGATCATATCCTTCAAGGTACGCCGCGAGCATGTGTTTCTCTGACCGTCCACCACACACCCACCCACAACCCATCCATCCAGCGAGACTGAGATTCACGTGACATACACACAGCTCGAAACCGACCCGAACATCCTGCTCTACAAGTGCCACCAGGCGCTGAACCGCTACAGCCACCACCTGGTCATCGGGAATCTGCTGTCGACACGGAAGTTCGAGGTGGTGTTCGTGGACAAGAAGGCGGACCAGTGGATCCGCGTACCGGAGGCGCGCGAGGGCCAGGAGCAGGTCGAAATCGAGAGCCTCATCGTACCCGAGGTGGTAAGGAGACATGATCGCGCGATTGGCGCGAAGGAGGCGGGTGAACCTGCTAGTTAGGAGACGGCTGACTGGCCGGTACCGCGCCTGCTGCTATGTGCTGTTGCTTGCTTGTTCCTGTATATATCCGTGGAAAAATGGCGACCCGCTCTACATAGGAGACTTTGGTAGGATGGGGTGCGGGGCATCCCCGACCTCCCTCCTGTCCCACCTCGCCGCTTTTCTCCCGTCCTTTGAGCTCTCATGCATGTGCCCTGCTAGCTTCTGTTCGCTCGATTACTCTGCGCCTTGGTACTATGCGCACTTCGCCGCAACGTCGCACCCGCCTTTGCACCTCCGGCCGTCTCACGGTCTCACCCTGCAGCGGATCAGTGAAGAACCACCGCACCTCATTCCTCGCCAGAGCGGAGACTTCCGTGTGTACCTGCCAACTCTAGGATCTGACGGGCAATCAATCAATCGTGCCAGTGATGTGCCTATGAGGCACCCCAGGCTTGCCAGGGACCCATTACCCTGTGAAAGATCCCTTCAACCGATCACCTTCAATGTCTGTCGATTTCCCAGGTTGCCTGGTATATACAAGGAAGACAGCCCATGGACCCGGTATGGTTGGCATGTAGCCGCGCTCTTTTCACGTAACCAAGTAACCAGGTACTCTACCTGGGCGCAGGGTATGTTGAACATCTGCCTCCGAAGTGGGTATCTTCACCGCGCCATCACTCGGCATGAGGTGCTCCGGCGAATAATCGGCTGAGACGCACTTGACCTTTGCGCATCTTGCTCCAAGCCGTGGACATTGGCCAAACATCCCATCTCATCTCATGTCGTATCATCTCATGTGTCTCGTCTAGTCTCGCTCGTCAGCTGTCTGTCTGGCTGTACTGCGCGGTGAGTTGGACTGAATGCAAGAAGTGCGAAAGATCACCCGAACAGCGAACAGCGAACAAAATGCACCTTTCCACCTTTCCACCTTTACACCCTCCAAGTTGATCGTGCTGAGACCTATCATGATTCATCATTATCATTCATCATCATTCTCCATCACTGCGGGTTTATGCAGACAGTGCACACACTGTACACACACTCACACACGCAGGGAATCACACACGGTATCACCGCAAATCGAGTAAGCTCGAATGTAAGACACACAAAATCGAATGTAAGACACGTAAGACGCAGTGCTCGACTCTACATAACGCAGGATTCATGCCTGTCTGGGCCCTGAAGTCCTGGATGTCTGACCTGCTCCCGTCGGTCGGTCGCGGAGAACAAGAACGCCAACCTAACCCCGCGAGGAAAGAAAAGCAAAGAAAGGAAAGCAAAGAAGGAAGGAAAGAAAGGTCGAGTGAACGGGAGGGCTGAGTCAGACAACACCCGGATGGGCTGTCGAAGACTCGAAGTGTAGCCCGTCCCTCCCTTGTACCCACTACCCACGGCACCGGGCACCCCACCCCGCCCCAGCGGGCCCCACAGGCACAAGCACGAGCTCCCCCTCCCTCGCTCCCCTCCCTCGTTCTCGCAATGGGATCCAACACGACCAACATGATCGAAGACCGGACATGCATAAAGTGCAGAAATCATACCCACACAGGTATACATATGTGCTCTGGAGTATGTGGAGTATGTAATCCCTCTGGATTACTCTGGATTACTCTGGATTACTCTGGATTACTCTGGGTTACTCTAGTGAGTAGTGATTGCGATTTGGACTGCGTGTATTGACTTGAAAGGATAGGAAGGGAAGCAGTTGGGCGGCGAGGGTGGGTTCGGGGTGGGCTGGTGAGTGGGTGAGCGGTTGGGTGTTCTGCGGGATGGGATCACAATTCGAACTTGTAAAAATGAGGAACGCAACTGGGCTCGACTGTGGTGTAGGTTTCGGAGGGCCCGGGGCACCCACGGAAGTGTCTGCGCGAAAGGAAGGCGAGTTTGGCGCGCGGGAATGGCGTTAACTACCAGTATCAACGACACGCGACCTGCCAACTGCGCCTGTGTTGCAACTCTGAGTCTCTGGAATACTGAGACACACACACATCGTCGCATCTATTGCTGCACTGATGTTGCAACTCTGAGACTCTGGAATACCGAGACAGACATGCACGTAGAGCATGTAGAGTATGTACGCATCGACTGCTGCACAATTGGCAGTGGATAACTCCAATCTGGTGTCAGGTGAGACGAGAACCTCTCTGCAGGGTGCAGACTGCAGCGTACAGCTTGTCAACTGTCATTCTGCTCGCAACTAGCTACACACATACGGCTAGACTCCAAGGGAGAACGGAGATGAATCATGATGCTACGGGTAGTTGAATCGGCGGCAGGAGGTATCATACTGAGAGACCTGCGATGGGTACGGGCAACCGGGGTGACCAATTGAATTGACTAGAAAGCAACAAGCAAAGAAAGCAGACTGTGGTCTTCAGGCCGAACAACCTCAAAGTAGAGTATCTCCGCGATGTTAAACTAATAATGCCTGAGAGTGGTGATAATGTCCATGTTTCGTGTGTTGTGTGTACGTAGAGACTGACCGACCAGATGAACATGAAAGCAGCAACAGAGAACATCTCAGCGAGCCAAAGTTGAGGCGACAAAATCGGGTGTGGCACCCCGAGCCCCACAGTACACAACTAACTCACGCCCAACCACTGAGCCACAAAACATATACCACTGTAAGCTGCAGGGACGATCAGTGAAGCTACGGAAAGCCGCCGGGAAGCTAGGAAGCCCCGGGAAAGCCTCAGGGAGGCATCAGTCGGAAAAAGCCACGGGGGATAAACCACGAGTTACATTGGATCACGTGAAGCTACGGGAAACGACGTGAGGCCTCAGCAATCTAGAAGACGCTGCAAATACACAGTTAATCGAGAGAAAATCCACAGCAACTCTACAGTAAATCCATATCAAAGTCATACCAGTCCCGGTTTCCATTCAGTTTCATTAACGATCCGGCCCCGTACGTACGCACCTCCCTCCGAAGGTCCTCCATTTAAACACAGATCTATCAAAACAAAGCATCTTCAAATATCAACACATGGCTAGCCGGTAGGAAAGCAAAGCACGCAAAGCAAAGCAACGCAAAACAAAGCAACGAAACGCAAAGCAAATCAAATCAAAGCTGGAAAATGTCACCAAATAACAAACAGTAAATTACTTGTAAAATTCATGATCATCGCCCACCCCATCTCCCCTCACGATAGCACCCCCAGCGGGCCGCAGCCGCGATCACTCCGCCCCCATCGCGCCGTCGGCCAGGTTAAGGATAATTTCCGCAGCCCGATGCGCCTCCTGCGGCGTGCGTCTCACCTCACGGGTGGGGCATCTACTATTCGCCTCTGCCAGGAGCAATCTAAGATCGACCAATCCATCTCCGGGCATCTGCACCTCGGAATGTGTCTCAAGCAAGAGCTTGACAACATCCCACGGCTGAACCGCATCGATAGCGAGGTTGAGCAGGGTATTATAGTCCTCATAGTGGCTATGCCACGCCACAACACTGACGGGCCCGCGGTGCGGGAACACCAGGAGGTCGCCAGCAATGCGCTTGCGGATGTGGTGCGCCACCTCTTCCCACCGCGACGCCATGAACAGTGTCCTCGGGTCCAGGAGGCGCACCGCCGTCGCCGTCCGCCGCGTCGGCGGCAGAAGGCTGTCGAATGCGCCCGAGTTCCGAAGGCCGATGAGACGCCCGATGATCTGCCGTAGGGAGATCAGGAGCCGCACAGTCTTTCGCAGGTCGAGGAGGATGCGCGTCACCCGGCGCAGATCGTCGAGTGTGGTCGGCTTCCGGCGGTCCGCGCGGTGCAGCATGGATACTACTGTTTGCAGCGGGGAGACGAAGGCGATGCGGTGGCTGGAGCGCCTCGGGAAGCATGATCGCCACACGAAGCACTCTCCTTCCGGCTCGTCCTTGACGAGCAGCTGGTGCACCGGCCGCAGATGCCATTTGTGTTCTGCCTGCCGGCTCGGTGAGAACCACTCGCCGCTCGGAGATGGTCCCCGCAGCCGGTGCACCCGCCACATCCAATCCGTAACTACCCCTATCACGTCGCGGTGGAAGTGGAACGACGCCCAGTGAAGTGGGCTGGGCCGCGTCTCGAGCCACCAAGCCGCCGGCAACTCTCCCATGAACTCCAGCATGGCCTTTACGTAGGAAGCGTCCCCCCGAGCAGCAGCGAAATTCAACGGCCCCATCTCCGTGCCGTTGATCATGTCCAGTTCGATGAAATCGTCCAGATCCGTGTCGGCCTCACCACCGCTCTCAAACGGTTTCACGCCGGAGCCCCACACGATACTGTTGTTGCGCTTGTCCGTGACGGTCTGGAGGCTTCCCGGGGGCAATAGCGGGAACTCCTGCCAGTCATCCACGCCCACCAACTGAGTGTCCAAAAAGTGGACCGATGTAGGCGGCAATGGCGGTACCAAATCGCCGGGGCTATAAAAGCTGTCGAGCACGCAGCGGAACATCGACACGGGGAGTTCGAGACGGATCGCGGCGGTGAGCAGCGTGCTCGCATGCTGTTGTCGACGCTCGATCGTAGACCCGCATACCGCCTGCACGAATGGACTTGCGTGCTGGAAGTCGCCCGCGAGGAGGAACGCCAGCGAGGCGCTGATGCTGTCCAGCGGATCGAGCGCTTTGGCGATCTGGAAGAATAGCTCGTTTGGTAGGGAAAGGAGTATCAGCGTGACCGTTAGCCGCTCTGCAGGAGTTGAGGTGACTGTCTGGGGATAAACCTTTCCAGCTACTCCTTCTCCTCCTTCTCCCCCTCCTTCATCCGCCCCCCTTCTTTCCGCTTCCTCCAGTTCCAGCGGAGTAACAGGTGCCAGTTCCAGTGATGATGGAAATATCCGACCTTGACGCTCCTCGAGGGGAACGGTACCTATCTGTGTGACGACAACCGGAAGCTCTACTAAATTCGTGAAATCTGGGAGTGAAGGACAAGTCCGGTGGTGCGGACTGTGGAGCAACATATCCTGTGGAGCTCGCGAGGTCCGTTGGATCATAAAGGATATGAATATATCGTCGAAGGAAACACTGCACTACCTACCCAGCTCGGTCGTTTCGGAATGTTGCATTCATGGTGTAGGTATGCGGATGAGTGTGGATGCAATAGAGGGGAAGGGAAGGCATTGCCGACTTTCACTCTCCCTCTCCCTCCATCTCCCTCTCCCTTTCTCTGTTGCTCGCGCCATTTGACTTACAGCGCAATGAAGGAGGCCAGTGCTCTGTCCGGCTGGGGACCGACTGGGCACCTAAAGTGGTACGTTGTTTTCAAGACGGCATATGATGTAACAAGAGGAGTCAGTGCTCGGAAGGTTTCGTGAGGAATCGTGAATCGAAACCGTGTTCGTAATCACCAGGTACTTGACGGGATTCAGCGGGCCGGCAGGTAGAGGAAGGTACATCACGGAACCAATGGTGGGGGCGGAGGGGAATGCTCCATCGGACGGATCTTCCTTTGAACGTCGCACCATGGCCTATCCACTCCCGACAGTGGGGGCTGAGGGCACGCGTCCGAGTGACATCACCTGCTTGCCCAGGTATTTGGTCAGTCAATGGTACCCTTCCTCCACATCCCCTCCATAATCCTGCATCTGCAGTTCCTCAGGATGAAGTCCAGAACCTTGAAACCTCACGATTTCTGGATCGATTGTGTCATCGCATTCCGCGTCTTCGCACCCAAGCACCGTAGCGGCGGTTCCGGGAGTCCTGCTCATATCTAGACTTCGATGGATGGCGACGCTCCAATCGCCAATCAACGTGAACGCGTAATCGAAGGGAACAAGCTCGACTCCTACCAATCCGCTGGAAACCTATCCAACCTACCTACGGGGGAAGTGGGAAGGGGGAAAGGCAAAGACTTCAAGAGGCGAAAAAGCTTAGATAACGGGGCCACCCAGGTGCTCACATGCGTAGAGTTATTTAAGGGATCAGTATTAAGCCTCCATTCTGCTGGAGTAGGCAATTGCATGAAGCACTGGGGATGAGATGACCCTCAGACAACCTTGATTAAAAGAAGTAGAAGGCCGATTGTATCCGACTAGAAAGAGAAACGACAATGAAAGAAAATGGCCACCTGTGTTCTTCAGGTGATGAACCTCAAGTATCCCGCACGTTGAATGGGGAGATGAGGAGATACCGAGATGAAGATGTAGATGATGAGAAAACAAAACAATCTCGACAAAATAAACATGAGCCCCCCGAACGTTTGGCCCACCGAGTCTGGTCTAGCCAAGTCGGCGAAATTTCCCCGCTCGTGCATCTCTCCTTCCCGCTCCCAGCCTCCCAGCTCAGACAGAACCCGCTCTCAATTCGAAAGTCAACAACCCTCTCCGCCCTCGGTCACACCCCCGACTGGGCTGGTCTCAACGAGTCCCAGTCTGTTCACAACTCCTTGACCATCGGTCTCACCCAGATAGTTACTCTACGCGGCTCCTGGTCGAAACGGACGCGCAAACGCGTCGTTTACGCTGCGTCCCACAGTATAGTAGGAAACTTACTTTCGAGTTGATCGTTGGTCACTGGTTTGCCTGGCGACACCTGGGTTGGGACTCGGGAGGCTGGATCCCGTACATATGCTTTCTTGGTACATAGAGTACAAACTTCGCTCAGCTGAACTCGACCTAGGTACTGGGCACCCACCATTTCCCTACACGTATTTGGTGGTGGTGGTGGTGGTGGTGGTGGTGGTGGATCCGAAATTGCTTCTTCTTCATCACCGAGTGCGCCGCGCCGTCCCACCGGCAAAGTGCGCATGAAGTGCAACGCCACTTTCCTCTCTACCCCACAGACGCAGCCGCCATGATCCCAAAGCTCTGGGCCGGACCGGATTCAACATCCGGCCCTTCCCCCTTCCACCTCCCCCCGGCGCGCCTATGTAGGTAATCTCGAAAATATAAGCTTTTTGGTATCCACCACGGTAGTCTACGGGGAATCCATCGCTTGCTCCCCCTGCTCGGGAACATAGTAACGCCGATTGCCCTCGTCTATTAGCCGAGCATGCAGTTTCCTGAGTCCTTAGCAAATTTTGCCGATCACAATCGTCGTTGTCGTCGTCGGAGGGGGGATTTTGTTTTGCGGGAGATAGGCATGAAGCCCTGTCGATTTTCCGGCGGGGACACCCTTGATTTCTTTCTGGGCGCTAGCCAGGTGGATGGTCTACGGTACCGTGCAAGCCTCTTCCTCTTCCCGGAGGTGCAAAGGCGTATGTTTCACTCGACACACTCACAATAGCACCGTTGTTGTCTCTTGGACCATTGTGATTTGTTCCGTTTCATGCATGATATGTGCTCAGCCATCGCAGCTGAGACAGCTTCCTCATGGGAAACAGACAGATTACAAACGAGAGACAAGTCATGGTATTCTTTAGGTTGTGGTGTTCGAATTCTGCAGGGCAGGAACGAATCAAGCTGTCCTCCGTGAGTCTTGACAGGACAAACCATGAGCTTTGTAGGTAATCTTAGAGCACTCAGACCAGTCCATCAAGCTTAAATGTAAGTACATCTAATCGTCTCCAATTACCAAACGTAACGGTATGCGATCCGGTAAGTAACTACGATGACTTGCTGTTGGGCGGGAAGTACTTATCGACGATCTCTTTCACGTGGGGATTGAGGGGGGGCGCGTCCTTCTGGCCGATGACGCTGTGCGATAGAGCTCGGGAAGAGTTAGCCGTGACCTGGAAGGGAGATACAGGGCGAGGAATCAACATACAGTACCACTGGATCACCTTCATGAACGGCACAAACCCTTCGGTATCTTCGGTGGTGTCTGGAGCGGCTTCCCACGTCCGACCGGGAGTCGGCGTTGGCTTTGGTGGTGGTGGTGTTTTCGGCGGCAGAGGAGGATACAGCTTGTTGTACCAATTCTTAAGATCCTCCAGAACCGGGCTCTCGGGAAGGGAGGTGAAACGCGATACCTTCACAAGCGATCTTGGCCTGTTAATTTCCAGCCACATCGCCTTGAGCACCACCAGAACGCTTGCCATCTGTTTGGCCACAATCTTCGCTTCCGGAGTTCTGATCTCGACCGCACGTTTAATCGCGGTTTCAACCGCGTTCTTCGTGACGTAGTGCCTGAGCGGGTAGACCTCGTTGACGTGGAGCGCGAACATGAGTAATCCATGCAAGTTCTTTACCGCGAACCGCGTTTCTTTCGGCAGCGCAGCCGACTCGAGCTGCCATTCGATCAACTCGTCGCCGTGGATGCCGTTAATCCTCAACAGCATCAGGCATTGATCCACCAGACGGTCCATCGTCGCGAGAACACGCAGGTCGATCGGATGCGCGGGGTTGACGGGCGGCCGGATGCTCTTCAGGCAGTGGTTGATGGAACGCAGCTGCGCCTTCAAGTCCGCGTCCTGCGTGCCGTATTTGACCCCGTCCTTGACCATGCGCATCATGAGTTGCAGGAGCCCATCGCACGCTCTCAAGGCGGCCATGCGACGCTCACGGTCGATTTCGTTGTCTGGAAAGCCCGGGGTGAAGGCGGAGAATGTCAGTTTCAACAGGAGACAGAAGATCGTCACGGATTGTTAGCTTACCACACAGCTGGTCCAGAAGTGTCTTCATTCCGGGCTGGGCCATTGTGTCTCTAGTCTGCAGGTTTGGTGGGTAGCTTCGAGACGGCGTGCTTGGCGCGTATAGTAGGTGCTAAACGCGTGCGCGTGGGGCCGTGGGCAGTGCAGCAGCTAGGGATTGAGGTGTGGGGAGCTGAAACACAGCGATCAGGGGGGAGGGAGGGGGTGGGGCCCGCGTGCGGTTGAGTTGTGGGTTGTCGATGCGCTCTCCACGATTGGGAATTCAAAAGTGCAGAATCACGGACCGTCAACGATCGTTCAATGCCCCACACACGTGGCAGGCGTCACGATCACGTGCAAAGCCAAGTCACGAGATCTTGGCGTCCGCCAGCCAGCCCATGGTCGTTCACCCAATCGCTCAAAACCACCCAACCCGCTACACATCACAGCAACTCTCACACCATCTCTGAACGATCCCTCTAAAATCTCCTCGGCCTTTCGCCCACCGCCCGTGCAGACCGAACCTCCCTGCGCTCCCCGCAACCCCACAACCCCCACAACCCCCACAACCCACCCCCCAGTCCACCGCTCAACGCACCGCACGCACGCTCAAGCAATGGCGCTGAGGATCACGACCTGGAATGGTGAGTCCGATCGGTCATCCCACTTGTCACGGCCCCTTGCCGCGGCGCGAGCTTAGTTGCTCGGCTGGCTTGCTCGGGCTTGCTGTTAGTCCCTGTCGCGTGTTTGCCCATGCTCAGTCGAATTGCCGATTCCTCCCCCCCTTGCTCACCTACCTAACCTGGCTCACATCCCGAGCGCATGTGATACACCTACGCGAATCTTACTGACTGCTTTGCCTATATAGTGAACGGCATCAGGTAACCCAACTCCTCTACACGCGCGCGCGCGCCCGCTCCGTCCGATGTCCGATGTCGATTGCTGATCCTGCCTTCGAGGAACCCCTTCGGTTACCATCCATGGAGTCAGAATAAGAGCTTCCGGCACATGTTCGATACGCTGGACGCCGACATCGTCTGCTTCCAGGAGACCAAGATCCAGCCGAAGGATCTGACCGATGACATGGTGCTGGTGCCGGGCTTCGACTCGTACTTTACATTCCCGAAGCAGAAAAAAGGTAATCGCACGGTCGCATGCTGCTGCGCAGGCAGGGACAAGGCTGACGTGACGGCTCGTTACTGAAAGGCTACAGTGGAGTCGCAGTGTACACGCGGAATTCGAAATGCACGCCCATCAAAGCCGAGGAAGGAATCACGGGCGCCCTGCAATCGCTGTCGCAACCCGGCAAAAGCTACAGACTACTGGAACCCGACGAGTGCATCGGCGGATATCCCGACCTGTCGAAGGAAGAGGCGGTGAAACTCGACAGCGAGGGCCGCGCCCTCGTGCTGGATTTCGGCGCGTTCGTGTTGATCGGCGCGTACTGTCCTGCCGCTACAGATCCCTCCAGAGATCACTTTAGAGCTTGTTTCGTCGAGGCGCTGTGTACCAGGGTGCGCAAACTCGTCAATGATCTCAAGAGGCGGGTGGTGGTCGTCGGGGACCTCAATATCGCTCGCGAGGAAATCGATGCGTGCGATTCAAATGAGACCATGAAGGAGGCGGGAATGACAGATTGGAAGGATACCCTTACGAGAGCCTCGCTGGATCGCTTGTTACTGCCCCATCCTAGCGGTGTGGTGTATGATCTCTGCCGTGAGCGATATCCGGACAGGACCGGCATGTTCACATGTATGTTATCCTGTCACCCCTCCCTCATTACCTGCGGGAAATTGTCACGGTAGGTGCTAATGATAGTTGACACTCCACAGGTTGGGATGTAAAGAAAAATAAGAGACCGGGAAATGCAGGTAACCATCCCAATCTTTTCGCTCCTCGGAAAATACTGGTTACTAACTCAACGGCATCAAAGGCTCGCGGATTGACTACATTCTGTGCTCCCCCAATATGTCGAATTGGTTCGGCGAGGTCAACATCCAGGAAGGATTGATGGTGGGTGGTTTCCATCTTATGGCTGTTGACGTTCGATCCTAATCATTGGTGCTTCTCGACAGGGTTCTGACCACTGCCCGGTTTTCGGCGTCATAAACCCGACCGTCGATGTCGAAGGCACCCGGAGGAGCATCATCGATTTGTCCAGTCCCGAAGGAAAGTTCCGTGACGGTGTGCTACAGCCATCATTCACAGCCCCTCCCCTCCCACGCCTGTGCATGAAGAGGTTCCCTGAATACAGCCAGCGTCAGAACATCAAGGGGATGTTCGCCAGGATGGCATCTACAGCCAAGAGGCCTGCTAGTGATATCGAGGACAACCGCCCGACGTCCATCAAGAACCTGATCAACCCTCCGGACGAGGAACCGACTCCGACGGCGCCGCCAGCGAAACGTGCCAAGAGGTCGGACAACTTATCCAACACCGCAAAGCCCAAGGCCGCGTCGAAAACTGCAACGAAGAATACGAGGTCGAAAGCTCAGTCTACTAGGGGGGGGGGCAAGCCTCAACCAGGCATCCGCAGCTTTATGCAGCCCGTGGCGAGTGCGCTCGGCGCAGGTTCCGGTGTTTGTCTGGGTCAACAGGATGCGTCTCCGATCCAGTACACACCATCCACACGGTACAGTCCAATCGCGCCAGCACCGCAGCCGAACGAGCCGAACGAGCATCGGCCTGTCAAACAGCCATACAATCCACCGCCCGAGCACTCAAACGCGAGCACTACGCAACCCGATCCACGCGAATATGCGCCAGCCGCAACCGCAACCGCAACCGCAACCGCAACGTCGAATTCTTATGACGTATATACTCCAGACCCAAACTCTGGTTCCTATGTTGGATACACCCACACCGCGCGCAACATGCTAGCCATCTCTGATGGACCGCAGGCTTCTAGTTCTAGTGCCCCACCAATCAGTTCGCCCGACCGACCTGCCACCGCTACAGCTACCGCCGACCTCATCGATCCCGTCGAATCCATGCAGCAGTGGAAGGCGATCTTCACAAAGAAACCGCCGCCCCTCTGCGATTTTCATAGTGAACCGTGCGTCCAACGCGTCTCCGGCAAGCCGGGTGTCAACGGCGGCAGGGCATTTTGGGTGTGTTCCAGGTGTGTATCCTCCCCCTCCCTCCCTCCCGGCAGCTCCCGGCAGCTCTCGGCATGTCCTAACTAAAAATAACTATTCCCAAGACCGATAGGCCCCGACGGAGAGTCCGCGGCGAAATCGGGTGTAAGGAACGAATGGCAGTGTAACTTCTTCAAGTGGTGCGAGCGCGAAGGCTAACCTGCAACTAACCATACATACATATCGATTTGATCTGGTTTGAGCTTCTCCACAGTTCATCTGTTCATGCATGCATTTCCCTTGTGCCGTGATGATTGCGGTATTGTTTTTGCATATGTCTGTCTGTCTGTCTGTGATGTCATGACGAATTCTTTTCCCGTTTCCTTCTGTTTTTTTGCGGTTGTGGTTGCGATTACGATGGGGCTGCACAATATGTGTTCCTTCTTTCCTGGGTTTCATTTTCCGGTTGTTTTTTTTTACTGCACTTTACTTGGTTGACTGCACTTTACTTTGCTCTACTTGGTGGATATTGCTTGTAATAAGCTCTGCGTACATATCAACAGCTACTAGACCAGCTACTTCGCTGTTGCTTGCAGCTTCATTCCCACCGGCGGCGGACAGCGGGCGGGGGGAACGGGAGGCGGGGAGGGGGGGCAGGGAGGGGGGGGGGCAGGGAGCGTCTGCTGTACTTGACTTGTGAGGCATGACATTTCAAGCAAAGTTGAGAAAGACCAAGACCAAGGCCAAGGCTGAGCGCTGAGTGAGCGCTGAGGGTTTTGGCCGGTCGGCGGTGTCGGCCGGCAGATTGAAGGGACATGATTGCTCCCAGCATCTCTACAGATCCACAGAGTGATGGCCCGCCAGCTTAGCTGTTGGCATGTAGCTGAATCGACGAAGGACGCCATTCACTCCACTCCAGGGGAAGCCAATCCCGCACGCCACGGTTATGGAGAGCTTCATTTCATGATTTGATGATTTGATGATTCCCGGGGTTTAACTAGCACCGGCACGACTTCACAGGACGCCTCCGTCTTCACGTCCACTCATACACACATCCACATACACATACAATGGCACTCGCACATCCACCATCCGTTTACGCGATTCGACGACTTTCACATTCCTGACGTACGCCATTTGGTTTGGGAGAAGGCAAGAAGTTGGCAGCTCGTTCACAACGTCCACCTCCACGACGCCTGGGACGAGTATTCTCTTTGACGTTGCACGTGTCTGGATAATGGGTCGAGATCTTCAACGGTTTCATCCGCTGTTAAACCAGTCATTTTCACAAAATGAAACTGTTGCAATACCTGTCTAGTTTGGTCATGGTAGAAGGCACGGGCGTTGACCTCTATTCCCATACACTTATCTTCTGTTCTCACTAGGCAACAGCCTTACACTTCAACAATACACATACCCTATTATTTCAACAGAAACGACAATGGAATAGATCGAGTGAGATCGTGTGAAGAGCACCACGAGACATCTAAAAGCATCGCCAGGTGATCTTGAATATCACGTGATAATCAATTTCTGGATAGGCAGCAAACAATACATTAATATTCTCTTTTTCTCTCCCATCACCAACACAGGACACGCAGCCATAATTGCCATCTGACAAGAAAGACAGGGGAAAAACTAGTAAAGGTCAATAACCAGGTGGGGTAGACCATACCCTCCCCAAACACTCTCGGACCGTCCGGAATCCGAATTGTGACGACAAACCACCACTCCCCAAGTCGATACAACATGCGCAGATTCAAATCTGGCTGAGGCCACGGCTCGACTGGAGTTCCGCACCCGGCCAACCGATTTTGATCGTATTTTCTCCAACCGGTTCTCAGAGACCTTATCTTCCTTATCCAGGTTTGCTATCATGTGTGCCATCTTCATCAAGATCTCCGTCTTTCTGCCCACAGCCGCCCGTAAAAATATGTGCCAAGGATTGGTCTTTCTAGGGCGTTTCCAGAGATTTCAGGTATGTTGCTGGGCCGATCGTTTAACTTACTGAGCGACATAAGGATGCCTATATCGTGCCGAAAGTTTCCGACACGTTCATATGACGGCAACAACGCCGTTTTCTGGAAGGTTGCCCAAATCCTTCATGCCCTTGGGAGTGGTTTTGATATGAACTTCCGCGGCTGCGCAACCTGCAATTTGTCGATGGTAAGGTCGTACCTGCCAGTGACGAGGAGAACATAACAATCATGTTTCTCGGTTTTGTCCGATATAGTCTCCATGAAAAATGCCATTGCTTGATCAAAGCCACAGCTCTAGAAGGCCGTGTGCTTGTATCCCATCTCGTCGGAGCTGCCCTCTATCGTGAGGAACAGGTTTTCTTTGATGTTCGTCAGCAGGCCGTAAAGCAGATAATACACCAGATGCCCCTTCGCGCAGGGCTGTCAACCGTCCGTCCCGTCCGTCTTTGAGGTTGCCCGGCCCGGGACGGAATTCGTCGGGCTGAGGAGACCAAGGACTACAGTCTTCCGGGCTTGAGAAATGAGGACGGATACCCTACAGGGCCCGGAATTTACTGGGACACTAGGATATTGCTGGCGGCGTGGCGCCACACAGTGGCGCCGGTGTGCGGATGTGTGGCTGGGCAGCTCCATTTCGCAGTTTCGCTCACGGTATAGAACCTTCACACCATCCCCGTTGCTTCTTCAAGCAGTGTCTATCAGCTGAGCGTTGGACGACTCTGAAAATTCTGCTCAAGGCTGAAAATTCCGTTGGTAGCTACCGCGCTACTCCGCATACTAGTAGTCAGCATAGCACGCTAATGCTATCAGGTACCTATAGGTACCTGGCGGGTATCCGGGCATTTCATCTTCCGGACGGAATGGATCAGTCCTCTGGAAAGCCTGCCCGTGACGGGACGGGACGGGACGGGACGGGACGGGACGGGACTACAGTCCACTAGACGGACGGTTAACAGCCCTGCCTTCACGTCGTTCGCCACTCCTGTAGTCTCGACCTCAGCAACCGACCAAACGTAATGGGACTGGTTGCCAATAAAATTCTCTGGGAAAATGGTAATGTTGGGAGCACGTCCGGCGAGGTATTTCCTGACCACGGAAACCGGATCGTCTGGGAAGAAATGCTTGAGGTGATGATCTGAGTACTTGCACAGGGGAGGGTACATGATCTCCTCATCTTCGTGGTTGACTTCCTTCGGGCTTTGGAGTCCCCCGATCAAGTGCTGAAGTAGCGGGGGTCCGGAGGAGGACTCGTCGTAAAGACATTGTCATAAAAACCCGGAGTATTAACTACTCGATAACATAGTTTTGCATCATATATAGAGCCTAAGCCTGAGTCAATAATCATAGTTAGTAAAGGTAATCACATCTGCCATCTCATGACTTACCCGTTGAACCGATGTTTATCTGAACTGGCGGTGGGTTGCCTACCGTCATGTGGGTCACGTGAAGCTGGAGCTGCGTTCCCAGCGCCACATCCTCTTCACCCTTCTTGCGTAGCTCATGCTCAGTATCTTTACTGGCGGGTTTCTCCTTCTGATATATTCTCCGTATCGCTATCGAACCGTGATTTAAGGAGAGATAATAGGGCGAAGATCGCTGTAGCACATGCATTCTCCCCATCGTCATGCGGACTGGACTGAAGGTAAATGGTGTAGACTATCTACGAGCATGTCAGTAGCTACATTAAGGCGGGCGATGGTGTACCTTGGTTATGATTGGAGCTAAACTAGGGACGTCCGACGATCCCGTCTTCAGGCGGAAGTTGTCACGAGTCTTCTCTAAAGCATTCCTGGCGCCACGTCTCGACCGAGCAGAGGAGGGGGTATATTCGTTCCTCCGGTAGCGTGCGATACTTTCTGCCCGGCGTGCTTCCTGCGAGGTCTGATTCTTCGTCGAACGTTGCGTGCGAGAGTCGCGTTCGAGCGTATGCTGAGTGTTTGCGGCGGAGTAAGTAGTAAAGTTCAATGACCGTCTGAGTCTGGCGAGTGAGGATTGTTCGGAATCGAGATTGTTGTTGGTGGGAGGTACGGAGCGGGGGATATGTTCCAAGATGGTTGAGAGCTCTGAATGAAAAGCGAGGCTGTTCCCGCGAGAGGTGGTCGGTGCAAAGAACCTGAGAAAGGCAAAGATTTAAGAGGGTTCGTAGGTAGAATAGGTTTCGGGAGAGACAATGATGTCACCAAACTTCCAAACAGTCGTTGGTGTATCCCAAAAAGGAATGCGTACATAAGCACAAGTGGAAAACGTGCTTCTGTGGCGGTGGTGGCCGAATAGAAACCGAGAGAACCATGTGTACGTCGTCCAACACCTATTAAGGCCCAGGATGTCTACCCTTCGTCATTATTTCTCACTCTCCAACACTCACTACCGTTACCAACCGTATACTCGGGTTTGACTTAAGCGAGCCATTGGGACGCTCCCGATAAATCTCGATCGGCATCGGAGGAGTTTAGACTTCTTCGAGCTGAACAGAACCCGAACCTGAGCCGATGACCACCAATTTTGAGTTCGTTGAGCTCGAGCATAATTCAAAATTGAGTTCTAAAACACCCACGATTTCATCTCATGTGAGGATCTCTCGCGAACACTGTATTGTGCCTTCTAGGACGGGCCCTGGGACAGTTTGGACACCTCACCCCGTTCCCCGTCCTTCATGTCTCCTGCCGGTAATTGACAGCCGGCCGTAACTTGAACGGCAATACGAAATAGCATTCTTAAACCGTAAGCACCATGCCTGGACAAACTCAGTTCCATTAGCCTCACCGAGCACACGGTTCGCTGGTTGTCTATTTCACGGTTGGGCGTTCGGACAACTTGGCCAGACAACCTATGCCACCCCCTCCCTTTCGCAGTATGTTACCGCGCCGGCGTTGTGCGGGGCTCTCTACCTGCAAGTCTCGGCTGGCTAGGTGCATACGACCTGACGTATGAGAGAAACATGCATGTCTTTCTGAGCGATTATTTCCCCCGTCTCCTCGCGTGATAATGGTGGACTTGAATCAAGTATTGTAGGTTCAGAGTTAGGGCATGCTGCTTCGGTATTCTACAGGTCGAAGCGAACGCACTCGGCCAGGCAATTTACGGTGGCCACATGTACCTAGACTGCCTATCTATGGACGTACGCCCGTCTACATAGAATGCACCACTGTGAGTTGAGCTAAACACTTTTCTTTTGTCGTATAGTTTGCAGGGATTGGTTGTTTCAGAGATCGAGACTTTTGATTGCTCTATGACGTCTCTACTCATGTCGTGATCTGTTGCGTGGAGTGCTTTTTTGTTCGTAAGATATGGCCGAGTGCTAGCCAGAAGGGTAAAATGGTGGATGTTATCGATGAAAGTTCAGTCCCGAGTCCAGCAGGACCGTCATGGCCATATCAATCCTGAACAAGGATGCCGACCGCTGCCAGAGAAAAGGAGGTGGTGCTCAAAGTTTGAGGCGCCATAGCCGCGTTGGTATCATAGCTGCGTGGAGCCAGGGCCCGGGGGGACGGCGATCACTGTTGTGGAAGCTTTCGGCGCCGAGATCTTCAGAATGTGAGCCCGTGATAACTTTAATCGGTGGAATAAACTTTCCGTACACTCCTAGCCCGCAAATATTGAACCCCCTGTTGATCTGGCCAGTCTTTCAAACGGCGATATCCAACAGATCCAGACGACATGAGTATATACTTCGGTATAAGACACGCAGCTGCAGAAGTATTGATTCAATGTTCAACAGTGTGTTGTCCATTCTACGCAGTTGACTCATCAGCCAAATTCTACCTCGTCGTCCAATGTACTCCCCCAACGAGTTACTCCTACATGTAGTACTATAAGAAGACTCCCCACCCTTCCGCCCGCGCTGGCAATCGTTTACTGGAACCTCCACCTTCCGCCCGTCCGTTCAGGATCGCCTGGCCCCCATCACCGCTCGCTCGTCCTCCCTCGACCGTCCATACTACGATCACCTGCCCCAATGTTCTTCCTTCACCCCCCCTCCATCTCTGGCCTGAAGGCTGGATTCAAATCCGCGATGAGGTTCCTTCACCTCGACGGCGAGAGCAGGAATCCCCGTGATGCTCCCGCCGAATATCAGAGCCCTAAGGAGTTGCTCATCTGGACGACGGTCACCACCCCAAACCTCATGGAGAAGGCTACAGCTAGCGGGCTGTTCTTCCTCATCCGGCAGGAGGGCTTCCCAACCGGGAAGATTGTAACGGAAGGGGTTGAGGCGGATTTTCGCACGGAGAACGTGCAGCTTCGTGGGGGGCAGGTTGTGCACGTGGAGGTCAAGATTTTGGGAGGTATGTGGTGAGGATAGGGTAGCGAGGATCTTAGGGGGGGTTGAGGATAGGGTAGCGAGGATCTTAGGGGGGGTTGAGGATAGGTGGTAGGGGTTGGTGGTTGGGGCGGTGAGTTGGGCGATTATTGAGGTGAAAGAAAGAGAAATGAAGTTATGGGTCATTAAACTGGTCACTGGTGTCTGGTGTAGGTAGCTGGGACTGGAGACATGTAGGAAAAGAACCTATGTAATAATAAAATGCTTCAACCAGCGATTAAGCAACCTCGCACTCGCGATTTTTAATGAGCATCCAGCAACTGACTGTTGTAGTATCAGCTGTTATCCCTTCGATAGTAACCACTTCTAACCCCCACATCTCGTGAGATCCGATGAAGGAGTTCCGTTGGTCTTTACAACACAGTGCCAGACCGCAGGTCCTACAGGACCGACGGAGTGTGGGAAAACATCTCGACTTGCCGTCATCTCAATTTACCAGCGACATCGATGGAGATGATATTGCGTTTCTCCCATGTATGCGGTTGGGCGCCCAAATAGAGAAAACTCTGAGTCTAAAATCGACGATCCAAGGGATATTAGACGCTCCAGAGCTTGATTTATTCAGAGACATCCAAGGACTACGAAGTATGTCCTGCCTACCGTCGAATCTGGACGCGCGGATGGAACACCGTGCCTGGCACGTTGGCCAAGTGGCGCAGATTGGGCTGTTCCTGGGCCTGGCCCCAACGTCTAGGCAGGACGAGAAAGGTGACGAATATTTGGTGCGTACTTAGTTAAACCGAAAGTCTGGACCGAGCCAGATGACAGTATGGAGCTGTACGAAGGGATCCTGCAGATTTTGGAGACGGAAATTACGAATTCGAAGGGTGTCGTTCACCACTAGGTGGCCATCCCCATGCAACCCCATCGAAGGGAAAACGGAGGGTACGTGAATTGCTATCCTAATCCACCCTGGCTAACTATTGGCCCACTCTACTAAATGACAGGTTATTAGACTGATGTCCAATCCAGCCTGTTCCTCCACTACGCGTCACCTAGCTACCCTCTAGCTGGATGCCTTCCCGTAGCCCTGATCCTCCAACCACCCAGAAAAAGGGAGCAACCGAGACAACCCGAACCTCGTTCGTAATCTCCCCCATTAGAACACCACCGCAAAGACCATCGAATTATAGGTCCCCCCGCGCCCAGGGGATCCGCAAGATCTGCCATCCACGATGCGGGATGCCCAGATCCACGCCTGCATACGTATTCAAACCTGCCTATGTAGACAGTTACGAGGACGCTCCACTGATTGTTGCGCTGGCGACACATTGCGTTGTGGTTTGGCTTGAGAGGTATGGCTTTCTGGACTCTCCCTGATCGAGCGTAGGTTAGGTGGGTTTGTATGTATCTACGGCCGAGGAAGTCATCATCACCTTTCCACCGTGATTTTGTGAGCCACATTATCAGACCACACCCCTTCCGTTTTACCGTCATCACTTTGAACGGCGAGAGCAACAACAAAAAAAGACCTCGCGCCCACTCTTAGTCTGCTACGGCCATTCCGGTACTCCAGACCAACGAACTCATCCCCACTATTACCTCTCCACAACCATTCCGATACGTCAGACAGTGGACATAATAAAGGAATCTCCTGTCTCTCATAGATCAACAGCAAACAAAACACCTCACTCTCATGTTCCTCAGAGTGACAAAGCGAAAGTATGACATTATAAGAGTATCCAGCGGGTAACACACATGGGGAAGAAGAATAGCCAGCTGAAGAACAATTTCCAGCCGAAGTGACTCCGCACCCAAACGAGTGAAATCGCGTGTTTTGCTTGTACCTATGTCGCGGGGAAAAACATCAACCGTGGCAACGCCAACAATCCGAATGTTGCACGCATAAATACTTCTTGCTATATATCTCAAGTGCCAGTCTTGTTATAAAAGGGGGTTCTAGTCATTAGAATTTTTAGAATTCGTTCGATACCTACGGTAGCAAAAGAAAAGATATAGGCAAGTACTTCGTAGATTCGTCTACCAAGGGGAATTGGCGCTAAAGGCCGACACATGATGTGGAATCGAAGCTAATAACAATAGTCAACACATCTCAAGAGTCAAAACTTACAAATTATCTCATTTGCGGGTTCCTTCAACAGCCGACCGGCCGGCATCCAAATTCCGTTCTGCGACTGTCCCGGCGACATCATTAGCCGCGGCCCAAGCCTTTGGACAGCTCTGGAACAGATCCATCACCCGATCAGCCAGGGCCTAGAATGCACGCTATCGCTGTCCCTGCAATGATGCTTACCAGGATATGTATATCCCTGCGTCCCGGGCAGTTGGTTGTGCGGAAAACTTTAAACCAACTAGACTCACCACCCCACCACACCACAGCATAGCACGGTTCACAATACCGCAATTGAGGCCGTCAGGGGCATCAATACTTTCCTACTATTCGTTCCGTGATAACTATGGCCCCCCTCCGTCAAGCTTGTCGCGTATTGAAATCTTTAGAGTGTCCGCGAATGTCAACCACCGAGTGATATATGCATGACGTCAATGGAGTACCAAGTACCTAAGGTACCTAAGAATCGAGTCTCTCGTTACACACCGAATTGGCCATGATCATACCGGTCCTCTTTTCTCTCCACTGTCACAAAAAAGATGAAGCAACCCCCGGCTACCGAAGAGTGGCAGTTGCCCCACATGGCTGTCAAGAGAAAGCTTGTTAGTGGAAGTGGGATGAGCAAACTTCACATCGAGAATCACGGCGAGAACACAGAAAACGATAGAGAAATTAGACATTGTGCTTGGGAAAACCAAGATAAACGATCACAACCAGTTACATCATCCACCACAATCAGAACCAGTTACATCAAGCATCGGCGCAACTCTATACCAACCACCCAACCCTCCGGATTTGGGGTTTATCTCAGAATACGACATTCTGCCTACGCCACGGCTTATGCCAACCTCGATATTCCCATTCTTCTTATCGATGGAAACGTTCTTCAGCCCGTTGTCCGCATAAAGCACCATTCGCAAGGTGCATGATCCACCACAAGGGTCCACATTGTCCTGCACGGATGGCTGTCAGTCTTTTTCGGTTCCGTGTCTATTCTGTAGGAGTAGATACATACCTTTGGGTCCAGTTCATCGTTTCGACGATTCTCGGCCTCACGCTGCGTGAGAGAGGGGGGAATGCTTGCCGGTTGTGAGCGGTTGCCATGCGAAGGTGGTACGGATCTGCATCACAGATGACCTTGTTAATTCCCACAACTCTCAACGGATCTTCGGGTGAGAGTTGAAGAGGTGGTACGAACCATCACGGATCATCTTACATATTTCGATGATTCATCGCGGGACCTTCTGGTCGTCAGTGAGAACTTTCCTCGCAACCGTTACTCAGGGAGTTGTAGGCGGCAAGGACCACCGGAAGATCATTGTATATTTTGATGATCCGTCTCTGATCCTCCGATGGTCCTTGTAGTAGGCGTGCGTGTTTTTATGATCCACAGTGGATTGGTGAGGATGGTGGTGACGACACCAGCGGCGCCAGATTCGGCTTCGTTTTTATTGGTGACGGTGTGCTTTGGTTCTATGGGTGTAAAATGCGACGGTTGTGGTTAGAAGCAATTTTTTGTCTAGTAGTACGTCCGGATTGGACTGAAGTAGTGTGAAGGTGATATGAAGAGGAAAGGAAGAGTTGTCCTCGGGGTTGCTGCTCCTTAAGTACTTGGGGGTAGGGGTGAGTGGTGCACCCAATTAAGCACCATTTGGTAGTGGTGGTGGTGCACGACTTTCCCTTGCACCCGAGTACGTGTTTGGTGGAGTCACATGCTGCACTAGCGGCTTGGAATACCGGCGAAAGATTCACAGCGAAAAACCAAGGCGCGGAGGTGCCCTCGGCCAACTTTGGTAAGAGGGGGTGTGGTCAATGATGATAAAAGAGGAACAAGTCACGGAAGAGGGAATGAGGTGAGAAGGTAAACCCGAGTTAAGAGACCCAATATTAAAAGAGGCACACTTGAAGAAAGCACGGCAGAACTAACTTGAAAAAGCAAGGAGCAAAGAAATCAGATGATGAACGATCGATCGCTGAAGAATAGTGACGATAGAGGATGAGAGATACACATGACCTTAGGAAAAGAGGGGCCCTCCCCCGGAATATATAGAACAGATCGTCCAACTTTGGCCGCCGCCGCTTCGTCGTACCACCGTCGAGAACAACAGAAGCGATCAAAACAAAACCTAATCGGCGAGTAAAACGGCAACAGATCCCATTCCAGCCCCCAGAATCGACAGCCGAGAACAAAAAAAGCGATCAAAACAAAACAGAATCGACGAGAAAAACAAAACAGGTCCACTCCTGCAGCCCCACGATCGACAGCCGACCCCGAACGTCTTGGTAAGAAATCCTCCCAAGGTCCCCAGCCAAGGGTCGAAAGGTGCCGTCGCGACGTCAGTTCCAGCTGCGTCCAACACTATCCATTCGATGTGGCCCTCTTGAGAAATTACTCGGACATCGGGAGATTTTGGCTACCCCACAGCATCTTCGCAAAGACAACTGTTGCAATGACCAACTGCAGTGGATGAATACATCTACGTACATATACTGCTTACACCGGCTCTGCACCACACTCGCCCTATCACATTTCCATACAACGTCGCAGAGGAGATCTTGGCGACAAGAGTGGCCACTGGTTATGCCACGAAGTTTGTCCGTCCGGTGCGGGAATGATCAGATCCAAGATTAGATCTGAGCTCGAAGCGGCTGTTCAGCGGCTGGGATGGTCGTTAGGATAGGCACTCCAGCCACAAATCTAATCTCTCATAATTTGATTGCCTAGCCAAACCTCGAGGACAGACTTCCTAACATCGTGAATATTTTCCCGTGCGTGAACGGTCCGACCCGATTCCAAAATCCTAACGACATCTTTCCTGCAAATTATATCTCGCAAAGCTCGGAACCTTGATCCAGTGTTCTACATAGACCAGTCCCGACTAAATTTGAGTATGGTCAGGTCAGTCTGGATATATCCCGACCGACAAAGCATAGGTCGGGATAGGTCGGGCTAAGAAACAACATTTGAAGCCGGAAATGCTCTAAAAACCGTTAGAAACTAAGGAATGTTTTGCAGCTGATAGAATTAGCAGTTAACCAGACGTCGGCCGAACTGGGCCGACCGAGCCTGGCAAGGTCTGGTCGGTCGGTCTGGTCTATGTAGAACACTGCCTTGATCCGCAC